CCTTTTAATTTTAATTGCTGTTTGCAACGATATATTTCCGAAAGATTCTTCGCAAGCAAATAATGACAAACTTGCTGTAGCTTCAATGCTTTTGGAAAAAGGAAATATTGCATTTCAAAATTCAGAATATGACAATGCGATCACCTGTTACTCGAACGCGATTGAAGTACATCCAAATTTTGCTGATGCTTGGAGTCAGAGAGGGCTTGCTCATCTTAAATCTCAGCTCTACACTCAAGCATTAAATGATTTTAATCATGCTCTCAAGTTGGATCCGGCTCATGCTAATACTCAAAACAGTATGGGAGTTTTATATTATTACGGATACGGAGTTGTCACACCTAACCATGAGGTTGCTTTTTCTTGGTTTGAAAAATCTGCTAAACAAGGCCATGCAAAAGCTCAACATAACTTAGGCCTGCTGTATTACTATGGATGTGGAACATCGAAAAGCTATACAAAGGCTATTGAATGGCTTAAAAAATCAGCTAACCAAGGACATCCTAACTCTCAATATTATCTTGGTCACATCTTTGAGAAAGGCAATCCCAACGCATTCTTTAGATTTTTTGACTATTTACGAGACCACACAAAAGCGTTTAAATGGTATGAAAAAGCAGCAAACCAAGGACATTATGAAGCTCGCTATTCTCTCGGTAATTTGTATTACAAAAATCAAAATTATACGATGGCACTCGAATACTTGACCAAGGCAGCATCGTACAATCATTCACAAGCTCAGTACATGCTAGGAACGATGTATTATAACGGGGACGGAGTCACACAAAACGTTACAATGGCGTTCGACTGGTTTTTCAAGAGTGCTAAACAAGGAAATGCAGAAGCTCAATTGATGGTCGGAAATATGTTCTTTTATGGAGAAGGAACAAAGTCTAGTTATGCAAAATCGTTTATGTGGTTTAAAAGAAGTGCAGAACAAGGAAATTCAGACGCTCAATTGAATCTGGGTTTTATGTACTTCCATGGATTTGGAGGTCGAATGGATTTCATAGAGGCCTACAAATGGATTAAAACAGCAGCAGATCAAGCCAATTTTAAGGCATTATTACTAATTCCAGGTCAAATAGACTTAACCAAAGTTGGCAAGAAGCTGTGGAGCAATGAAGAGAATACAAAGAAGCCCTGTGTCATGCTTTAAGAAGGCACATTGTGAACAGTGAAACAATAATTGATTCCACTCAAGGATTATGGAACATTCGTTCAAGAATTTCTTGAGCATTCATCGAGTCTCTAAAACCTGAAACCCGATGGGATTATTTACTCGGTGATGACATGCTCCATCATATTCTGACATTTTTTGAACACAACTTCCTCATTCATACCTGTATGAGAGTTTCAAAATATTGGTACGAACGAGTACTTGCAGTTCCAATGGTATTATCCATACACGATCGTGGTAATGGTGAAGCTCTTTCAAAATTGAAAAGTATTACATCCACTGGCAACACATTCAACATTACCGATCTCTCCGTCTCTGGTAAAAACGAGATACCTTCCGTCACTGAAATCATTCATTTAATCACGCAAAGTAACAAATTTAACAATCTCAAGGTATTGCAACTCAGCGATTGTGCTCTTGAAAAAAACCATATTTATGAAATTGTTTCTGGATGTTTCAAGTCATTGAATGCTTTAATTTTATACCATGCAGACAAATGCATTGATGGAGAGTGTGCCAGTATCATTGCAAACAGTGTGCATATGAGAGAATTACGTGACCTAATGTTAACAACTGAATTTGGAGACGACAGTTTGCGAGCATTATGTAACAGTGCACACATCAAAAATCTCAATTTTTTAGATTTAAGCGATTCTAGCGTGAGCAAAGAGGGAGTCTTTATTCTTGCGAATTGTGCATCAATGAGTACCTTGACAGATTTGAATCTTGGATATAATGCGTTTGGTGAAGAAGGTTCGAAAGCGATTGCAAACAGTGCCTTTTTGAAAAACTTGAACATTTTGAATATCCCTTCTTGTGAAATTGGGAGAAGTGGAGCTCAATTGCTGTTTAAAAGCCCTAATTTAAAAAATGTTACAGAGTTATTTGCTGGACAAAATGAAATTGGGAATGAAGGAGTTTTAGCTCTTTGCGAAAACGAGTTTTCGAAGAACATTACTGATTTATATTTGACAGACAATGCCATCACTAACCAAGGCGTCTCTTTTTTGACCAACAACAGTACAAACATGAATAATCTCGTCAAACTACACCTTGACGATAATTTGATTACAGCTGAAGGAGCCAAGCTCATTGCAATGAGCAAAACAATGCAAAATTTGGAGGAGCTTTCTTTGAACAACTGTGATATTGGGGATGCGGGAATGATTGCCATTTGTGAAAGTGATTTTTTGAAAAAGTTGAAAGGACTACACGTAACAGACAACAATCTTTCTCACAAAAGTGTTGTATCGTTAACCTCTAGTACTTTTTGTAGCACGTTGGAACAACTGACACTGGATTTTAACAAAATTGGACATGAAGGAGCAAGCGTGTTATCAATTGCATCATTTCCAAACCTGATCACACTAAGTTTAACAAGGTGCAACATTGAAAACGATGGACTGTTCTTTATTTCTAATAGCCCGACTCTTAACAAGCTTACTACGTTATCCCTTGGTCTCAACAGCATTACAACTTTGGGCGTTCAAGCTATCTGCAACAGTCCATATTTGAAAAATTTAGACTGCCTATCACTGTTTGGAAATAATATCACCAGTGATGATGTCAAATTAATTGCAAACAATTTGAAGCATTTGACGTTTTTTACTGCAGACGGCTTGGCCACTCCTCAACTGAACTCATATTTATCGAAATGCTTGCCATCTTGTGAATTTTATATATAATTTTAGAAGCACGTACGATCATATTCTAACACCAATAATGTCCACCACAAATGAACATTCACGTGGATATTAAAACTTGATTACATGTTGAGATGAACTCTAGACACGAACTAAAAGAATGAACCATGGCGACCCAATTGCTGAATAAGGTGCGTGCAAGAATGTGTTTCTCCTTTTTGAACATTATTATTCACAAAGAACTGAGACATGAACTATGCACCTGACCTCTGTTAGATTGATTTGGAGCATTTCCTTTTTTGGCTGTTGTTGAAAAGCTATAAATGCCAGAAATCATTCGTTCTGCAGCTCCATCAACAAACAAAAAATAATGATGAATTTCAAGTCACTTTCCGTTTTTCTCGTGCTCATTGTTTTAGCATCACTGGTCCTTAGTGTCAGTTGTCAAACAGGACAGAAAAAGGTCGAAAAGTCTCTCACCCCTCGTCTATGGCCAAAATGCAAAAGAGTTCATTGCAGAAAGCGTTGCAGATTCGGCTTTAAGACCGATCGTTGTGGATGTCAAAAAGGTTGCAAATGCAGACTTAGACCTTGTGCACCCATGTTGTGCACGAAATATTGTAAATTCGGATACAAACGAAATCGACATGGATGTGTCAAGTGTGTGTGTCGCAGAAGTACATGTAAATCATCCCGCACGCTTCGTCAATAAAAACAGAATTCCATCCTATTTCTCTTGAAAATAAATTACAACAATTTACTGCTTGTTCGATTCTTGAAATGCAGCCAAATCACTCTCTGCATTTTGTTTTCCACACGAATTGAATAAACCTCCAAATCCTTTCTTTGATTTTTGCGAAGAATTATCGTGTTGTTCTTTCACAGGTTCTTCCTCAATGACTTCCTGATCAAATTCTCCATTTCGATCCTTTCTTACTGTTCTTACAAGTGCATGGAATGCATTTTCAATGTTAATATTTGCTTTGGCAGATGTTTCAAAGAATTTAGTTTTTGCAAATTGTTTGGCAAATTCTTCTCCAGTCTTGTAAGAAACTGCTCTTTCATTGCTGAGATCACATTTATTGCCGAGAAAGACAACTGGAATTCCTTCTTCGCCGACATCACGTGATCGTAATAATTGACCATATATATCTTGAACTTCTTGGAAAGAGGAAGCATCTGTCACTGAATAGACGAGAACAAATCCATCTCCTTCTCTCATGTATTGATCTCTCATGGCAGTGAATTCTATATAAATGGATATTATTTGATGGTCATGTGTAAAATTTTAACAAATGTCAGGTTTCAAAAAATATTATTTAAACTTACCTTCTTGTCCTGCTGTATCTAATAAATTAATTTTCACGGATCGACCATCCACGGAACATTGTTTCGTATAGGCATCTTCGATGGTTGGATTGTATGAATCACGATATTCACCTTTAATGAACTGAAGAGTAATGGATGATTTTCCGACAGCTCCGGTACCGAGCATGACGAATTTCATTTCATCTCGTTCCGAGAGTTCGATGGTAGAAGAGGATGATGAGGCCATTGGCAGACTTGTATTTTTTTTTGTTTGTAATTAATTTTTTTGTGACAAGTGATAGCTGTGGATGTTTATGTTCAGAGTTCAAGTGGTACTTGTCTAAAACAATGTTCCAAGTAGTAGCACTACGTTTGGATGGTCATTAACAGATAAAATTGCTTGGACCATCCACAGTGGCCAAGAGTTTGTTTTCAAAACAATGGAGAAGTGTTCATTGATATCTCTTGTTTCGAATCATTTCCTTTCCTTGCCAATTTGATTGCTACTCAGATCCAAACAAGTCAAATTCTTTAAACACTCACTTGTAGCAATGTATTGGACACCTTCATCACCAATTTCATTGAGATGCAGATCCAAAGAGGTAATATTCTTCATACATTCACTTTCAGACAAATATTGAACACCTTCATGGGAAATTTGATTGGAATTCAGATTCAAAGAAGTAATCTTCTTCAAGGATTCACTTGCAGCAATATATTTGACACCTTCATTGCCAATTTTGTTCGAGTACAAACTTAAAGATGTCAAATTCTTCAACCATTCACTTTGAGCCAAATATTTAACACCTTCATTGGTAATTTTGTTTCCATCCAGATTCAAAGAAGAACAAGTGGTTTGGGGAGGGTCGATTCGAGAGAGAGTGAGAGTTTAATTTGAAATGATACGTGTCTCCATTGTTTTGAAATTTTCATACACACCCGAATGATAAATAATGAATCACTTGATGGCAGCAGTTGAACTGGAGTTCGCAACATCTCATTCTAGAATTCGTAACGTTTGTGCACTTTGGAACTGAAAAAAAGGGTTTTGAAAATACGTGTCTGAAAAATATGATTGTCTCATCTACCAATTTAACAAATGAGCGTTGTTTGATCACTTCTTCAGCCTGGAATTTTCACTTACCAAATTTGATGGAGACTTCTGTCTGAAAATGTAACACTTCACCACCAACCAAAAAAAATGTTTTCATTTCTTTCCAACTATTATCCGTTTTACAAGCCAACAACAACCGAGATGGTTCAAACAAGGGATCAACCAATGGTCGTCCTTCAAAAAGATCAAGATCCAAACCATACTTTAGAAATCCAAAAATCGGATCAACATCGATGCATACTCACAGATTTTCATACTCATTCCACTCCGGAACCTTCTTCTAATTGGAATCACCAATTATTTCAAAAATTGAAAAATCGTATGATGATGATTAGAATGAACCGAAAAAAGAAAGCATTTTCAATGAATTTTGAATTTGTACAAAGTTTGGAATCCGAAGAGGAAGATTTAGATTCTGTTTTGCCGTGTGATGTGAAAATTTCATATACCCATGCATGTATTTTTGTGGTGGATTTTAATAATGGTTGCATTCAAGTATTTGATTTAAATTCCAAACAATTCCAAATGAGTGTTAAATCATCTCAGAGGCCAACTTGTTTGTGTGTCGAAGAAAATTATTTGAAGTATTCCCATCGAAATCAATCCTCCTCACAACAACAACATGTTGACACTCGACAGCATTCGTGTGCTGCTGCGGATTCAAGAGATGCTATTATATTAGGATGTTACGGAGGAAATCTTTACAAATATGATGCGATACATCTTTTATGCAAAGATGAATATGTGAATCATTCTCAGCAGTGTGAAACCATGTCGGGAGACACACATGAAAACACTCTATGGAAAATCGAATATGGTTTAACAAGTTCTACGAAACGACCAGGGAGTATTGCCATTATACAAGATTCCAACTCTGAGCACTTGTTAGTGGTGTGTGAATTAAGGACGATTGAAATTCATAATTCCTCAACAGGACAACATCTTCAATCCTTTGATTTTAGAAATAATGTCATTTCTCCGTACGGACTCGCCATCATTTCAGAATGGAATGGATTAATAGTGAGTGAAAGAAGTCCACTCCATAAAATTCAAATACTTCGTATTGACCATGATGAGATTGAAGAAGAACAAATTCCAAAATTGAATCTTGTACAATCGATAGGAACTTTTGGTTACGAGCAAGGATTATTGAATTATCCAGGAAGTTTGATTTTCGACTCGACTTCAAAACACATTCTAGTTGCAAATGAAGAAAATTTAAGAATTGAAGTATTCACTCAATTTGGAAAATTTGTGAAAAGCTTTAGTTGTGGATTTATGGCATCTGGTATTTGTTTGAATGAATGGACAGGAGAATTACTCATTGGAGATCCGATGAGTGGACTTGTCAGAATTTTCAAATAGTTGACCTGAAATACAAGATAATTTGGCCTTCCACTCATGAATTACATTAATTACCATTTCGCTGCCGTTCCTCCTCCAATAAAGAGGAGAATATATCGTTTCATTTGAATTCAACACTTTTAAACCACCAGACAAATGAATTCAATTTACATGTAGCATTAAGATTTGTTTTAAATTGTTAATTTAACCCTTAACTATTAATATTCGCAAAGTATGGGACACCACGTGAATCTGGTAAAGCGTACTTCCCCTTGGTAAACAAATTTGTTCTCAAAGCCATATTTTTGAGCAAACACAAAAACTGGCTATGGGCAGGGTTAAAAGCCGAAAAAATGTTTGAAACAACACATTGCCTGGTGTTCCTGATACACTGGCACAAATTAAGTCTTGCAGGACGAGGTGTTTTCTGAATATGTATGATGAGCCCTCTTCGCAAGGGTGGAGGATAGACATGGCAATATGATGATTTCCAATCCTGTAATTTATAGATGCACAATTTGACTCGGAATGAGTTTGTGATGAGATTCGGATTCAAAGCAGAACTCTGAATGGCCGGCTCCGTTTTATCTCTTCAGAGTCCAGCAAAGGACAAAATGAACAATATATTTGTGGTGATATTGAAGCCTATTGAAGTGGATCGTATCGGTACTAGAGACAATGTTACAATTTGCAGGGAGGGTGAGCCAAAGCGTAGGCAACCAGCCTATACCCAACCATTCTTGGCGACGTTGACGAACTCAAGTGTCATCACGAAAATAAACATCTCCAACCAAAAAAAATGCCTACAGCAAACAAAACGTTCTGGCAGAAGCTGAGTGATCAACACAACCACATCAGCAAGTTTCTTCACTTCAACAAAACAACACGCAAACCAGAGTAGGAAACAGAGAAAACAATTCATCGAACTGAACAAACCATCAGTGGAATTCCTAGTCGTCTATTGTTGTACATTCTGCTTTTCCGATGGCCTTCACAATTTCTTGATCGTTCCCAAACTTCGACAACAGCAAATCATACAACATAAGCACATCCACAACGGCATTATGTGCTATTCCGGGAAGAGAGTCACATACTTTTTCTCTAAAGTGGTTTTCTAATCCCTTTTTTCCAAGCAAGTTTTTTTGCATAGTAGAACAATAGTAAATTGTTGATCGGAGTTTAAGTGGTGCAATTGCAGCACTAAAGAAAGCCTTGTCCAAACCAGTTGAATGAACCAACAACATCACATCAGCAGTGTCATTCCTAGTCAAATAATTACAAATTTTAGGAATCATGTTTTGCAATGTTTCACTTTCATCCAAAATCTGAAATTTAGTTTCGTGCATTTGTAATGCAATAGAACTCCACACACCACTAGGGGATACAAATATGGAATGTAATTCATTACTAAATAATGATAACATTGCAAATTGAATTATGGAGTTGCATTTTGGAGAAAATCCTGTTGTTTCTAAATCTAGCACAAAGAAGTTCAATGGTCGTCTTGTCTCTTGATTGATACAGTGAGGCGTGGGAATTGATTTAAGAGGTGCAAAATTATATTGAATAGTCAACCTGTTTTTGAATTTTGAAATCAGGTAAGGTGGTTTGTGTTGTACAATAATATTCTAATTGTTTTTGCAACTTTGTTTCCTAAAAGCAACATCTTTTTCTAATTGAGCAGAAAATTGCAAACATTCTAATTGAGCAACTGTTGCTTCTGCTTCTTCGTCTGAAAATTGATGTTTAGCTTTCAAATGATTTGTAAAAGACCCTTTGATAATATATGGTTTTTGTTTTTTACATCCAGAAACAGGGCAGCATAAATATATACATTTAGGAGCACACACTTCAGCCCTCAACGTAGTTTTTCTTGAGTAAGTGGCTACGTTTTGATTAATAATTTGTAATTCTTTGCAAGTTTTTTTCTTGACATTTCTATCAAGTACAATTCGACCAGGAAGAGTTGGTAAAATCTTGATAACCAATTTCATACCAAAATAATGATCAGTTAATGGAATATCTGGGAGTGAGAACCCACGAACATCGTCAGTGGAATGTAATATTAAAAATATATAGAATGAAAATAGTGCGCTTTGGCAAAATTGTTTGGTTGTTGGCTTGGGAAACATTCCTCGAATTATTGAAAAGAGTAGCTCTTCATAATTTGTTGTAATGCAACTGGGTTTGAAATTTGGAAACCGAGACGCTAATGCAAGAAATCCTTCAAGTGTGTGAACACATATTTTCTTCGTTTTTTTGGGATAATTGGGTAATTTTTCGAAAATTGTTTTGCTTTCACTCAAAATATCAATTATATCCGGACTGTTATCATTAATGCAGTCATAAATATCACGAATTAATTCAAGGTAACCAGCAACACTATTTGCCTCTATAGTGCCAATTTTACGTAATTCTTGCAATACAGGTCGTTCTGTTAAATTTAGACATGATTTCAAATTCATAATATCCGTAGGATCAACTTCTTCTCTGTCGAGTAATCGATACAATGTCCTATGTTGTATCATGTAATAAATTATGGTCTGCATTGAGATTTTCTCGTGCAATATTGTTCCATTAAATAATACATTTCGTTGATTTTTGAAATTGTGAACGTAATCATTGACGAAAATGAAGTCTTTGTGTTTTTTTCTAATAATTGTTTGCACAGCATGTGCATCAATTTCTGCATCAGAACATCCACACACAATTGTTACAGATTCTTGGAGCAACTCTTTGAAATAAAGTATTTTGCTAGTGACAAATTCAAGTACGTCTGTTTCAGAACTAACTCCAAACCAACCCAGCGGTAAATGCCATGAATTATCGATGGCATTAATAGAAAATAAAATCATTTGGTCTATTAGATGTTTAACACCAAATTGTTTCACGTCTTCAACAGTGTAACAATATTTTTCACTTCCAACAATTTGATCTCCCAAAACATCAAAATGTTTAAACACTTTCATTCCATCAAACGAGATACATGTATCTTTACAAGAGTCAGGCAGTAACATGTTCTTTAGGGTAAGTGTGATGTCGGGAATCATACCATAACAACCAGCAGGTGTCCATTGTTTAACAGTATTCCAACTTGGTATAATTAGATTATATTTTAAATGATTAAAATTATTCCGTTCAATATTTTGATTGCGCTCTCCTCCCATTCTGATGAAAAATTGTTTTCCACAATAATATTTCATCACAACCCAATATCTTCTTTCAACCTCTGAATATTTGTGATGAAATGGATTCTTTGTATAATTTTGCAACTGATTGAATATAAAGGATCCAAAAAATGTCTCTAAGAATGGAGTAAAGCTTGACCTTGGAACCTTCAAAGCTTGTGTATCACGGTGTTCATTGTTCGTAATTTGTTTGTTGTTGTATTGTGTCGACAATGCTTCATTGTATGAAGTTTGAGCTTTTCTAAACACTGTTAAAAGTTTGTGTTCATCTTGGCTGACTGGTATAAATGGCACAAGTTTACACAATAACTCATACATCAATAATGGAAATGATATTAATTGCTTGGGTTGTGGTAAAATTCCTTTCAATAGCATTTCAAATATATCATGCCTATTTTCCATGATTGAAACTAGGTGTTTTTCCAATTCACTACATTGACGACACTGATTTTGAAAAATACTACAATATTTTGAACAACATGCTGATTCTAAGGTGAGTTCGTCTCGAATAACGCCAATTATGTCATAATCGCAATTATAAATTTGTTTTCCTGTTAATAATTTAGAATAATTGTTCCGATTTATACCTCTGCAAACGTATTTCAGTTCGGAATAGCACTCTTCATAACTAACATTAGTAGCTGGTGTAATATTTTCAACCATGAACGGTTGATCTTCAAAATAAACTCTTTTCTTTACTGACGGCATTATTGAAGCAGTTGAACGAATATCGGGAGCATTGTGGTTGTGTTGATCACTCAGCTTCTGCCAGAACGTTTTGTTTGCTGTAGGCATTTTTTTTGGTTGGAGATGTTTATTTTCGTGATGACACTTGAGTTCGTCAACGTCGCCAAGAATGGTTGGGTATAGGCTGGTTGCCTACGAAGCTTTTTCTATCTGGCTCACCCTCCCTGACAATTTGTGATTTACGCTGAAGGATATCTCTTCATACAGCATGGACTTTTTGTTTTAGACGAATTCATACAAACCAGATCATCTCCTCTCGCAAAGTGCAATGATGACGGTACTGTCAGTCCGCTTCACGGCTACAACAACGAAAACAGAGAATGAAGGTAAAAAACAAAAACACATCACTTATTCTTCATCAGAAACACAAACTCTACTCGAATCACAAATGCTTAGTGAGGTTACAAGTTTCAATCAAAGCAACAAAAGCGCCGATGACTCGACTGTTTCACGATCCAGTCAGCCCTCTGTGGCAAGAGAGATCAATAACTACGTGACAACAACTATACATTCACTACAGTTTAATACGGCACGATTAGGATGGAGGTGGTATATAGGAACATTAATACCTCAAATTATTTACTTGTGGTGTGTGATATTTATGCCAACAGCGAGGAATTACAATTGGGGAAGTGTTGGCTCTATTATTTTTGATATTCTGAACTTTCCGTCAACTTTTTTTGTTCACTGGCTGGGCTATATGGAAGGAACAATTATTACATGCTTGATCATAGCATTTGTTGCACTGTGCTATTTGGTATGGATGATTTCACTGTGGGCTACCAATAATGCTCACAGCCATACGTCAAAAGTCAAAGCAATATTGTATTTGTTTGGAATCATTTCTCAAACCTTCTCTATTTTTTTCATGTTTGCTATGGCTGGCTTTTATGATTGTAGCAGAACACGCATCATTACTGAAACACTAGAATTGACCTTGAATAGATTTCCATCTATGTCTTGTAGTGGATCACAAAACACCGTTTTGATGGCTCTTTCTATTGTAGCCACTCTTGGTTTATTCATGTTCGTGCTATTCTCGCGACTGGTTACCCATGATTTACATCCACTGAGCTTTACTCCTTTGGTTGCTTCACATCCCTATATTTTAGTATTGTTGGATATAATTTCAATGCTAGGGCTTGTTGGAATGTTTGCAATTCCTATCGAATACTCGTATGCTGCCATTACCTTCAATACTCTACTGTCCTTACTCTTCCTGTTGTTGACAGTGAAAAGTTGTCCCTTCTTTAGACGCATGGATAACTCTTTAATGGTTGGTGTAGGCTGTGCAAGGTTGGGAGCTTGTGTGGGGACGTTAGTGAATTTTATTGTGAACCCAAAGCAAGATCTATACTTGGGAATTGAGATAGGTGTTGTTTTAACATTGGGTCTTGTTATTTGTGGATTCGTTGGTGGATTTTTGGCAACTGAAGCTTATTTATTTTTCATTATCAAATCCGTGAGGGGTAGAATTATGGAAGCCATAGCGCAACACATTGACAACAGTCCTCAAGGAGTTTCACTTTATAACAACAAGAAAGCCATTCTTACATTATTAGACAATAAGGCGTTAGTAATATTCCAGGAAATGAAAGAAGAAAACAGATTGTCTCATTTACGCTCTTTTTTTAAGTTTTGCAACAAGTCTTCATTTGCCACTGTGATTGCTGGTCTAAAAACGGATGAAGGTGACGATATTGTGCTCACAGAAAAAGATTTGGTCTTGACCTTTTCCAAAGTGTTTGCCTTAAGAAAATCGACAGATACTGATTTACTTTATTATGCTGCATTATTAATGGGATATGACCACAGAAATGAAGGAAGTTTTAACACAACACAAGCACTCGAATTAATGAATCGAGTATCCAAAAACACCAAAAATAGTCTGTTTAGAATGATTGTGGAATATCGAGTTAAGGAATTGCAGCATTATGCTGCAGAATTACATACTGTTATTGAGGCGGACGCGAATGAAGCGGACTCGAAAGTACAAAGTGTGAAGCTTGCTCAGGAAATATTGGTTAGTTTACATAGAGACTTTTTTAAGGAAATGATAAGCGATCCTGTAAAGACAAGTAGTCTCGAAAAGATAACAAAAAAGATTACTGAGGTGGTCAGTGAATGCGACCAACTATATAAGGAGCTATTAGTGAACAAGAAGAATACCACATACTTGAGAATGTATGCATCATATGTAGAAAATTTCCAATTCGATAAGGAACTAGCTCAGACTATTATCATGGAGGCAAGTCAAATGGAGGAAGAACAGAGACTTGCACAATTCGTTTCCTTTCGTAAAAACTCTCTCTCAAAACAAAACAACCAGCTTGTTCCAACCAACGATTCTATGAGATGCGACAGTAACATGTCCTCCAACAAGAAGTACAAACTTTCTACAGAAAATCCCCATACCACCGTGAATGAGCAAGATAGCAAAGCGCAAGAAATACTCGATAATTTAGAAAGTGCAAGTTCTGTTGGCTTTGAGTATGAACAGAAAAAGGACTTTCTGTTCAGAAACGCATTGAAAACTCGAGTTTCCAATACTATCCAATTTTTCTCGTTTTATCTGTACATTATTATGTGCATTGCTTTGATTATTGGAGGAATTGTGCTACACATTGTAGATAGTGCTCAAATCAAGAATAATATTGTAAATTTGCGATTTGTGTGTATGCCTCAAACCACTCCACTCTCCGTAATGAGAAACATTAGAAGTATGCAAAATTTTGTTAATATTTTCCTGAATTATGAATATGACTGGCCTTTGTATCATGACGGACACTCGTTACCAAGCAAAAAGGTATGTGGCTATTTTATTTGAGAGCGATCTTGTGAAATGAGCCTTAAATGTATACAGGAATACGTGAATTATTTTTTTGAACGAGTCTCTAACGATAAGACTATTCTTCATCAACTGATCGAATTAGGACAGGCTGTTCAATTTGACGCCGTCACTTATACAGAGTATGGTAAAAGCATGTACACTACATATGTTCCTGGTTTTGAATCGTCATCAGGGATGGGTAAAACATTTACAGGAACTCCACAGCCAAGAAATGTCTCCATTATTGAAATTACAAACTCTATTCTCAAATATAGCGAGCAAATAATTAATGAGGACTTCCCAGGTTCATATCTGAGCGAAGCTTTGAATATGAACTCCCTCAACACATCAGCAGGTAGAGAAATGGTTGCTAAGATTATGAATTCAACATTTATGGGATCTGTTTCATCTTTTAATTTCATGTATTTATGGATTAACAAGCTTGATTTTAGCGACATTTACGAAGGTTTCTGCAATCGATACGTGGAAAAATCAAAAGATGGTACCAGATTATTGATGTTACACTCCCAGATTTACTTTTTTGTTTCCTTAGGTCTGAGTTGTGTGATTGGATTGATTCTCAATGTTATTATTTTCCAAAATCAAATGTATTTCAGAAGATTGATGAAATTACTCGAAAGGCAAACAACAAAAGAAATGATTGGAAAGATATATCACACTCTCAGCAAAAAGACGTCTGTTGAGGCCTCGCTAGACACTACCGTTGCTTCCAAAGCGTTCAAATCAAAATATGCACCACTTGTGGTCATTTGCTTCTTGTCCTTGCTTGTACCACTGTGTGTAGGATTATTTTATTTAGAGACATTCAAAAACGCCAAAAACGCTTTGTTTACATTTACTAATGTTGGACTATCAGCAAATGTTATCGAACACATGCAACGAAACTCGTTTTATTTAGGAGAGTTACTAACTAATTTTGGATTGAAGAACTATGTTGACACCATCGATGTGAAATATGGGAGCAAGTATTTATCAATAGCTAAAACTATTGATGAGCTGTATAGCTTGATTCGATATGAGACTGATATGGTAGCCGCAAACTGGAATGAGCTAATTTATGGAGATGTAACAAAACCCGATGATGATCCCGTCATAGGGTAAGTAGCACTCACATTTCATTTAATCATACGATTTTTAACTTTTCTTCGACTTATCATAGCTTGTATCCTTCTTTGGACAAGTTGCTGAAGAGTGGTGTTGCTGCCAATTGCACAGAGTATTTAGCTTCACATAACTTGACTTTGAATTTGAAAACAAGTATTCAATATTGCTTGGGAATTGAGAAAGTAATGACAGATTATCTAACAGAAACTACTGAAGTTTGTGAACACACACGAAACGCTTATCTCAATCAACTTAACTCATCCAAAAATATGGACCCAACAGAAATATTTATGGAGCATAACCTTGTCAGCATGATTTCATATCCGCTGAGTGACAAACTTGTCATTTACATGAACGAATTTATTAGAGTGTCTGGAGAGCTATCACTCGTTTTATTGCTTGTTTTTAGTAGTTGTGGGCTATTGTTGACCTTAGTTTTTGGAAAGGTTTTACATTCCATGCTAAAGAATGCAGCAGACCATTATCAACAAACCAGAATACTATTGAATTATATTCCTACCGATTTTGTAGATCGAAATGAAACTCTCAGAAACTTGATTTTATATCATCAATTTCCCAATCCAATCATGCAAAAGTTTTCAAATCGCAGAATACATCCAGGTAGCTCTGACGATGAAGGTTCTGTTTTTAAAGGTGTATCTAACATTATTAACTCTAACGTTGATGGATCAGCAATCATCAACGCGCAGGGAGAGGTTGAGTTATGCAACCCTTCTGCATTGCGGATGTTTGGACTGTCAAGCGTTGATATTTTAGGAAATTCTATTTACAGCTTATTTTCTCCAGGAGAGTGTCAAACTCAAGTGAAGAAAGTGGTAGGCTCTCTTTTTGAACAAAGCAAACGATCAAGTGATGGGTCAGCTCACGAATTATTCGAAGCTGAATGCGTGCGTAGGAATAATAGCAAATTCCCAGCTCGACTCACACTTTTTACAACTCATTTCTCAGAAAAAAGAACAGTCATTGTTATGACGATCAAAGATATGACCTCAGAAAAGAAACAACAAACGTTGTTAAATGAGGAGAAGAAGAATTCGGAAAATCTATTGAAGAATATTTTACCGGAAGCAGTAGGAAATCGTTTAAAGCAAGGAGAGACATTTATCGCAGAAAAACTAGGAGATATCACTTGCTTCTTTAGCGACATGTAAGTAATTCGAAATTAGTTCTTCAGATGGTTGTATATTGACTCATAACTTGAATCAATATAGGGTGGGATTCACAAACTTGAGCAGCAATATGCAGCCTACTGAGCTAGTCCAAATGTTAAATACTATTGTGAATGGATTTGACTCGTTGGTAGAGATGTATCGCTTGGAAAAGATCAAAACCATTGGTGATGCCTATTTTGCAGTTGGAGGGTTACATGGTGCAGCATCTTCAGATCATCCCGAACAAGTATTAAGGTTTTCCATGGACACGTTCAAAGTCATTAGAGACTTTAACGACGGAAAGTATGGAATGACATTGGAAGGAGATCAATTGTTGAATATCCGAGTGGGCATCAATACTGGACGAGCAGTAGCCGGAGTGATTGGTAAAATTAAGTTCGCCTACGACCTGTGGGGAGACACCATCAACATAGCCAGTAGAATGGTAAGTACATTCATAATGGTGATGTTATTTTCAACATTTGTCACACATAATTTTTTCAAAAACTCAGGAATCCACTGGAGTGCCGGGAAGAATCCAGATTTCCAGATCAACCTATGAGAGAGTGTATGATCTTGGTTTTGAGTTTGAGGAACGCCATGTCGATGTGAAAGGGAAGGGTCTAATGCAGAGCTATCTATTGAAGGCCAAATATCACACCAATCCTCTACCCGAACTCAAGATCTCCAATAACGCCAATAACGCCATGATGGAGGATGAAATCCATCATCACAACCATGGTCATATTGAACAGCACATGTTGTCCAATTCCTTGGAGTTTAGCACAATAAGGGATCCAAATGCAGTAGAAAGTGACAAGCACAATGATGCTGAGTAACGAATGAAAATGGTTGGACCAAGCAAAGAACCCTTAATAAAAGTTGTAAACATTCGCCCAAAACGGAGAAATTCAAATACTTCCATTTGAAGACCGGGAATTAAGAAAACAAATTTTCAAAAAAAAATCCTTTTGATCGGACACACATCATCATCGTACTTCTCTCTTGAAAATTTCAAACACAACAACCACACCTTCAACATGGCACCCAATGCTCAACAGCGCCGTCTTCAGATTCATTTGAATCACTTGATGGCTTCAACCACTCATCATCAAGAAATGCTCCATGATCAAACTCTCGGTATTCTGGAGAGAAATGATACCAGCGCTGCTACACCACTCATGTTGGAACATAACTACACGAGAGCAAGACAATACGGCTCTAACGGAGTTGATGTTGAGACTTTAAAGGCTTTCTTGGATGGTAAATATGCTGATGTAAGTATCTCGAGTTTGTTTTTTCTAGCCTCTCATCATGACCTTCCGATTGAAAACCATGTTGTCTCCTTTTGACCATTTGTTGCATCAAATCTTCTTGCATCATCATTAGACCAAGGAACGAGTGAGACAAACATTGGCCAAAGGAACATTCCCTCACTTCTTTGATTATGACACTTTGCATTATCAAGAAGCTCGTAGAGTGTTGATGGGATGGGCAAAAACCTTTGCCGATGAACTTCCATTTGATTTGTTAAATACACTCAGAAATGATTATGGAAGATTTGTGGCATGGTTTGAAGCATTTGGTCATTTCAATACTTCACTTTGTGTCAAGATGGCTGTTCAATATTCATTGTTTTGTGGTACATTGGCAAACTTGGGTACTGATAGACATCATGAATTTGTTAAATTGGGTCAACGACTTCAAGTATTAGGTTGTTTCGGAATGACAGAAAAAGGACACGGATCCAATGTCAGAGGTATTGAAACAACTGCTACCTATGATCCAAAGACTCAAGAATTTATTGTCAATACACCAAATCCAAAAGCAATGAAGACATGGATCGGAGGTGGACAATTTTGTCACTACTCTGTAGTTTTTGCTCAACTCATTTTGAATGGAGAAAGAAAGGGAGTTCACGTTTTCTTGGTTCCAATGCGTGACAGAAACACACAAAAGTTATTGCCTGGAGTTTACGTTGAAGATGTTGAGTACAAGTTGGGATTGAACGGAATTGACAATTATTCCTTCGGATTTAATAACGTTCGTATTCCTCGTACAAATCTCCTCAACAGATTTAGTGATGTGGCTCCTGATGGTAAATATATCTGCAAATTCAAGACAGAATCACAACATTTTGGTGCAACTGTTGGAGAATTGAGTGGAGGTAGAGTTGTCATTGCAGGACTTGGCTCTGCTTGTATTAAATCATGCCTTGCTATTGCCGTAAGATATGGATTTGCAAGAAAGCAATTCGGTCCACCAGGAAAGGGTGAAATTTCAATTATGGAATATCCATCTCACTACACTAGATTAATGCCTTTGGTTGCTAAAACCTATGCATTGTCATCGGCATTGTCCCATGTTCGTGAACAATATCATCACAAGCACAAGAATGCAGAAGCTAATGCTCTTGGTCACTGCTTGACATCGGCCATCAAGGTTGCAAGTAGCTTCCATACTCTCAACACTGCTGATATTTGTAGACAAGCTTGTGGAGGCGCTGGTTTCCGTGCTCCAAACCTTATTTCTGGATTTTTAAGAGATACTCACGTCTTTGTCACATTTGAAGGAGACAATCAAGTATTGCTCCAACAAGTTGCCAAGTATCTTATTGCTCAATATGCTCAAGCTGTGAAACAAGGATGTTTCTGTGGCACTATTCTTGAATATTACAAAGATGGAAAGGTAGAGTTTAATGGAGAGCAAGATTTGACATGTCCAAAATATCAACTCTACTTGTTCAGAACTAGAGAAATTAAGATGGTGGAGGAATTGATCAAGAGATTGAGAGATAGAGAAGGAAGGGGTGAAGACGAATGGGAAGCTTGGAAGAATGAAATTGTTTTTGCTAACGAACTTGGTTTGGCATTTGCTGATAGAATGATTCACGAACAATTCTTGAAGGCCTCCAACTTGTGCAGTTTCTCAATTTCTAACACGCTCACTCTTTTATGCAAGTTGAACGGATTGACACAAATTCAAAAAGCATTGGGCTGGTTAGTCAGCAATGGAGTTTTGTGTCCAAACTTGGGCAAGAAGGTTGACTCACTTGTGGTCTCTTACTCTAAAGAGGTCAGCAAGATTGCTTTGGAGTTGATTGATGCATTTGCTATCCCAAGCCAAGTGCTTCCACCAAAGTGGGATCTTAGCGATTACACAGTCACTGAAAATTAATGTACACTAGTCTTGATAAACTTTGTTCCCTTAACCACCCCGTTTTTCAATTTTATAAATCGCGCTCCAGCGCAACACAATAAATCAAATCCAAAAAAAATCAAAAAAATCTCATCGTCATGAGCGCTTCTTCGTCATCATCATCATCGCAACAACTCGAGATCATCAATGAATTTATCAATTGCTCCTGGGATGATTTACCGGTGGATGTGAAGGAAGTTTTAGGAGGAAACAAGAATTTATTTGATCGAATTTTGAAAGACTATGCAATGGAAAGACAGTTGCCCTATGAACAAGCTCCGGTTTCGTTATTGTTAATGAATAAGAAGGATTATTATTTGGAGATGGTGGAATATTTGAGAAATAACTTGCGGGTAAGTGAGATGAGAATGATCATAGCTAATTTGTTGATAATCATGAAATTGGAATGACATTCTTATTATGTTGTAAATGTATGGACGATCGAAATACCTGACAAAATATATAACGTTGTAATTTAATATACATCAGTTGTTTCCATATCAATTTTCGGACGTGATCATTAATGAACTTGGAATGTTACCTTTTACTTTCTATTCAGAGATGGTTTACACGATTATGAAAAATGAAAAATCATATGATATACTCCCCAATTTTACTGCAGCAGATGTCAACAGGCTATTGGGAATTGGAAGAAATCAATATATTGACATTATGAACAAGGTGAGGAGTAAAAAATGGACTTGGAGGTTCAATAAGGGGATTCTAAAAGAACAATTGCCAGTACAACCTGTAGATACAAAGATTGATTATTGGTGGATTGTTGACGTGTTTCCAATGCCCCAGCAAGAATTTTTGAAAATTTACAACGTGAGTGTCCCTGTTACTGATTTCAATAATATTATTTGTGATCATAACTTTCTGTCACAATTTCACTTTATGAATAATTCGTTTCATTCCTAGACTCTCACTACTGAAGAAGCGATAGCAATCGCAATGGTTAAAAATGAAGGGAAAATTCTTGCATGCAGAATTCCTTATCCCGAATTACTTTCAATTTACAGAAAAGGATTGGTCCATTTTCATGTCCCAATCAACAGTGATGATTACATTGTAATTCCTCCACTCAAAGGTTTCATCATGAACAGAACACCAAACGATCACTTTGAAAAGTTATTGTACGATATTTTAGTCACTTTAGATGAAAGAACCACAGTTAGTCAATTGTCAAAAATTCTTCAAGTAGACGAAAATATGGTAAAGTCTGCAGTGTCTGTGTGTTGCAGACTAGGATTTGCCAAAAAGAAGGTTCAAAAACCCAAGAACATGACAGATACAAGCGAAGATCAATACAAAAATAGCTGGCAATTGTCAATAGACGAATATCATGATGAAATGATGAGCAATGAAGGCAAAAACATGTCACGAAGTGAGAACAATTCCTTGCTAGAATTTACCTCCAGCTTCGAAAACAAAGGTGAAAAGATGAAGAGAATTTGTTTCTTGTTTGACTCTTCACTCACTGCTTATTTAATGATGGGTAACCTGGCTGAAGGTTTAAAGAATCATGCAGGTGAGTTTTATTATTGTTTTTTCAAGGTATTCTAATTTACTTTAGTGACTCTTTTTGAGGTTGGAAAGATGCCTGATGAGTTATTGGATGACTTTTTGAAAGAGCTCGACAAGGTAGTTTGTCCTACTGATAACGAAGGTGAAGCCATCAAATACTATACCCATGCCATTGCTCTCAGAAATACTTTGAGATTCCTTCGACAAAACAGTAAGGAATTTGGAATTGTTGGTTCGGATGGTGGTGTTGATATGATCCGTTGTGAAAGTTTGAACAATTTGGATAATGGAACCAAGATGCGAATTCTTGACATGAATTATGCTATTCTTATTGCCACTGCTCCAATTGCCTCAAGAGCTATTAATTTACCAAACTTACCCAATTTTTATGGCCCTCCACTTCCCCATGTGTCTTCTCCTTGGTTCAAATTGTACATGTATGTTTCCTGTGAGCTGGGACCATCAACTGTATTATTCTGCAGAGGTCAGCGTATAAGAAAGCTTCCAGGAATGATAGGAACAAATGAAAAAATTATGATTTCTGGATGGGAACAAGAACCATATGCTGTTCACTCCAGGATATTGTTGCAGGTTTTGAATGAAGCATTAATGACGTCTCCAAACATGATTCAAATGATTGACGAGAACTCGTCTGAAAATCAAACATTTGATGTACCATTCCCATTTGAGAGATGTAATTATCATCATCATGACAATGGAAGCACTTCTACACAAAAACGCCATGCTGCAAGTGAAAACTCATCCACTGACAGTCAACGTGAAAAACCTGCATTTGCTCTTGATGACTCTCAAGAAGAAGTTCTAGACGGAGGAGTATTGAAGCCACCTTCAGAAACCGTAGAGGCAGCAGTTGATGAGATTGTTGATCTAACCGAGGAAGATTGGGACGCAGTTGAAAAAATTATGAACAAGCTCACTGAAAAGCTTCATTTAGAATGCTCATTTGGATGTGTGAAACTGCTTAAAATTGTAAAGAATGGTGTCACACAAGCCATTGTTCCAACTGATTTACATTTTGGAATTCCACTTTCAAGTTACGATATTAACAAGAAAGTTTGCGACGTTGTCATTAAGCGAAGTTTGTTTAATGAAGAAAATCTGAAGCGTCACACTCAACATATGAAGCAAATGTGTGACGAGTTTTTGAACTTTATTCAAAATTACTCTGAGGATTCATGTATTTCCGATCCGTCTCAAGTACCTTACCCTTCCAAAGCAATTTATTTTAACGGTAAACAAATTTCTCCATACCGATTTTAATCATGACTCAAAACGATTAAATTAAAGAATGCCTCCTCTCCTCTCCGTTCGACTATGTACTCTTTAATTGTGGCTGATCGTAGGTGTCATACAAAATTTACGTAAAAATTTAAAAACTACAGTTTCTGCTTCTAAAAAAACAGGCAAATAGAATGCAATCACCAACAGAGATTGATAGAATTAAGGAAGTATATGATTCATATGATTATCAGGATTTGGGTTATATAGAGGCTTCTGATGCTCGAGATGCGTTCATAGGTATGTGTTACGATTTCAAAATAAAACGACAGTGACCGTCGTTGTATGTAGAGCTCGGATATGAAATTACGCTAGACGAGATGCTAAAGTTGATCGATGAAGAAAGTACAAATCATGGGCTGACCCGTCAGTCGAGCCAAGATAGCCTCAATTCAGCAAGAAATTCCGAAGGTTTCAACCCTGATAAAATTGAATGGTATTTGTTTATGGAGTTGTTACAAAAGTATAGCGCATTAAAAGATGATGAAGCCAATGAAGAAGATCTGTTAGATGCTTTTTCAGCTCTCGGAGGAAATTATAACAAGAGTGGAACAGTTTCTTTGAGCGACGTAAAATCATTTTGCGAAAAATTTGATCTTTGCTTTGATGTGATGCAGGTCGCAAAAGAAAAGAACATTTCTATTGATGGGCATAAATTGGACTATGCTCAGTTCAAAGCAGTACTATCTTTTCCCAAGAATTAATACCAATTCCAATGTTATTTAAATTATTAATTAGAAATAAACTTTTCATCACATTAAAAAATAATCCTTACTGGTATGACTTCAACGCCCTCTCATCATGAAGACAAAAGCACTTTGAACAACACAACACGACCCATAGTCGTGTCAGAGGCACGGAGTCGAGTGATCATCCTGGAGGAACCTCAAGATGAGCAACATTTACTTAACAAATCAGACAGTGTATGCTCCACAACAAGCTCTGAGCTATATGCAGTTCCGTATGATGACCTTTCATTTGAAACTGATACTACCAACACCCATGTTAGCAATCAACCAAAGATGATAATGTTTAATTTAGGTAGTAGTTCTAGCTCTTCAAAAACACCTACAAGCAAAAAACGTGATGATTCCGACTGTAGTCTTGAACTGACCATTCACTATCAAAAAATCAACAAAGAGTTTTCACCGGGAGAAGTTATCCAAGGATACCTAAGACTAAACACTCCTATTCACATTGATCTAGAGAAAGGTACTGTTTTCTTGATGCAAATGTCTTGGTAATTTTCATATATTTAAAAATATCACAATAATGATTATTACAAAATTACCTTAATGATACCACAGCTGAAGTGCAATTAATTGGAAAAGAGCGAGTTTTCTTGACCCATGAAGAAAATATTTTTATGAAGAAAGAGACAAATTTTCTTTACTTATCAATGGAACCTGGAAATCATACGTTGGAGTTTTCTTTTGCAGTAGATCATGCTTTACCACTTTCTTTTACCAATCCACATTGCAGCGTGGATTATTATATTTGTGCACGAGCCGAATGTTGCACTCCAAGCGAATTGAAACGGCTGCTTACAAGCACTTCTGTTTTAACAGTGAAAAGAGGAAGTCATGAAATTGCACAAACACCTGAAAGGGACATCTCAAAAAATCTTCACACTTTTCAAGTTATCGAAAGTGAATCCGTGTCAATAGAGATGCATACTGAAGTAGATCCAAGTCACACGCTATCCATTATATTAAGAGGTTTATCAACCTTCGAAAACATCAATTTTAAACTTCGGGAAGAAATTACTCACAAGAACAGTTCGGTCATGCAACATCAGCTTATTGATGTCGAACCAGAGGTGATAGAGCAAAAGGACGATTGCATTCAAATAGAATTAGGGATACCAGAGCACTTTTCAGAGTCTACCCCAAATTGGATGATAGAGAATCGATTATTTCATTTCCGACATTTCTTACAAGTTATTCCAACAAACGCTTCTGAAAGGTAAGCGGTTCAAAAGCATGATTGACTGTATGACACTATTTGTTGATAGGCATATACCAATTTTCATTCATTCGTTCTCACAATCATTATCCACCAAATCACCAAAATTTAATGATGAGGAATGTTCAACACCATTGTTAATGATGAAGACCATTCTTTCAACACCCATGCATTTCTCCTCTCCATCCGAAAACAAACGAAAACCAAAGCTTGGACATGACATTGGTTCATTATTTTCTCAATATAATCCGAGTTCTCCAACCCACAAAGCATACATCAATCACAAGGTTACAGTTCATGGCCGAAAACTTTTTTCTCCAGCTAAACACTGCGGTAAATCTGAAAAGAGTTTTCTCAATGAATCAAGTATTGAGGACATTAATATACAAATTGAGAAAACAAGGAAGCATGTGGAACGGCTGAATGAGCAGCTTTCTCTTTCTTGTCCTCCATTTAAAGCCGAAAAAGACGAATTTGTTGCTAAATACTTCTCCAAGCTAATGGGACCAGCAAGCGAGTTGCGTGACTTTAATGATGAGTTTTGTTTTACACCACCTAAAGATTCAAAAACTGCTGGCCAATCGCAACGGTCACCAATAGAACGTCTCACTCTTGCTGAAGCCCTTAGTGTGGGTTGTGCTGAAATATCTTTTGCACAACTTGGAAAATACGTAGGTTCGTTCATCTACAACCCTTCATCAACAAATCAATTGCAAGCATTACCACATGGACAAGGTACATTTTTTTATTCGAACGGAAATACATATTCAGGACAATTTGTGAAAGGAAAGAAGCATGGAGAAGGGTACTTGGAGTTTAAAGATGGATCAAGTTATAAGGGTGATTTTTTGGATGATCTTCGTTGCGGTTACGGCGTCTACCAATGCAAAGGATATCATTATTCAGGTTCTTGGGAATTTGATAAAAAGAAAGGACATGGCGTTATTGTCTACTCGAACGGTGAATCATATGAAGGTAGTTTTGAAAACAATCTGCCCCATGGTAGTGGAAAATATCTTTTTAAGGACAAGTCGTTATATGAAGGAGAGTTTGAAAATGGTTATCCTCATGGGAACGGCACCTTATTTTATTCAGATCGAATTTCCATGTACAATGGACAGTGGAAGTGTGGTCGAAAAAGTGGAAAAGCCCATTTAATTCTTCCTAATGGCAGCTATGAAGGAGACATGGAAGACGATTGCAAACACGGAACTGGACGATACCTGTACAAAAATGGAGATGTTTATGAGGGAGGGTTTGCACATGACAAGAAACATGGGCAAGGAGTTTATTTCTTTGCACAAGGTGGATATCTAAAAGGGACATGGCACTTTTCAGCAAAACATGGACCTGCCTTGTTGTGTGCTCAAGATGGAACTCTTTATGAAGAAGTGTGGGACAATGATATTTTAGTTTCCAAAGCGTTGGCTCACAAATAACAACTTCCAAACCTTTTACTTTTGTAGGCGGCTTCTGAAACGTAATTAATACGAGGAAATTCGTTCACTCAGTGACAATGCATCTTGTTGCGTTGATGAAGATTGAGAAGCTGAATGTGAAGTACTAAGGTCAGTAGCTGTTGTTGGCCTTGCATAACTATTCCTGAAACCGTTTGTTGGATGAGTGGTAATACTCACACTGCTTCTGTGATCAACAATCAGTTCGGTTTCATCAAATTCTAAAGGAATTCCAACATGTTTTAAAACTTGATAATAAGATGGAAATGATAAATCAACCTTGGCTACTCTTGAATAAATATTTTTGACGACACTTGATGAAAAATCGGTCTCACTTAATGAAATGACGTCCTTCTTCTTCAGATCGTTAATATCAAGCTCAGTGGTCATTTCACAAAATACTTTCTTATTATTTTCATGTGCTTGGATGCGTCGTTCCAAAGGAGTTCTATTAGAAATTATTTTAGCTTTGGCCTGGAGATCATCAATTACAGTCTGAATTTCTGAAAATCTCACCCGCATGTAGTCATTGGCTTTCATAAGACCTGAAAGAATGCGATCGAGGGCTGCAGGAATTTCATCTTTCATGAGCGTGTTAATATTGTGTGACAAGGTACTGTTTGACAGATCAGAGAGCGTTGTCTCAATAACGTTGTGAACATGTCTTTCAACCAGTTGTAAATCCTGCACAGTATCTTCCATAAAAGTGTCTACTGGTTGTGATATTGTTTCTCGAAAATTTGTATTTTCTAGCCCAACGGAGGAAGGAGAGCTTAAAACTTGTTCCACTAAGGCTTCCACATCGCTTTCGTCACCATTCCCTTCAGCCAAAGAGGAGCTCACAATAATTGCTTCAAGGCTACCCTTCACTTGTTGGAAAGTGTTGGAACTTGAAGCACCACTCCTGCTACTCGAACAATCCTTATTTTTCTTCACAATGCTTCTCAATAAGGCAATATTTTGTTTCTCTTTCATTTTTTCAGGATCAACATTATCAACCGTAGCCTCACTTTGCAAAGTTAGTTTCATTGGGCCAGCTTGATTAGATGTTGTTGTAGCTACAGTTTCAGAATTTTCTATTCTAATTGGTGCTGTTTCAACAGAATCGATTGAACATTTCGTTGTTTGCTTTTTTTCGGAAACGGTTACTTTGATGATGCTAGTCATTGGAGGAGGTGGAGGAACGAGATCACAAGCTGTTGCAGTTGTTGCGTCATTGTCGTTTGCTATTGAAATTCTTTCAACCTGTTCCTTCTCCTCTTGTATCCCTTGTTCAGATGACTCTGTAGAGATGAATGATGTAAGCTGCTGCTTCGTTATGACAGGTTCGTTCTCCTGCTCTTCGTTAGCACATGCTTTTGGCTGCAAGGCACTGGCCAATGAAGGAAATGAAGGACGTCCTTCATCAAAGCATACCATTAATAGCGGGGTGGTCGATCCCTGATCTCGAGGAGACTCTAAGGCCGATGCCATTGCTTTTACGAAGCTTTTAGACTTTCCATCTCGTTCAATAGGTTTCGGAGAGTAATTTGCAGATGATGATGAGTCAGCATTGTCGTTTGACATTTTTAAAATTAATTGTAAATTGACCCGCTTGCATTGATGGCTCATGACATATCAAGATGCTATCGGAGACAACAAAAACAACAAGCATCGTATCTTTTTTAAAACATTCCAAAACAATCACGCAATCTACTGTCGTTGTTGCCACAAAGTATACTGTCCTCTTCCAGGGTGATTGGGGTATGTAAATATTACCTCCAGTTCTATATCTTGCGCTAATACGCCATTAGTAAAGTCATTATCGTCAATTGGCCTTTGAAGTCGATCCCACAGTCGATAGATTGAATACACTTTTCCAGGGAAAGGCGAATGATCTTTGTAAAGTTCTAAAATTTTTTCTTGTAGTGCGGTCATGTTTTGTTCATGTTGTTCCAAATACAAGTATTTCATAAAGAATTCTCCTCTTGGACGAACTTGTAATGCCAATGTTCCTTGTTGCATGGAAATTTTCTTGACTTCATGACCAACCCGATTGCCATACATGGCTCGGTGATGATCCGCCACTCGAATACATAATCGACACGACGAGTGAACGAGTGCAAGATCAACTAATGCCATAAAATCCGGAGAGGGACCTTCTTGTTTCCATTTGAGATACTCATTGTATTTAGCGTCATCTCTATCGAGCTCTATCAAATAATTTGCTAATTGCTCCGTGGATTCGAAATCCGAAACATAAATGACAGACTTTTTGCTTGGAGAGAATTTTCTGGCATTTGGAGCACCTAAATAGACAGGAACACTGCCTGACGACAAAGTACCAAACAGTTTTTCTGTCACATAGTCATCTGATTCTGAATTCTCAGCTGCAAAAGTGAATTTGTACATGGCTGTAAGGGCTGTTTTTTGGTCCAAATATCCTCCAACAAACTGAGCTGGTACTTTTGCATTGTTCAAACAGCGTCCAAAGGAATGAACGGTCACACCATAGTTCATCAACTCCTCTAAAATCTTTAATCGCTTTTCAGGACCACAATTTGAAATGAAAACTGCCATCATAGCGCTTGCTGTTTTTGGGACAGGTGGCTTCATAAAGTCATATTCAGCCCAGCTATAGTAAGGTACTGGTACGTCAGTACCAAGCTTTGTGCTTCCAACCAGTTTTTCAGCAACTCCCATTTGCATGGCCACGTTTTCCATGCTGAAGGTATATTGTTTAGTATGGGGACATCTTTTCATCATAGATGGTATGTTGTTCACAAATACATCAGTCTCAATCGATGAGTTAAAAGTTCCATCACCCACGCATCTAACAGCACACCCTTCAAATTCTCCTCGAAATTTGCCATATACATGAACAGGATTTTGAGAATAATTTCTGTTGAGAGTGTGACCACAACCCTTGTCGTTGATGTGCAGTTCATTCAAATATGATGTGACTTCCTTTATCATGTAGGGATCTTCTAGTGTTGGTCTTTTTGGTACAGTCAAGAAAGGATCTATAAAACTTTCATCTAATTTTGTAATGTCCTTAAATTGAGACTTGATGTATGTCTTTTGTCGTAATTCTGCAACAGTTAAGCTAGAACCACCCATTGCCTTGGAAAGATAATTCCGAATATTGTTGTTATTATTATTGATAGGTTTGCCATTTGCATTCATGTTATTGGATTGTGGAACACCCTTGTTCACTACATTATTCTTGACCGCATTTGTACCGGTATCTGAAGGTAATTGCGAGTCTAATAAAGCTTTACATTCTTGGATTGCATGTTGCAAGGCGTTAGTGGTACTTTCCAGTTGATGTTCATGCATAGGAAGGGATGAACCTCCATCATTACTTCTACGACTACTCAATGAATGATAGATTAAATAAACATTAAGGAGAAAGAAGAGAATAGCAAAGCAAACGAAGCAAGAGAGGACACACCATCGCACCACTGATACGGTACTTCCTTTGTGTTTGCCTGCTGGAGAAGTCGTACCATGACCAAGCCTAAACTGGTTGCTATTCGGGCTACATGTATTTGTTGTTGGTAAAATCTCTGGTTCTTCTTGAATATGTACAATGGTAGAGGAAGAAGAGAACCCGAAGGAAGAAGATGAAGCAGAGGAATGAACGGAATTAAGGCCACTCACTGGTGCCATTTTTTGATTATTGTGTGTTGTGTCGTAGTTTTTCAACTCAAAAAAATCAAAAAGGAGACTCCTCAAGCTAAAGAAGTGAAATGGGAAATGAACAAGCTGTCATGCAAGTAGCAAGTCTAGTTCGAATTGAATGATGGAACTTGTAGTGAGACACTCCTCTGATTCGTTCTGAATGGAACTCTAAATAGAACTTGAGTTGTGCCTCTACATCCATTTACTTGCGTGCTGGTTTGGTTGAGTGATTGGAGCGTAAAAATCTTGAACACCAGGAACTATGGATCAATATTAAGTAATTGAGAATGAGTATATGTCACACCTTAATGATCCCAACCAATGTTTTAGAAGGTGTAAAGAGAGCTTGCTATTCCTCCAGCTTGCTGGTTCCATTTTCAGAAATTTTGACTTGTTCGGCCACTGCTGGATTCACAAAATACATCCATTGATGGTCGGCCTCTACGACCACTCCTTTTCCTTGTTGTAATTTAGGTTCCCATGGTACAAATGTTCGCCTCAATCCAAAATTTCCTTTCAATGCATGATAGGTCACAACGGCCGTATGAGACATGAAACGAGTGGGACTTGTTCCAACGACAATGCTACTTTGTGAACATTGATCTTCTTGCAAGACCAAGTATTGTTCAGAAAGTGTGAAAAATTTCTCTAGAGCCATAGTTCGGATGGTATCATTTCCAAATAAATATCGAGTGACAGCATTCATAAATTCATTGTTGTGATTTCGTGTGTCCTTATCCTTGCCAGTTGCAAAATTAATTCTTCCAAAATAGCCTCCACGATTTGCGATAGATTTGATGTTTTGTTTAAAGGCCTTTCGATTCACATCCAATCCAACACTAATAATACCTTGAATTAAATTCAAATGTGGCATTTCGTGAGAGAGTTTGTTCAGTGCAGCCAATACTACAGCATCGCCTCCCATAAAGACATTTCCATGAATCTTGTCAATGGAATCTTTGGATTTTAAAATCAAGGAATCTCCTCCACCATCCACAAAAATCAAATCTGTCAAGTGATATCGTTGAACCAAATCTTTGAGTCCCTCTTTTAAATTCTCAATTCCATTGAGATCAATTTGATGACTCTTATCGGTCGAACCAGTCATCAAGAAAATATTTTCATTCAATTCTTTGGAAAGTGTCGGTTCAAAGTAACGTCCTTTGATTTTAATTTTACTCTCCGAGTTGATTAATGTGACGCTGGAAGAAAGAATTTGAACTGGATTTTCAATATCTGTCGATTTGCAGGGACGGATAGAGCCCAAATAAATGTTTTCAATTCGATACGAAAATTCGTTATTGTTTGTTTCTTCTAAATGTTTCTTTCCTTCATTGAGAAGCAAGTACATGAGCATGGCATTATGAATATCAAGACCACCTCCGAGGCCTGAAACGAGAATATTTCGAACGGTTGTCGTTAATGATGAAGCAGACATTTTTTTCTGGATCGAGTTCATAATAAAAAAAAAGAATCAGTTTAAACTCTCACCAGTGCGCAACCTTTACAACGTTGTAAAAAACAAGTTCCAGTTTCTGATTCGAAAAAAAAGATGATCTTGCAACAGCCTACCACACAACAACTCGATGCATTTGCTTCTCCCCACATTGCTTCCATGAGAAGAGTTTGGTGGCAACTCGATGGATCCTCTGCATTCCGAACAGGTAGGACATTTGTTATTTCATTTAACTTCTTACATAAATTCCACCAAGCCACGCAAGCCGGAGACATGTACTCGACCTACAACTATGCTCATTTACCTCCTTTCCATCCACCGACACCCATGTCCACCCAACAACCTCATCATCATGACTATTCAATTCTGTCCAATGAGATTATTCAACGCATTTCTCCAAGTTTTCCACAACACAACGCTCCTTCCATCAACATGACTCCTCATTTCACTCCAGAAACTCCACCATCCCTCGTTCAGCTCTTTTCAATGTGTGCTTTTTGGGGAGCTCCCAATGGTATTTGTCACTACTGGTTAAATAACACGTATGGACCTTTACAAAGATACATGCCAACCAATGAATTCTACTTGTTTCCTTTTTATCATGACCAACAAGAATGCATCACTTGGTTTGCTTTGGCTGATATAAAAGTCAGAGATGGTTCGATTGGAAGTGCCTTGAATCCATGTGTAGTTTCAGGAATAAATTCTGAACAAATTGAAGCAGATGATTATTTTTCAACCAACGCCTTGAACTTGAATGATTTGCATTTCGTTTCTCCTTCCATTGAAGAGTTCTTATGGAGAAATTATTTGGAAGATCAAATTGTCCATGAATTATTTGTACATCAAACACCCATTCAAGACTTGTCTGGAGAAATGGCTGACTATGTGAATCATTATAGAAATCTTTGAGGACTACAGTTTAGTGATCATCATCATCAGCATCATGGAGTGTTAATTGATAAACCGTCGGGAGTCCATTCCTATCCAATCCAACCTCCGTTTCGTATTGATCTGCATGCTCAAATAAACCTAGTTGCAACCATTTGTACAACAAAACGTTTTCAATTCATCTCGAGGAATGATCATTGATGGTTCACATAAATAATCCAAACGTAATGAATGTTCGAAAAATGTTTTCATGGCATTTCCTAGTTCCATGGTTGCTTTCTCTAGTGACCTTTCTTGATCATCATCATTCAATTCACCAAAATTTTCTAAATTCTCCAATGCATCTCGCTTGGCTTTGGCCAAAGCATTGCAACATTTCTTGTACTCGTGTAAAATCTTTTGAAATGTCATCCTGTTCCGCTCTCCTACTATCGTGTTGTGTGTCTTGATGCAATTTTCAAGTTGCTTTTCCAGATCGCGATCCAATTTAAATAACATGATCACGTATTCCTTTGCAAACCCCTCGGACGAAAATACTTGTTCAAAAGTTTTTGAAATGAAACATGGCAGACATGATAGAAGGTTCCAATCTGTTCGAATATCGGTAAACAACAAAATCTTGATCACGACTAAAGCATCCAAAGAAAGACTTGTTGACATTTTTTCAATGAATTTCGAACAAGTCGTTGTGTCTTTCTAATCAATTTATTTCATTACTAGTACCCCATCTACAATAAAGTGTGTCACCTGACCTTTGGATCTCTTAGCCAATTTCATCGCGGACAATTACAATCAAATGAACATGATTAGAGTCCAATAGCACCTGCCAACAGTAAAAAGGTAAAAAACACAACGAATCCAGAATGATCATACATCAAGGCATACAAGCACAATCCTCCACAGACAAGAATGGACAACATCTGAACGTACATTCTTCTCTTTTGTTCGGCTTCACTTGCTGCATCGTTTCTTCGCAAGAATGTCAAGAACTTGTTGTCTGATAATTTGTCCTTTTTCCTTTCGTTGTTCTTACTGCTGTCATGATCAGTGTTTTCAGAGGATGCATCATTGGTTTGCTTTTGGTTGAGTGAACGGCTATGAGAGAAAAATCTTTGTGAACCGAAAAGATTGAAGTTGGTTGAACGAGAAAGGAATGAAGCGGAAGAAGGAACGAGCCATAAGCAGTGGTGGTTCTTTTGGTTCATTGACAAGCGTGTCACTTGTTTCAAGAGTCTTTGTGAAAACATTTTTTTACGAGTCGTGAGAGTATCCTTCAGTGATCTAGAGACGTCTCAAGAAACAAACAATCAAAATAATCAAGGTTACAGTTAAATAAAGGTCCTTTCCTCTCCAATGATTGGCTTGTTCAAGAATTAGTTGCTTGATTCGCGGTTTCAAAAAAAAGTTGAATTTCAATCTTGAAAAAAATGCCTTCTGCAACACAAAAACCGAAAAGGCTCACTTTGGAGGAGTTTTACAAGATGAATGGAATGGACACCTCGAGTTTGTTGAACCATTCCTCAGTGGGTCAGTCTTCCAACAATAACCTCTCGGAGGAAGAATACGAAGAGGATAGCCCACAAGAATCCATGAAAAAAGGAAATGAAGAGAAAAAGCTGAAAGGAGTTTTGAGGAATGGTACTCAACAACAACAGCACGGATCAAAGAAAGCAAAGGAAATTTCCTATTTACATGATGACTTTGAAGGAGATGTTTTATATGATTATTATGATATCGGAGAGCAAGAAGAATATAGTGATGATGATGATGAGGATTATGAATTTAATAATGATGAGGACTTTCGTGTTGCATCAAGTGATAACAACAATACTGTTCTAACGGAGCGTCAGCATGTATTATCAGGGAGCACGTCAGCCGTTGAAACTGCTGGTCTTTCAAGAGACACAAACGCTCAATCTACTTCAACATCATCCAACAACAAATATTCTGGAAGAATTAACCTTACAACATCCATCAGAACAGATATTTCAAAAGTGCAAAAGAAGGAATTAGAATCAAGAATTAAGTTAACAAACAAACTGGAGGAACGAGCGACTGTGGAACAAGTTATTGACACCCGAACCAGAATGATTCTCTTCAAGTTAATGAACAATGGATTCTTTTATTCGGTAAATGGGTGCGTTTCAACGGGTAAAGAGGCAAACGTCTATTATGCTTGTGGAGACGAAGATGAAGAAAATTCGGAAAAGCAATATGCCATCAAAATTTACAAGACATCCATTTTGGTATTCAAAGACAGAGACAGATACGTTACCGGAGAGTACCGTTTCAAATCAGGTTATTCCAAGCATAATCCCAGAAAGATGGTGAAAGTATGGGCAGAAAAAGAAATGAGAAATTTAAGAAGATTGGAAAATGTTGGAATACCATGCCCAAAGGTTCATGTCTTGAAACATCATGTTCTCGTAATGTCGTTCATTGGAAAGAATGGATGGCCAGCTCCAAGACTGAAAGATGCAAAGCTATCTCCAACAAAACTTAGAGAAATATATCTTGACATTATCAAATCTGTTCGTACCATGTATCAAAAAGCAAAACTGGTACATGGAGACTTGAGCGAGTACAATTTGCTTTACTTCAAAGGAAGAGTATATTTTATAGACGTTTCTCAGAGTGTCGAAAATGACCATCCTAATGCACTTGAATTTTTGAGAAAGGATTGCGAAAATGTTAAAAATTTCTTCTTCAAGAATGGACTTACTAACATCATGACAACAAGAGAATTATTTGACTTTGTAACGGATATTACCCTAACCGATGATATGGTTGACTCCTATTTAGAAACTATGATGGAAAAAATTCAAGATAGACCTCCAATAACAGCCAAAGATGAAGTAGATGCTGAAGTATTTAAACAAGTTTACATCCCACGTACCTTGACCGAAATTATGGATTACGAGGCTCATAGAGAACAAATTGAACTTCAAGAAAATACTGACGACATTTTCTACAGAAGTGTGACCGGTATCAATATGGACTTGTCTGGTGCTGCCACAACACCATTTGGACTCACTGAAGAGGAAGCAGAGAGGATTCAGAAAAAATTGGAAGAAAATCAGGGAGAAGATGCACAACAAGAGCCAACAAAACCCTCTCTGGACGCTCCATCAACTCTCGTTTCAGCTGACCAAGAACAAACTGTCAAAGATGGTGCTGACGAAAGTGTGATCAATAATGGTGATGAGGAATGCGATGTTTCTAGCAGTTCTGACGATACAGAAAACACGAATGAAGAAGGCAAGAATGGAAAGAAAGTAAGAAAGAAAAAACCACCTCTTCCAGATCTCGAGAATATGGAAAGACATGAACGAAAGAAATGGGTCAAAGAATATAACCGAGAGCGAAGAAAAAACAAGATACCAAAGAAGGTTAAGAAAAAGCTTGAAAAGAAGCACAAGAAATAAATATTTATTACTAATAAACCCAGTTTTACTTTTTGTTCCTAAGCTCAGTGGAGCTAATGTCCACTCTGAATTCAGGAATTTCAATGAAAATGTCTTCAAATCCTTTTGGAACATTAATATCACTCATTGTGATAAATTTTTGGGAGGTCTTGTCTTTTTGGTCTAATCTTCCTCCAACTAAAAACACACAATTATGTTGCTTGAATACCATTAATGCCTTGATCATCTCCTCCTCACTGTTTTTATAATACTTGGTGTCCACAATTCTAATAGCCGTATCCGAGCCAATAACGATGAAAATTTTTGAATCCTTATTGAACAATTTTGCTTTTTGAATAAACAGTGGAGCTTTTGTTATGAGACATGAGAATCGATCTGATACCTTCTTCATACCTTCCAATCTTTCTCTGAGAATATTAACATCTATTCCTTTCTTGTCAACGTTTTGAACAGATAATTCAAAAAAAGCTTCCAATCCAATACGTTTTTCAACATCTGATAATTGGCTGAGGGCTATTTTCTTTGCTCTTTCCATGAGTTGTATGTGTCCATGATGAAGAGGATTAAAGCTTCCAGGGAATAGAATAAAATTTAAATATTTCTCTTTTAAAAATAATTGAGCTTCTTCGTGGCCTAACTCGTAAATGGTTTCTTCGTTATTAAGATTTCTTGAATAAGAGTAAAGCCCAATTAATGAGCTGTCGCTCTCAAAATTCCACACATTTTCTTCCGACCATTCTTTGTTTTGAACTATTTCATTTTCCAACAGCAAGTTATTAAAATATTGATCCAATTCGTTGAGGATGGATTTTGTATTTTCTTCAACTTTGATATGATCAGGAAGCGAGTGATTCAATAAAGTCCGAATTATCAACAAAGAAATGAGATTTTCCTCTTCTTCTCTTTCACGTTTATCTTTCTCCAATTCAATACTGTACGTTTTGTTTACAAATTTTCCATTTTCAAAGCATTTAATTGCAATAAATGCATGATGCTTTCCTTTCTTTGGTTGCAATGTTCGGATTGCTCCTGTACATCCCAATCCAATTGCATTACTTAAACAAGAGGCATAATTCTGAAGCACAGCATTACACTCCGACATTGAAGTATCATCATTCTTACAACTATGGGGATATCGGGAAAAGAAGGAAATATGAGCACTCTTGGCGAAGGCTTTTGAGCTCATCCTCAAAGCAACCTCCTCGCTCACGTATTTAATTTCTTGTGTAGCGTCCAAAACCGGATGATCAAATAATAATTCATTCACTGCAGACATTCCATACGGAATATGAGCATCCATGAGATATGAACTAGCTCCAGGGACACCAAAGAGCCAAGCCAATGAGGTACTTCCAACTCCTGAAACGATTAAACTGGCGGCTCGGTTTTTACCTGTGCTGGTGCTGTTGCTTCCGTGATGATCATACAGCAAACGAATGGCTTTTTGGATGAGAGTCAAATTGAAAGAAGAGTGTGGCTTCATTTTTTTGTGTGTAGAAATTGATCTGAGAAATCATTTTCACAACAAAGAATCATCTTCGTTACAGATAATAAATTATGTAAAAAGATAAGGGAGTTGAATCTCGGAGATAACAACAACTCCTGAAATCAAATAAGGGCACGAACCCAAAAAAAATGGCACCACACAACTTGCTGGAAGCCTTTTCATCCAAGTTATCATCACCGCATTTTACCGACCCTATAACGATGAGAAGAAGGGATGGAGTAATTTCTCAAAGATTTTTCGGAACACTCTTGTTGATCTCGTGTGTTGTCTTGATGATGATGTCATTGGTAGCTCATCAAGTGGAAGCTCTGGGTCCAGCTCCTCCTTTGGAGCAAAAATTGATAGATGTCTTGGGAAAGAATTGTACGGAAGAAACATTGGAAAGAGATTGTGGTGGTTTAATGAAACTTGTGTGTGCCATGGGAAAGTGTTCATTGTGTAATGAAACAACTCAATGTAGCGCACAAGTAGATACTGTTTATAGCTGTAAATTTACTGGTTTTTATATGAATCAGACCAATGGCTCTACGGGTGGTATCTGTCAACACAAAGATTTATTGGATTACTTTTCATTGTTTGACCTATTTTCAGTATTGTCAAACTTTGTCGGCTCCGTGTTGAGTAGTGCTGGTGGTACAGGTGGAGGAGGAGTTTTCGTTCCATTACTTCACGTTGTTGGACGTTTCAATGCACAGCAAGCTGTTCCATTGTCAAAGGTGATGATTTTCGGTGCTGCAATTACAAATGTTGCTACATTGCTAGTGAGAAGACATCCTGTAGGTAATTTGTGTGAAATATCTCCGAAGTCAACTTTAATTTATATTTATTTAATTAATATTTATTACATGTCAACAGTATGCAAACAAGCCGCTGATCGATTTTGATGTTGCGCTCATGTAGGTTCTCTCTGATTTAAATCTGAAAAATTTAAAAATTGCAAAAAATCTTCTTTAAAATAGGATGGAACCTTCTACATTACTAGGAACAATTATTGGAGTGTTTTTGAACATTACTTGTCCTGAGTGGGTGATTGTCATGTCTGTAATTATTGTTCTGACCATTACCACAGTTTTGTCGTTCTACAAGTTTTTCCAAAAAGCCAGAGTTGATTTTGCATTTTTGTTCAAACGAAAGAAAAAGGAAGAATATCAACCTTTGACTGCAGAGCAACCAACACAAGATGCATACGGGTCAGTCAACAAGGACGTCAATGAGGAATCAACAATTGAACCCTCGAGCGTGACAGATGCTACTCCCTCAAAAGATTTGACCACACCTAGCTCTGAAACCAACGATGCTGAAGAAAAGTTAATTCCAAGTTGGGGTTGGCAAGTGATCAAGCGAACACCATTAGTCAAAATTTTAGTGTTGGTGTTGTGCTGGGTGATTATTTTCACACTCAGTTTGTTGAGAGGAGGTGAAGGAGCACCAAGTATTATCGGAATTGAAATGTGTAGCGTCACCTATTGGGTGCTTGTAGGATTGAGCTTTCCAATTGTCGGAGTTATCATGATAATCATTGCAGTTTACTTGCTTATTGACTACCGAAAAAAGGTCAAAAATGGATTCAAGTTTGTACAAGGAGATGTCAAATGGAACTGGATTAACGTTACTCTCTATCCAGGAGCATGCTTACTTGCTGGTATTCTCGCAAGTATGTAGGAATTGGAGGAGGTATGATCAAATCTCCACTACTGCTCTTGTTAGGTAGTGACCCAGCTGTTGGAGCTGCCACTGCTGCCTTTAGTAAGTTGAATGGTTCATTTATTCATTATAATGCAAACTTGGTGTGTAATTAGTGATTTTCTTTACATCTTCAATTTCTTCTGCTCAGTTCATTATTGTAGGAAGAATTCCTCTTGATTACGGTCTTTTGTATGGCCTTACTGGTTTCCTTTCAGGATTTGTTGGCTTCTTCTTTGTGACATTTGTTGTTGAACGATGGGGAAAGAGATCATTGATTATTCTGTGTGTTGCAATTGTGCTACTTTCTGCCACGCTATTGATGGGTGGAGTGGGAATATATGATGTCGTTGTTGACATGAAAACAGGAGTGTATATGGGTTTCCATAATTTATGCGCTTAGTGAAGCGAATTGTGGTAAAGTCCAATCATTATATTTGTGAATCTCTTGTTTTTACTTGTCGTTGTGAAGGTTTATAATCTTTTTTACACCTTAATTTTTTCCTTGATGAATAGAAACTGTTCTTGAACAGTTTCTAAAAGATCTTGAAAGTTCTACAACCTGCTAATAGGAAGCTTTATATTTAAAATTTTCAAAATCATGAAAGGCCAATATTCTCTCATAGGTTCAAAAATCGTGTTGCTACCAGTGCTAGCATAATAAGCTTCCTCAAACTTCTTCCAACTACCAATGATTGCGTTTTCGTCTCTGTTCTTAATGGATAGCAGAAAAAGAGCGTAAAATCCAAGTGCATAGCTTTTGTTAGAAAGCAAATATTTGGAGAGAACTAATTGAGCTAAATCATATCTTCTCATCATGACAACAATCGAGAACAACTTTTGAAAGGTCAATAACGGTAGTTTCACTTCCTTGTCCAGATCATTGGTTTTAAATATTAACTCACAATACTTTGCCACCTCTGCATATCGTTCTTTGTGAAAAGAAATTAAACACAATGCAAGAAAGCAAACAATATTTTCCTGAGCAATTACTCCTTTTGCATGAGATTGTCGTTCTTTTTTTTCTCTCTCCTTTTCCTGCAGCATTAAATTTAACTGTTTTTGATAATCTAATTCTGTTCCTTGTGGTGATGTCTCAAAAACCAGTCGATACGTAACATAGCGAGCAGCGTTCTGATATTGGCCTAGTCTACATAAATTAATGGCTATTTTTCTATGAAGAGTTTGAAGAATAGCATAGACAGATGTTGGAGCATTTCCAGAAGCTTCATTTGATTTTTCTGAATCATCACGCGTTCTTTTAGTGTTTAGAAAAGGAAATTAAGTAAAAGAGCAGCCTCAACTACAACTTACTCAAATCGTAAAGTAAGTAATAATTTCTCTGCTTCTGTAAAGAGGTCTATGGACTTGCTAAATTGTTTCTCTAAGTAGTAAATGCATCCCAAACGTATGGCAATGGATGCTCTATTATATTTAGTGGTGAACGGCGATAGCTCAATAAAAGTCTTGTTTCTTCTCAAATATTGTCGTTCCAACGCAAAGTATGCTCTATGATAATACACTTTACAATATTCAATATTGGTATTGCTATTCATGAATAGTTCTGCTATTTTCAAATATACAAACCCAATGGTCACAAAAGGGTGATTAAAATTGGGATGCTCAAGAAAGTAAGTACAGCATGTTAAATAACACTCAGCTGCCCAAATACCATAATCCATGGATTCCATAATCTCTCCAAGCCATAAATAGATTGCTGAGTATAGATGCATATTGTACAACGTTTGAAATGGTTTCTCACTAATAATTTTTCTAAAATAATATGCACTGACATCCAATTTAAAGTTAATTCTCAGAACATGACCTAAAAGCAATTTGAAATAGTTGAGAATTAGATCTAAATCTCCTAAGCAAATGCCATACAGCCGTAATATACATACCATTTTCTAGTCTTTCTTCAGTTGTGACATGAATCAAACAAATTTCTGCCTTATCATACTCCTTTGATCTTAAATATAAAAACGCAAAACACAATTCAATGATAACATGTTTTTGGTCTAGCTTTTCCTTCAATGAGAACAGCACTGATTTCATGATATTTTCCTCTACTCTTGGATCTATGATTATTTCAGTTTCTTCAGAATTTTCTACATTAGATTTTTCTCTTAAGTCGCCATCTTTGAGCTCAAATATATTTTGCAATATTATTGGAAAGTAAGCCAATAAATGCTTGACCTCTGATTCGATGCTCATAATTTTGAGTAACTGCAAACTTTTTTCTACAAGCCACTCTCTCATCACTGGGTCCTTCTCGATCAAATTCATTAATTGATTTAACATAATTTCCAAATCTCTTCGGGATGAAGACAAGGGAAGCAAATATTTCGGAAGAACCTCATCCTCGCATTCAAACTTGAGCTCCTCCAATTCGGCAAGTTGTAATGAATTTGTTTCTGGAAAACAAAAGCCTTGTTCTTTCAAAAACTTGGCTTCTTCCCACCATTTCAACTTGTCCCGATGATTATCCTGTCCATTACGACTTTCGGACGTTTCATATTGTTCATGATGAAGCAAAATTCTACTCAATTCTTCCAACTCATAATCCACTTTGCCATCCAATAAAATATGATGAGGTAATTCATTCATGATGCAAGAGCTTTCATATTTTTTGAATTGTTTTTTACTTTTTTAAAAAATGTTAATAAAGAGTTCTTTGAAAATTCTCCATAATCGAAAACAGACATGATTCAATCAAAATCTCCACTTCGCACCATGCTGGAGCGAATATTGAAAAAAAGACAGTCTCTATTGAACCTCGTTTTCATAGACCTTTAAAAGGAATCAGGTCATCATCTTGTTGAAAAAATGGCCCAACAACCCGAAGAGGTGAGCTTGCTTGATTTACCAACATCATCGACGACGAATAATATTTCCAGTGGCAGTCATCCATCATCTAGGAAATTGCATGAAAAAATTGGAGGAGAAGATTCAAATAATACCATGCAATATGACCCGAGAGCGGGGAGGAATCAAACAAAGCCTTCGGAGGCATCCATTAAAATTTCAGGATATGAAACGATGAGTGAATTATATCAAAGGCTTCGGAAGAGCGATGCTTTATATTATAGTCTTGCTGGAATTTTCAGTGGGTTATGCACGTCAACAGCAACACAACCACTGGATACTGTCAAGACCCGAATTCAAGTATTTGACAGAATGAATTTAAAGTTTCCAAATCATGCAAGCACCTCGCTACAGTCGACACGAGGCTTTGTGAACGCTTTTCGTAATTCTAAAACATTTGGAATGCTTGTGAATATTTACAAGACTGAGGGGTGGAAGGCATTGTACAGAGGATTACCTCCATCACTTCTCTCATCATGCATTTCTCACAGTCTGTTCTTCCCTATTTATGAATTATGTAGAAATAATTTTTCAAAACAATTTGGAGTTAAACCATGGCACATGTCTGTGATTGTACCTTCAGTTTTGACAGCATGGGCATTCTCTGCCGTTCTAGTGTCTCCCATATCGCTTGTTAAAGTTAGACTTCAAACAGCTTCAACTATTGGTAAGTTCATTGTGGCGAATGTGAAAATAGTTGACACTTTGCATGACACTGCGTAGCAATGTATAATTCCGAAACTGTACCAACCACCGTTTCACAAGTTGTTCGCAGCATTTACAAGTCTGAGGGCTTGCTTGGATTTTATGCTGGTTTTCGAGGTGTTGCCATTGGTGCTTCCGTATTTTGCCTCTATTTTTCACTCTATGAACCATTGAAACTGTATTGTATTGGTACATTGGGTTTACCATACCTAGTGGTGGTACCAATTTTATCGCCTCTCACAATGATTGCTGTCTCAACGGTAACTTATCCCAACGACCTTATTATTAGGTATGTAAAATTTTGAATGTGGAGATACATTGTCGATACTTATGAAAATTGTCAAGTAATCTTCAATTTCAAGGAAAAAAGCAAGGAGCACAACATTTCAATGGATGGTTGGATGCATTTAAATCAATTTACAAAAGTGGAGGCGTAAGAGGCCTGTACGCTGGCTTAAATACCTACTTGATACGATTTTGTCTAGGAACAATTGTTACACAAACGGCATATGAGTCAATTTTAAGAGTCATGAACAAACGATAATAATAACAGGTCGAATTTTTGGGTATAATGCTAATACGAGTTCAGTAATACTTTGGATTTTTTTGAAAAACAAATAAAATCTTTAAACAAACAAAAAATGTTTCGCTTGAGTGGAGCGATTCTTTCTCTCGTGTTGGTTTCTTTATTTTGTTTCAGTGCACTGAGTCATGGTGCCGAATTTCAAAACCATGTGGAAGAGCTGAGGCAATTATTACGAGATGCCAAACTTTCCATCGATGTGAGCAGTGTCGTGAATTTAGTTTCTATTTATTGTTCATCATCATCATCTTCATCGCTCAATACCAATCATGCAATCATGTGGGGAAGCACACAATTTTCATACACATTCGGACGAGCAGATAATATGGCCATTGCAACGGGAATTATTTACGATGGTTATTCACCCACATTCAACAATCAAACTTCAGCAGTGGATGGATGGATGCGATTATGGGTCAATACCTTCACCTCTGCCAATCGTGGAGCTCACAGTGATGCATGTTATCGTTCCGAAGCCAATCAACGTTTTGCATCGGGTATGGCTGAGGGTCTTCTCACCCAACCACAAATTTACAACTTCTTTCAAAATCAATACTCGAATTGGGTGTTTGCCAAGAAGACGTACAGCATGGATATGATGAGAAGTCGATTTGGAAGTGGTCATGAATGGGTCAAGTCCTATGACCGATTGGTTTCATCCTCCTCACGAATGCAACAACAAGAAATTCCTCGTGAAATGATGAAAAGAGGTTTAGCTCAATCTGCGAGCCACTCTACCTCCTACTATTATCCAGCTGCTTTAATTGCCTACATGCAAGATAATATGAATTGGTTAGAGACTCAAGTGCAACAAAATCCACAAAATGCATATTGGATTGAAATTGAACGAATTCTGAATCAATTCCATGGACTTGTAGAGGGATATACCATTCGTGCCAACACGGAAAAGAATGAAATTTATGGAAAGTTGAATTGGCTTGATTTATATTTCTTGAACTCTGCTGGTGATATGGAAACTTTGGAAGGAGCGATTAAGGATTCGAATGAAAATGCAAGATCTGCATCTTTCAAAAACAATGGAGGAATTGTGTTGCCAGATGAAGAAACTTTGACCGATTGTAGCGCTCTCATCAAGATCACTCCAGACTGTCGCAATCTCTTCGCTGGGCATACTACATGGAGAGGATTTAATATTATTAACAAAATGTACAAGGTCTATAGTTTGATGGAAGATGGAATTGCCTCTCAAACTGTTGCTTTTGCATCTTCACCATCGTTCCTCTCCAGTAAGGACGACTTTTATGTGACACAACATGGATTGGTGACTATGGAAACAACTAATGACGTTTTTAACACCAATCTTTTCCAATTTATTACTCCACACAGTGTTATGTGTTGGATGCGTTCTATTGTTGCTAATAGACTTGCAAAAACTGCCCATGAATGGGTCACACTGTTTGGATTATATAACAGTGGAACCTATAACAACCAATGGATGGCTCTCGATTACAACAAGTTCACTCCTGGCCAGTGTCAATTGCCCTCTGATTCATTATGGATTTTGGAACAAATTCCTGGAACTGTCATGACGAAAGATGTTACTCCAATTTTGAATAACCAAACATTCTGGAGCTCTTATAACATTCCTTATTTTGAATTTATTTACAATATTTCAGGCTATCCACAAGCAAAGGAAAAGTTTGGAAACGATTACGACTATAATTTATGTTCCAGAGCTCAAATCTTTAGAAGAGAGCAAGCCAAGATTGGAAGCAATAAGGGAAAACCAGTGGACTTTAAAGATTTTGGACGAGTGCTTCAATTCAACGAATGGAAAACAGATCAATTCAGTAACATGGATCCAAGTAAATCCATTTCCTCAAGATATGATTTGAGAGTGAGCCCTCAGCGTGCATTTGCATTTGGTGGTATTGATACCAAGGTTGCTGATTATACTAAAGTGAAAAAGAGTACAAGTATGTGGGGAATTTGTGGTCCAACTCATCAAGACCCCGTTCAAACACCTCCATTCTCATGGAGCGACAAATGGAATGTCACACATTTAGGTCAACCTCAAACCTATGATTTCGATTGGGTTGATTTAGAGGATGTTGAATCATTCTATGAGTCATTGAAGAACAAACTTTTTGGTATCAAAAAGAATTAAAGCTATGTTGTTCGATTTCATAATAATAATTTGGTGTTTTTGGTAATGTTGGCTTGGTTGGATAGAAGATTGAAAAAATGACTCGACAAAGGACGCACTTTCTTTTTGCTTGTTGTTTGGCTTTCATGATGAGCCTTTTGGTTGAAATGGTTCGATCATCGTCATCATCGGGAGTTGTATTAGAATTAACTTCTCAAAATTTTGCAAATACGGTGGAATCACCATCAAATAATCATCGAGTGTATTTTGTAAAATTCTTTGCTCCATGGTGTGGACATTGTAAAAGATTGGCACCTGTTTGGTCCGAATTGGCCAAAGAACTCGAAGATTCATCAATTCCTCATTACAATAATGTTCAATTAGCTAAAATTAACTGTGATGAACATTCGGATGTTTGTAGAAGATTCTCTATCAGAGGTTATCCAACACTCAAAGTATACGCTAATGGAAAGCCTATCACTGAATACTATGGTCAAAGATCCATACCAAAAATCAAAGGATTTTTGGATGATGTATTCTCAAAATCTAAAAGCACTGGAAACGTTGAAGATATCATTGAAGTAGACTTGGAAGCAAAAATTAAGAATGAACAACGAAATTGGGTGGTTATGTTTTATAATCCTGATAGCTCATCCTTTAATTCGTACAATTCAAAATTCACTGATATTGCAACACAAAACAAGGACACATTTAACTTCTTTGCTCGAGTGAATTGCAACCAAGAGACAGAATTATGTACGAAACGATTTGGCCTTGATACCAAAACCAATCCAGTCATTGTGTATTTCACTGGCAAAGATCGTAGCATGTCTGTTTTCACTGAAGACATTTCCAAGCTTCAACAATTTATTGAATCAGGTCACAACTCCAAACAGAAAGTACCAGTCCCAGGTCCAGTTGACAACACTCCAACGATTATTCATTTCTTGACAGATCATCCTTACATTAGTATTGGTATTGTCACCTTGTTCTGTGTTGCAATTTTAGGTATTTTCTTGGCTGTTGTTTGCATGTCTGACGATGTGCCCGAGAGAAGAAGATCATCTTCCGATGCTGTCACTACTCAAAACGTGCCACCATCGACCTCCTCATCAGACTCCTCCACTCATGACGATAGCAAAGATGAACCAGAATCACCACCCAGCACCACCAACGAAACCAATGCTGGTAGTTTGAAAGAGAGAAAACCACGTACTTCCGATCATTATTAAACTTTTTCAAAATAAGTTTCACAATGGGATGTCATCTTGTGATGGCTTTTTGTTCCTGTAGTTTGGATTTCAACTGATACTCGAAACCAACCTTAAAACTCTTCCCTCAAGAACAGTAATGAGCTTTTCGGAGTCTTTGTGTTTTAACATGAACACAAAAAAAAGCTGACGGCCAAAATCCAAAAATGACCACACGCCCATTTTCAATCGCATCACCCAATAAATTTTTTGAAAAAACAAATGAACCAGCTCGTGCTCGGTCATCATCGTGAGCGACCAGAAGCCTCTCCTTCTACGTTCTCATCATCCCCTCCTACGACGAGTATAGACCTCCATGAAGACTCCTTTGCAACGCTAGATCAGGATGAGATGAACGATAATAACCATTATGGAAATGGTACCGAGTATATACATCAAAACAACAATAATAATATTATTCACAACAGCCATGATAACAATGGATATAACGAAACAGAAATGATGGATCAATTTTCATCAACCACAACAGCCAATTTAAATCTCCAACACCGAAAAGGCTACTCTACCCAAGAGGATGACGAAGCAACTAAAGAATTACATATTCTTCAAATGAATGAAGGCTCAACAATATCACTGAATGATGACAAGACACCAACTCCTCTCACTTCAACAGCCTCGCTGAGCCATATTCCAAGTACTGCACACTTACTTCCAAACAAACAAAACAATGTCGGTGGTAAACTTTATAATAGTGCCAGAACTCTTTTGCAAAAAAAGTATTCAGCAGCGTTAGAGAAGCAACAATTGTCAACAAAGAAACATACCCATTACATCTATACGTATTTGACATTACTCGGATTTTTGGGAGGATTGATCACTTTCTCGCATGACATTATTGTGCGATATCTAGTTTTAGGAAAGAACTCTTTGATTAATTTATGGGACCCAGAGAAGGACTATAGTTTGAGATTGTTTATTTGGGTTGTTTATAATCTAATTTTCGTTTCTTTTGCTATTGTGTTAACTGCTTTAATTGCACCAGCTGCTGAAGGCAGTGGTTTGGCTGGTATTAAAGCAATTTTAAATGGTGTGAGAGGTTTGAAAGATGTTTTAAGTTTAAAGACAATGATTGTGAAATTGTTGTGCTTACCTGCCGTGCTAACTGCTGGTTTATATATTGGTAAGATGGGTCCTAGTATGCATATTGGTAAGTGTGTGGGTTATTGTTTGACAGGATTGGTTCATCAAATATACTACTTGGAATTGTTTTTCAATTTTTTTCGCTGCTATTAATGACCTACTTCACCCAGTCACATGTCTTGCCAATAATTTACTCAAACTAAAGATATTTGAATCTATCCGAAAGACTAAAACTTTAAAACAAGAAATGATTGTCTGTGGATTGGTCGTTGGTTGTGCAGCCAATGACGGTGCTATTATTGGAGGAGTACTCTTTGGAGCAGAATTAGTAGGAACCTATTATTCTCTAAGAAATTATTTCAAGAGCTTCTATGCTGCTTTTATTGCATGTATGACCTCTCGCTTACTTCACAGTTTGGTAAATCAAAATATCAAACCATTTTTCACATGGAATATCAAACTTGTACCTCCAGCCTATACTCTTCCTGAATTAGCATTCATGATTGTTTTGGCAGTTGTGATGGCTTTTGTTGGAGCAGCTGTTGTCTATGGCAATGAAATGCTTCTTGTATTGAGAGACAAATACGGAAAGAAACATTTAGGATTCTTTGATTTTAGCAAATACTCTAAAAGCAAACTCCTTATTTTATTGGAAAACAGAATTATTTACACATGGTTAATTTGTTTAATTACCAGCATCTTCATGTTTCCACAGTTTATTGGCAAATTTATGAGTATGGGAGGCGTTCCCGTTTTTGAAGAATTATTGATGACAAAACCATTGACAACAGTGAATGGAGCAAAAGGTGAATGGACTCAAGGAAATCTATCAGAAACATTTATTACTATTTCTATTTTCTTAACTATTCGTTACATCATTACCATGTTAACCATTGTAGTTCCTGTTGCTGGAGGAAGTTATTTGCAATTGTTAGTCATTGGAGCATCTTTGGGAAGATTAGTAGGAGAAGGTTTGGCAAATATTTTCCCAGATGGATTTGCACCAAACCATCCAATCATTCCAGCAAGTTACGGCCTTGTTGCAGCAGCTTCTTTGACAAGTTCGCAAACACAAGCATTCAGTTCAGTATTTATTTTGTTGGAATTAACAGGAAATGGAGTACATTTACCTTCATTGGTAGCATCATATATTGGAGTAGCTATTTCTCGATGGCTCTCATACAGTGCCTACGATGTTGTGATCAAGTATAAAAAGTGGCCTGCTGTTTTGGAATCATTCACCGACTCGGATGATATCAAGGTGAAATATATCATGCAATATGTGGATAGTATTTCAATTATTGAGGAAGTGAGCTCTATTCAAAAGATTGATCAAATTCTCAAAACACCAAATCTACCAAAAACCATTCCTGTCGTGAATAATTTGGATGATTTACTGCTGGTGGGTTGTGTGAACACGAAAAAGTTACAAGATTATTATGAATCAAGATTGAAACCACTCGTTGAAAAAGATCCGCACTGTGATGAATTGGTTCAAATTGAAAAAGATACATGTCCTGTAACCATCTCGATTGATACTCCAATTGTGTTGGCTCACTTGATTTTCTCCAAGTTAGGATTTGATGACGTGTTTGTGGTGTGGAGAGGAAGATTGACTGGACAAGTTCAAAAATCATCCATTATTGCAGAACTTACAGAAAAACAAACTGGTTCGATCGATGCTTAAATCCTTTTTATTCAATCCAATTCAATATTTATTAAATATTGATTATTACTAAATTTCCAACGTGAGTTGGCAGCACAAAAAAATGAGACAAAATCGAGTGGCCACGTCTGGTTACCTGTTATTCATCATCATCGGCTTGATCATGATGGCCAAGTATCATCAACAAGTACAAGCACATAAAATTGGTGATGCTATTCCCATGCTGAAAAGAATACAATTTAATGAGAAGAGAACGGAATGGAGTGAAGTACCTTACGGAGATGCACCTCGATTCGGACTCTCAAAGAAGATCACCATCACGGGTGTTGCTGCAATACTTGAAGCCTTTCTTGATACTCCTAAAGCAGAGGCTAACACTGATAAATATTATGAAGAATTAATAATGCAAACAAAGGATGATTTGAAATTGGCTTTTTCATTTCATCATCCAAATTTTGAAACTTCATGGATTACTCTCTTCTCTAAAGGAATACTTGATACAGCAACAAACAGAATGCAATATCAATTTTTGAAACGAATTGATTTTTTATTTATCTATCATGGTGATACTATCAAGGAAATCAAATACACTCTTGATTGTATGTTTTTAATCATTAAGTTTTGGAAATATTATTTACTCATCATTCACACAACATGATGATTGAACTCTGCGCTCTATAGATTACGATGAAAATGATGAAAGCACCTATCGTCCATCCACCATTAACAATGACATTGAGGTTAACTATTACTGGCAAGAAGTAATTGAGAAGGATACATCCACTGCTTTGAGTGCACTTTACTTTATTTCATTCATTTTTGGTTCGTTGATTTTGGTGGTTGCTGTAAGTCAATTACCAAATTCTCAATTCATGTAACATTGCAATAACCCAATAAAGTTGGGTTTGTATTGAGGTTTTTACAATGTGGAAACTATTTTGTCAACATCTTTACAGAAGGTGTAATAGTCCACATCTCCTCTTTCGTCTTCATATTTTCTCTGCAGAATATCATACTGTTTGCCAGTTAAATTGAATTTTAAGAAATCAATAATTGATGCAAATTGGCTCTTGGTGACGCGTTGTTTTCGCAACCGATCGTAGTCCTGGAAATAATGAGATAATAATTGTTGCATCACTGCTGCTTTCATGGCGACCTTGGTAAGGATGTATTGGAGCTCGTTTTCATCAACATCATTGCTGATTTCAGGGATTGCAGCCTTCAAAGGATATGAATGTCTTGGCTCGAATTTTTCAATCTTGCTTTTTGGACACTTCTCTAAGTTAGAAATAGTAAACGCCCTATCCAACTCGTCACAAAGTGCAGTGTAGCTGATACAGTTTTGATAGCTGTCTAATTTGAAATACTCCTCCAAGATTTGAATTTCTTGCTCCTTCAACTCCAATTTGGCCATGTTTAAGGCTGTTCTGAATTTTGCTCTAGTCACATAGCCATGTCTGAGCTTGTCGAAATCAGTAAAGAATTCCTTCAATCTGATTCTATTTTTCACAACAACTGATTTAACGCGATTCATTAAATTGGAAATCTCTAAGGGCAGCTCTTTGGAATTTTTTGGGCTCACAAAATTCTTGGACATTTCGGCTTCTAACTCCTGAGCATAGACGCTCTTGGTAAGTCCGTCAACTCTTTCGTTCTTATCTACATCTTCAATAAATTTAAAGTAATTTACATATCCTGATAAAGGCTCAAAGTATGCTTCTTGCAGCAACTTGAAGTCTTCTTCACTTAAAAATTTGAACAGCTTGTCCAACCCTTGTGTAAATTGAGACTTGGTAATTTTGCCTCTCTTGAATTTGTCAAAATCTTCAAAAGTCAGCTTCAGAGCTATTCCTCTTGTTTGTACGGCATCATGAAGCTTGGATAGTAGTAGCTCAACATCTTCCGTCTTAGTGAAAGATGAAATTGCAATTTTTTGTGGCCCTCTTTTCGTAAGAGATGCTTCAGCAAAAACCTTTGTGGAAGTGAGATCTCTGGTTGGTTGCTTTTCCAAGTTTTTCTCTGTTATCACGCTGTCAACTTGGTCGCAAAAGCTTCTGTACAGTACGTAATCTTTTTTAGTTGGGGACATGAATTCAGCACAAAGTAAATTGAATTCTGAGTCTGTTAATTGTATACCACCCATGCTTAGCGCGCTTCTAAATTGTTTTTGAGTAATCTCAAAGCTTCTCAATGGATCCATATCTCGCATGAACTCCTCCAGTCTCACTCTGTGGACTAATGCTTTGAAGGAGATGTCCTCCATGATATCTTGGAAAGATTTTTGTGTGTTTTCTAGTTGAGTGGTAGAAAGTCCTTTGGAAGAAATATCCAAGTTTTTGTAAGGTATGTTGCTTCCTTCCAGAATTTCATCAACGTCTTCCAAGAACATTTTATAGTTGACGTCTAGACCCTTTCCCAAGTCATCATACTTTTCTTCAAGAACAGCATATTCTTCAGAAGTAAGATGAATACCAACCATATGCAAAACCCTTTCAAATCTGGAAAAGGTTACATGGTCTGTGGCGTAGGTGCCCTTCTTGGTCTTGTCGAAATCTTGGAAAATTGGTTTCAATAAGATTCTCTTGGTTTTGACAGTGTCTCTAATTTTGTCGAGTAATAGAGAGCATTGGTGCTCCTTTTCTTCTGAGAGTGACTTTCGTTTGTGCGTCAATATCTGATTTTGGTTGACAAACTTTTTTGTTGGGAATTTCTCTAATCCTTTGTCATTGAATACTGAGTTCATATTGTTCAGGAATTCCTGGTACGATACTCTTGTTTCTGAGTGTTTATCTTCCACTCGGTATTTTTCAGCAACAGCCTCTAATTGATCAGCGTTGAGGGCCATTTTGTGGAGCTTTACAGATCCTAACGCAGCAATGAACTGAGGTTTTGTAATGAATCCTGTTCTCAATCTGTCATAGTCACGAAATGTTTCATCTAATTTAATTCTGTGCTTTATCAAGGCTTTTTTGATTTCTTTTTCTATTTCTTCAACATTCTCTTCATAGGAGATAGGTTCTCTTTGGAACGTAGGTTGCTCAATATGCTCTAAATATGTGTCATTTTCTACTTCCTCATGAAATCTTAAATAGTTGACTTGCATTTTCTCATCGGTGTATCGATCGAGGATCATATGAAGCTCATCGCCATTTAAGTTTCGGAAAGGAAGACATTGCAAAAATTGAGATCTAGTTACAGTTCCGTGATTAAGTGGGTCAAAGTCTTTGAAGTAATTTTTAATGATGTGTCCCTGAGTTTTAGATTCCCATCTCAATTTTTCATACAAAGTGTTGAGATCTTCTGTAAGTTCTGGAATTGATTTTTGAGACTGTAATAGTGCTTCTGCCTTGAGTGCTTCTATCTTTGGGTTTTTTTCCATGTTCTTCAGGGTAAATACTGATAGGTTTAAAGTTCCAAGCGTTGTATGTTGGAATCACTTCAATCAAAAATCCACTTACCTTGATCGACATCGTTTGAAAATTTGGCATAGTTCACCTTGTTCAATTTAGGATCCAAGTATACAGCAACTAAATGGTCAAAGTCTTCATCCCTCAATTCCATTCCGAACATGCTCAAACATCTACGAAATTGTTGCAACGAGACAAAACCCGATCTCAATTTATCAAAATCAATAAAAAATTCGTTGATTCTAACTCTCTTCTGAAAACACAAGCTCCGTATCGTATCCATCAATGCTTCAACTGGTGTCATTTCAGAATTTTTGCCATTCGCAGAGGATGGCACCGAGGTACGTTTACTTGAGGCACTGAGTAGCATTATTTTTTTTTTAAGGATTTGAAATTTGGCGGTAACGGTTTTTTTGGTTGTAAATAATATTTACAGTCGCGGCTAGGAGTCTGTGCCATCAATTGTCGAGATTGTTTAAATCAAAGTCAGTGGTGCTTGTATCGTGGTGAAGCATTGGTCAATGCAGACGATACATAATACATGTAGTAGATAAAGGCACTCAATGACAGCACAATGATGATGACAATTCCGTAAAGCTATTGACAAGAACCAATTTTAATACGAAAATATTAAAATATTAGAATGGATGAAAATGGTGCAAATCTTACCCCTCGGTTGATCCACTTCTCATACGTTGTGATGATGTTTAAATTTTCTTCACTTTTTTGATTATCGGAATTTGTGTGTTCATGATGATTGGTATTTTCAGAATCGTGGTTTTTTTGTCGAATCTTTCGGTGTGATATTTGCATTTTTGTTTGGTGTGAAAATTTATTTGAACTCTTCTCGCAAGTTGCCCATGTCATCCAAGTAGTTGTAAATGTCTTCTCCGTACACATATTTATCCTTTTTCTTGTCAATTATTCGGTCAAACATATTAATGCCGTCTAAATGATCATATTCATGTTGAAAGACCCGAGCAGCAAAACCTTCAAGTGTTTTTCTCTTTCTCTCTCCAAAAATGTTGACATATTCAACCTCAATTTCCTTACTTCTTAACAAAAATAAATATTCGTTTTTAAAACTCAGACATCCTTCAACTTCTCTTTCTGTTTCTAAACTCTTATCAATCAACTTTGGTTCAATATATAACTCCAAGTCAATGTCGTACACATATGAATCCTCAATGGGTTTTTGGGATTGTTCTTTAGCTTCAAAACCTCCTGCTTGTTTAGCATTGATTACTTTCACTTGGGCTGGTACTTTAAAAATTCTATCTGTGCCAATAAAATACCTTGCTTTGTGAAATAATTGTGGCGCACTAATGCCTGTTCCATCGTCGTAATAATGTTGGAGTGACAATAGCAAATCTCTGAAAAATATCAATTGATTTTCCGAAATAACACTCGTAATTTGTTTGAAAATGTATTGCAATTCGTCATCGTGAAGTGTTGAAGCCTGATTATTTTTGTCTGTCCAAATTCGATTGATATCGTAAAATGATGAAACGTTTTGTTGTCCTTCCACTCCGTTCAATTTCAAATTACTCAACGAATTCGGAAGAAGCACACTGTTATCATTAGGTACAAAATTTTTGTTCAAGAACAACGACTCTGTACACTGTTGTTTCAGGATTGGCTCTTTCTTTCCAGCAATTCTCACTTTTCGGAATGGGAGTATTTTGTCTTTTCCCTCAGCAACATTTTCTGCATTGATCATGGAAGTTATTCGGGAGGCTTTGATGCCATGTTTCGAGAGAAGTTTTTCAAAGATGGCTTTGTTATGAAAGAAGCCCGAGCGGTCTAGAAAGGACAACATTTTTTTCTGTTTTGAATTTAAATTTTTTTAAATTTTTAAAAATGAAGAAAGGGTTTCATGCGGTCAGCCAAAACTTATCCACTATGTCTTTAAGGGCTTCCGAGCCTCAATGGTCCGATGGGGAGAGTGTTAGTAATGACACTTTCAATGAAGAATCGGTAGTATCTACTCTTCTTTCTGAAGAAATGAAGCCTTATGAAAAGTGGGGCATGATGAATATGGCCTGCTTTGATGGAAGCAGCATAGAAGACAACTCAAAATTCAATGACCAAATCACGAAGGAAAATATAAGAGCCTCAATTCGAGAGCTAAAGGCACGAAAGCTGATCTTGGAGTATGAGATTACTCAAAAGAACGAATTAATATCGAAGATGAGACAGTCTCATTTACAGGAACGAATAACAGCCGATGAAAGCTTTGCAGAATGGAATCGGAAATTGCAAGAAACTCTTGATTTCATCAGTGATGATATTTCGACATCGTTTGATTTTGAAGATGACACTCAACAAATGCTGCAGAACAGCGCCAGTACTGAGAAGCCAAAGCCTTTCAATTCAGAAACGCCCGAGAGAGATCTATTATGGATGAAACTCCAAAAGTTCAGAACAGTCTACTGTAAAATTATTCAATACATTGAGGTCAGAGAAAGAGAAATTAAGCACATGGAATTGGAAGAGAAATGTGATATTGAAGAAATCCTTAAATCTCGAAATGTTCTTGAAAGAGAAATGGAGCATCTAAAATCAAAAAGGAAAGACATGGAAAGCGCCATTGCCTCACATTTTCAAGCAATTATTGAACTGAAACGAGAAAATGAATCCAAAAGGAAGAATATTGAAGCTCTAAAGGAAAAAATTGAGCAGGTAGAAGAAGTAACCAAGCTCAAGGTTAGAGAACTAGCCAAAAAGTTGTTCAAATAATTTTGTTAATGATCAGTGTAATTTGTAATTTAGAAAATCATTTGTAAATTCATCGTCATCCAGTTAATCTTCTTCCTCATTTTGATCTTCATATTCCGAAGCAGGTTGCGGTATGTTGATGTTTTCCCACGTTTGTGATTCCTCGTTAAATCTAGTTAAATACAATACAGCATCGTTTTCAATTTTCAAATCTTCCAAAGTCCCTTCATTTGGCAGCTCATCATCTCCGACGGCAGCATACAATCGCTGATGATTCTCGGGAATATTTAATAATTGATTAATTCTTTCCTTTAATTGCAACACTGTATCGATAGGATCACAATGCAAGAAAATTGTAGTCTTGAATTGTTTAATTCTCACATACATCGACTAGATTGGTGCAAGTGAGTAAATAATTGTATGAATCAATGTACGTACCATTTTTTTTTAAATGATCTTGCAATTCTTTATTGGATTTCATAAAAAAATGGAAACTCGCACACGAGTCATTCTTTGTGATTTGGAAATGTACCACGAGGATGCTCCCAAGCCCACCGTCGCTGATTTGAGATTACTTTTGAAAAACAAGCTCGGAGCAAAACCTCGTCATGCTTTTTCAAACAAATTTATGAAATCAACAAACAAGTCTTTTCATATCCATGGTGAAATGGGAGAAATGGTGGAGTATTTTCAAATATCATATTCTAATGAGCAAATTTTAGTTGTTAGCTCTAAAGCACATAGTACTGACTCTGCTACATTTTATGTTTTTGATCTGTATTCAAAAAGATTACTTCAATTCCTCAGACTTAACTTTTACATCTCAGTGATTCTGGTAGAAGACAAGCCACTAATCGAGGGAGGTGATAACCTGCTAATGACAAATTTTGAAACTATTTACAAATTTAATTTGAGGGATATCTTGGACACAAAAACAGGGCACAAATCAAAACCTCAATGGACAACAACCATCCCAACAGTTGTGGGTAGTGACATACCATTTAGAGGTGTTAGAGGCATGTCCATTCAATACGCAACATGTGACTATGGAAAAACTCAAAACATACTGTACGCAACAGATTTTTCGAGAGGTCAAATTGTTGTGCTCAGATGCTCCGATGGCAAACTGTTAAAAGCGATAACTCACTCCGCCATTCATTCCCCCTGGGCTATGGACTTCAATGCAAGAGGTGAATTACTTGTCAGCGATTTCAGAAGGAATGAAATTCATGTTTTAAAGTGTACATTGGATAGCGTTCAACTCTTGAAATCATTTGGAGAAAATGAGTTGCGAACACCAAGGCAGGTCATAGTAGACCAAGTGACACAAAATATTATGGTATATTGTCAAGAGACTAGAAGTATTTGTGTGTACGATAGACATGGTAATTATTTGACCAGTAGTGAATCTTCTTTGACCTTGGGTATACTTCAAGATCGATTGTGTTTCGACCATTTCACAGGCGAGTTATTAGTTCTGGATCGATTAACTCTAGATGTTGATGTGTTGGAATAGCAGACTTGTGACTTTATGGTGAATGTGGATGAAATTTCGTGGTACATGCCGCTCATGGCCATGAAAGAACTTGAAGCAAATAGAAAGACAGTGCATTGTTCACTGCCTTTATAATTTTCACAAACAACCAGTTGCGATCTCTGAAGAAAATAATGTTCAATGGTTTCATCATGGCTACGGCCATATCACGATGAATGCACCTCATCCCGTCCGATTTGAGAAGTTAAGCATCGTCGAGCTGCATCAGTACTGAGGTTGGAGACAACTTGGGAACCTGCAGTGCTGTAGCCTTTTTGGCAACAACACCAATGGCGTATCCCACCATTAAGGTACTACTAAGACGCTACCTGATACTGTTTAGAAATGTACAACAAGCCCATGCAAATTATGCATTCTCAATTTTAATGACATGATTCACTTTTGATGAAGCATCGACTACAAAAGTAACCTTAACTTTATCCACAAGCAATTCGTGTTCGTCTTGTCTATCGACACTTCTAGCCTTTTTGATATGACTTCTAATGTCATAGGAAAGAACTTGTGTTAAAAATTCGATAAACTCGTCCAATTCTGACCTCTTATCAAAAAACTCTAAATGTGTGACATCTTCTATGAGTTGTCGTTTAGCTTCATCTGAAAATGTTACTTGATATTTTTCAACGCTCTCCAAAGGCTCCTTAATCCATTCTGGAACTTTTACATTGGAAAAATTGTCATATCCATCAATATATGGCTTAATATCAAGAACTGCTGTTCCGTCCAATATATCTGTTCCTTTCAAGAAAAGTGTTCCATCTCGGTCAATGTGATCAATTTCAACAATGCTCAAACCAATGGCATTGTATCGATGTGGAGTTCCTATTGTCATGTTGGTCATTAGAAATTTTACATAAAAACATAATGTTAAATGATAAAATTATTACACATACTTGTTGCATAGATTCCAACTTTTTTGTTACCAAGTCTAGGAGGCTTAATTTTTGCCTTAATGGCATTTTGACTGTCTGTCAGTACTCCTTTTGTCAGATTCGTATTTAAATTAAATTGAAATATAATGTAGCAATGTGAATATTGTTCTAATCCATCCAGTGACGAAGAGGGATTGCAATGAGGCAATAATTTTAAAATTGCTCGACCCTTGGTCACATAATAGGGCTGTCTAGGACACCCATTTCTTGTCTTGTATACTGATCTTAAATATCCAATTGGTTGAATTGGCAGAAATGGAAATTGTGAAATATTTTCTGAACCTTCGTTGATACTTGCTTTTGAAATAATTTCATTCGATTCATTATTGCTTGAATTATTTTCTAATAACAAGGATGGTGATGAATTTGCCAATTTTTGTTGTAAATTCAATACTTTATGCTCCAAATCTCTATTTTTTTGCTCGGCTCGTACTCTACCAATGCGTTCTTCTTTCCGATTGGAAATTTCTTTCTGTAATTTGGATTCAGTCTTTTTTACTTGTTGATAGAAATACACGGATAACGTGGTAGCAATTGCTGTCGATCCGATGAGAGCAGCGTTTAAAATCCAATGATTGGAAGAGTTATCTTTGGACATCCGAATGGAATGGTTCTTGTAATATTTTTTAATTTATTTCTTTTTTCGTAATTTTTGATTTCTTTCAATTAACTTTCAAATTACCAACATGTTAACAATGATTATTAGAGAGAGAAGAGGAATAAGGGAGGAAAATTGGAATAATTAAAATTTAAAAAAGGAAGAGAGGATTTGGAATTGGTTTCGTTGTCAGTGGTGAGTGACGAGGTTGACTTTGGAGGTTCTTCTTGAACATCATCTTTTCCTAAATTCAGTGTTGCTGCAGCAATTCCACTACTTGCTGATGATAAAGAAGAGGAAGTTGTACTACTAGTAGCAGCAGCAGAAACAGTAGGAGCCACTTCAGTATTGGCTGTGAACGCCACAAATCGTTTCATGGCCGACCGTCTACCATGAAATCGCCCTACTGAATAGCCCAATAATGCTGAACTGACCATAAACAATGCAATCATGGAAGCATCGGATGTTTTCTTCTTTAATAATTCCACACCTGTTGCTTGTTGTTCTTTTGAAAGTGTTTGATTTAACTCACGGAGTTGTTCCTCAAGCTTTTGTTGATGCCTCATACGTGATAGATAACCCAAATAGGCAGCAACACAAGAAAGAGCAGTGGCTGTGAAAGACAGTACATTCTTATTATTCTCAAATATGTCCTTATATCTGGCATAGGCCGTAGCGAACTTTTGACTCATGTTATCTTGGGAAACAAAATCGTGAAATATAAATTAGAATATATAAATTGAATCAATATATAGAAGAAGAAGAAGGTAGAAAATGAGAGTGGTGTTATTTCAGTCTTCTCCAATTTGATGATGATAGTGATGATGATGCTGATAACAACCAACTCTCCGAGACTGTGATTGGAACGAAACAAAAAACAAAAAATTTTTTGGATTTATTTCAAATTGATTGAGGGTCAATTCCTTCTTCGGCCGTTTTGGTGTTGTTCAGTTCATACCGTGGTATTCTCTCTCGGATCGGGAGTGGTTGATTTGATGTTGAATTACATTATTCTACATTTAGAAGAGAGATTCTGAACGATAGAAATAAATGGAGTATGGTAGTCTTCATCATCAAACACATCATGATGGACGGACTCTAATTTTTGGTTCGTGGCTGATGGGCAGTAATCATAGCCATCTTGCAAGTTCCGAAATTTGCATTAGTGATTTGACTTGTAATGTTGAAACAGGTATGTTGATGGGCTTGACGATTCAAACCATGAATTCATTTAAATTTTATATTCACCAACAACCTCACTAACAACCGTAAGATGTTTCTGCCATGGTTATGATGGGTATCATGACCTGCGTATTCATAATCATGCTTGTCGTTAATAGTTATTTATTAATTAGAGAAATCAAATATGGCTCACTATTTAAATCTAGGTTACTGTTTTATATTCTGACTACGTTTTATTTGCTAGGAAGTTTGTTGTTCTTTGCGATGCATGGTCTTGCGAGATTTGTATTTCGAGTGAATGAAAAACAAGTGAACGGTGAGACAGATTTTAATCCAGTGCTGTTTCTATCAACTCATATTGCTTTATATTGGAGCGAAACAATACTTGCTTGCGCTTTTTTGTTTGTGTGCGTGAATTATATGGAAATATTTCTACATTCTAAGGTAGGTCAGGAATTGAATTTTTCGCTTTAGAGCTCAAATTATTTCACAGGGATTTTCCATTATTTATTCTAAGGAACAAACATCCAAATTAAGATTTGGTGTCACTTCAATAATTGTCATTGCCAATATTATTGAGATTGTTCTATTTATCATTATGACAATATTTTTTCCAACACAAGATAATCATATGGTTGAAACGGTTTTGTCGTTCCAAGTTCTATTCCAAATTATTTTGAGTGTTTTAGTAGTAACTTTCTTCATTGTGTGGATTTATGTGAGTAAGAAATCAATATGGCAAGGGGCACACACTAATGAAGCGCTATCTGTACTCACACAGAAAATGTTCTGTGTAGCTTCCATGTTTGCTTTTTTAATAATTCTAAAGGCTATTGCAAATATTTTCCTATTAATTTACGTCTCTATGTGTGGTATTATCTGCCTTAATGTGAATGTGATTTTATCTGCCGCTACAGCTGCAGTAACTGATTTATTTCCGCTAATTTCAATTTATTACATTTTCAGAGTGTCTGACAGCAATGCACATGAGGAAATACGAAATGATGGAAATGGTTTGGTCACATTGCAGCCTGTATCTCAAATATCCAACCCTAACCCCGTTGTTGCTAACGAACGCAGATCTAACGATAATATTGAGTTCGAAGATGAGGATTAATAATATTACCTCATTATCTAACATTAACTAGGCTACTCTTATTTTACAAAGTTTGAACAATAACTAATAATAAATAATTTGTATTAAAATTACAAAAAACATTCTACAAATACCTAGAATTTGAGCTTTTTCATCGAAATTCCATTCACCGAAACTTCATCGGATGATGGTTGTGTTGAGGGTACGGAAGACTTTATGGAAAGGGTAGTTTTCGGCTTGACTGTTTCAGTAGAAACATTTGAAACTTGGGGAAGCAGCAAGGCAGGATGAATTTGTGGAGTTTTGCGAGGAGAAGCAATGTCAATATCATCATCGTCACTATTGTCACTTTCTGCGCTTTCACTTAATTCGTCATCAGAGAGTCCTGACTCTCCCATTTTTTCCAAGTTGTTTTGTTCAGGAAGAAGAAAAGCAGAAGCATTGGGAGACAAAGTGGTGAATGTGTTGGGAGGTGTAGAAATGTTAAGATTTGGAGGAGATTTGTTGATCATGTTTGGATCTTGTGGAGGTTCCATCGTGGGAGAAGCATTGATTTTGGGTAGAGCTAATTTTGTGAATGGAAGAGCAGAGGAAGTGTTTGATTCTACAGCTTTGGATGAGTTGGGTTGCTGGGTGGTAGTGTTTGGCTTGATTTTCAGCGAGAGAGCAGGAGTTGTGTTGTTGAGTGACAGTGACAACGATGGTATTATCGGCTTTGACGCATTATTTGTGTTGGATGGAGATTCCAAATCTTCACTGTCGTCATCGTCATCACTTGAATAACTGTCACTGTTTGCACTGGTTGTTGTGGCGTTTAGGCTCGGCTGTGCTGTTGTTTGAGAATTTGCAATATTAAGTTTTGGAATGCCCAACTTGAAAGGCATAGAATTTGTTGATGTGCTGTTCGTAGATGACGAAAGTGTCGAAGGATTTTCTACATTGGAAGTCTTTGAATCGGAAACGACGGTATTGATGCTGCAAGTATTAGTGGTGTTATCGTTATTGTTCGTAGTACTCTCCACAGAAGGTTTTGTGGAATCCATCACAGCCACCGCTGTCGTCAAATACTTTTCGGGAGAGAATCCAAGAGAGCTCATCATGTTCAAAAAACCAGTGATGAACGAGACAGCAAAATCATGAATGACATCCGTAGGAATGACTTCATCTAATTCTTCGTCATCGAGTGACATGAGACCTTTTTCTTCCCCTACCGATTGCATCAAATTAATCAACTCTTGACATGAAATGCCATACAACTCTTTGATTGACAATAACTCATGGATAATGCTTGCCGTGTCAATACTCACCCAGTGAGTCTTTGGATATTTGGGACATTTTACGATATGTCCAACCGAAAATACACGAACAAACCAATCCCCAAATACTTGCTTGCCATTTCGTGCAGTGTTAATTTGCTTCCACATGTGTAGAGTACACTGTGCTTGTAATTCACTTTTAAAACTCTGTTGATCCGTTTTTAAATGTTCCGTTACCGTACCACACCAATCCGTAAATTTCATCAAATCATCCAAACTGAATTTTCCATTCTTATCAAAATCCAACATGAACAAGACTGCTAACTTTTTAAAATCAATCGGATACTCATCCAAAGATTGTAACTTTTTCGCCTCCTCGATCACCAAATAATCTCTCTTGTCCGATTTTTTGACAGCATTGTATTGCCGTTGAAGGTGAGAGCGTATGGTTTGGTTTTGGCCCATTTTTTTTTGTAATCATCCAAATTGGGCCAATTTTCGAACGAAATTTTCGTTGGCTCTGCAGCATTTCGTTTGAAAACACGTGTTGTTGTTATTTCATACCTGAAGACTCTCCCTATTAGAATTTATGAAATTAATTTCTTCCTATCACAAAAAAAATGTTTCACTCAACTGCTTTATTCATTTACACGATCATGGGTGCTTTGATCATCACCTCAGCTCTGTTTCTGTTGTGGTCCTATCGAAGGTATCGCTCAGTTTGCAAAAAATACTCAATCATTCCATACGGAAGAGAGCAGTTTATTCCGCCCATCTTGTGCAGCTATCTGCCTGAATTTTTAATTCCAAAGGATTGGGGAAAGCGATTGGGAGAAAATTTGGCACCAAAAACATTTGCTAAATTCATGCGAGAGAGTGGCTATGATAAAGTCTATAAAGTAGTTTTGGGAATATTTAATCAAGGAATTGTCGTTATTGGTGACTCCGATTTTTTGAAAGATGTAGCCACGAAAAAATTAACGGTCAAAGGCAATGAACTGAACTCGACCGTTCAGGAACTGTTTGGAGGAAGCAATGTGTTTACGGAAACAGAGTATGAGGTGTGGCATAGACATAGAAAGATTCTGGAACCTTCGTTTTCACCATCTTCGTTGGCATTGGTTGCAGAAGTGACAACCAATGTTGTTTTGAATGAGTTAATTCCAAGAATTACAGAAAATGGGTATCGTAGAGAGGTGGACAAGGATTTTTCAAGCTTAACTCTTGATGTCATTGGTCGTGCTGGATTTAATTATTCATTTAATTCGTTTGCAAGTCACGACAATTCAAGTTTGACAGCTCAAACTCAAACACTCTTTCACATGCTTCCTCTTTATGAGCTGTTTCCAAAATTTATAAGAGATCACATTGGAATATTTCCTCACAAGCCAGCTAAAGACATTGCTTCACGTTTCACTGATGCCATTCAAAAAATTATTCAGAACAGAACGGCACATTCAGAAATGGAATACCATGACATTTTATCAATATTACTCCAAGCCCGAGACGAGGGAAAGAAAAATAATGAGAGCGACAGCATGACCGACGAAGAACTCATCTCGAATTGTTTTGTTTTGCTCATTGCAGGTCATGAAAGTGAGTATTTAAAATTATATAACGAATTGCTTTTAACGACCGAAAATTTTCTAAATAGCCACTGCAAAGACCTTAGGATTTGCCTTATATCTTTTAGCTTCGAGTAAGGACGCACAAGAAAGACTCCATAAATTCATAGATCAAGATTATCCAGCTCTTTATGGAAAGGATACTTTTGATTTTGCAGATTATCAGGCAGGCAGGCTCGATTACGTTAAAGCCATTGTTAAAGAAACCCTCCGCTTGTTTCCTCCCGTTATTGCTGCCATGAGAGAGCTTACAAAGCCTTATACCTACAAGGGTTATCATTTACCAAAAGGATTTAGAGTCGCAGCTTCGTGGCAATTAATGCATAGAGACGAAAAGTACTGGCCAGAGCCTGACGAATTTATTCCTGAACGATTCTTGAAAAAAAAGAAGGAAGACAAGTTGCAGGAAGAAAAGCATCAAGACGACAAACCAGAACTTGTCACACCTCAAGAGTTCATTTCCACTCCAAAGATGGAGGTGACTTGTTTCAATCCCCATATTGCTGTGCATAACAATCCATTTGCCTATGCCCCATTTGGAATTGGAAACAGGTAAGTTCTATGGTGAAGAAATAGAATGTTAATATTCGTTCATTTTCATGTCAGAATTTGCATTGGAAGAAATTTTGCTGAAGTGGAAGCAGTCATTGCTTTGGCTTTATTAGCGAAACATTTCAAATTTTCAATTTCTGAAAATTACAAAATGGAGCTAGACATGTTTCTTACTTTGAGACCAAGAGATACATTGTACATTAACTTTGAGAAGAAGCAGAAGTAATGACATTAAATACCGTGTTTGGCATGGTAGCCTCAATGCGGTTCGAAGGTTGTTGTTATCCGCTATGCCATCTTCGGGTCGCTATCAAAACCAATTTGTTGACGTTTCATAAAAAGAGAGAATGCCATTTTCAAGTACCTTCTGCTTTTGCATATCCACAAGAAGTCTCACTTGTCCCTTATCTTTCCATATTTGGAACCTTAACAAAAGAATGCTCATTCGTTTTCATCCACTTTAATGGTTATTTTTTTGAATAGCTCTATGGAACTTTGTCATCAACTCCTCCCATGTCAACTGTTACCTTGATGTTTCAGTAACTTTTCAGCAACTATTTCAAAACAAGATGAAAGCTAAAAACCAAAGAACACAAAAAAGAATGGCCACACAACAACCTTTACCTCCTCTCTCCATGAAACCCATTCAATCTCGAAACATTCAATGTAAAGTCATTTACGATTTTGAAGCAAAGGAAAAACAAGAACTTTCCGTTCAGTGTGGTGAATGTGTCGAAGTCGTGAAACGTTACAAAGATGGATGGAGTTGGTGTATTGTCATGAGAGAAGAACATGAGAGTTATGGACTCATACCAACTGCTTATTTACACGAAGTTCAACAAGCCACACCTTCCGATCATCCACTCTCTCATCAACATTCCGTTCTTCATAACATTGCGAAAATTATTCAACAAGACGCAAATACGACCTCTATGAATGACAAGACTGATACTTGTCACACAGATGAAGAAGAACAATCGGGTCATATGACTACTCTTCGGAGGCAAGAAAACAACCAGACAAACAACACACAAATTGTTTTGGTCGATGAAGATGGAATGGTTTCTGATATATTGACCCATTCAGAACTGAATCATGGAATCGATGAAATCGTAGAATCAGATGATTTAGACACCTCTACAACTACCTTTACCACTATTACCACCCCAAACACCACCACTACAACAAATTCGACAAGCAAAGACAAGACCAAAAAGACAACAAAATTCCTTAAACGATTAGGATCTTTCTTTCAAAAGCCTTCCAGTGAAAAGAATAACCATCTATCTTCGAAACCTCAAGAGAATGAAACAACAACCTTAAAACCACAACTCTCCATGACCAATTTAAAGAAAAATCCTTTTAACACTGTCCGAATTTCAAAACCTACCATGAACTCCATTTCTCAACAACAAGAGTTATTTCCCAATCATTTAACTCTTCAACCACAAAAACGAAATGCTCCTTCTTCAAGAATATCTCCCTTAGACATCAAAACAAGTATTGAGCTCATGTCTCAATTCGAGAAAACTCAGCATGTGTGTAATACCTCGAAACGAAAATCACAAGATTCCAATCACATTGCTTCTTCATCCCATCATCATCCAACTGTACGAGATTCCTTTAATATCTTTTCCAAACATAGAAGATCAAGAAAGAAGAATTCACTCACATCGGATCGTGCAATTGAAATACTGTTGAATCAGTTGGAATGTTTTAAAAGAAGAAGACAATTTACATTGTATATCAAGAAAGATGAAGGACTGAAAAAACAAAGAAGAAGACTTGACTTGATCAAGGAAACCATTGAAACTGAGAGGACGTATGTCCGTTTACTCAAGACGTTTATTGAAGTTTTCTACTATCCGATTATTCATGATTCGGGATCTGCGAAAGGCGTCCTCAGAAAAGAGACTTCCACCACACTCTTCAGCAATATTGAGCAAATTTATCAAATTAATCATACATTATTGAATGATTGGGAGAGAGAATTTGAAATGCACTATCCCTTCATACAAATAGGCTCTGCCTTTTCACAAATATGCCCCTTTCTAAAAGCATATACTATTTATATTAATAATTTCGACAAGGCACAAGAAACGTTCGAGAAGTTACGAGACAAGGACAAGAAATTTAAGGAATTTCTTCATGAATGTTACAGGAAACAGCAAACAAAAGGTCACCAGCTTGGGGGCTTTCTTATTTTGCCTGTACAACGAATTCCAAGATACAAGATGTTAATTCAAGAAATTTTAAATTTGACATCGCAAGATCATGTCGAGTATGAAATTCTCAAGAAGTGTAGTGTGGAGATTGAATCCATTGCCTCATATGTGAATGACGAGAAGAAGAAGGTTGAACAAAATCAAGTCGTGTTTGAAGTTCAACACCTTGTTCAAAAACACTATGGCTCGTTCATTCAGCCAAATCGGAAATTTGTCAGAAGAGGAACCATGCGTATTAAAATCATAACACATCACATAGAGCAGCAGTTAATGGATGGAAGATCTTCAAAATCGATAAGACCAGTATCACTGACAGATATTATGAACTCGATGGTGTGCAAGGAGGCCAAATTTGATATCTTCCTTTTCACGGACGTGTTGGTATTAATTGAAAGAGACAAGAGCAAAAACTCCAACCATTCGTCTCAAATTTTGAATGCAGATAACCTTCACTTCATTTTCTTGCAATTTGTAGATTGTAGAGATTTTACCAAGTACTCTCCACGCCAGTCACAACGTGAGTTTATCGACTCTCCTAACTCCTTATTGACCAACCACAACCAGAAGAGAAGTAATATACATCTCAAAGATAACCTCATCACTCGAGTAGAAAACGAAGATTGCACGTTTACCTTGGAAGCTTTAATCAAATCTGTAAAAACAGAGTATACATTTCAATGTGCCACTGTGAACGACAAGATGACTTGGATGAGCAACATTAAGGATTGTCTAGAAAGTATAAGTAGATCCAATGTATCTAAAGGCATTGAACAAGACATGTTTATCATTGGTAAGGAGAGAGCTTCCCTTAATCGTATTGCCAAATACAAGTTGGAAGAACATCAAAAACTAGAGAAATCCAACCTCATGAAGATTTCTTACTTGACACAGTTGGACCAACATCTCTCAAAGAAAAAACAACAACTTGCCAAGCTTCAGAAGGAAATTAGTATCTATGAGATGGACAAAGAACAAGTACTTTCCGATGTGAAATATGTCACTGACAAGAAGCACAAGATTCGAGAGGACTTGAAATCGTATTATGCATCCATTCAAGAAAAGGATCTTGCATGTATGAAACTCTTGAATGAAGAACATGCCTTTAAACTGGTATTCGATGACGTTCCTTCCGTGGATATTCAAGCTGCCTATTCATACATGACAAACCCATCGAGAAAGACAATATCTACATCCAATCAATCGAACGAAGAGAGTTCTGAATCCCCTTAACATGTGTGTGTGCATGAGAAGAAAGGCCAATTAATTGCTAAACCTCGTTATTAATCACTTTTTTCCTTTTATAATCCTACTAAATATGATTTGCTGGATAAGGGCTAAAATTTAACTCAAAAAAAAAGTATCAGCACAAAATCCCTAATCGCTGCAATCAGATCACTCCAACCATGGTAATCATTTACGAAGCTTGACCCCTCTGAAATGTGTCGAAGAATACATCAACCAACATGTCTGTCACTTGTCAAATTCTATCGGACTATGAGGATGTTCCCTGCAATCATATTCCTGCATGGTCCGAGCAAGAACAAATCATGAAAACCAATGATGACGAAGATTTGGAAGACATTGGACCCATTGAACCAATTTCCAACGATCAATAAGAGGATGAACAATTCATGACACTCAACTCAATTCCACACAAGAGGAAAGATACAATCCAGAAGCGACGAACATCACCTCGTCGATGGTCTATCTGTACTTGGCCTCCTTTCTTCATTTCATCATTGCTCCACTTCCATCCCTCGATGCATATTTCAAATTTGATAGTCCCTTTTTTAAGAATGAATTTATTGAATCTATTTGGACTTGTTATGGTAGAAGTACAACAGATTTCTTTTCACTGCACCGACGATTCAGAGTGAATCCCTATTTTATGATTCAATTATTTCACGAAGTTTCGAAAAAGATTTGGCGACCTTTCGAATACATTCATGAAACCTTAATGCCATTCCAAGGACATTTTAAATTTAAACATGTCATTAAGGGAGAGCGGACGGGTTTGAAATTTTATGAAATGTGTGACTCGAAAGGATTTGTGTATCGTTTGTGGCCTTCTTTACAGGTCACTCCACAAATTCATATATTGGTATGGGACATGGTCTCGTTCTTACCTGAAATTACTTCTCCTCGTCATGGTTACAGAATTTGTTTGGATTCGGATTTGGGTCACTACAAAACAGCAGCACTGTTGAATGCATGATTCTTTAACATTTGTCATGAAATGTAAATCATCAAGATTGGAAGAGGAATGTCAAGAAAAATTAAAAGCAACACACTTGTCACAGGGATCTTACACATCGTTGACCGATGGACAAACCTTAGTGATTGCTTATCGAGACCAACTGAACGGTCCGTACAGTGGGCAAAAAAGAAGCACTCAATTCACATGCATGGATTGTGGTCAATGGGTGTGTCCGAATTGCCAGCAAGCTGGTTGTGACAGTAACTCGAAGCATTCTTATTGCAATAAGAGATAAACAAAAATATGGAGATAAATAAGTTAATGTGTTTAATGTACAACTCGCAATAGTGTAACATGCTCTTTCCAAAATTTGTTATGCTAAAACAGACTTTAGTCTTGCAACGACCACAGTAATGTTGTCGTTACTACCCTTCTTATGGTATGCATAATCTCTTAATTTCAAACTTGCAGCTACTGGATCCAGTTCGTTCCTAATTTCATCAATTGCTTCTTGTTCAGAAACGAAATCAAAAATACCATCACAAGCTACAATGACAAACTCATCCTTATCACAAAGTCGAATGGCTTGAGTATGAGGATCTGAAATGACACCAGGTTGGAATGTTTTGTCACCAATAGATCTAGAGACAGCCAAACATGCACTTATACGATTGTTAACAATGGACTTTCCAGCATCTCTAACACGTCTTCTTTCGTCAGAATCAGTTGGTCTATGATCGACCGTTAGTACAATTGGCTTACCATCTCTGCAAAGTACCACCTTAGAATCTCCTACATTTCCTACAAACAAAAATCTTGAGTCAATTGTTGGAACATAAACCAACGTAGCTGTAGTACCATCAATGCTGTTTTTTTCACAAACAGCTTCATTGGCCTCTAAGAATGTTTCTCTTATTAACAAATGCATTGCATCAATTGGTGACAAAGACAAAATGTCGAAATGTTCAATTGCTTGCTCTTCAGACAGTGTCTGTTGCAATTCTTTTTCCTTGAAGTGTTGCAAAAGTTTTGAGGTTAAAGATTTTGCTTCTTCCTTTAAAGCGTCTCTTCTGTCAGCTGATTCGTAAAATCTTGAAAGTAAATTTTCATATTTTGTTAATTTATCCAAGAAAATAGTATGCAAAATAGTAGAGGCATGTTTTGAGGCTGAAGCACCCCATGCCCATCAAAAACTCCAATAAAGGTTTCATGTCGTGGACCCTCACTTGTTTCGAATTTTCTAAAGGAGACGTCACAATGGAGAGCGTCTTCCATCGATGGTCTTGATCCTTGGAACTCACAGTAACCAACTTTTATCCAATCGTTCTCCTCTGGAGTCGTCGATTGTGTTTCGTGCTGTTATAAACAATTTTAGAACGCTAATTCTCAAACGGCAAGAACTACTACTTACTCTGGCTGCTGCTCTTGGATTTCCTCGTTTCCTATTTTTGTTTCTTTCTTGAGCTAATTTCAATAATGCTTCCTCGTCATTGACGACATCCAAAACTGTTGATTTTTTATCATCAGTTGGTTCTTTTGATGAGTCATTAGCCTCAGAACTGTTTTCTTCTGTAGGGTGACCATTTGGTGTTATAATGCTAGGTGATGATGTCACAGCTGTTGTTTCTGGCTCTGTAGAACTTGATAACGCAGGAGGAGTACCTCTAATAATCGCTGCTCGTCCTCTTCTTGAAGAGGAAACTACTCTTGAGTTTTCAGGGGAAGATTTGGTTGGGTCTGTGTCATCTAATGTTGTTTTGGAAGGACTATTCTCTGATGCGTTGGATGTGGCGGTAGTTGTTGAAGTTGTTGGAGTGGTGGATGGTTCAGTGGATGCCATTGAAGACTCATCTCTCATATTCTCATATCTATGATTTGTGTGGTGATGATCCGATGATGATGAATCCGTTACAGAAGCGCCTGAGGCAGCTCTTCCCATCATGATAGCCTTCTCATCATCATCAATCAATCCGTCCACAACCACTGCATCTTCCTCGGAAGAAGATGAATCATATTCATCATTCTCTTCTTCTTCATCGATAATTGAATCCTGAAGCAAGTAGTATCCAATCGGTTGTCCTCTGTTGTTGTTGTTATTATTATTGTGGTTGAGATGTTGTTTCAGAGAACGATGACTCATTTTTTCAAATGTGGTGGCGTGTGAGGATTTTCCATGAGAACCTATTCGTTGACTGGAGGAAAAGTGATGTGTGGTCAACGACATTGAAATTCTTTCATGAATAACAATGATCATGAAGAAGAATTAATTTTCAAAGAGGCCTCTTCTCTAGCAACTGAAAGGATGTTTGAGAAAAAATGGCTCCAAAAGAAAAAAGAGGTGCTAATGTGAGTCCTCCAACGCGGCTGATAAATTATTCATCCTCTCCAACTGCTGTTCCGAAAAGAAATTCTACATCATCAAGGAGAAGCACTCTCACTCCGGAAGAAGGATCAAAGAGAAAGAGATCCACTAGACAGAGTCAACAACAGCCTTTTCATCCACCACCGTCCATAGAAGAAAGGTCTCCCTCACAACAACAACGAAGATCCTCTCTCAAAAGGAAGCAGGATGATTCATCCTCCGATTCGAGTTATGAAGAAGAATTTAAAGAAGCTCGTCCCTATCCAACGAAAGAAAAGAGAAAAAAGCGCAAAACTCCAACAACAACTCAACACGAAGATGGCAATTCAATCATTGTGGATGACATCTTGGTGCATTTTCTCAAAAAACGAGTGCAAGAAGAGTCCACAGCAGAAAAGTCAGGAACACCAAAGCACAAACAATATTCATTGAATTCAACTGCTCAGTCGAACCAACCCACAGGAGGTCGATCAAGAAGATTTAAGAACTTTAAGGGCATTCAAAATGAGCTTGTAGAAAAGGCGAAACTGTCTGTGCAATCGTCTTTTTCAACACCAGCTCAATAACTGTTTGGAACAAGCAATGCTCATCGCTTTCATCCTAAGGACAACAAGATATCCAGATCTGGGCCAGTCGTACGACAACTCATGTGTACATTTGGCCATACCACATAGAAGGAATTGCAGCGGCATTATCCAAATCCTTGCAACGTGAAAAAAATGACAACATTGGCATTACCAACAACCAATGTTTCAATGTCACCAACAACGAGTAATACCTCATCGGAACTAAATATTGTAACTTCTAACGAAAAAACAAATCAACCATCATCACAGTCTCCATTTTATAAATTAAATGAATCTCCAAATTCTTACGAGAAATTAGATAGTAGTAACGAAAGGAGAAGGGTTCGCTTTTCCGATCGTAACTTGTCCAATTCTCAAGTGGTTGGAAATATGAGTAAGGCCATCAGTAATAGTACTCTTCAAAAGGTGAGTTTCTTTTTCCCATGATAGCCTCGCTCAATCGAACAATCGAACACTTTCAAATAGTCAGCGAAAGAAAATTCAAACGTCTCTGTAAATAATATTGCAAGTTATGAATCTAGAAAGAGAACCAAGAATATTTGGCGTACAAGACTGAAAGGAATAATCTTGGATTTGGAAGTTTTTCAAACCGTTCTATCAATCTTATCTGCTGTATTTTTCATCATTTCATCGTATATTCAAATTGACGTTGATGGTAGACTGTTCGCCTTGGTTGTTTGTGATTTAATATTTTCTTGCTTTTTTATTGTGCTGTTTATTGTCAATTTTCTACTTGCAAAGAACAAGTACGTACAAATTATTCACAATGTTATTAATTTCTGACTTGTGTCACTCTGAACAGAATTTTATTCTTCATAACACCACTCTCTATTTTGGACTATGTGACGGTAGTTCCATCATTAACAATTACTGTCATTTCATTTACCCAGGATTCATTCAACAGTCAATCTTATGCCTTCGTCGGTTTGCTAAGAGTTCTAAGATTGTTGAGGTTAATTCCAATTACAAAAAAAATTTCATCCAAAGGAGAAATCAATTCTGTTATTGCCAAAGTTATTGAACTTGCCTTAACGGTGGCTTGCTTTCTTGTTATATTTTCAGGATTTTTTCAATGGTTAGAAAATTATTTTGGAGATAGAACAATTTATTTTCATGATGCTCTATATTTTATTGCCATCACTCTCGTCACAATTGGTTATGGTGATATTGTAAGTAACGTTCTTTGAAATGCGAACTGGTTTTTAATGTGTTACCTCTTTCAGTCTCCATCCAATGTTGCTTCTAGATATGCAGTAATACTATTTTTCCTGATCGGTGTCACCATCATTCCCATCCAAATTTCTCAAATTTACGATATTGTAACAAGTGAAAAAAGTATTTTTAAGGTAAAGAACTTTACTCTGAAAAATCATACCATTGTCAGTGGAAGCTGTAGAATTGACGAAGCCGTTGATTTTATTAAGGAATGTTTTCAAAGAAGAAAGAAAAAAATCAAAAGAGTCATTCGTAAGTGTTGATCTGTATGGTTGGAAAAAATATCCATTAATACCATTATTGCAGTCATCTTTAAAAACGAGAATTTTTGCAAACATTTACTCGAAAGCTTGAAAAAGACTCCGTATCGAAGCAAGATTTATGTCTATTGTGGAGACATAATGGATTTTGAGACCATGAATTTGTTAAAGCTGCCTCAATCCAGAAACGTCTTTCTGTTGAACAGCCCAAAAATTGGAAACGCAAGAAAACAAGACACGTCCATCATCATGACCACAATTGCGTTAAGAAACTTCAACAAGTCGTTGAAAGTATATGCCCAAATTAATTTAATGGAATCTAAACCATATTTAATTCGAGCAGGTGCCAAAGTGATCATTTGCAATGAAATTTTATGCACCAAAATTCTCTCTGCATCAGTATCATCCTGTGGTTTCACTACCTTCTTATTTAATTTGCTCAGTGGAGCAGAGATTACATTATTTTCCAAGAATCGTTCAAAAACAAGTATTTCAGGAGATTTTCAAAATGCAATCAATATGCTCGATAATGAGAGTAAATGGATTGCTGAGTATGCAGAAGGTTTAAATTGTGAGATCTTTAGAGTGAAATTTAGTCCAGCATTCTACAATAATCTATTCATTGACGCAGCTAAATTACTATTAACTACATTGGAAGTTGTGGTATTTGCACTTGAAGATACCAATGGGAAAATATTCATCAATCCATCTCGATATTTAATCAAGGAAGGAGACCAATGTTTTTGCCTTGCCAAAAGTTTCAAACACGCTCAAGAAGTTGAAAATTATCAGTATACAGAAAACGAAGACAATTCTCACTCTAAAAAGAAGTTGAAATCTTCAAAACCATTTTTATATTCTAAAACAGCAATAGATAACTTGGGCGACGATTTCCTTGACTTCAACTATGTAGAATATACCACAAAGGAGCAAATGAAATTTGAAGAAAGTTCACAAAGCGAAAAAGAAATTATGAAAATATCAGAGAAACAAATCGATAATCAGAATCGAAAACAACTTGCAAGGAGATCACGAATTCTTGAGCCAACATTTAAAAAAGATGTCAAAACGAGGAAACGATCTGGAAGCAGCTCTGAACCAAAGATAGTAGACGTTTCATTATTGAGAAAAGATGAAGAAATTACAGAGGATGGAATCAGACACGCCCATTTGGAAGTGTTATTGAAATTGCTGTCACCAGACGCTTATTTCATAGAGAAGAGACAGTATTTAAAACAAATTAGGGATACACTTTCACCAGAACAGAGTCGAGTGGAAGAACAGAAATTCTTTTCAAACGTCATTAATAACTATGGCTTGTTACAAGCACCAAGATCAAAAGAAGAATTTCTCATTACCAGTTATCAAGTGCCGATTCTTATTAAGGACCATATTTTGATTTTAGGCGAATTCCAACAGCCAGCAATTATATGCTCAGTAATTAGATCCATACAACGAAAGAACAGGCTTACACCCATTGTTTTCATGTCACATCTAGTAGACAAGTACTTTAATTATCTCTATGAACGATTGAAATTCTTTTCACATGTTTATTTCATTCAGGGAAATCCAATGAAACACTTTGAATTAAGAAGAGCTGGTTATCAATTTGCACGTACCATACTGTACTTGACACAGGATGAAAAAATTATTAATTTAAACGATCATACCTTATCCGAAGAAAAAGAGGATCAAGAAACAGAATATTCCATTGACGCAGAAGCCATCAAATTAGCATTAGGAATTGAAGCAAATTCCGAGGGAAACAAGTGTTATTTATTGGAACTTGCCAATCGATCCAATTTGAAATTCATTCCTCATGAAGGTGTTGGAACCTTTGAGAAAACAAGATCTCTCCAAGAAAAAGGAATTATCGAACATAATTTGGATGATATTGATTTATTTTGCTTATTTTCTGATCTTCACATCTCAAGCAAAATATTTCCTTCTTCTTCCTTTTTGAGTCGACTCTTAGCTCAATCCTTTCACAACAAGAGAGTGGTAGATTTAATTGATCAAATGTGTGCCGATGAATTTTTAGCAGGTGACTCTCAATCTGTTGTTTTTGAAGTTCCTGTACCTCCAATGTTTGTTTCAGGTTCTGTTTTTGAATTGGGTATGTGTTGTTCTTTTTTTGTATGAATGTCATCATTTTACTGTGAATTTTACAATGAATTTTACAATGAATTTTACAATGAATTTTACAATGAATTTTATAATGAATGATTATTGAAGTGACCACATGTTTTGACAATGACCTTATTCTTCTCGCTTTGAGTCGAGAGAAACCCTTTTCATCAGAGGCATCCATTTCTCATCATCAACAACAACCACAACATCAACAACAACAACACCACAACAACAGGTACATTTACACCAATCCTTCATTTTCAACCATTTTACGATCCTCTGACATTCTTTTTCTATGTGGTCATAAAAATGATTTTACCAAATTGTCACAACAATACAAAGACACACATCATTTCCCAAACACTACCACCATGATGACACATCAGCCACACGACACTACTGAAGTCATTGTTGAAATTCATTCAGATGAAGAACATGTGGAAAGAAAGAGGCCAAAGAGTTGTGAAATACCTGTTGTTTCTCCAACACTTGGAGAGAATCTACTTATAGAAGGTTCTTCTTCTTCTGAATTGATACATTCTATATCCGTTCCAACCAGTAGTACGAGGATTATGGTTGGTCCAACTGTCATGGATGATGACAGAATTATTTCACTTCAGGATGAGGACGAAGAAGATGGACAAACACCACACCGTATGACTTTTGGTGAATTATTGAACAAACATAAACCACATACTGAAAAGGACCAATAAAACGAAAGGCGTATAGTGCGGGAGGTTTTTTGAGGATGTTAATACATGCGAACCAAATTGAACATTCAATAGTATTATGGAGTTTACAATAACATCTTCGGAAATACCTGTTAGTACGAGCTCATTATCCATGTGTCTCGTTGTGCGTTCGTAATATTACCATTCGTGCGGTTTAATTTAGCACCTTTCTGGATTACAATAAATAGCTCATCTAAAAGTGAAGAAGGAAATAAAATAACAAAAAAAACAATCAAAACATTCATTGCAAGCTTTACAAGAAAATATTTGAAATCAAAATGGTCTTTGAAATTGTATACTTTGATCACTATGGAAGAGTTGTAAGTACTTTAAGTGTATACAATCACCGATCTGATCCATATATCCAAAGGATCTTGTTAAATTGATTGCGGAGGTTGCAAACATTCCTTACAAGTTTGTTGGAATTGAGGATAAGGACTGGAAAGATTTTCAACCAACCACTCGTTACGGATTGTTGCCCTTCGTGAAAATCAATGACAAATGGACTCTCTATCAAAGCATTGCCATTTCTCGTTTCTTTGCTCAGGAAGGAGAAGACAATTTGTACCCATCGGATCGAGTGGAAGCAACCATCACTGAGGAATACGTTGCTGCTTTGGAAGATGCTTATAACAAATTTGTATATGCGACTTTTCTTGCTCCAGAAGACAGAAAGGAGGAAGAAACCAAGAGACTCACCGAAGGAGTGTTGAGGAGTGTTTTTAAAGTGTTGAATGCTGAATTGGAGAACAATGGAGGATATTTGCTTCCTGGAGGTAAACTCACTTGGGCTGATTTGTATTTTGTTGAGTTTGCTAGTAACTTGAGTTACTACACCAAGATTGATCCGGTTACTTTCGCTCCTCAAATTCCCAAGCTCAGAGAAAATGTACTGAAACATCCAAGATCAAAAGCTTATTTGGAAAGTGAGAGAAATCTCAGAAAGAGTGTGTTTTAGAATCTCTTGGAGGATTAAATAAACCACTTCTCCGTATATTGTGTCGTTGATGTCATCGACTCGTTTCAAACAATTTACGTTTGGATATTTCTTGGATTGAATCATTGAATTTACTGGGAATTATTTTCTTCCTCCTCCAACATTTCCTCATCTTCCTCTTCTCATAGTAAGACAAGCCAACAGAGCGGGTTGCTGGATGGATTTGGTCGCCAACTCCTGTCGCTGGGCTCTCTATTGACAGAACAGTGAACTTGGAAGCTTCAATTTCAAGATTTTTCTTTGCCAGCGTTAAGCCGGTTCTCTACAGAAACTTTTTTTTTTTCGAGGGACATAAATCGTGTCCCTGAAGCCCGGAGTTCACTTTCGCTGGCCAGTCTTGCTATGCATTGGACGAATTTGAATTCTTTGCCGTGGAATTGAGTTCAGAATGTTCAATTCGAGAACTTGCGCATTACACAAAAAAAATACCAACGTTTCCTCTCATCCCCAAAAGACATATCTATGAATTCTTTAATATCTTCCTTGTACAGCCAAGACCAGAGACCTTCGGACCAAATTAGAAAACTTGATGCAGCTGGAAATTACACAACATTTGAAGGCATTACCATTGTCATGCCATTGTTGAACGACCTTTCTCCACTTTTTAGAGATTTACAAAAAGTTGTTCCATTCGTTGCTACCGTTGGAGAGCTATCATGTCACTCTCTCGGGAATTACTTGCCGAAGTTACTTTATGAATTGTCAATTGTACAATCAATTTTTAGACTATTACATTCCAGTATTACATCAATTACAGCAAGAAATGAACACTCACCAAGTACCACGAATCAATTACAAGCTCATCACTAAGGTGACAGAAAGAAACTTTTATCAAATCACTGCTTATTTGCAAATTGCTGATAACGAATCCAAAGAAAAGATTGACAAGTTTTGTCAGCTCGGAAAGCAATATTTGGGAGATGTGTTCGTGTATAGTGAACCTCATATGAGTATGGGTTATCGAATAGCAAAGAATGAAAGCAAGGAAACAAAGAAGGCCATTGTGGATGTGTTAAACAAGCACTTAAATGGCACAGTACTCTCATTTGGACATCCACAAGTTTGTAAATTTGATGACATGTGTGAATTTAAGCCAATATTCTCGAATTTATAATATTATACAAATGGTCCATTGATGTATCATGACATAATTGCTCATTATCGTTTTCTATTCAAAGTCCAACCATGTTTCGATGTAATTTTGAGTATTGCGTCCATATGATTATCCCACCACTCTGTGCAATAATCGTTCTTTCTATCTGTTCGTGTTAAATGCTTTAAACAATACAATAAAACTCGTGCGTCTGTGATTTGTTCCACTTTTGTGAAATACGCATCCAAAATTAATTTAACTCGTTGAGCTTGCAACGAATCGTTGATCAATAACATGGTTTCTAGAATGACAATAAAAGGATCAGAGGCTTCGTTGACAGCGTTTTGGAAAGTGCATTGCAGTAAATGGTTGACTAGTGATTTAGTAAAATCTGCGTCTTCCCAACAATAATGAGCAAAAATACCAGCAATGTCATCTAATCGAAGATTGAGAGACATTAATGATGTCAAAAAAGCTTTGTTGAATAGCTTGTCAAAATCTGCTTTTGGTAATGAGAAGACATGTCTTTCAGTTGTCTCAGAGATAGGTGTTGATAAATCATAGTTCAAACTCGTTGGTTTGTTTGCAATTTTTGCATCGTCACAAGTTTTCACAAGGAATGCTATAGCTACGATCATGTAAGAGAGTGAGAGTTGACTTGACATGGTAATTAGGGGTTGTTTCAGAGAAGAAAATGAAACTTGATCGTATTGACCTTCTGGATTCAATCCCATCATGTAGAGTATCATTTTGGAAATCAATTGCCTCTTGATTAAAAACAATCTCATATTGTAAGGTGCAAATGATGCAAGTTCATAGAGAAACCGGAAATAATGAGTGGCAGACCGCCAAGTGGTGTACATGCCCATCATACCGATCATGGTGTCAATAAATATACCAATACAGCATTGATTGTCAATTGAGACATCCATTTGGTTTGTGTTATCCAAGTATTCAATCAGATTTTCGTGAGGATATAATGACTTGATGCAGCTGATGAATAAGTCAATTATTAAATCTTTGATTTCTTGTGAAGGACATGTCACTATTGTTGGAATTAGCCAATTCTGTTTGTTGGATGATAAGCTTTTCAAAAATGTCTTACAAAGGGTTGGGTTCTTTTCAAATATATCCTTCAAGTACATGATCCACTTCATTATTTTAGGATTAGAGGAGTGAATGTAAAACTCTAATATATATGTCAGTGTCAATGAAATGTTCTTTGTCAATAGTTCATGCTCATTTGTTTGTAAAGTACTGATAGAACTGAATAAAAAGGTATCAAATGAGTCATCGAAAATATTTTTGTAGTGGTAAAATCTTTCATTTTCCTTCCACACTTTCTCTTTGATTGAAGCTGGTATGTCCAAAATGGTATCATGTTGCTGGTTACAAGTTTCAGAGTTGCTACTAAAAGTATCTGCATGAAGTAAATGCACACGTTGATAAAAGAGCATGTATGCATTGTTGCATCTGAACATGGAAGTCTTTCTTCCATTAATATTGTTTTCCACAATCCCTCCAAAACATTCGCTGTCCAAATTGTCTGTATCAAATAAATTAATTTCTTCATCATTAAACTCGTACCAGGTTTCTTCTTCATTTGTGGATCCTCGATTCATGATAAATGAATAGTAGTGACCAGAATCTGCGCTTCCTGAATGCACTAACACTCCTACGAGCTTGTATTGATAGTAATCATCTTGTCTATGAGCTGGAGGAATGTCATATATACCTCTTTGCTCTTTTCTTTCCATTCCTTCGACAGTATAGGGCTCCATATTCAAGGTATGAGGAAATTCTACACGATCATTGATTTTTCTGTTGACCATTAAACTAAAATCGAAATCAAATCTCTTTAAATGAAGAATTAGAACGTTGGGAAGATCCTTGATCAAAGTTCTTTTCAATGCATCAACATGCTTTTCTAGCTTGTCACTGTAGTATTGATTGTTGCCTTCTAACATTTCACCTTGTACATATAAATCAAGTGATTCCATGATGTTTCGCTTATTTTTAACCTCTAAACTGATAATGTTGAAATTCTCAGGCCTCTCAGATACATTGTCATCATAAATAATTTGATGAAGGAGAGTACCTCCAAAGACGTCTTTCAGCAAGTGTCCTTTACCATAAAACTTCAGTGCTTCTTCAATTCTGTCAGTAAAAAGATTAAAAAATTCATTAGCATCATGTTGAGTTGAACAATCGACTGGTCTTCCGTCTACTTTGTAAAGCGAACAAAATGGTCTTGTATCATAAAACTTTTTTGAGCTTTCTTGAAGAAATGCAAAGATACTTTGGAGCTCTTTGAGAAGATTGACATTGTCTTGCATCTTTTCTTCCACTGCGGATGTAGTGTCGGTATTCACTCGAAGCAATTCTTTTCTGAAAGGAATGGTCATAAAGAATTGTTGTATCAATGAATTCATGCTGTATAATTTTCCAAGTTAGTGCCGAACAAATCAACCATAAAGAAAAACACTTACTAGCATGTAGCACCTTGGTTTTTAAGCCCAACAAATGGTTTTTTTCTTTCCAAATGTCTTGGTACAATGTTCCAGAATGTAGGTTGTTCACATTCGTGCATGTACTTTTCCAGGAGAGAAAGAAGCTCTGAAAAAATTGTTGGAGAATTGTCAGCTAACTCGGACAAAAACTGGAAAGCAGCATCTCTACTTTCTCTGGTCTTACATTTTGGAATCTGTAGACTTGTACGTGATTTTGGTACCTCGAATAAGCAAGAATAAAATATTCTCTTTCCTGTTTCTTCCAATGTTTGTTTTACGTAGGGATAAATCTTTAAAAGAGCTCTTGTAATGTTGAAGAGACCAATTAAGATGTAATCTGGTTGAGATGAGTGCGATTCCTCGACGACATTTCTGTTAATTATTTTTTCAATGAGCACATGAATGTCATCTTCTTTGATCTCTGTAAAATTATTGGGTCTACTACCAATTAAGTTTTCAAGTAGTGAGAAGTATTGCTCGCATCGGTCTTGATACTTTTCAATGTTTTCTTCTTTCAACATTCGATAAAGTATGTCAATAAAATACTTGCATGCGGCTTCGTTATGAGAGGCTATTTCAATAACAGTGTTTAAAAATTTCTTTCTGATGTTAGCATCAGCTGTGTACAACAAGCTTCTCATCGTAATACGACTCAAATCTTCATGTTTCAAAAACATTGTCATTAGGTCACCCTTTGCTGCTACAATTTTTTGAATAGATGTCAAACTATAGTCGTACAACATAAAGTTAGCATATTCTTGCGTCATTGTGAAACTAGGATTAAATTGAAAGATGTCAGGGGTTTGGCGGTACAACAATGATGGAAGAGAATTGTTTTCTTCTGTATGTTCATCCGATAAAATCATTCCAATCGCTCTCAATAAGCACTCAAGAATATTTGGTAACCTTTCCTCGTAATCTAAACGTTGTTGTAGACATGAAATATAACTATGTGAGTGAAACACTGAAAACTTACTTGGAATGAACTTGTTTAACAGCTTCAACAGCAAGGCCATACACTGCTTGTGGAGTGGGCTTTTGTTTTCTGTTTGTGTATTGGAAGCAAGTAGACCATCAATTAAATGCGAAACTCCTCCAAGCTTGATAAAGCTATGATAAAAGGTTGATTCTTGAGTGAGCTTTTTCTGAAACTTGGTATCCAATATTTGTAATGAATAAAGTAATTTGTGCGAGTTATTGATCGGAAGTACAGAGCCCCAATCAACCTTTGAACTGTTTTCTATGTTTAGGATGTTCTTTGACATGATCTGATTCGTTGGTAAATGCATTAGCAACATCCAAGCTTTCTTGGCAACTTCCTCGTGTGATGTGTCAAGAAGAGAGAATAGTAAGTAAAAATTGTTCTCCCTTGAAAGTACGTTAGCTGGATAAAGGCCATCCTCTAAATCTAAAATGACATAATCGTCGTCTATATCAGTATCATGATTGCTGATAGAGGTTAGTGGAAAACCATTCTCAGAGTTTTTCTGTAACACCTTCTTTTGTGGCAACGATCTATTTCTAGACACAAGCAAAGCACCTAGTTCCGGTACTCCTAACATTTGCATTGTTGTGTTCATGATAGAAATGGAAGCATCTTTGATTGTCAAAGGTTTCACAAATAAATCAACCCTGGAGTCCATTCCAAGCTCTTCCAAACTTTTAGCTTTAAAAGGAGTAATGTCATCTCCACTTTCGGTTTCAAGTCTTAAGAGTTGGGATGAAGTCTCGTCGCCAAGCTCTGATGCAATTATGTTCAGTAGAGCTCCTACTTTCATTTTGGATGGGACCATTTTCACAAACCTTAAATTTGAGAAACAATTGATGTTCAGTGTAATTGGATAACCCAAAAAGCTAATACCGTGACCTTTACCAATTCCTCCTCCTCCACTTTTTTGGTTCACCAGAACAATGAAATCTAATAGTACGGTGATAATATTTCCAAGATAAGAATCGTTTCTCTGGTCAGGTTTGCTGTACAGTTGTAAAAGCTCCATGCAAGTAGAGACATGTTTTTCCATAAATGATGCAGTGCTTGATTTTAAATCTTTCGAATAGTCAGTCCTGAAATTGTTTAAACTTTCGGTTGCTTTTCTCAGTACATTGGTATCTTTGGCAGAAAGTACAATATTCCATAAGTGATTAATTCCATGTAAATCCTCAGCAATCACTTCGAACTTTTTCAATTTTCTAACGATTGGTACCTCTTGTTCATTCTCAGGATAGGGCACGGTAGGATCCAAAAATTCTTTGCCTTTAGCCACAATTTTTGAAATCAGCTTTTTACCTCCATTTGATGATTGTTGATCAAGAATGGTGGTAGTATTATCTACATGTGATTGATTCTCATAAACTACATCAATCTTTTTAAGAATAACGTTAATAGATAAAAAAAACATTAAAAAACAGTCCAACTCCTTCTCAGTCATGTTTGCGTAAAGAACAGCATTATCTTTGCTGGGCGAGCAAATCAGTTCTTCAAATACAAGCATGGTAGTTTCGTCATCAAAGGCCTGAAACTCCTCCACAAAGTTATCTCTCATCTTTGTTAACCAACCCACAACAATTTCTTTTCTACCATGTGACCAAAGTACGATACATTGTTTGAAAGATAGCCTGATTGGAGAGTTTTTAACCACAAACTCAAGAAAATCCAATTGATCACGTAACTCCTGATCATTCTGGTCATTGTTTTCCATATCTGTTGGAAATTGATTTTCATAGTTTGAAAAAAAGTGATCCATTAAATGCGTTTTTTCGTTAATAGAAGAGATTATTCCCCATGTAGATAGCTTCTTCTTTTTCTTTTGTAACGAATAGGTAGCTAATAGAGTTTTCATTAAAGAGACCGCTCCGCTTGAGTTGTTTCTGTTTTTCAACATCTCAATACAGCTTTTAAGATAGTCTTTTCGAATAGCTTCAAATGCATCTTGTTTGAAAACATCTGACAGGCATTCAAATGCTTTCCTATTTCCTCCTATCGCAAGTTTCCACAACATATCTAAGGCAAACCAATTTTTCTTCTTGTCTTTTGTGCCTCTTCCATACGAAGAACTCACAGCATAAATTGTGAATTGCGATAAAAACTCAATGAAATGATCTTTTTTGTTGATGGATTCAATAGGAATGAGTTCCACTTTAGAATAGAGATGTAAAATGTCATTGTATGACAAGCTTGGAATAAGAAGTGATATGATAGATAATATCAATCTCTGAGTAGCTTCGTGCTTGTCGACTGAAGCTTGCCAAATCAAATCCAGCTCTTCTTTTGTAAAGCCCTTATATTGAGCAAGAAATTGTAAAATTACTTCGGAAAGAAGATGGTAGCATTAACAAGAAATTGTTGCAGCTATAAATGTTTGTACATACCAGTTGCTTGTCGTAACAGTTCTCTGTGGACGTCAGTCTCAAATAAATAGTGCAAAAACTTCTTCTCATTAACCCATGATAGAAAGGTTTTTACGTGTAGCTCTTTCTTAAACGAAATAGGTTGAGGTTGTGGGCTAGAATGTGGTTGTTGATCATTTCCATTCAATTGTGGTGAGTTTGTTTTGGACCCTGTCTCCGTTTTTCTGAGTGATTCTACATGAACTCTTATTTCGTTCATTCCCAGCATTTTTCTTTCAACGGAGGAGCAGTTCAACAGTCTGTAGAAATACTGTAATTTCAACCTGTCAAAAATGTCAATACACTTCTCGTCAGTATAGCATGAAAGAATTTTGTTTCTAAAATTTAAAATAAGATCCTTAAATCTTTCTTCTACTTTCAAAATCTCGTCAGACAGCATATCAAAAAACACAAATAGTGAGTCTATCAACGCTGTGATAATGCTCTCTCTACACTTTGGCACCAAATAAGGAGTTTGAAAAGCAATCGTGTCAATAATCTTTTCTATTATTCGCATTGGTAAATCCTTATATTTTCTCAATAAATTAATAAATAAAACATATCCTCCGCTCTGTCCAAAAATATTGATAGATTTACAGCAAAGTTTAGACAAAAGTTCGGATTTGGATCTTGGTGTGGAAAATATACAATTTTTAAAGTCTTCGTTCCAAGAGCTTTGTGGAAATTTTTGTGATTGCTCTATAAATACGCTATTTTCATGGTTAAACAATTTGACATCTCGCGAATAAAGAAGGTTTCTCAAGTAGAGCTCATGCTTTTGGTTTGTGAGAGATCTACAAACATCTACTCCAAAAGAAACGCATTTTGAAATGTGATTAAGCTTTTGTTGTCTGATATTTTCCAATTCCTGTGAGACAGTTGTAGGAATAGTATCGTCTAACTTATCGGAAGACGATGTAGTAGAACCAGATTTTTGATCTGATTGGTTATCTTCGTTTGTCATTGTTTCTAGTAGAGAGAAAGGTCGTTGAACCATGATTTCCAAATAAAATTCTATTGAAGTGGTGATAAGCTGACCAAGTTTTAAAAGAATGTCTGAGTGGTCAATTTCCTTTAGAGATGTAGACAAATTCAATATTGCTACCATGTGAGTATGTAAAAACCAATGACTATTGGTATATTTAAAATCCGAGAACACAAATTCATCAAAGCTATCTGCATAATGAACTCGAATAAATTTCAACATGGAAATTTCCCCATCAAGTATCTCTATTTACAATAATTATTTCATCAACAGTGTCAGTAAAATCATGAAACAAACCTATTATTTGTTGGGAATGATCAGAATATTTTGCCATTAATTCTTTATATAGATCACTAATTCTTCTATATTTTGTATCAAACCCAAATTCCATCCGAATTAAATCTTCGGGATCAGGTTTCAAAGAAGAAATCATTTCTACAATATTTATGTTATCGCCATTGGCAGCCTCCGCAGTTGTCGTTGAGAGTTGAGAATGATCATTTGTTGTTTTGTTACTCCCGTTCAAAATATCCTCCGATTGCTGTTGTTGTGGTACATTCGAAGGTTGTACTTCCTTTTCAATAGTCTCATCTTTCTCATTTGTATCCGACCATTTTTCATCATCATTATCATCGTGATTTGTGCTGGCACTTCCAACGGTAGCTACTGATGAACAACGATCATTGTCGTCGTCCGTTGTTGGTGTATGATCATGTCGTTCATCATGTTGGTCCATTGGACAAAGATCGTGGGCCATCGGATGGCTGTTGTTCTCCACCGCAGTTGTTATTTCTTGTTGCGTTGTTGCAGGGAGTAATGGATCGGCCTGCTCGTCGGAGGTCGTCATTGTTTTTTTGAAAAGATTCTGAGTGGAACTTGGAAAATAGAAGGCATTACGTGAATTCGAAATAATCGTTTTATCTGGCCCAGGGTTTAGTGGGAATCAGTCTATACCTAAAATCAGCTTTCTGTAATGATCCACAACAGATAAATCCACAGGAAGATTCGTCAACTTTGACCTCATGTGCAAGATGTCAACAATCTTTTCAAGCTGAGCGTCAAATTTGAATACGTAAAAATACTTTGTGAAATCGAGCAAAAGAACTTGCTCGCACAATGCATGGATTTTCTTATCGCTATTCTTATTGTCTTGCTGCTTGATCGTGTCTAAAATCTGTAACAGCTTCAATGATAATTGCTGTTTTGGATCTGATAATCTCGCCTCACTCACTGGCACACCATTTCTTTCATCTTCATCCTCATAAATAGAGTCCAGTAAGGAAGCAAAGTAAGGGTGATCTACCTTATCTTGTTCTCTGTTAGAAATAAAAATTTGAATGGGTATTGTGGTGTCTTTTGGTTCTTTACAGTCTGTTGATTCGTACGTATCGTACACGCTATCGTCAAAAGTCCAATATGATGGCTCGTTCTGTTCTTTTTCTTTTTTTTTAAGGGTGGTACTGACCGAGTAGTCATCCAATCCATACGACAAGCATCGCATCACCTTGTCCTTCAAATCAATAATAAATCCGTTGCACTGCAAATAAAAGTAGTTCATGTTTTTTTCTCTCAGCTTTTCTCTATCCAAGAATAAAATATTCAAATGGGAATAGCGTTGTGACACAGCACAGTCAATTTCTTCCAAAAATAAGTTCTTATATCTTTGAAGCGTATCCAGTTTTTGTTCATGGCTCAACGTTTCGTCACGATACAGTAATGGTTGCAGGTCATGATAGAAATCGGCTATATCTTTTTTAGTGTACAACTCACAGCCCTTCGTTACTAGTGCCAACGTTTGGCCTAATCTAAAAGCACAGTATTTGACATCGTCTAGTCCAATATCGTCAATGGTCATTTTAGTAAAATCGATCAACTCCAATGTAAATTTCTTCAATTTAAAAGAAGGAACGTTCAGAGCCTTAATGACCGTCGCTCTACATTCTTTACATCTTCTAACTTTGGAAAGTAAGTTAAGCATCGTTTGGCAAACTTTGAGGGGGATTAATCGTCTTACTCTTCCTGAAATAGGACATGGATATTTTTGTTTGTGGTAGAAATAGGTTGTAAACAGGGCATTATTGGCCTCATCTGGTATGCCCTTAAAAACGTCAGCCATGTATCCTGTATCCATGTCACTTGTCAACTTGGTAAAATCGTCTCTACGTATGACCACTAAATTTCTATCCTCATTACCAGAAGATCTGATAAATAAATTACAATCGCTCTCTGGAGGCAGCTGTTCAGTAAACACATAAAACTTGTCTGTGTCTACAGAGTCCTTTGATCCATGAAAATAATAAGGAATCTCAATGTTGAGGCCATCTCTGCTCTTTGAAGAGCTTAACGCTGCATCTGCAGTTTGAGTCGATTGAAACTTATTTAAGAAATCATTAAGCGAAAATTCTAAATTCCAACTCTTCTTCCAATCTTTCCATCCCTTCATACGATGGAATGTTCGTAAGTTTTTTTCATTATTAGTAGTCATCAATTGCTTCCAAGCATTTGACTTTTTCAAAAAATTTGTATTACATGGCCCTTGAAGAATAAATATTTGTTGATGTTTTTCAGTATGATTCAGCGGGGAAACTAATGGAAAAGCCTGTACAATAATATCAGCTAAATTTAAAATCGGAGAAGAGTCATGGGAAAGATCCTCTTCCAAAAACATGATCTTCTTCATCCAATTACGCTTATGACCTAACAACTTGAGCACCCAATTCATTTTAGAGGTCATTAAACGAGAAACATCGTCCTGTGCAAGAGTTGGAGGCTTTGAATAACCTTTCTTCCCCTCAACCTGTTCTCCATGATATTCTGAGCCAATATATTTGAAATAAATCGATGAACTGAGAGGATTCAAAGTTGTAAATAATCGAAAATCTATGGTATTGTATTTTTCTTCGTATTGATGAATTTCTTGTAAAATTCCTTTCGCATTGGGAAGCTGTAAATTATCCAAACCAAAAAAGTTCTCTTCGACCAACAAGGCACATAATTTGTATTGCTCTCCTCTCGGGATGATAGGCAGTGATCCGAAAGAACATGCATGTTCCATCATGGCATCGGGAGAAGGAATTTTGTCTTGGCCGAATTTTTCACAATACAATCTATAGAGAGATTCATCAAGATTGAACAAACAATTGTCAATATTGATCATGATGAGCAGCTTTTTTCTCTGATGTGTTGCAGCAACTACATTGACAGAGGTCCTGTCTTGATCCACGCCATCCGAGCTCAACATTTTTTCTTTGCAAATCGTTCCAGGGAGTGAGCAGCTATCATTTAGAAAACGCATCTATACTGATCATGCAATTTCAAACTAGCATTCAAATACTTGTTGATCCGTCTACAATCTTCACAAGTACTTGCAACATATCAAAGGGAATGAGGCATACTGAGAAAAAGCGCAGATACGTTTGGATCAGTACGATTCGTTCTCGTAAACTAGACCTCCTCAACTGCATCGTGAAAGGCCTTATCATCCCTCTCAAATGTCACTCATCACAGTTGACAAACAAAGAGCGACGCTGCTGAAAATCGTTCAGACATCAAATTCACACAAAAAAATTATTCATTCCGTTTTTTCGTTGCGGTAATCAGAGAGATTGGATTGCTGCCAAAACGCCGTTGTGATACTGAACGAATCTTTTCTCAGCCTAGCAATGTAAGTGCTTTTGATCATTTCCACAAGAAGAATGCCATCAAATTGTCATCAAATTTGTGTGTGAAAAACGATTACTGACATTTTCATTGTTCTTCTTCTTTACTCTTCATAACTCAGCTGTACCATCACCTCTCACATTTTCCAATCACGTCAACAACAACACTTCGATCGACTACTGAGTAGTAGTATCACCAATCGTCCGAGTCTCTCCTCTCAACAACAAACTTTACCACAACTCAACAACAACAACAACGAAAATGGAACATTTACTAGTTCTCACCACAGTGGAACGTATTGGCGACTCTCTTCCCAATACTCCATCATCACAGCGAAGAAAAGGATTCAATTTGAAAGGATACATCAAAACACTAAATGAATTGATTGTTTTACCGAATATTGATTTGCATAAAGTGGTGCAACCACTGATTGATTTGTACGATAATGTCTCAAAGGTATGTATTGTTGTTGTTGTTGTTGTTGTAATGTTGAATTCAATGATTGATTCAAATGATTTTGTTGTGCGAATCATCAACGAAAATTTTCGAATATGTTGATCTCTCTGAAAATCCATTATCTCATCATCATCATGTCAACTATGAATGGTGTATTAGACTTCTATCAATGCAAATCTGAAACCCAGCGAGAAGAGAGTCAAATTGGAGTTGATCAACAAATCTAAACTCATCATTCTGAACTTGTGTTCAGATTATCTAAATTTTGCAATTGATCAAAAACAGGTATGTGTTAATGTTCATAGAAATATCCTTGTGTTGAACGGTCACCTGAATTCTTGACCTTCTTTTTTGGTTCTCTCATGATCCATGTTGTTGTTAACACATCCATGACCATTTTCATCGTTTCACACACACACACACCACACACCACACACCATCATGACACACACCATCATGACACACACCAATCAAATTTTACATACTCTCGGTATGCTCACTTCCATCATCATCATGATGGCATACTCTTATCATCATCATTCGTCGTGATGAATCATTTTGAATCATTGGTGTTTTTGCAAAAATCCATCATCATTCCTATGTGACGACTCCTCACACGATAGGTTGTTCTTCCAAATCATCACTTCAACAACATGTTTCACGAATTTGACCAAGACGATTTGCTGATTGAAGAAAGTCGTGATGAACAAGATGAAGAAGAGGATGAAGATCTAGTTGCTCTCGTCAAGGACTCGCAACAACAACAACAACAACAAAACTCAACAGGAACACCTGTCATAAATGATGACAATACCCTCTCGGTGAATCAATCTCTAAATCAGATTGTTTTAGATCCAGCAAACACCATTGACACCATCAGACCAAGAAGAAGCAGCGGTGTTGCTGTTTCCATTGAATATCTCAATGCTCTCAAACAAAGAAAAAAGAAGGGTTCTGATGCATGCGAAAAGTTTAATGTGAAAAGAAGTGCCATGACATTCGGTACTTCACAGAATAAGAAAGAGCTCGATGAATCAACAGCAGTGAATATGCTCCAACTAGTTTCAACACGATTGTTGTTGCAACATGACATTTACTATGATGCATCGACCGAAGAGTTTTCAAAGAGCTCTGTAAATCAATATTTAGAACAACAATTGAACTACAAATGTATGGAACTTTTGTTTAAACTCAGCGTTTGTTGTCCAGAAGTTGTTTACAAAAGTTTGGTCGAAAGTGCGATGGCAACCAGCGTCAATAACAATTGCATGGAAGTTCCATACATTACTGATTTACAGGCAGATAAGACACCATTTGTTGCTACATTATCTCATTTTAAGTTGATTGAATATTTGAATTGGGATGTTAATTATTTAGAACGGTTGTTGACATGTATCAATTCAAACATGAAAGGTTTTACAAAGTATCTTGAAGTGCTGACACCACCTGTGAGATTAGCCATTTGGAACTTTATTTCAAATTATAATGAGAAATTTATTGAACTTGCTAAAAATCCTTCTTCTTCACTCGTGAATGTTGCACGGGATGTGTTTGACAACTTGTACAAGCAAACGGGTAAGAAACAACGTTCAAAGACATGGCCCACTCTTGCTACTCTCTGTGTGTTAACGGCAGATGACTTGCTCAAATGTGTGAAAGCTGGAAGTACAAAGAAGGTCGGAAGCGAGAATATGACTTCTTTCATCCATAAGGATCTTTTGAAAGCAATGGAAGACAAAGATAAGACTCTTATTTTACCACCTCTCATTGATATTTATAGAGGTAATAGTTACGTTCCTCCTGATATGGAATCTGCGTTCTCTGTTTTGTCTCTCATTGTTGAAGAGAAACTACTTGGTATTTTGTGTCCAGAACCAGGCTCAGGAAAGAAAGATTCTAAACCCTACAGCTCTGAGGAATTGAATGAAGTAGAAATGTGGGTCAATTATGTGACCACTCTCTACAGAAAGAGTCATGACAAGTGTAAACGCTCTGTTCTCATTCCAATCATGACTGAAGGCACTCAAGATCAAAAACACATTGTCAGCAAAGCATTACTTTTCTTGCTTGGTGACAAATCTTCTCAATACTCTTACAATAGACGTCTTGAGACTGATTACAAACTCTTAGCCCAACCTGTGAGAGATGTTTTTAAAGAAACTATTGATCAATTCAAAACCAAGAAAGAAGAGGACAGTCCAGTGTTGACTCCAAGCGCCTCATTCAAAACTCCAAAGAAAGGTTTTGCTGCTCTCCTCAGAGAAAAGGTCAGCGGTAAAGAGAATAACTCTCAATCACAATCGACTCCAAACGCAAAAGTTTTTGATACTGTGAACACATTGTTACACGTGTTTGGTTCAGATCCAAGGTTCTTCCTCACCAAAACTGAGAATGAAACCAAAGTTCATTACAACGATAAGAACTTTACCACGTTGGTCGATTTTTTCATTGCCAATTTCGATCCAACCTTACAAGATCAAATCACTCGATTATTCCAAAAACTCTTCATGGAGCACCACATCAAGAATTGGAGCGATGATATGTATCTTGGTTTTTGTAATATTAGTTCTGACGTTGTGTCACGCCTTTCTCAAGCTCTCTTCAGCTTGAATGAAATTGATCAACCTCAAGGAGTCAAGTCATTGCTTCACTTGTTGAGAAACATTACCTATCGCTCTAAGAAATTCTACATTATGAACAGAGATGCTGTCTTGCAAGTGGACAATATCAGAAGCAGTGGTAAACGATTGCAAAGCTTGGAAATCTTGTCCAGCAATTTATTGATCTACTTGTGCTCGACCGATAAAGAAATTTGGCAATCGACCACAAGATGTCTCAGAGATATTTGTGATCAAGTAGAAACACTTGGCAATCAAAGTCTCAAACATCTCAATTACAACTTTTATAGACAATTATCGAGCGTTGAGTTGAATGGAAAGATTTACAATGAAAGAAAGAGTCAAATTCAACTTTTCAGAAGAATTGAATATCAAACCAAATCCTACGTCTCTGCATTCAATGAAGTCTACAGAAGATGGAAAGAACTTCTAGAACAATTTGGTTCTGATGATGTTTCTGGTTCATCCAACATTACTTGGAGAGATTTATTCTCCAACTACACCTCTTTATTGTGTGCATTGGGCGGAGTTTGCATTCAAGACGAAGTAGACGATAGCAAAGATAATGCTATTACTGCTTTCCGATCTTTCATTTCAGAAAATAGTGTGGATAGCTACATGGAAGATTTGATGAAGCAAGTCATTTCAGATGATGTCAATGTACGACAAATGGTTACCATTTCTGTCTCAACCGATTTATCTCCAACACTCTATACCAAGTTGTTCACTGCTATGAAATCTTCCATTCAAGAACAATTAGGTCAATCATTTAACATTAGTGCTAAGAATAATTTACTTGTTGATCAATATTTGCATATTGTGAAGTCGATTGTGGAAAGTCCAGAAGCTACTTCTGACCTATCATTGGCTCAAGAATTTGATTCGATTACTGATCTCTTTGCCAACTATTGTACACATAGTGAATATGATAATAAGGAAATTCTTGAACTCAAGAAGAAATTGTGTCAATTTATTGAAGTCTTGATGAGCAAAGTTGAATATTTGACTTTCAAGAATATTGAAGAACAGAAATTGAGAAGAGTCATTGCTCAACATGTCATGGAATGGACCACTGACTCTGTCTTTAAGGAAAAGAACAATATGAGTAATGGAGTTCATCAACCTCGTGTTGCTTCTGAGACTTTATTATTGGAAAACAATACTCAAATTGCCTCTGACGTCAAGAAGCTCTATGTGGAATTGGATGTCCTTTGTATGAAAGCATTCAGTTCACTTGTGAATGGAATGATCATTGCAAACGATGAAAAAGGAAGAGAAGAATACTCCAAGTACTTTGCATTCCTGTTGAGATTCTTGGAAAAGTCTAAGGAGAGTCAAATGACAGCCGCAATTTATAAGGCCTTCTCAAGATTGCTTCAAACCAACGTAAGCTTTGGCTTGGAGTATTATATGGCAAAAGTTTATGACAATAATAATGCCATTCGGTCAACATTCTTGAGCTTGCTTTCTGAATTGATTAAGAAAGGTCTTATCATTGAAGAGGAAGAGAAGGAAAAACCAAAAGTTTCAGTTTCTCCATATCAAGAATTTATCAATCGATTGATCTTTACCAACAGAAAGAAGGCACTCTTCGCTCTCTTTGATAAATGCAAGAATCCAGAGAAGGATGACTTGTGTGAAGCTGTCATTTGTATTTATCAAAGCAAGGCAGATATTGAAAAGAACTTACTCGATCTCTTACGTCAAAGTGTTGTGCGTGAAGTCAATGCTACACCAAAGAACCAACCAGAGACTTTGTTCAGAGCCAACTCAACTGCATCTAAACTCATGAAAAAGTATTGTCATCGTGTGAGTACTCCTTATTTGAAGGACGTGATTGGTGGGTTTATTGACACCATGGTTGCACATCCAACCAAATTCGAAATTGATCCACCAAAGGCAGAACAACGAGGTGAGAATGTTCGAGATAACATTGAAAACATTAAGGAAGTCCTTCAAGAATTCATTGACTGCTTGTGTGACTCCATTGGTCAAACTCCATACACATTCAGAATGTATTGCAGATATTTATATGAAGAAGTTGGTAAAAAGTTCACAAAACCAGCCGATGACACAGATGAACAATTTGACTTCAAGTACATTGCCGTTGGTGGTTTCTTGATTTTGAGATTAATTTGTCCTGCCATCACTTCTCCAAATTTGTATGGACTTGCTGGAGAGGACATTTCTGCTGACTCGAGACGTTATGCTATTATTTTAACCAAGCTTGTTCAAAACTTGGCAAACGGTGTGGCAGACGCAAAGAAGGAAGAGTTCATGAGAAACTTTGTTGAAATTATTCGAATGAATATCAGCAAGATTCAAACATTCTTTGAAAAGATTGCTGCACCAATTGGAGAGAATGAAAATTGTCCTCGTTGTGACGAGACTGTCACTGAAGATGAACTGAAGGAAGCTTATGCTGCTCTTTATAGATTCTTCTTTAATTATTCTGATGCTCTCAGAGAAGAATTAACTCACCTCGATGCTGAAGATTTAGAAGATGAACAAAAACTTGTTTTAGAAGAAGTTGATCTTAATGAGAATGCTAAACAATCTGTCCTCAAACCACTCTTTGAAATTCTTGAAGATGGAATTGAAGAATTCGGAAAACCACCAGAAGAAGAAAAGTCAGGCAGAAGACTCTCATTAAAGAGAGCCAAGGATGAAAATGAATTCTCCAATACTTTATTGCAAGAGTTGTTGAGAAAGAATGAGAAGAGAGATACTTCCAAAATTGCTGAAATGAAATTCTTTACCATTAGCGAACATTTGAATGCTAAAGGACAAAGAGTGGCCTATTTCACACCCTATTTACTGGATTTAAGTAGATTCTCAATTGATCTCTTCTTATTCTATGTCTTGAAGAATATGGAAACCATTTGGAAGGATCCTTTTGTCATTGTGGTCGATTGTACTTTCTGGACCAAGAAGTTTGATATTCGTCTCTCTGTGTTCCTTCAACTTTCTAAACACATTCCACAAGGTGCAAAGAAGAATTTACAAGAAATCTTCATTGTAAATCCAAACAACTTCTTTAACAAGACAACCAAGAAGTTAGTTTCATCTTTGGGATACTCTCGTTGGAAGGTATTGACCAGCGAATCTTTGGCTGCTGCTTCTGAGAGTGGAAAGTCCAAGAACCCTCTTGATCTTGCCAAGCCAGAACATTTGTTACTCTCTCCAATCACTCAACAAATCTTCACAAAGAGTGAAATTGTGTTCAATGATGTTCAATTGGTCTTATCCTCTCATGTCACTGAATGTGAAATTAGACTCTTTGATCAATACTTGTTTATTATTGTGAAAGATGAGAAATTCATTGGCAACAAGCTTGTTTGTGACTGTATCGAACACATCCCAGTAACAAAAATTTCTGATATTGCCATCAAGAAATCACTCTTTGGTAAGACTGGTAAAGCCACCAAAGATTTCACAGTCAAGTACATTGACGATGAAGATGCCGAAGCAGTTTATAACTTTAGAAGCCAAACGGTCGAAGAAAGAGATCAAATCATGCAAGGAATTAGAAACTATGTCGAAAGAAAGTCAAGAGGCACCAAATCTGCAAAGGAAGTTGAACGTGACTTTAAGAGACTTAAGGTTCAAGATGTACCAGGACAATTGCTTGCCATTTCATTCTTCAATCTTGACTCAAAGAGCCCACCCATCCGAACAAGTGCCTACTCCTTGTTGACATCCATTTTCGAACAATTGAAACTTCCAAAGCATCCAATCATTCTTGAAAGCGATGTTGTATGTGTTCCAAGAAATACTGAAACCTTTGTTCTAAGAATTAGTGAATATTTCGCAAGAAACAAACCAGAATTAACTCTCGAGTTCATGAAAGAAGCATTGAATGCATTCAAGACCATTCAAGGAAGCAAATCAAAACTCAAGTTTGCCTCCTTCATTTTGCCATGGTTAGATAATCTCACTAGATTTGAAATTTCTCACAGCGATGAAGCTGATGAAAAGACAGAAGCAATCAAAACATGGTTTGAGAACTTTACAAAACTTTGCATTTCGTATGAAGATATTTATCCAACACTTCAAGCAGTTTGGAGACATGCATGCAAACTTTCCCTTCCTTTGACCAAGATTGCCATTGAAAGTGTTCTCAAACAAGGTACCACGACAGAAATGTTAAATGCTGATCAATCTGTTATTGGAGACATTTTAGAAACAATTTTAACCAATGCTCCTGCACCATGGAATTCTGCTCAATTTGTCATTAACAAGATTATTGAACCTATCATGACTCAGGAACTTCATATCGATCTTCTTCACAAGGCAACTGTCAAGGAATTGGTCAAATCTAAGGATATCTTGGGAAGACTTCCTGTCTACATGTCTTACTTGTTAATGTTATCGTTCCACAGTCAAATCAATTTGATTGACAATTTACCGTACTTGCTATTTATCATTTCCATGTTCTTGGGTGTTGGTGCTGACTCGTATATGAGATCAATGGCTTATGGTATTTGTTCTAATTGTGTCCATGGTCTCATTCTAGAATTACCATCCACTGAGCAATATGAACCTCTTCGAAACAAGCTCACAAAACTTCACTTGAAGATGCTCAGTAAGGACATTAAATCAAGTTTCATGGGTGGAGATTATGAACCTCAACCATTTGCTTCATATTCGGATTATATTAACAAGGCAGCAACTGGAAATCCAACTTTGGAACAAACCACCATGTACAAGTATGAAGAGATTATGAGATACTTTAAAGAAATTATGGAATGTTTCAATATTTCATATGAGACGATTCAACAGAATAGAAAATTACCATCCACCAAAGTTCAACCAACCACTCTCTATGTGACTGGTACCTCTTCCAAGATGACTGAAGAAGTATCTGACAATTCAAAGGAGAATAACAATGGACTCGAAGATGATGGCACTGAGAATGACATGACTGAGGGAGATATTGATGATGATCATACAACCACTCTCAGTTCCATTTCTGCAATTCCAAGCACAAGCACTTCAGATTTTGTGAAATCAGGATCAGAAACTGTGAACAACATTTGGTTGAAGATTTTCACAAATTTATGTAAGGACACCATGAAGACTGCAAATATTCTTCTCTTCCCCAAGTCACTCATTGCATATAGTATTGTTTCTACCATGGAACAATCGTATGACATGATTCCATTTGTTTTGAACTTTATTGGTAAGAGAGGAGTGGACACATTGGCTGAAGACGATTTAATGTTGTCTGTCGTGTTATCCATTAATCAGTTCTGTACTAATTTGGTTGTTGAAAAGGATAGAATTGAAACTATTCGAAAATTAGTACTCTTTGGATTCTTGTTATTGACTGTTGGTAACACCAAGATTTATTCTGCAGTTACCAAGATGTTGAGCACTGTTTTTGGAATTTTATTTGAAGCTGGTGACATTCATGACGGTTTCACTTCACTTGGAGATTACTTCCAAACTGTGTTCGCAGCTGAATTTTCCAAATATAGAACCTTTACCAAAGATTTCGAAGAAACTGTTGGAATTTCATTTGGAGAACACTTTTCATTTGCATTTGCCATTTTAATGATGAAAGGTTTGAGTGTGGAAGACTCAACCATTCGAAGAGCTTCTGTTTCCTTGTTGAAACAAGTTCTTTCCATTTCATCCAAGCTCAAATATGAAACTCAAAAACAACTTGGATTTATTACTGCTCTCATTCCATTTGATAAGCAATATAATTCCGTATTGTATAGTGAACAACTTTTCACAGACAAGATGTTCACAAAAGAAACTGTATTCCTCTTCCAAAAATATCTCTTTACCATCGCTTCCAATGTGGACATTGACAGCTGTGCTTCAATCTATAAGACTTTAGCCAGAGGTTTTGAAATTATTCCTGACACCTTTGCCGACGTCTTCCAAGATCACCACAGTATGTCACAAGTCATTAAGGTTTACACTTCATCACAAGATGACAGTATTATTGAACACAGTCTTAACTTGTTCAAGATTATGAGTAACAACGCCAAGTCAAAGAAGTTGCAAGTTAAGGAACCATTTTCTGAATATGGTTTCAAAGGTTTCAAGGATCAATGTACTTTCTCTGGTGTCAAGGATGAAATGAAGAAGAAGTGTCAAAAGACAGCAATATCCTTCCTCGTGGACAACTTTAATGAAAAGGAATATCCTTCCATGGACTCTGTCATTATTTCCAAGACAGGTATGAAGAAGAATATTGTTCGAAATAACTCGACTCTTTCTCCAGTGACTAGACAAAACTCTAGCGGATTGATTAATAAGAAATAATTTTCAAAAACTTGTACCATTATTATTAAACTTTTAATTCTTCAACAAGGAAGATAAACTTGTGAACAAAAACAGTCCAATAATAATGCCAATCACGCTGAAAAAGATAATGAAATAGGCATTCTCTTGCTTTTGTGCCAACATTCCAAACATTTCTTGATGCTTCTCTTTGGTCTTCTTGATAGCTTCCTCATATCCTACATGTTTAATAAATATTTCTGCCTTCTTCTCTGTTTCATTTTGGGTTCCTTCTTTCTTTTTCTTCTTCAAGAGATTCTTGAGTGACATGAAAACACTGGGTTTCTTTGTCGTTGGTGTCTGTGCTCTCTTCGATGATGATCCACTATCTTGTTCGAGTGATGAATTTTCAATATCCATTCCATCACAAACACACGGAATGACATCATAGCTCATTTCTATCCATTTACAAAATAATTTGTTTTCATTCTTGATCAATGCGTTTTCAACAAAATCTGTTACTGCCCAAATTTCCTTCTTGAATTCCGCTTTCATTTCAATCGTTAATTCAACACTCTGGAAGTTATTTTCTGTTTTTTGATCAAACTTAAATATACATGATATCGAAAAGGCTTCTTTCATTGGTGATTCTCCCACCAATGCTATATCACATTCGACATGACATTCTGTTTTACTCTTCATCAATAATGATTCAGTAACTAACAAGTCCACTCGTTTAATGCCTAAAATTGATGGAGCATTAATTTTATCTACAACGGCACTTGTTTCTCTCTTGAATGTGGTTCCGATGGCAAGAGAGTTCTTATTGAATGACGATGATGATCCCTTCCAATCACTTGAAATATTTACAGTAGAAACCTCTTGTTTATGTTTCAGAAATCGTATTTGAAAATCTTCATTTAAAAACGTATGTCTAAGAATGGTTTCAATATCGGTGTCTGGAAATGTGTGTTTGATGGTGTCTGTTTTGACCATATTGAATGAATTTGATAATGTCTATGAGTAGGATCAATCTATCAATGATAATGATGATGGATTACAAGTCTACAGCTGCTCTGGTGATGAAATACAATCAAGACAATATCGTTACGGAATTTTTTTCTTTGATGAACTAAGAACTGACACTAGATTCTCAAAGTCCCCATTCAGAGCAACTTAACCATTCATTCTACAGGTTCATTAAAAATTATTAATAATTAAACTTATATGATAACAAAAATGTTTAATTTTTAATATTTGAAATTAATAATAATTTTTCGAAACAATAACAATTCAAGGAAGACTCAAAATGTATTTGAATAAAATTTTTAAAAAATATTTATTGCAAAAAATCTGCAAAAAAAATATTACACACAACCACATCATCATCTCCCTATAAAAATGATGTCTGACGATGAAAGTGTTTTCCCATTGGGTGATATCTTATCCGTCTCTGGTCCAGTCGTTGTTGCTGAGAAGATGGAAGGTGCTGCCATGTACGAACTCGTCCGTGTCGGTACTCAAAAACTAGTCGGTGAGATCATTCGTTTGGAAGCTGATACTGCAACTATTCAAGTCTATGAGGAAACTTCAGGCTTGACTGTCGGTGATCCAGTTCAACGAACGGGTAAACCTCTCTCAGTACACTTGGGTCCAGGTATCATGGGTTCTATTTTCGACGGTATTCAACGTCCTCTTGAAGTAATTTATAATATGAACAAGGATATTTACATTCCAAGAGGTATCAGCGTAAATGAATTGGACATACATAAGAGATGGCATTTCCAACCAACAAACTTTGGTGTTGGTGATAAGATCACTGGAGGAGATATTTTCGGTGAAGTTGAAGAGAATGATTTCATCAATCACAAGATTCTCTTACCACCAAATGCTATGGGTGAGATTACTTATATTGCTCCTGCAGGTGATTACACTATTGAAGAGACTGTTCTTGAAGTTGAGTTCAATGGTAGACCTTTTAAATTCAGTATGGCACACCACTGGCCAGTCCGTAAACCACGTCCAGTCATTGAAAAGTTGGCTGGTGATTATCCATTGTTAACCGGACAACGTGTTTTGGATGCTGTCTTCCCATCTGTTCAAGGTGGTACTTGTGCTATTCCAGGTGCCTTTGGTTGTGGTAAGACTGTCATTTCACAAGCCATTTCCAAGTATTCAAACTCTGACGCTATTATTTATGTTGGTTGTGGTGAACGTGGTAACGAAATGGCTGAAGTCCTCATGGAATTCCCTCACCTTACTGTTACAAATCAAAAGACCGGAAAGGAAGTCTCTATCATGAACAGAACTTGCCTTGTTGCCAACACATCAAACATGCCTGTTGCTGCCAGAGAAGCTTCTATTTACACTGGTATCACACTTTCCGAATACTTCAGAGATATGGGTATGAACGTTTCCATGTTGGCTGACTCTACATCTCGTTGGGCTGAGGCTCTCAGAGAAATTTCTGGTCGTCTTGCTGAAATGCCTGCTGACTCTGGTTATCCTGCATATTTGGGTGCTCGTTTGGCTTCTTTCTACGAACGTGCTGGTAAAGTACGTTGTATTGGTAACCCAGGACGTACTGGTTCTATTACCATTGTCGGTGCCGTCTCTCCTCCTGGTGGTGACTTTGCTGATCCAGTTACAGCTTCAACATTGGCCATCGTTCAAGTCTTTTGGGGTTTGGATAAGAAATTGGCTCAAAGAAAGCACTTCCCTTCTGTAAATTGGTCTATTTCATATTCTAAGTATATTGAAAGTTTGGAACCTTTCTATGAAAAGGTTGACCCAGAATTTACTCGTTTGCGTACAGTTATGAGAGAAATTCTTCAACAAGAAGAAGATTTGACTGAAATTGTGCAATTGGTCGGTAAGGACTCACTTCCAGAAAATGACAAAGTTACTATGGAAGTTGCCAGATTGTTGAGAGAAGACTTTTTGCAACAAAACTCTTACACAAGTTATGATATGTATTGTCCATTCTTCAAGACAATTCTCATGTTGCGTAACTTTGTTAAATTCTATGAGGAATCCCAAAAAGCCGTTCAAGAATCTGGTGCCGGTAAGATTACTTGGAATACCATCAAGAATGCCATGGGTGATATTATGTACAAGTTATCAAAACAAAAGTTCATTGAACCTAAAAACGGAGAACAAAAGATCAAACAAGAACTCAATGAGCTCTATCAAGAAATTGGAAATGCCTTCAAGAATCTCGAAGAGGATTAAATCATTTTGAAAATGCAATAATTATTAAAACAATTTTGTAAAACGAAGAATTGAACCTCTTTTTTGAAATTCATCTCCGGCATCAAAAAATGTCACAACTCCCTCAGTTTTTGATTCGTCAAGAAACGCCTCAAGACCACCAAGCAGTCTTTGAACTCATTGAAGAGGCCTTCCGAGATCTTGAGGTCAGTGATCATCAAGAGCAGTTTCTCGTTGAAAGACTCCGATTCTCTCCTTCGCACTTTATACCTCAACTCTCCTTGGTTGCCCATACTTTAGATGGCCAAATTATTGGGCACATACTCTTAACAAAATGTCACATCAATTACACAAATGATCGATTGGAATCCTTGGCCCTTGCTCCTCTTTCTGTAAAACCAGGATATCAAAGAAAAGGAATCGGAGCAGCTCTTATCAAAGAGGCTCACAAAATTGCAACAGAATTAGGATTTACCTCTGTCATTGTTGTTGGACATGCAGAATATTATCCTAAATTCGGATATCAACCTACCAAACAATTTGGAATTACATTTCCCTTTGAAGTTCCTGATGAATGTGGTATGGTTATCGAATTACAAAAAGGTGCTTTGAAATCTGGAGGCATTGTTGAGTATGCACCTGAATTTCAACTTGTCTAAGAAACTTGGATAATAATAAATGAATCAGAAAGACACGTTGAACAACAACAATTTGAAAATAAAAATGCTCGGGCTCAAAGTTTCAACACATAAATGTAACCAGCTCGTCTCAACTTCTCGCCCGTACTATCGGAATGATGAGAAACATACTCATCGGACTGAAACCAACTTCCGAACAAAACACAGTAAACAACATACAACACGGAGATGTTGTGGTGCATTTCTTACTGTACAATTATTGTGTATCATTATTGTGTATATCATAACAATTGGAGCTTTATGGGAAGATCATATTCAACTGTGTACTATAACTCATCATCAATACAGAAAGATAACTTTTACAATTTTGTTCGGGCTTCCGATGAGAGTACTACATCCGAAAAATTGAATGTGGGATTTAATTTTGCTGCTGAGGAATCAGGAGCAAAGATTTTGGCTTCTAATCCTGAGGCAAAGGTAAGAATATTAAATAATTCTCCTCTTTAAGGCTTATTATAATTTAGAAAGTTTCTAGAATTCTGAACGAAGACTCCGACAAATATTGCCTAATTCCTCGAACAGCACCTCAAAAGTGGATCATTGTGGAGTTATCAGAAGAAATTTTGATGAAAAGCATTGCTCTTGCAAATTTTGAATATTATTCGTGCTCGTTTAAGCATTTTAAAGTCTATGGATCCGTAAAGTATCCATGCAAGGGACAAAAATGTTGGGAACTTGTTGGATCTTTTCAAGCTTCAAACGGAAGAAAAGTGCAATCGTTTATCTTTAAAAAGCCATCAATCACAAGGTACATCAAGTTAGAATTTTTGACACACTATGGAGAGGCTGAATATTATTGTACGTTGAGCTTATTACGCGTGCATGGGTCGACATTATTGGAAGATTTGAAAAAGTCTCTTCAAAAATCATCCAGTAGAAAATCTCATGAGCCAAGTTCGATTGATGCAGCTACTCCACAAATGGAAGAGGATAGTACTCCAAAACTTGAAACTAAACATGACCACCACACATCTGACAATATGGCAACTGCCAAAATTATTGCAGAAACTATTACGACTGGTGTTAATGATATTCAAGCGAACCTTACAAATTTCCAACAAGAAAACAAAACAGCAAGTGAAACTGAAAATTTGGAGGAGCAATTTGGAAAGCTTTTACATGACGATATTTCAGATTTTTTGAAACAATCGATCGATTATTCAAAAATGGGAATCACAAACAAATCGAAAACCAATTTTTGGGCCTCCCAAATCAAACATAGATTGGAGAAATTGAGAGTTTGTTTGCTTACAGAGAGTCCAACCAAGAAATTCCTAGTTGTGCCAGACATTCCTACAATGAGTGTCATGACAAAACAGCACTATATCAACAGTACGATTTTCCTTAAAAATTATTCGTCTCCTTACATGCGACCCATTGATAATACCAGTTCTCTGATTTTATCCAGAAAACATGAGCTTCAACCAATTTGTCTTGCTCCCTTGAGAGTTATATGGGCAAATGTGTCATGCCCCTCTCTGCTTCGCAACAACTCTCCTGAAACCATACAAAATGTCTCTCAATCTGTTAATTTTTCTACCACTGAATCTGCTACTTACCCAAAAACGATAACGGATGATGACGATGATGATATTGATGATGGAGATGACGAAGCGCCTGAAGACACTCTTTCACAAATTATTAACGAAAAGGAAAATATTCTCAAATCATTGTTCAATGCAAGTAAGTATTATAATTAAGAATCTACCACTTTATTCACCCTCAAAATAGTTAAGGTTCATGGAGAAAATGAAGTGTTTTTAAGAAATCAGATTAAAAGTCTGGAGAATCGATATTTAAAAACAGTTCAATACATTCAACAAGTTCTTGAAAAGAATGGAGAAGACCACAAAACAATAGCAAACAGCTTTGTCTCGTTAACTCAAAAGCAAAGAGAGGCCATTGTTTCAGAGCTGGTACGTTGTACATTTTATTATGATTTTTCTTTAACTCACATGTCACAGAGACATGAAATTGATACCAAACTGAAAACAAAAATTGAAGAGTTTAGTACTGTAATAGACTCAAAAATTGCCAAGATCAGAGAAGAACAAGCTCAACAATTACGAAGCCTTAGGAAAGAATTTTTAGTTTATGGAGGTTGGGCAAGCATTTTGATTTTATTTTTCATCTTCATAGCACGTCCAAAGAAGGAGATAGTCATTCGTGGCAGAAATTCTCCCTACATGGATAAGATAGACTCTCCCAAAAGAGAATTCCAAAATAAGGGAAAGAGTCCTGCAAATAGGCTATCGTCCATGAATCTTCTTAGTATCCTATATTCTTTTTTCTTTCAAAATTTTGATGAGCATGAGGATGGCTCTAATGCATACATTGATAGAAGAGACCTCTATTCTAACAATATATCATTCGACGAAGATGCCATGCAAGATAGCGCCATTAAGAAAATTAGCCAAGAGGAAAAAATCACACAGGCGGTAGTAGGCACAAGAAGAGGTTCTCTAAAATTCTGGAATGAATCGGGGAATTTGAACCTCTTCTTCTGTCTTGTTTTGAAGGGTTGAATATTCTTCTACCAAGCTTCTGGCATTCTCTAGAGCTTCACGAATAGCTGATTTTTCCATATATTGGGTGTAGTGATGAAGGTAGAAGTTTTTTCTAAACAATTTCTTGCATCGTGCTTCCATCTCATCAAACACAGCACCAATACAGCAGTTATTGGCAAGACAAAGCAATGAATATGGTTGATTGTGAGGAGCAACATGACAAAGACCAACTTTGAACCCTTCTTGATTCCAATATATCATATCCATTCCAGATTTCATTTTTGCAATATTTCTATTGATATCTGAGATGTTTGCTTGTTGTCCTCTTAAAATCAATCCACACGACAAATATTTGTTGTGGATTGGATCACATTTTAACAATTGATAATCTCTTGAGAGTACATCTTTGAACATTTGATCCATTCTTCTTGGAGGTAAATGTATATCTTTAGGAACAACAAATGGAGACAAACTGCTAAGTAGAAACTTCAGTTTTGGATACGGAACAAGATTAGTGGTGATTTCGTTAAGGTCAACATTCAACGAACCCTCAAATCTCATGGAGCTTGTAAGATTTGCGAGAAGACTTGCAGCAATATCATTCATTTGATCGAATGGCTTTGAGTCCTCACCAGATATAGATCTTACACATCCTTCTTCTTCTCTAAAGAGTTTACAAGCTGGCACATGTCGTATAATGCTTGATTTTCAAGAGGAAGAACGCAGTCTGAGTGTTGTGTTAATTCATTCAACGACAAAATTGAGTTATAGGGAGATGTGATAACATCGTCATCTTTTGATGGAAAAACACATGTTGTGAATGTGTAAATTTCTGGAAATTCATCATGCAACACTTTGACAATATAAGATCCCAAACCAGATCCTGTACCTCCTCCTAGAGAATGTAATATGAAGAAGCTCTGTAAAGAGTCGCAGTCCTCTGCTTCCCTTCTTACCTTATCCAACACTTCGTCGTGATACTGTGGACCATATACTTCGTGCCCATGAGCCCAATTATTTCCTGCTCCACTCACGTCACTGATAAATTGTTGGTCCTTATTAAATAGGCCTCCAATTTCCGATTTTAACAAACTCTGCAACACTCCTTCCTCCATATCCACAAGTACAGCTCTCGCCCTAATATCAGGCAAATGCCCACCACTATTTGATTTTGCTTTTCCATCATAGTCCCATTTGAAAAATGTAGAAAGTGGGTCATCATACAACAAATCGGGGCTCTGATTTTTCTTACTTTGAAAATGTGAAGCGTGTTCCCTCAAAATCAAATCCCACATTCTACCTCCGATTTGATTACCACATTGTCCCACTTGTAATGTACTTGAAGTATATCGATCATGATACGATGTGTCATTAGAAAGTTGTAAATGTTGTATTTAATCACCAACAAGGGTTTGTATAATCACATGATTGCACCAGCCCGCCAACACTTACATAATCTCACGAGGCATTTTTTTTGATCTGTTTGAACAAATTTACACTCAGAGTTCAAAGGTTTAATGTGTGGTCACAAATTCCACTCCGAGTTCAATGTGGTATTCGGGTTTATTGCTGTGGTTACAAATGGTAAAAAGTTAATTACAGAATTAAGGTTGAAAAACATGTGAGATTGAAAAGTTCCAAAGCATTACTTTCAACAGATGTCACACTCACATCAACAAGTGTCGCAGAATCAATGACAACAGTGAGTGTTCGAATCCTTGTAGAGAACTGTTAAACAATTCAAAGGTCAAGGAGCACTAGCCTTCTGTGTTCACGCATTCTTTCCAGATGGTCATTTAAACGTTCTTGATAACGATTTGATCTGGAATTCATTTTCTCTTTTTATTATTGTATAAGATTGAGAATGATGATTGGTAGAAAAGACTATGTTCATGAAACTGCAACATTTGCAGTGTAGTACCTTAACCTCTCAAGCCTTATAATCGTCACATCAACACACCTATGCTATCAACGTCGGTCATAGCCACAACACTCATTGCATCTCTCTCGAACCAGCATAAAAAGTCGGTTATATTACCGCCAGCTTGTTAACAACATATGAGTTTGCATCCAGAGATAGATGACCTTATTGGCTACAGTATGGCAGTTGAGTGACAGGATCGTGTGTGAAAAGCCTTTAACACATTCTTAAAAAACAACTAGAAGTAATTGTTTACACAAACTAAACCGCACTTCGACTCACGTCAACAACAGCAAACCACTCTCAACCTCCTAAGCAATGGGTAATAGACAATCACAAAGACAGCACCAAGGTGCAAGTGGTCATCGACCTCATCCGCACAAATTGACCAACAAATCGGTCAGTGAAATTCGTCTCGCAAGTGTTCATGATAAGAGTTTTTCAAGTTCCCTCTCAGATTCTCTTGACTTTACACACATGTTCTCCATGGGTCAGAATGATAAAGGTAAGTACGATGAGTTTAATGATCATCATTGTGTGACATATTTTACCATATATACATCGATGATAAAGGTCAATTGGGTAGAGGTATAATGAGTAAGGATGATATTGAATCATATCCATTGGGTCCAATATTGGAGCTTCATAAACAAGAAAGTGCATCACACACCGAAGAAGAACAATTAGAAATCAATTCTCGTGTGCTCAAAGATATTAAATTTGTAGCTACAGGTCGTAGCCACTTACTCATGGCCACACATTGCAACAAGTTATATGGAATGGGATTTAATAACTACTCACAACTAGGATTTCCTCAAGACGAAGAGAACATTCCAAGACTGAGAGAGATTACACTCCCTGAAAGTGTGACAACCATTGATGGTGTCGCTGCAGGTTGGTTCCACTCCATTGTCGTGTGTGACCAGAATAAGATCTTTGCTGCTGGTCATTCATTCTTTGATCAAACCTTTGATGTCAAGATGGAGCCCAATTTTCAGAGATCCATTCGAATGGATTTTTTACAGAGAGATAAATCCAAAGTCACTACCGTGAGTGCAACGACCTTCTCATCAAGCTTAGTGGTCGACAATTGGAAAATCTATGCTTGTGGTGAAATGAATGCAAATTCAAATCCAACCAATTATTTAGTACCTGGATGTGAAGTATTCAAACGAGAGGTCATCAAAAAGTTTAAACATGCTGATAAGGGTCTCGTGGCATTGTGTGAAAATGGACGAGTCTATTTTGCAACCAAAGAAAGACCATTCCATATACTCATGGAAAATATTCATTCCATTACACCCTCACACATGTATGAAACCACTTATACATTGGAAGAGAGATCAACAATTTTGAGTGAATGTGATTTGGCTCCATACACGAAACGAAGTAATATCAATGTGGCTGCATTTATTGAAAAATACGGAATGGATAATGTGCAACTCTATTGTGGATATTGTTTCTATTATTTAGTTGTCAATAAGAAGAGGGTTTACACAATTAATGGAAGCGAATTGAATGAAGTTCTTAATTTGGAAGGAATCTCTACAAGTATCAACATTAAGGAAGTTGTTGCCACATCAGATTGCTCCTACTTTATATTTGAACGATGTTTATTTACAGCTGCGGAGCTTTTGATGAAATCTAGATTGAAAGAAAATGAGAAATTTGCAGATATTGAGATTGTCGCCACCTGTGACAGCATGTAAGCATGAAATGCTTAACAATATTGAAATTGTGAATATAAACAAATACAATTCTAAATGGATGGTTTATTCGTCGATATATGCAGCCTCTGATGAAGGGGCACTACCAGCCATGTTGAAGCCACCGCGAACCAATGGAATGTTTGTTTGATCCAAAAAGAGTTTTTTTTCATCATTGGATATTAATGGACACTTCTCGTACCAAAATAAATCTAATTTGATGGCATTTTGGTAGTTAATCATTGTTTGTAAAGTCTTGGAGGTAATTCTCTTGTTGTCGCTAATAAAGAATTTTTTCAATTGTGAATGATATTTCATAATTTTCTCGACTGCCTCATCTGAAAGGTCATTACCAGTTAGTCGTAGTCCTTGCAACCGATTCGTGCTCACATCTTCAATTCCATCAAGGAATTTGTCTGTCAAGTTGCATCGTTCCATAATTAGATATTTTACGTGGCAGTTGCAAATTGGACAGAGGAAGGGCAATTAACCATTCAATGTCTGTGAGATTGTTCTTCTCAATTCTCAAGTAATGTAAATTAGACAAGTCTGTAATCTCACATATCTCAATATTTGTGCATGAAATATTATTCATTTCAAGATCCAATCTTTGTAATTTGGAGCATGACTTCAAAATAGTCACAAGAGCAGTTTCATCCAAATTACATTCTCTTAACTTTAAGGTTCTAATACACTCAGAGAATGATCTCATAAACGTCAATATTCCAATGCTAGACAAGCTCACACAATGATTCAAATCAACAGTATCAAGATTCTCAAACTTGAATGAGCCGAGCTTGGAAAATGCAGTATCCTTCATATTTTGATTCTTACTTAGTTCTATATAAGTTAATTGATTTAGAATTTCGCCATTAGATGGCTCGAATACCTTTTTTAAGTTACTTGTGTTAAAGCCACAACCAGAGAGTTTTAGCTTGGTTAAATTTGGTAGTTTCACTTTCATTAACTGTTCCATGCCACTATCTGAAAAATTTAAACATCTCTCGAAACAAATTTCTCGTAAATTACTTTGTCCAACAGTGCGCATGGATTGTTTGGTTATTTTCTGATTTTCTAAGAACAAAATTTCCAATGCAGGCAGTTTCATCAAGTTGGAAACAGAATATTCATCTGTAAATCCTTCACTTGAAATCAATGATAAATGTTTCAATCGAGATTCTGAGAATTCATTTTTGAGAATTTTCTTAATTGAACCTTGATTTTCTTCAATGTCCACAATAAAATCAAAGTTATATTTCTGAGGTGGAAAATCTCGCAGCATCATTCCAGTATTCAATTTCAAATAGGTCAATGAAGCAAGTTCAAACAACTTGGTAAACTCCCAATCGTACACTGAATCTAATTTCAGCTTTTTCAAGCTCTCACATTCTCTTAATGCTGAACATAGACCTGAATGGTAATGTTTTCTATTTCCAATAAATGTAAATCTCTCAATTCTCTTATTCTTTCTTAATGATTGACAGTAGGTATCAGTCATTGGACAGTAATCCACTGTCAATGTGTGAGCATGTTTAAAAATGTAATTCATGATAAACCCATCCTGTTCAACTTTTTCACTCGGGTTACGTGATTCATAGGGTGTTAAATCTCCTTTCACAATGAAATTTCTATATAAAAACACGACATGTGTTTTGTGTATATCCCAATGTTTGTAACCAAAGAATAAATTAAAAATTGAATGATGATTCTTGTTATGGACACTTTGAAGAAAATTGCAATATTCATTGATGGATTGTTTGGAGAGAATGAGAAAGGAGAGAATGTCTACAATAACATCCATTGGAAGGATAGAATAATCCGAATTTTCATTTGTTTGAGAAGAAATATCATTCATTGTGCTCTTCAAATCCGATGAATTATCATTATCGGAGAGTGAAGATGAGCCTTTCGGTGATGATTGCAACATTTTTTTAAGAATTCATACAAAAGACAGACGATGAGAAGTTGTATAAATAAAAGGATCGAGCATAAAATTACATTCTAGAATTGAGTCTTTTATCCTTGTTTTCAACAGTTTTGCGTCCTTCTTCATCCACAATTTATGAGAGGATGGAAAAACTTGGATTTCCGCTTGCGCATGTTTTCAATTTGTTTTTTGAAGACTGTTAAGTGTTGTTGAGCACCGTTCGAAAAAATGTCTCAACAACAACACCCTTCGGAACAAAAAGAAGCTTCCATAACACATCCCATGGATGATGATCGAGATGAAGATTATGAAACAGAAGAAGAGGAAGAAGCTTTCATTAATGAAGAAGATATTGATCATGTAGCCGGAGAATATGATGAAAATGATAAGCCTCCGAGTGATGATGAGGAAGAAGATGAATGGATGGATGATGATGAAGAGGAATCTAAAAACAGACCTTTAAGAAATGTTCCCGATTATTCAACAAGCTCGTTTAATGAACATACAGACGCTATTTATTCCATTAGTGTGGTTGAGAATGGATTGAATGAATTTTTGTGTGTCACATCAAGTGGAGATGATAGTGCTTATTTATGGAAGTTTAATACTCAAACACTCACTACTACACCTATTAAGAGACTCTCTGGACATACAGATACTGTTTTACAATCAAAATTCAATTTCGATAAGAGTTTAATTGCTACTGGCGGTATGGATGGAACTGTGAAAATATGGAATGCTCAGAGTGGTGATTTAATTTCATCATTGGAGGGACCAGCAGAGAGCATTGAGTGGATTGACTGGCATCCAAAGGGAAACATTGTTATTGGAGGATCAGCAGATTCAACCACTTGGATGTGGAATACTCAGAAAGAACTTTGTTTGAACGTATTTTCGGGACACTCTGACAGTGTGACTTCTGGATGTTTTTCAGCAGATGGTAAACTTATTGTCACTGCTTCTGAAGATGCAACAGTTAAGGTTTGGAATCCAAAAACTGCAGAATGCGTGGTCACATACTCTGCTCATGAAAAGAATATCAAGTCATTCTGTGAGGAACCAATCACTGTTTTGAAATGCAACCAAAACAATACGGCTATCTTTTTATGTGGTTCCTTGGACGGATCTGTTGCATTATGTCAATTGGAACAGCAACGAGTATTGAGTTACTTGAGAAATAAGCATGCTCATACTAATTCTGTTGAGGATGTTCTGTTCCATCCAGAGCAACAACACTTGCTGGTGAGTGCTGGCATGGATGGCCAAATTGTGTTATGGGACACACAATCCTCTACAGCTCGACAAGTTTTGAAAAATTATCCTCTCCAAGAACATACTGAATTGACTTCAACCGATTCTAATGTTGGTGGATCTTCTACAACTACTGTTTCAACAGATCTCAACTTTGATACCAGTGCCGCTCCCGTTGGTGTTACACATATTCAATTTGATGCTTCACGGCCTTATATTCTCTACTCGGGTGACATACAAGGAAATATCTTTAGTTGGGACGTTCGTGTTGGAAAAGTCGTGAAAATGTACCAAGGACATGCTGACGTCATTTCCGATTTTACACAGAGTAGTGACTACATCTTCTCGGTATCAGAAGATAAAAGAGCCCTTATTTTCAATAAACAATAAGTTTCATGCATGATTTATATTTACACATTTCAATAATGTTCATAAGAATCGCCACCAAATTCTCTTAGTAATTTATAGTCATGTACATGTTTCCTCACTCCTTCAAGAATTTCCTCAACCTCCGAGTTAGAAAATTTGCTCACCATTGCAGCAAATCGGTTGTATATTTCCAGATCGTTTTTGTCTTCCAAAAACCTCTCTCTAGGTGTATTAATAACGTATTGATCGAATTGAGCTCTTCTCTCTGATGCATTTTGTTGTTCCAGTTGATGCGATATGTGAGTGCTTAATTCCTCTATTTCTTGTATTTCTGAAAAACTAAGTGGTGATGGATTTCTAAGTTCTTCCGACATGGATGTCATACATCTCTGCCTTAGAGATTGATGAGACAGAGCTGATTGAGAGCGAGGGCCTCTGGATCTACTTGACGAAGCACTAACATGAACTCCAAGATCAAAAATGCAACATTCAAGAATCAAAGGATACTTACCGACTCTTGGAAGGTGATGACGGAGAGTTTGCTGCGCTCCGAGGCGAATTTAGAAAACCTGAAAGAGAGGGAGAAGTAAAGTTGTAGGAGCTATCAGCTCTTGATTCCGTCATATCACCGTTGAGATGTTGATCTTGTCTCGGGTTGAATCATTCAGCACAATGGTCATTCATTTGAAATGAATACTTACTTCTTTTCTTTGGCCGGACCACCATCGTTCGTGGCGTTTTATTATCTATCACTGATTTCGAATTTTCAAGTCTTGATCTATGCAAGTAGTAATGTATTGAGAGGGCATCTCTTCCTCCTCGATTTTTAAAGGAATAGGCAAAATAAGGTGACTTCTCCGAGGTAGACATTGGCACAATTTTTTTTACAGTTACGATTGTTGGTTGTTTGCATCGTGAATCGTAGATTTCCCATTTCATCGGATGAGCCTTGTTGTTAGGTGATTCAAAAGCTCTCTCAATCGACTCGTGATGAAATATTCAAATATGCGAGTGATACCACCATCAAGTAGTAGAAATGACTTTCTAATGGCTTGTTCTTTCTCATTTCCAAATATCCATCACCGCGCATCACCTTCTTTCCCTCAAATAAATGCACTTCCAATAATAATACTCCAGCGCGTACGATCTTGAAGCTGATCTTACTGCTGCTCATCTAATACTTATGGGTATACATATTTTCTATTGTTTGTTTGAAGAATAATGTTGTTGCATTTGTTGTTCGAGTTTTACTCGATGAGCGTTCAGTAATATTTCTCCCTTATCAATGGTCATGGATTTGTATTGAAAGTAAGGTTGATGATGTGTTGCCATCATAGAGCTATTAGAAAGACCAAAAGTAGATGGCGACAAGGAAGAAGATATGGATGTACAATGATTCTTGTTTCCAATATTACTTTCCTCAGGATTGAAATCAAACACACAGGTACCCACTGTTAAATGATGAATCTCTTCATCTTCTTTCAAGGGAGCACACAAATAAATCACCTTCTCATAGGGACAAATCTTCTTCACAAAACCAATTCCGATGAATTGAGTGTCAAGTTCAGTGCTTGTCTTGAGTGTCATGAGAGGATAATCAGACTTGGTATGGTGTTGAGATAGAGTAGAATAGAAGGAATTCTTTTGTTTGTTCTGATGTGTTGTCATGAACTTGTAAATTCCTACAAATGAAGCATTGAGATGATAGAGACCTTGAGAGAGTTCACTCGGATCCATATTCAATAACGTAATGATTAGAGAATTCCATTTGATTTTTCGACAAGGAGTAAGTTCAGAGAAAAATTGATATATACTTTGGGAGTAGTTCATAGTCGTTGAGTTGGTTGCCAACGTGTTGTTACCTTCTAAAATCGTATTCAAAAATGGGTTGAATCGATGAAGAAATTCCTGTGTGGAGTAATATCTTGAAAAGTACCAAAAGTGTTGCATATTAATTTTAGAAAAGTAGTGATTTCTATAGGCTTGTTTTGAATTGAGAATAAACAGTGTTTCTAAATTTCTCAAATCAAAGATGGGCGTATTTGCTCCATTGAATTGATTTTCTGTAGCATACTTTGCATTGTACTGTTCTCGTTGGTATAATGATGATTATATTGAATAAATGTTAATCGATTATTCAAGGCATCATGATGTAATGGACCAGATGGAGAAGGACTATAGGATGGATTTTTAAAATTACTCAATATAACAATATCAATGGGTGAAAATAATCGAGCAAGTTCCAACACAATTTGATATCCACTGGATGGAAGTAAACTGTGAGTATTCACTACTAATGGAATGTCTTTAAATTTCTTCTTATAGAGTTGATACAAGTTCATTGATTGGTGAATATATGTTTCCATTTGAATATCCGTAGATGCATGTCCATGATAACACCAATCAATTAATTCATTCTCTTCAAAATTTTGTGAATTATATAATGGTCCAAATGTTGAACTTGTGTGAATCGATAGAGACATGGTACCTCTCACACCATGTGAAGGAACATTAATGTTTAAATCTAAAAATGCTACTTTTGGATGATCATTCAATAATACATTCATGAGATAGGTACTAAATACTGATTTTCCTGATAGACCATGACCCACTATTAAATATTTTCGATTGTTTTTAGATGTAGTAGCTCTATTCGTGACTCGTTTGATAAAATTATCTGCAAAAGAAAATTTCAATGGATGTGAAGGAACACTTTCATCATTTGCTGAAAATATGTAAAGAGATTTTAACTTGCGTTTGGATTTGTCCAATTTTTGATTATTGAAGATTTGCATATTTCTGTGAATGAAAAAGCATCTTACAAATTGATCAAATTTCATCTGATCATCAGATGCTATGGAATCGGGAATGTAAAATTCAATAGTTGCTTGTTCTTTACCACAATTTTCAATTGGAATCATTCCAAATTGACATGAAGCATTCAAGAAATAGGATTGATGACTCGATTCTATCATTCTTCCCATAATCTTTATCCTTCCTTGTAATACTATGAAATAACAAACACCAATGACATGAATGGTCGTATTTTCATTTTTCAGTCGTGTGGTAAAAGTTTGTCGAGTCGTTGATGGTGAAGGCAATAATGTATCCATCCTATTTGAGATGGTAATATTGTCATCATTGTCTTGTTCATCATTCATATGCTGCTCGTCATCGGAGAGACAATCAACAGTGCTTCGGGAAGGTTCAATGACTTTTTTGAGCATTTTTTTCTTTGGTAAACAATTTCCCTTGATCAGCAAGGCACCACTGCAAAAGTCATTGAATACTCACGCGCTTGTTTTAATATCCATGTATTGTGCTTGTTTATTTTGTGGTTTAAATTTTGTGAAATTGTGTTTTGTTAGATTACATTGTGTTCTTCCTGAGATCAAAATTGGAGTGTTGTTGTTGTTGTTTTCGTACCAAATTGTTCTTACATGCTATTCGTTGAGGCAATTTGTAAGAACTTAATCAACGTATTTACATCTTCACGATGCACTGGCGAAGGATCCACCAACATGTTTTGTTGTTGAGGAGGTTGTGGTTGAATATTCATTTGAGTTTGAGATGCCCTTAATAACATGTGAGAAGGAGGACACAATTGCGTACTCGTACTGGTCGTGAAACTAGTATCAATTTTGAGTGGTTTCTTAGCAATGGTCTTTTTCATGGGATAGACAGGTGAAGATGAAGTACTGTTCATGGAAGGTAATTGAGTATTGTTCGTATTGGAGTGATCTGACACAGAGTGATTGTTAGGATACAATGAAGGATGGGTTGTTGTTGTTGGATGAGAGAGGGTGGGTTGCTGTTGTTGTGCATGTTGCTGAATGGAAATCATGGGAGGTGAGTTAGAGGGTGTCGAGCTCGACGTCGATGAAGATTTCGTCGATGAACTCACACTCGAACTCGATCGTTTTCGTGCAGTGACTCCATGCTGCTGCTGCTTCTTATTCTCTCCTCCTGTGGAAGCATTGGTAGTAGGCATGTTCAACTTTTTCCATTGATACAAATCATGGAAATAGCAATAATTGCACACATTGTTCCAATCTGATGCTATGAACTCTCGTTTGAATTCTGTGGGACATCTCAATGAGAATCTTAATCGGTTGGAAACATCTCTGGCACAACCCTCAATGCAACAAACAGTTTGATGCTGTTCCACTCTGACATCCGATGAAGAGTGAGAGACTCCAGAGGTATTTGAAATCACTTCATGGCTTTTTGCTCGTTTTCTGGTTTGAACGGCATACGAAGAGGTATTGTTGTTCGTGTTAGCTAAAGTAGAACCATTGGAATGAGCTTCATTCATGGACTTTCTCTTTTTGGTATTTGAGATGTCGTCCTCAGAGTGTGTTGGAACAGAGGAGACGAGTGTTGGTTGAGACAATGAATCTTGATTGCTCTGGCCAGATGGATACGACGAATTCATGATGGATGGGAATGTAGAAGGAGGGTGTTGATGCAACATCATTGGAGGTGGTTGTGGAACAGAGGTAATGTTAAAGGATGTGGAAGGTCGTTGTGAAAAGTCTTCACGAACCTTATCGAGGAGTAACTTTCTCATGGTTAATAATAACAGCAGCAAGATATTGAAGAAGAATATTAATGAAGGTCACCGTTGAAAACTACTACTACGACTACTTTGTAATGACTTGGAGCAAGACTTGATTTCTTCACTCTTTTGAATGAGTGTGTGTGAAAAATACAATGACGTGAATCGTGTTCTCAGAAACAAGGAACAGATGAACTTGAGAGGAGCTTTAAAAAATTCACACACAACGAAGTAACGGTTGTTCACGAAAGAAGTGTTTGAATGTGTGAAATTAATAATCAAATTATTAATAATACACACAAATAGATGGTTGTTAACAACAACTTGAAGCAGAATGCAGAATCTGATTCGAGTGTGAATTAAAGGTTTTTTTTTGAAGGTCTAAAATAGATTGTGTCGAGAGCTGCCGCGATTCGATCTTCATACAACGTTAAGCAGAATCTGTGTGAAAAATCCGTGCTGTGACGCAAGATGCATCCATGTGCTCACGTGTCGTGTTGGGCTGTTTTTGTCACTGAAAAGGTTTATTGTTTTTCTGTCAGTGTCTTGTCCATGTTCTCAGAGATGGATGCTATTTTGGAAACAATATTACTCGATTGGAGTTTTGGTATCTCTGTGTGAAACGTGTGATGGCGATAGAATGAACCCCAAAAGTAATGATAGAGGAATGTCTGTTTGGCTCATAAAAGAGACAAGCCACGTTCATAAATGTTCCTAGTTCCCAAATAGATAAGCCGTGTGTAATTGCCAAATAAATAATAATGGTTGATACAATCACCTTTTGGATTCACAAAGTTTCATGCTGTAGAAGACGAAATAACAAGCTCCAGATTATCTTCTCTGAGAATTGTTTGGTGCGGATGGTGGTCCAACCGTAGTGTTTTTCAAGGATTGGAAGTACTTGGCTTTCTCAAAGTTGTATTCCTCAACGCCCTCTTGAGGTGGAATGTCATATCCTTCATGATAAAATCCACACTTGGTACCATTTTTACAATTTCCTTTAAGGTAAAACAAACATTTTATGGGCTTGAATGATCTTGGCTCAACAGGACCTTGTGGAGGTGGAGGAGGATTTAGAGGAGGTCTTGGCTTTGATTGTTGTTGACTTCTGTTGGATGATTGACGATTGTGAGGATGATGGTGGTGATTAGGTTGACGAGATGGATGATGTGATGGTTGAGATGGATGAGGTGGTTGGGAAATGTTTGTTGTCATCATCATCATTGAGGGTGGTTGCTGTTGTGGTGAAGGTTGTGGCCGGTAATAAGGTGATTGTTGAAAAACGGTGGTGGCCACAGATGGAGAAATTGGATGAGATGGAGAAACTATGGTGTGGTGGTGTGGTGTCGACGTTGTTGGGAATGTCGAAGGATTGTTGACATAGGAAGTTGGCATTGAGCTCGTTTGTCCAGTGGAAATGTTGGTAATTGGTATTGGATTAAGACGATTGAGAGTACCAAAGGTAGCATTGAGTAAATTTGAAATCTCTGCAATATTTGGCACTGTATCTGGAGATTTAGGAGAATCAATAACCATCTTAGATTGGGATTTTTTCACTTCTGCAGCAATTCTTGAAGCCTCTGTGCTTGATAAATCTGGAATTTGGTCTGACTTGTGTTCTACTAATATAGGCCTTAGAGGACTCACTCCATTCACTGTATTTGTCATGTTTGATAAAATTAATTGTTTCAATTGTCTTTGTTGATTGAGTAATGTCCTTTCTCTTGATTTTTCTTCATTCATCAATTCTTGAACAGTCTTGTGACTTCCATTTGAATTTTGTCCTGCATTTTCTTCTATATAGGCAGACCTAGGTTCAATCATTTGGACTTGTTCTAGAGTCGAAGACCAACTCACTTTTTTCTTTTTCTTTCCAGTGGAAGACGATGAAGCCTCGTCTAAGGTTGTTGTAGTGGGAGATCTGTCATCGGTTTTAACTTGATTAAAAGGTCAAGATCATTCCAATGTTGTAAAAAAAACTTACCTTTCTTTTTCATGGGTATTGAAGTATCAATAGTTGGTGACATTGAGGTGGATGCATTTTCTGTGTTGTCACTTTCAGGTCTTTGTTTTCTCTTCTCAGCATTGCTTGACGTGGCGCTTGTCGTGCTTGTTGCTGCAAGTGTTGATGATTTTTTCTTTGAGTCAGTCGTTGATGTCTCTTGCACGAATTTTTGTTTCCAGTCTTGAATCAATTCATCAACACTGGTCTTTATTGGTTTAGAAATAATGGTTGACTTGGTCACTGAATTTAAAGCTTTACCAATTTTTGATTTTTTGACATTTGCAACAGTAAGTCCACCACAATTGTTTAACTTGTCCTTTATAGCATTGACCAGTTCCTTTATGAGGCTGTAAAACGTGGTTAGGAATTAAATCATAAATGATTAAATAATACATACTTTTCATCGATTTGATCCAAAGCATCCGTAATCCATTCAGATATCAACGACAATCCATCTGCATCTATAAACATTTTGAGAATGTTTTTCTTGATTGTAGCATTCAAGACTTTGGCACACTCTAGCCTTCCGCTTTTGATAGTCTCTTTATGAGAGGTGGGTGAAAACTTCAAATCGCGACATATATTCATGAAGGTTTCAATGTACTCTTTTTTCGTTATTTTATAATTATTGGTAATTGTTTTGATTCTTTCGGTTACATCCACCATGGTTGTGATGATGTTGTGAGTACTTAAAAATTATGTGTTGAGAGGATTAGATGTGGGATGTTGTCCTCCCGTTTATAAAATTTGCTGGATGAGAATGGAGAAAAACTATTTGGATAATGATGATGATTTTCTATCAATCAGGCTTCTGAAGTGCCGGTAGGCAATATAGCTTCACTCCGACAATGTTCTTGAAGAGAATATTTTTTTCAACTTCTCCTTCAACAACGACTTCTCTTTTTACAATAGACTCTCTCTTTCCAAGGTGCTTGTTCTTGACTAGTGGTCGACCATGTTGTTGTAGGTTGTCCATGATCCTCCTTGCAAACGGCTTTCTCTACGTGGCAAGAGATGAGAATAGCAACAATCATTCAAAAGAGGGTTAAATTTAAACGAAAATAAAAATTTACGATACAAAAATACATTAAAAAATATCCAACAACAAGAATGTCATCGCATGAGTATATTTTCAAGTATATTATTATTGGTGATATGGGTGTAGGCAAGAGCTGCCTTTTGGTAGGTGTTTTTTGATGGACATGAGATGTAGGAATTCGTATCGTTATATATTCTTTTATTCATAACAACAACAGCACCAATTTACGGAACAAAAATTCCAATCAGACTGTCCTCATACTATCGGTGTAGAATTCGGTACCCGTGTTATTGAAGTTGAAGGAAAAAGCATTAAATTACAAATATGGGATACAGGTATGTGTTTTTTAAAGAAACCTAGATTTGGATGATTATCTGCTGAACCGATTTCTTCACCAACGATCGTTTAAACAATTCTTCATCATCGCTTGATAATTAACACTTTAAATAGCCGGCCAGGAACGATTCAGAGCCGTGACGAGATCATATTACAGGTATGTTTTATTTGGAATGAAAGAGGAATTGTGCTTACGCTTTCACAGAGGCGCAGCAGGTGCTCTCATGGTCTACGACATTACCCGTCGTAACACTTTTCATCATTTAGCCAGTTGGCTAACAGATGCTCGTAATTTGACAAACCCACACACAATTATTGTTTTAATTGGAAACAAATCGGATTTGGAAGATCAAAGACAAGTCAGTTTTGAAGAGGCTTCTCGTTTTGCTAAAGAAAATGGACTCGTTTATGTTGAAACCAGCGCAAAGACTGGTGAAAATGTCACTAAAGCATTTATGGAAACTGCTAGTAGAATTTATAAGAATATTGTTGACGGAGTTTTGGATCCTAACAGTGTGGAGTCAGGAATACAATACACAAAAACACTCATTGACAATGATACTCAGGGAGGTAGTGGTGGTAACAACAAGCCATCCGGTGGAGGATGCCCATGTTAATTCTTTCCTTTTGGTGTACATTTTACTTCCCCTTTTGACGTCATAAAATTATTGTAATTATTTAGTAACGCTTTTCTCAGGACTTTACTGTTGTTTGTGCAGGTTTTTGTGAATGTCAAAAATAAAGGGATCTGCGAATCTCAATGAATGTGTGAGGTGTTCTCTTAACATTTCGTCAATACATTGACGGAGGTGTTTTCGTTGAAGTATAGGCTTAGCTTGTGGAGTAAGGAGCTCGTTGTTTTCTTTGATGATCATCATCTTTAAATTCTCGTTTGAATAATTAACTAGTAAGGGAGATACAATTGGAACTGGAAACAACTCTTCTGTTTTTCTCTTGGGTTGCTGAGCTGTCGTGTTGAAATTCAATATTTTGACAACCAATCTCTCCAAGGAATTGTTCTGTAAAAACTGGAGAGTGTTCATAGCATTCGCAATTAGCTCTTGGTGGAGACGTGCTTTTAAAGCCTGTTTAAGGTATGTCATATCCTGTTTTCCTTCAATATAATTTTGATAAACCAGCTGGATTAGCATGGTACAAACCCGATTATTGGTTTCTTCCTTCAATATTTTCTGTCTCTTTGAAAGAAATCTGAGAGTGTCATGATGAAACATGGTGTTATACCTATCTAATTTAGTCTCCAACTTGGAATAAATATCATCTACCAATTTGTACAATTCTCTATACCTTGAAGAAGAGTAATCTTGTTTCCATTTAGAAACGAACTTATTGAATGCTTCCATGCTAATTGGAGGTTGTTGATCCTTGGATTGTGACTGATTCTTGCTGACTTGATTATTCTCCTTTGTCAAATTGATATTATACATTAAATTTCTGATATTAATGACATCCGTATCAGATGTTAATGTTCTGCTTGTCATCACTTGTTCTGGATGATACAAATTCCCCATTGTACCTCTCAAGATAATATCATTTTCTGTTCGAATATCTCTTCTCTGATACTTTCTCAACAGCAACTTCAAGTACTCATTTTGGATAAAATAAGTGCTGATAAAGTATTCCCAAAAGCTCTTATTGTTAAACATGTCATTCATGGAAGTAACAGAGCTTTCACCATGCAAATGTGTTTGTGAATAATAAGCATTGAGCGCTTGTTGAAGTAAAAGAAGATTTTTCTGATCTCTCAATACGTAATTAGTTAAATATTCGAAAAATTGTTTTCTATATAGAGGAGGAATGTTATCAAATTTGAAGGCACCCGTATTAGTGACTGAGGTCGTTTCAGATTTTTGAGATCGAGACATTTTTTCGAGATCAGCTCTAAAAGAGTGAAATTTTCCTTAACAAGAAATTAAAACATACTTTTCGTGAAGTAACCTCCTCATTCGATTGATATACACCTTAAATTTTTCAATCTCATTTGATAACACTTTCATTAGGATTGGATGCTGACGTATATCATTTCTGATAGTTGTTTCTTTATCCAACCTAAAATTATTATGGTTTGTAGCCACATTATAGTTGAGTTGATGATTAAGAATAGATTGAAGACTTCTATATGTTTTTTGAGCCTTCGATAGATTGGATTTGATAGTTTTGATTTCTTTTCGGGCATGTTTTGAATTGGTTTTATCCTCTTTGTTTATATTGTACTCTGAAAGCATGGCGGATATTTCATCCATTCCTCCCATTTCCAAATATTCTCTAAAGGCTCGTTCATAATATTCTTTCATATCATCTTCAGTATGAGTAGACTCTTCCGATGATTGTTCTTTGTTGGGCAAGAATGTAGCCCTGTCCATCATCATGTTGTCTTTTTGAATTTTCAACATATCATTTTCCCGAAAAGAAATTCTGTCTTTCAATCTGTTGATCGCTTCTATCACTTCACTATCATCATCGTTTAAAAGTTCTGTTTTTATAAATTCGTAATAATTATTCAAGCGACCATCGGGTGATGAGTGTTTTTCATTCGTCGATTGAGGATTTCTTTGTGTGGGCATGGTGAGCGTGTTGTTGCGTGAGGACAGCCAAAAAAATTAAATCGGAATGACTTTGCGCATTTTTTTCCCTCCATCTCTTTACAAACAAATTCAGTTTAAAAAAAATGTTACAACCAACCCCTACATCAACACCCTCTGCTTCTCCTGCTCCATCGTCGATTGAGGAGAAGGATGCAAAAATTCCTTCAAATGCAGGTTTGCCTCCTTCCAACAATGCAAAAGTTACTTTTACGGAAAAGCAATTAGAGGAGTACAGGGAAGCATTTGATATGTTTGTGAATCAAGACATTGCAAAACAAGAGCAAGAGGATTCAAAATTTAGGAGTTTCAAAAGAGTGGATTCTTTCATGGATCGAAAACAATCGAGCTTTATAATCAAACAATCGGAGCTGAAATCAGATTCTCGACAAACAGATAACGACAATGAATATGATGAATTTGGAGATTTAATCTCCAGTGACAGCGATCCTCAGGAGGAGGAAGATAATGAACCAAGTATTAACTTGGCAAAACTTGGAAGTATAATGAGAAGTTTGTTTCAAAATCCAACAGAGACGGAATTGAAAGACATGATTAAGGAAGTGGATGCTGACGGAAATGGAGAAATTGAATTTGATGTAAGTTTGTACAAGGACTGAATACGAACACATACTTTGAAACAATCATATTTAGGAATTTCTCTTACTGATGGCTAGCAAAGCCAATGAACTCGACTCGTTTGAAGAAATGAAAGAAGCATTCAACTTGTTCGACAAGGATAAAGATGGAATCATTACTGTAGGCGAAGTTCAAAAAGTATTTGCTCATATTGGATGTGACTTGACGTTGGACGAATGTGATTTGATGATCAAAGAGGTCGATCAAACAGGAAAAGGTATTGGTATTGAATTTGAAGATTTTGTAAAATTAATGAAGATGAGTAAGGAAGAATTGAATGAATCTGTCAAGCACATTATTGAATACGACAACTGTCTGGAAGACTTGCGTGAATTGCAAAAAGTATTTCATGAAGCGAATACGGACGAGCAAAAGCTCATCAATCAAGAAATTCTTCAATTGCAAGATGAACTCATTCTCAAGAAACAGTTAAGAGACAAACAAGTGTACAAAGGTAAACATACAAGAAAAATGTTAGCAAGTTGTTTATACTAAAAAATTTACCCTTATTGTCTTTGAAATGTCCCCATGCTTTTTTGACGTGATTGAACAATTCTTTGAATTCTTTTTTAAAAACTTTACAATCCATTGGCACGTATTGTCTTGGTTGACAGAAAGTCTTATTTTCGTCATCCAATTCCCAGAATGCCTTATAACCACCTTCCAAAACATAAATGTTTGGGAATGATAGTTTTGGATAATCATAAAAGTGACGAGCTCTGTCGAACTCACGCATTAATTTGTACATTTTTGGTGCTCTACATTGAGAGTACTCACAATGGAATACAATAATTTGTTTGGTTGTATCTTGCAATTGATCCTGATTCGATGCAAAATATCGAGCTATTAATTCTTGTGGTGTTGAAATATTAATGGCACCTTGAATATGTCCACCATTGTATTCATAAGAGAATCTACAATCAATAATTGTTACAGAAAGAGTTGGATTATTCATGGCATTCAGTAGAGTTTTTGAATCAATACATTGACAGCCTGTAATCTTTGGTTGAGGTATAATCTCCAACATTAATTCATCTTGAGCAGTAAATAATGAAGGTACGAGAGTGGATGATGATACGTCATCAACATCTTGAGGTGTTTGCACACTATCAAGGCTACAAGTACTGGCGCGACTGCTACTACTACCAGTGCAAGAAGAAGAAGAAGAGGAGGTGGCTGATGATTCGCTTGGAGAATTAGTAGAGACTGGTGTCGTGGCACTGCAACTGGTTGCAGGAACTTGAGATTGTGCCAATTCAACCTCTCCAAATCCAATCATTAATCTTCTCGAAGACTCTGAAAAGGAGAGAAGTCTGTTCGAGTCATGCTCTGAAGCTTCCATACCAAAGACATCATCATTGGAATTCATTAAGAGAGGAGAAATGAGTGGCAAATCCGAGTCATCATCATCAACATCTTCAAAGCTTGAATTTGTAGGTAATACAAGATTTGGTTTTGGAACAAAACTAGCTTTCTTTCTAGTTGTGGAGTTTTCCTTCTTGGATTTTCGTGAAAGGCAACTCTTTGGTGAATGAATCGAACATTGATGAACTAAAGGTGAGAGTAAGGTATGTTGTGTTTGTTCAGTACATGACATTCTCTTATTGATGACCAATGAAGGTGTGAGTGCATCGAAATCTTCTTCCCAACAATCATTCTTGATGCTTGTAGTGGCCATGGTCATACCTATATTGCTACTACTACTACTGCTACTGCTATTATTGCTACTACTGATGCATTCATCAAACTTTAAATTTCTACAGACGGAAAGACTCGAATGAAATGTCTTAAGGGAGCGATTTGCACTTCCAAACACGTTGGGAGATGAAAGTTCATTCATAGATGCACTCGTCCATACATTGTTTGTATTGGTTGAACTCAAACAGGAAGGTGGAGTAAGAATAAATCTACTTTCCATCGTACTGTTATTGAGGCTGACAGAACCTGTATCCGATTGACTGTCTTCATGATCAAATAATGTTCGTTGAAAATTTTCATTCTTATTAGGAGTCGAGGTTCTCATCATCATCATGGGTCGACTGAACGGATCAGAAAGAGATGACACACATGCTTCTGAATGAGTCAGTGATGAATTCAAGTAAGGCGTTGAATGATCATCATTACCAAGCGACAATGAAGATGGACTATGAGTGAGGCAACTCCCAAAATCCAACACTCGAGTTGGTGTCGTATGATGCTCATTCTTTGGTGCTGTTGAGGTGGAAACATTCGTTAGAAATGTAGAAGAAGAGGTTGATGGTGAGCGTGGTTCGGCTGCTGCGAGGTTATGTTCTTCATGTTGGAATTTTTCATTGTGGACCTCCTCATGGTTCTGAGTGATACTACTATTGTAGAGGGTATTATTCTTCGTTGAGTCGCATGGTTGTGTCGTGATGGAAGAAGACTCATCTTCAAAACTGTTCTTGATTCTTCTATGGGGTGAGATCAATGGAGAGCATGAGGTCTTTATCAAATTCTCTGTGTAGCAAGCCAAAGTATGACTTCGGGAGTGATGAGATACTTTTACCTTCTTCTCTAAAGGAGAGTATGAACTTGGAGTCGTATGGAAAGAAGCAGTTATGGAGAGAGTTGAAGAATTATTCTTCTTGTTTTGAAATAGATTTTCCTTGTTATTGGACAAGTAAGCCGATGTTGTAGGACTCAATGTATTTCTCTTTTGCAACAATTTAGTTTTTGACAATAAAGGCTTTGAAGTATCAGCAACAGGATGATCCTTCAAAGCTGAAGAAGAGGAAGATGGCAACGATGAAGAGAATATTTCTGATGATACCGACGCTGTTCGAGTAGTTGCTTCATTTCGAAGAAGAGGTATCCTTTGTTTTATTGAATGAGTTTGCGATGATGAAAAGATGATATCATCATCGTTATCATTGGATGGAGCCGAAAGATTTCCATCGTGTTGGCGTTGCCTCTTCATGTATTGTGTTGGTTTTGTTTTTTGATAATCTTTCGAATTAAATGGGCATTCGGCCACAGCGATGTGTGAAATATTTGTTACCCGCCAACACACCTTTTCAAAAAACTAACCGTTAGCAGTTACAATTTGGCAATGAAGGCGCGAGGTGGAAACACAGTCCTTAGAAAACCTTACTCTTTGTTGCTCTGATCTAGCATCTTTTGTTTGTTCTCAATAGATTCAGCAATTGTTTTTTGCAGCTTGGCTGATGCTTCCTCAGCTTGTTTTTGGATATCATCGCGCTGGGCTTGTAGTGTTTTAGAAATCTCTTCGTACTCTGAACTTGTAATGGTCATGTATTCAGAACTTGGGGTGCTAGGGCGAATGAATGGTGTGTTATCATGGGCTTGAAGCTTCTCCTGAGTGAGAAGCATTTCGTGTTGATATTGTTCAATTTCTGGAGTATCAACCTTCATATGAGTATTTTGTGGCATGTGATGTCTTCGTGGTTGATCAGAGCTCAAAGTCGTAGCAAGTGAATGCCAATCTTCTGCATACTTGTAAAAATCTAAATCATCACACCACTTGAGTAAATCGTCCATTTCATCATCGACGTATGCCACATCACCAAAAAGCTCAATTTCCTCTAATTCTGCAAGCATATCTTTTTCTTTCATGGTGAGAGCAAGTATTCTAAGGTCAGATTGAGCACTTCGAACATCATTGTCCTCAGATATTGGAGTTTCATCAAGGGTATGATGGGTCTCTTCATTGTTGTTCGTTTTTGCTTGCATTTTGATCATGTCCACTTTTTTCAATTTAATGAGCCATTCCAATCTCTTTTTTCTCTTTTTTTTCAAAAGATTTTCTTTTCGTTTCGAGGGCATAAAGTGATAAGGTAAAAGCTTGTCAATGGCCTCTTGTTCACTCTTTGCTGATTGGAGCACCTTGTAGGTTGTGCTTGGTAAAAGTGTTAACGTGCTGAAGCGGTGTTTAGCTTGTCGAACTTCTTTTTTCACCCTGTCCAATAGGAAATTGGAGCATGTATGAAATTGTTGATCCAACAACATTTCTTCATGAACTAGAAGAGTGGTTGCCACAGGTCGCCAAGCATTACGCTCCTCTCGTTGATACCAATCTTCGAAATCCCATTGCTTTGAAAGTAAATCTCGATGATTTCCAAACGATACAGGTTGAATGGATAAATTGTTTACATCTCTACTCGCGTAGTTTCTAGGTGCAAATGCATTGATATCAATGACTGATTGCTTCAAGAAAATTTTGTAATAAATGACAGGAGGAAATTGTGAACCTCCCAAACGAAATCTCATAAAAGCACCAATGGCAGGATCCAATAGAGGAGCTTCAGACGGGTTGATGGCTTTTAAAATATCGTAAGGATGAGATCTTTCTTTGAAAACAATTAACTGCTTGTAGAATTGAAATATTTGCTTATTGATGCAATTCCTCCACCATTTTTGAATGATAAAAGCGGCATGACTTTTTCGGTCATAGAAATACATTTTGTACTTTCTGAAAAACACTTGAGTGCTGCCAGTTTTTTCAAACAGTCTTCGTCTGTAGAGCCTATATCTTGATTGAATCACTGTAGCAGCAATATGTGTTAATCTATTTCGCAAGGCTTCATTATTACTATATTTCCAAATGGCTATAATTTGATGAAATTTAGCTTGTAGAATGGGAATGTAGGTCGACATAAAGTTTCTTAGATTATCTTCGTTTTTTCGAGAATTTGGTGAAATGAGAGCCTTTGTAGCATTTTCAAATGCTTGATCATAATCTCGTCTCTGCTCTTCCAATTCTAATTTTTTTGCCAACCTCAATTCATGAATTCTTTTTGAATAAAATCCTCTTCGACTCAAAAAGCCTTTCACGACTCGTTGAATCTCTACAGCAGCACTGATGAATGCCATCAATGGATGAAATTCAATGTTTCGAATAAAATATTTTCGTTTGCTTTTGGAAGACCTTAGATTGTATTTGAGCAAGACATTTCTTGGTTTTTTAGATCTCTTTTGTTTAGCCTCAATAATGGATGCAGAGATGTTGATGGGTAGTTTTTGTGGGGATGATGGATTTTTCAAGGGTTTGGTGAGAGAAATTGTACTACTACTCGTGTTGTTGTTTTGAAACGATCCTGTCAACTCATTTCCGATATTGATATTCGAGCACGCATTCATGACTGAAAGGTTTGATTTGGGTGTTGACACGACGGAAGAAGGTACTTGATTTTTAGGTTGAATTTCATTTTCTTGGATAGAGGGAACAGTTGAAGAATCTGGGACAGGCCGTGATTGTGTTGGTGAGGCTGAAGTTACTCTCCCAGAGTGTGAGTTATAATTTGCTACAACTAAACCTGTTGGATCGGAGCTTGGAATTTCCATTTCAAACAAATAACATTGAATGATGATCCAAAGCTTGTTGAGTATTTCGTTTTTAAATTATTAATTATTCATGATTTGTAAATTCTTTTGAGAGCGCCAAGGTCAAAGGACATCATCACCTGCAACAAGGAACGAAGCAAAAAAATCTTTTAAAAAAATATTTTCAACACACGATCTCTCAACAGGAAGAGTTTCAATTTTGTGAGAGTTGCGTGTGAAAATATCAGCATCATCGTGTTATTATTATTTGCTTTTGACCACAATCGAACATCATCACCAAAGGTGCACATATATCATTTGAACTTCTAGTCTCGAATATCTCTCATTCCGTACAACTCTCTATCTTCTTGACCGGAATAATAGGCTCAAATGTCTTCAACTATAAACTTCCTCTCGGAAACCAATCATTGTGGGCAAACATTGCTTCAACTCGTTGCTCACGGTAATGCCATTATTGCAGAGTTATTGAGATTGAGTCATTACATTCCTCCTGTGTTTTTCCTTGATGATAAGAAATATCAATATATTATATTTGATTTTAAATATTTAAAAAATCAAGATGCCTATGATAATAGAATTACATCTAGCTCAGATTTGCTTGACTTGGATGAAAGCTTTAAAGAGAGTCATATGCCTATCTTAGAAAGATTCTACACACTATTTAAGGCAATTTACAATTACTATAAGGATTTTATTAAATTTATGAACGACCTTGATCAAGGATATTATATTCAACAAACACTGGAATCTATTTTGGTGAATCAAGATGGTAAACAATTGTTAGCTGAATCTCTGTATTTGTATGGAGTCATGCTCATGTTACTGGATTTGAAAATTCCAGGTATGGTACGAGAACGAATGCTCATGTCTTATTTCAGATACAAGGGTGCTGGTGAAATTCCGAACATTGATGATGTTTGCAAATTGTGTCGAAGCACAGGCTTTGATTCTACCTATTATTTACATCGGGAATATTTTTATCAACACCATGGCGTAGGTTCAAACTCTGGAGGAGCATTTTTTGATTATTCTTCAGAGAGTGGTGGTGGCAGTGCTGGATCCAGTAGTGGAAGCACTTCATCCAATACTACTTCAACACCATCTTCTCCAAGTTTAGCAAATTCTCCCAACATGCAACAATTGAATATGGGTGGTCCACCTTCATTTCCTGAATCTTATCCCACAGATTATTTCAATAGATTTCCACTTCCTGATCAAGTGGTCTCTATGATCATTGGTAGATTACGTTCCGATGACATTTATTTACAAACTTCCTATTATCCACTTCCAGAACATCGAAGTGTTGCTCTCTCTACTCAAGCAGCCATGCTTTATATCATTTTATACTTTAAACCCAACATGTTGAATCATGAAATGGCAGTCATGAGAGAAATTGTGGATAAACACTTTCCTGATAACTGGGTCATTTCCTATTACATGGGATTCACTGTAGATTTAACAGTGGTATGGAAAGATTTCAAAGCAGCAAATTTAGCTATTCAAAATATTGTAACATTGAATCATGTCAAGAATTTAACTGATTCCTTCCACAATGTATCTCTTCCAAAACTCATTGATCAATTGAATCAATACCTTGTGGAGGGTGTTCTTATTGAGGAATATGTACTCGACAATATTAACAAATTAGTAGCATGTCTAAGAGATTGCAATGTTACTCTCAGATGGTTACTATTACATCGTACTTCTCAACACAAGAAAGTGAATGAATTGATCAGCTCGATGACCAATCCAGAAGAAATATTACTATTGTTATTGAATACTGCTCAATTTGAATTTTTATTGAAACAAATGTTCCAAGAAATGTTAGATTCCAAAGAAGCTAAATGGACTCAATGTAAAGATCAAGCTCAAAATCGAATGATTGAACTCTCTCAATATTTTTCAGGTGAAAAGGCTCTCACACCCGTGAAAGATGAACAATTACAAAAATGGTTCTCCGATATGAGCAGTAGAATTAGTGAATTGGATTATCATGATTCTACGTTGGCTGGTCGAAGAATTCAACAAGTCATTTCAGCGTTGGAAGATGTTGAACAATTTCATCAAATTGAACAATCTCTTCAAGTGAAACAATATCTCTCTGATACTCGATTATTATTGAAAAAGATGATTCGTTATGTGAACATTAGAGAAAGTGTATTGGTTGGTATTGCTATTGTGAGTGATATTTCTTATGCATGGGAAATTGTTGGAGATTATGTCAAATCCATGCAAAGAAGAATCAAAAAGGATCCATCCCTGATCATCAAGATGAGATCTACTTTTTTAAAGTTGAGTACCATGCTCGAATTACCACTCGTGCGAATTTCTCAAGCAAAATCTCAAGACATTGTCAGTGTTTCTCAATACTACAGTGGTGAATTGGTGAAATTTGTGAGACATACTTTGGAAATTATTCCAATGAGTATGTTCAGTATTTTGAATAAGATTATTGATGTTCAAACCAATCGATTAGAAGAATTACCAACCAAATTACCAAGAAACGAATTGAAGAGATTTTCTCAACTCGATGAACGTTATGATTTATCACGTGCTACGTATGAAGTGAGTAAATATACAGAGGGTATACTTGCCATGGAGAAGACATTGATGGGTATTGTTGAAATTGATCCCAAACAATTACTCGAAGATGGTATTCGAAAGGAATTGGTTCGACAAATTGCATTGGCTCTTCACTCGAATTTAATTTTTACTTCTTCTCAATATGGTTTTGATTTATTGAGACTTTCACCACAGCAACAACAACAAGATCATGAGAGTAGTAGTAGCAGTGGTAGTGGTAGTGGCAATGTATCTCAACGAGGTTCTTCACCATCTTCCAATTATCGTATTGATCAACTCATTGATCAATTAGTTTCCAATTCTTCACTCAATAACAAGAAGATGGAATCAGTCTCATTGATTGAATCTGCCAAACAATTTGAAGAGAAACTCACCAAATTATATTCTCAATTAGATGGTATGCTAAGATCCTTTGAATACATTCAAGACTATGTACATGTTTATGGTTTGAAATTATGGCAAGAAGAATTCTCTCGTATTATCATGTACAATGTTGAACAAGAATGTAATACCTATTTGAAGAGAAAAGTGTTTGATTTTCAATCTCTTTATCAATCCGAAGTCATTCCAATTCCAAGATTTAGACCAACACTTTCTCAACAAATGAGTGATAAGCAATCGATTACTATATTAAATTTCATGGGAAGATTGATGGTAGAAATGTTAGTTCATACAGATAGTCGTAGAACAGTCTATATTGAACAACTTTCAGGATGGTATGATTATGATAGTTGTGTTGTACCAGAAGCGAAACAACAACAATCCGATCAATCTGTGAAACAAGAAATTATTGGTTTGACCTGTTTCTCATTATTACAACAAACCATTTCAAGTTATGGATTAGTTGGATTAGATCTCTTGTTGAGTTATAGAATTGTTACTTTATTGAATCAATTTGTGAAACAATATTTGAGACATTTGAATGATCATGTCAAGAAACATATCAAATTATTTGAAGATTATTTAACACCACCCAATACATTACCTGAAGGATTATGTAAAACTTATGAACAAATTTTGGGTGCTCTTCCAAATACTTTCTTTACACATGTATTCATGTATTATGTCATGCAAGTAGGAACATGTCAGTTATTGAGAAAACACATTGCCTCTCAATTATTATTTACTTGTAAATTGAATGCCATGCCGTTATATAATACTCTGACAAATCTCAATCAAGGAATTTTGAAGGACGTTGAAAGATATTTTGATATTCATTATAAGAATCAATTGAATCAAAAATTATCAACACCTTCATTGAAAGTTTCTCAGAAATCTTCAATTTTACCCATTGCTCAAACAGGATCAGCTGCTTCATCGAGTGCTACCACTACTCAACAACCTCCACATGGTATTCATCTCTCAATTGCTAGTACGAAACAATTACCAAATTCCATGATTGGATATCCAAGTGAGCACAACCCCATCTTCTCTGAACTCACTCAATATCTACAGACCAGTGGTATGCATCAACCTTTTGAAAAGGTTTACATTACTCCTCAATACAACACTTCTAGTACCATGACGACTAGTTCTGGAGTGTCAAGCACCTACAACAATATTCAACACGTAGCAGTAACCATGTTTTTATTTGTGTTGTATTGTATTGAAAGATTCACATACATTTCGAGCATTGATTGTTTAGTGAGCAAGAAGAAGGGAGATATTATTGATGGTACTCCATTCATTATTGGAATTTACACCATTTTAAGACAATTCCATTCAAGCGAAACGCATTTGTTTTTGGCATATATTGGACAATATATCAGGGCCAATACAGATCAAATCAATATTGAAAAGAAGGGAGCAAGCATTCCTGATAATGTTATTTTCATGTTGAGATTTGTTCAAAGATTTTGTAAATATGGAAATATTAGCCAAAAAGTATTGGATTGTCACGTTCCAGCCTTTTTATTTACCAAGCTTGTGGATTAAGTTACGTCAGTGAACTGTGTTGCAAATAAAGGTTGCATTCATTATATAGTGTTTTAAATGATATCTGGAAGAATATCATCGTCCAGGATAAAATCATCGTCAAGTAGGGGTGCTGCTTGGTGGTTAGAATGTTCTTCATTGTTCGATGTTTTGATCTTCTTTGTCTCAGGTTCCAATCGATTCTGCTGTTTGGAATTGGAGTCGGGGTGAGTGCTACTAACGTTACTTGGGGAGTGGCTCATCGTTGAATGAGATGGAGTTTTGAAGGTAGTTGCCTTATTATTGCTACTACTACTACCACTGGTATTGGGAGAAGCATGTGCTCTCACAGGAGGTGTGAATGTTGGTACTTGTTTCGTTTGTGGAGTTGTTCCCTTGCCTTGAAGAGAATGAGTCGTCTTATTTGAGGATGGAGTACTAGTAGTTCCAACTTCTTTTTTGAACGAATACTTTTCAAAGAGTTGTGCCAAGTTTGAAGATGTAGAACTTGATCCATTTGTTGGTGATGATTTTGTACTATTTCCGACTGGGCTGGGTATTGAGGGAATGGAACTGGTTGTGATTGGAGGACGAGTAAATTGCGGAGTGGCCAGAGTAGTTGTGGTGGTGGTAGTTACGTTTGGCAAAGAATTTCCATTCATTAATAAACGAGGAGATGGTCGATGCGTTGAGGGAGGTGTTGAAAGGTTGTTCACGAACCCAACAATATTTGAATTTCTTGTTGTTGCTAGAAGATTGTTCGTTGCATCTGAGGGATTGACAACAGTGGTCGTAGTACTGGTGGTGTAATTCGAAGGTGTTGTGGATGGTGCACTTCTCTTGAAAGCATTGGTTAATTTGAATAGAGTAGCAGTAGTACTGGATGAGTCATTTTGAGTAACGAGTGAATCCACATGTTCCATCGTCGTCTCTTCCACTCGATTGTTAGATGTCGTTTCTTCACTTTGATCATCATTCACTTGTTGTTGATCATACAGTTGAGTCATGATTCGATTTTGAGAGGAGGATGTATGACTATTCTTAAAGAATGGACTTGTTCTCATCATGGTCGATCTTGTTGTTTGTTTCTTTGGAGTTTGTGGTAACAAGGAAGAGGAGGTGCAGTGGTGTGTGATGGCATCATCCACTGGCACATCACTCTCTTCATCGTCACTCTTTGATCGATACTTTCTCTTTTTCAATAAGGATTTCTTTGCAAGAATTGTACTACTACTATCATCATCATCAAACTGCTCTTCTTCTTGATCATCTCTAAATGAACGATTAAAAGTTTTTGAACCTTCTCGAGTCGAGAGTGAGGAAAGTGTTTTGAGTAGAGATGATGACTGTTGTGAAGAGATTTTTGATGAATCATTCAATGATGGTTGTTGTTCAGGACTCATCATCAAGGCATCTCTAACATTGGGTGGTAATGATGAAATATCACCATTCTTTGGTACATTCATCAATTGTCGAAGAATATCAAGTCCACGTTTACGTTCTTGATGATTTGTTACTACCATACGATCAACGTTCAAAGTAATATTACTACTACTTGTATTGTTCATAGGAACGAGTGTCTTGTTACGATTGGTGACTTGCTTCGAGTGATGATTCTTGGTTCTTGGAGACTCCAAGTCGTCACTGTTATCATCATCACTCATTCTAGAATTCTCTTCATCACTATCTTCATGAATCAATTTCTTCTTTCCTTGTTGATTCTTTTCAAAATTTTCATACATTTCTGCTATTTCTTCTTCTTCTTCACTATGAGTCATTCGTCGTTGTTGTTGAGATTTCAATGATGTTTCTCTTCTCTCAAATTCTACTTGTTGTACATTTTCATCAACATGTGATTCACCATCCACAGACTTTCCAACCACATCTAACTTTCTTTGAAGCATGGGCCACAAATATTCATCAAATGTTCCCTTTCCTAATAAATATTTAATATGAACAGAATTTTGTTGACCAATTCGATGGACTCGATCTTCTGCTTGTCTCAAATCACTTGGAGTCCAATATAATTCTGCAAATAGAACTGTACTGCATGGAGTCATGGTATAACCAACACCAGCAGCCTTAATGGAGAGAATGGCCACTCGACAATGACCATTTTGTTTGAAATTCGTGACCAGTGTTTGTCTTTTACTCGAATCTGTCGAGCCATCAATTCGAATATAATAATCACCTAATATTAATATTGGTATGACCACATGATGATTCGATATCCATATATTTTTGAATGATATATGTATAATAATATTATAAATCGATCAAAAGTTACATATATACGTTGAATGAAATAAAATTCAAAGAGAGAACATCCATATCGTTGAATAAATACAATGAATAGAACATCCATACAATGAATATAATGAATGAATGTATACAATGAATGCAATGAATGAATATAATGAATGAATATAGTTGAAATGTATACAATATACCCTCCAATGGAATATAAAAATTTCAAACATACCTCTCATCTTCTTTTCAAGTTCTGAATCTTTCAATTTCAATTTATAAAACTTGGCAAGTTCCTTTGCCACACATTCTTCAATACCATCCAATACTTCTGTATGATAGGCAAATACAAGAAATTTCAAATCTCCAGTATTCTCAATCATTTCTGTAATGTATTCCTTGACAGCTGGTAATTTAGCAACTCCTGTCATGTTATACATTCTAAATACTTCAGAATTCTTTTCAAAATTGTTTTGATAATGATCTTCTTTGGTCATGGCATGTTTCATCTTTTCAACGGCACTCTTCATTTTCTCAGCTGAAAATTTAATTCGTTTCAAATCTTTTGCATCAATATCTAATAAAACTCGTTGTCGTTGTTTGGGTGGTAATTCAGATAGGACTGATTCTTTTCTTCTTCGAATCATGACTGTTCTACTCAGTAAATAATTTAATTCCATCACATTAGAACTTCCATTATCATCGACATAGTTTAGAGTTTCTTTAGCATCACAATATCGAATGGTAAAGGCTGATTTTGTAAATCGAAATTCTCGATCCAACAACAGAGAGAGTTGAGAATAGAGTTCCTTTGGTCTACTCAGTGCAGGTGTTCCAGTGATCATGACGAGACGTTTGACCTTTTGTAAGAAGGGTGCTATTTTTTGAGATCGTTTGGTTCCAGAGTTTTTAAGGGAATGACTTTCATCACAAATGACACATTTGAATTTCACTCCATTCAAAATTGCATTTTCATCATTCTCATCTTGAGGTTTCTCAGCAAGCATATTCGTAGCAACTGTATATGAAATGATATTAATATAACCATCAGGTATTTGTTTTGAATTTTCAATAATTTTGATATTCTCAGTGGTAATGTCTGAATGAACACCACGTTCACCTGTAATAAACCAATCTTCAATTTCTTTTCCCCAATTGTGCTTCAATGATGCAGGACAAATGATTAAAAGTGGCCAATCTTCTTTAAAGTAATACATGGTTGAGAAACCTTGCAGTGTCTTTCCTACTCCCATTTCATCACCAAAGAGTACTTTACCATTTCGTTTCACTGCAAATGCAATTCCTTGTTTTTGGAAAGGTCTTAATTTTGAATTGACATATTTAGGTAATTTTTCTTTAAAATTTAACTCTTCACAAAGTGCATCTACATTGGATAAATCAATGGCTGGGTAATGATTTAAAAGTAATTTTGTACCTTCAGGAAAATCAACAATGATTATCTGAGCACCATCTACACGAGTTTCCAATAATAACTTCTTTAGAGTTGCATGTTCTGTGAGTGGAATAATAAATTCCAAATCGTTAAATTTTGTAATTTTCTTTTCTCTTGCAAACAAGTCATAGAGTGATTTCACCAACTTGTTGGTCACTGGTCCTAATCTGGGTAAGGTCATTAAAATACAATCGTAATTGTCTTTTTGAATAGAAAGTGTTTCATGTCGATCTTTGAGTTGTTTGTTCGCTTGTTGTAAAATATTACTTCCAACAATTTGAAAGGTAATGATATAGGGAGGACCTAACTTGATGTTAGACTCTATGGTTATTGAAGAAAAAGCACCACCTCGGTATGAGGATGGATGATCTAAATAAGCTGCAGGTTTTGTTCCTTCACTACACCATTCAAAATAACAATTTTGTGCTGCTGTACATGTCCAAAACAATCGACCTTTCGTTGGTCCTTCCTTTACGACTCTTCTTTGTATACATGCAATGTGATGCCGAGGACAAAGAGGAGCCTGATCATTGTCGGAAGAGGATGTTGCCGACAAGGAGGTTGTGTGGTTGTTGTTACTACTACTACTGCTATTGCTACTACTATTACTCTTTCTAGCATCGGAATTATACGGTGTTTTGTTGGTTGTCAATGAATGATTAAAATTATTGGATGAAGAATCATTCCATTTGAAGAATTTACATCGTTGTGGGTCGTTGAAATTTCGAGCACAACCCCAGTATTCTCTTCCTGCGTTCGCTCCATTCTTTGTGGTTCGGAGTTGTGCTAGAGACCCACACGCACAATGAACAAAATCACCCTTCGACTCCGATGAAGTACTCATGGTTGTTGATATAATTTCTATTGTTGGTTGGGTTTTACGATTGTTGTTGGTTGGATTAAAAAAATGTTAATTCAATGTTCTTGATATTTTTTTTAAATTTACCATTCGAACCATCGAATTTTCCAATATTAATTGGAATAATTTGGTAATAAAAGAAAATATAAAGCAAATCAAGCCTTGAAGGAACATGATGTGGTTGTTGGTGGATACAAAATAGTTGTTTATGCTTTCAACAGTATCGTTTTTTACTAGTTTCCCACAACAACAACCACCGAAAGACAATCTCCATATTAATAAAAAAATGTCCAACTCGATTCAAACCATCATCATTCTTTACGCTTCACAATCTGGCACATCGGAATATTTATCAAATCAATTATATGAAAATTTGAAATCTAAATTATCTTCTCTCACCATCAAGTGTGATTCTATTGAGAATTTCGAGCAATATCTTTCTCAATCCTATCTTCAACATCCAACTTTATATTTATTTGTGATTAGTACTTCACTGGAGGGATCTCCACCTTCATCCATGAGTGATTTTTCTGATTATACATCCACTCAAAAGGCTATTTCAGTATTTACGAGTCCTAACTTTGAATATTCAATTTTCGGAAATGGAAATTCAAATTATGAAGACACCTATCAACAAGCCTCAAGGCAATTCAAAGAATTATTAAAATCTAAATTCAATAGAAATCCATTGATTGAATGTAGAGAAGGCGATCAATCGGAAGGAAATGTAGAAGTTGAATGCGAAGAATGGGAAACTGATATTATTAATTATTTCAAGAGCCTTGAATGAGAGAGAGAGGTGTTTCTGAAATACTACGCCTCAGAGAAATGAAATTCCAAAATCATAACCTCTATATATTTTGAAATCATTAGTTTTTCATTCCAGTCATTAAAGTTATTTATTGAAAGGATCTATGGTCATCCAAAATCGATATCCTTCTTCTTCTGGATTAAAATTTGAAAAAGCAGGATCGTTTGCAATACTTTCATTGAGGTTGTAATCATCTCTCGAATTCCAACTCGCATCAAATTCCTTCCATGTAGCAACATAGATTCCTGGATTTCTCGTCCATACTGGTTTACCATGAACGGGTGACCCTTTTCTAGTTGCAATTCTAGAAAATGAATCTGCAATAGTGACACAATTATTTTCATCAATTCCAGTAATAACCACAGCATGGGTATCTGCATTCGTGGAGGTCAATAAATTCATTCTCATACCAACAATGACTGGAAGACCTTTTTCCAATTTACTTCGTATCAAATCATAACCATTGTCAAATTCGCATGATGAGAGGTCGGTAGAAGATCGAGAATGAAACACTCTTCCAATCTTGTCAGAAGCACAGTCACTTGGATCAGATCCAAAATAACCCCATTCCACATTGCCATATAATTTTGCAATTTCAACTGTTGCTTTTGTGTGAGTTCCATTTCCCTTTGAAGACAATAGTTCATTATTGAGTGATAATTGCAAAACGCTGTCCAATGTCAATCTCTTCTCCTCCTCGAGTATTAAATTCAAAGCATACGTTATTGAACACACCACACAGGATCCAGATACATCAACTTGAAGTTGGTTGTAGGGTGGAAATGAATCACCATTTGGAATTTTGACAGTCTTGAATTGTGGTTCAGTGTTACAGGTCACAGAAACGTCTTCGGAAATGAGTGGCATCATTTTTATTGTTTTGTCATCTCTTTCTTTGGAGTCAATTGTGCAATTTCACAAAGGATGAGATATAAATCAAGCCTCAAAGCGACTCGATAGTACATACACACGTGATTCATGAATCACTCTACTTGGATTGAGTTGGAGCAAATGTTTCATTGGCCTTCACTGAATCAACTTTTGGTGTTGGGAGTGGTAATGCAAATGGTACTTGATGCAACATGTATTGAATCATGAATTTACCTTCATCAATATCTTCATCAACGATCATGTCGCTCACAATTTGTTTCAATGTATTGAGGGTTGTTGAGTGATGATCATCATTACAAGATAATTGAATACTTTCAAGTAAACATGAACATGCCATCACATAAACCACACTACTCTGTGATTTGAGAGATTTCAAGAAATCATCTCGTAAAAATAATTCTTGAATTTTTAAATTCCACTCTTCATTTCGAGTTTTCATGAGAATGACTTGTAACAATCTCCAATACCATAACAAGATCATTTCCTCATCACTATCTTGTACTTTTTCAATAAAGTAATTTTCAACCAAATCACTGAAAATAGAATCATCTATTAGTGAATGATCATTACATTCATTCTGACACAAATATTCATATAAAATAAAAGAATACTTTTCAATCGATTCAATATTTTCTTCTTCGATGGATTCAATGAGATGAGAAATGAGAGATTTCAAATTCTTTTCATTCAATTCCTTTTCATTCTTCAGTGCATGAATAATGACATTCTCTGAATGGAATGCACTTGTAATACCATCACGATATTCACCCAATGAAAAACCATAATCATTAAAATGTTCAATGTTGAAAAGAGTGTCGTGATGGTCAGATTCTAATTCACTTCTATCTTTGAGAGTTAATAATTCTTGTACTTGAACAAGAATATCTGAAGAGAGTCTTCCTTGATGATTTTCAATCAATTCTTCTAATGGATTAGTACTACGAGTATGTACAGGAATGATTTCTTTCAATAATTCATAAAGAGAATTCGATGATAAAGATTGAATGATAAATGATAGTATGGTCTCATTCTGTGGTTTGAATTGAGTGCAGAGATTCTTGAGAGCATTTTCAACCAAGTGTTGTTTCTTCTTTGAAAGAATATTCAATAAGGATGCAAGAATATCCATAATAATTTTGGCGCGATGAGCATTGAATTTTGATGGTTTTTGAGGAAGTTTAAAGTTGTCTTCTTCATTGTCTTCTTCTTCTTCATCCTCATCCTCTTCTTCTTCATCTTCCTCTTCTTCATCATCATTATCTTCAAATAATTCTTCATCCAATTCAAAATTCTTCACATGATTGGCCAATAAATAGACCAAATATTGAACAAGTGTTTGTAAAATTCGTGTACTCGTCCGGTCGAGAGACTTGACCTCAACAATAGAGAGAATCACTTGACTCAATACTCTCAAAAAGAGTAAACAATTCGCTTGAATGATTGGTGAGTCTCGATGGTCTTCTAATAATAGACCATGTCCAACGAGAGTGATCAACTTTTTCAAAAGAGAGTTCGATCCTGTCGTTGTTGAGAGTGATTGAGCCTTCATGACTTGAATGAACATTTCAGAAAAACTCACTAAAAATCTCAATACATAACTTGCTGCTTCTCTCTTCTCTTCTTCATCGACAATATTGGGATTCAATGCATGTTCACTCAAAGAAGAACAAATCGAAAGAATCTTTTCTTGATTCACATGTCCAATCAATGAAGTTCTCAATGGTAGTGCAGAATATTTAATTTCATCATCACCATGATACGATAAAATCATGATAATGCCATAGAGAGATTGAAGTGAATCTTTGATAGTAGAATGACCCACGTTGTAATACAAATCAATAACTCTTGCTAATTTCAATGTTGCAATAATAATCACCATTTCCTGATTAGGACTAGTCAATAACTTTTCAACAAGTTGAATCACTTTCAAAAGAGAGAATTTCTGTTCTTCTTGTTTCAAATATATTAAAAAGGATGAAAGAGCATGAATAGCAGCACATCTAGGATAATCTGAATTGTTTGAACCATTCATTGTATCTGTAGCACCAAATTGTAATACTTGGAATATTTGTTGATTCAATTCCATATTTGTACATGGTTCTATATTTTTAGTTTTCATAAATAAATCTTCAAAGGCTTTGAATACAGATTCTCTCACTTCATAATTTGTACTTTTAGATTCTTCTATTAATACTGAAATGACATGTACAGTCAATTGAGTAATTAAATCTTGAAGAGAGTATTCAGAAGATGTAGACGAGAAGACTTGTACTGCTCGATTCAAAGAAAGCATGGCACCTGATTTGATCGGATATGAGGCATGGAATGTATTCTTATAGACCAATGATAATAAATCATTTAAAAATGAATTTTGAATAATTTGAATGAGAAGAGATCCATTGGAGAGTAATTGAATGACACTATAATTACCAGCATCTAGTAAGAGAGGATCATCACTCTTCAACATGAAGATAATACTGTCCTTCATCAATTGCAAGTAAGAAGAAAGAATACCTTCCTCACCATGACAATAGGGAGAGAGAATTTGTTCAGCGTTATTGCAATCCATATTAGTAGTATTCATCAAGAATATTGTAATAAATAAATTGCAAAGAGTTTTACCAGCAATAGCATTGGGATTCGATGCTGATTTGTCATGCTTTGCTGTTGGAGTACTTGTCAATACTTTAGAAAGAGATGAATTAATGGTTGAAACAAGTTGAGAAGAAAGTGTGTTCAAGAGATTCACTGATTTGGAAATACTTTCAAATGCAAGACAAATACCATGTTGGTATTGCCATGATGGTTGTGATGAGTGAGTGAGAGAAATTAATTCTTCTAAAATACTTGAAACGGTAATTGTGCAACTAGATGCAGTAATAGATGCAGTAGTACTACTAATGGGTTGTTGAAACAAATGACGACTTGATAGATCTTGATCATTGATTAACATTTTCATGAAATTCAAAAATAACAATCCATTGGCTCTTCTCACATCAATGTCGAGATCATGGAATCTTTCAAATATCACCTTTTTAAATTGGCTTAATAGGGAAGGAATGTTGACACTCATATCATGAATGATTGGCGATTCCAATGCTTTTGTTAAACTTCTGACAGCATATCTTCTCACATACGAGGAATAACTTTCAAATTTTTGATCACTCGTGTGCTCAAATAGAATATTAATGATAAATTCAAAATCATCACGAGAAATCATGGTGCAATTCTTTAAAATATATCCCAAAGTGTTCATCAAGCCTTCAACAGCCTTGTAAGGCTCCTCTGGTTGTTTCTTTTTTGGGTGTTGTAAAATGTCCAACACAAATTCTCTTGAAAGAAATGAATCCACACCAACGACTTTGGAAAGACCACCCAATGATTGAGCAGTAGCATCTCGGACTTCTCTTTTAGAGTCTGTAATGTTGTGAAGCAAATGTTTCAAGACTTGGTGTTCCGAACCTGGCTGATGATGTTCTGGTTGCTCTGTCGTGCTTGTAGTCTTTAATAATTTGAGTAAATCATCCTTTGAAAAAGTAAAGTAAAAGTGGATGAGAGCAAATGAAATAGTTTGCTTGAAGGACCAATCATCAAAGTGAGAGAGAATATCTTCAAAAATAGAGAACAACGTTGGTGCATGTTGTTGAAGAATAGTACTTGGATAATTGTACTCTCCTGATTTAATTTCATCAAACACCCTATCCAAAGCATCAATGAGAAGTTGTTTCTTTTCTCTATTGGGTCTGTGTTTGTGGCAAAAAGTTGCGAATTTTTATATTCATGAAGAATCGTAACGAATGATAAATACGAATGTTAATTAAATCATCATCAATGTTGATGATTCAACAACAGCTTGAACAACACCTACTTGTCGTGTTTCGAAATTTCAATCTTGTCTCTCAAATCGTTGAGAAGAGTTGGCCAAATGTCGGTGCTCATTGTTTTTTTCGGAAGCAAAGTTGTGTGCTTTCGGAATTTGATTCAATTCTTCAAATTTTTATTGAATTCTTGAGATTGGAATTCCAATGCTTTGATTCAACAACGCTCTTCTCGATTCACACTCTCAATGTCTGAGATTAGCATAGGGATCTACAGAGTGTGTGAGAACATCTTTGGAGGTAAAGTAGGAATCATTGGCATAATCAATATTGTATCCACTGTCATAAAATTGTGTTTGCCAACTGTTATTTTGTGAAAGAGTCAAGGTTAGAAGAGAAATGGTTCGAAATGCAATAATACATAGAAATTACAAACCTTTGATCGTTGACTTCATCTCCATAACCGTCTCTACCGTTTCTGTCAACCTTTCTCTTTCCATTCGATAATTCTTCAATTAATTGATCAAAATATTTCAAATCTTGACTTCTTCGCAAGGTTGGTAACCAAAATTTGATACATGAATCACGTGCATTGATCAAATTATTGTATTTAAACATTTCAACAACCATATGATTTAAAAAGTGAGGTTTGTAATGTTCAAATCCAGTCACTCCTAAGCATTTCAAAATTCTTGTAATTCTCAAATAATTGTGGAATGAATTGTTCAAGTGACTATATCTTCTCTTATAGGTCACTGGATTTCTACTAATCTTTCCACTGACTTCATCTTCCAACACCAAACCATAAAAATCAAGCATCAATCGATAGGATTTGATAATTCGAGCCTTGATGGTTGGATCACCACGCATGAGAGTAGCCTCGTTTTTAGTGAGAGGTTGAGAAGAGCCATTCAAGCCTTGTAATCGAATTGGAAATAGATATTGAATATAGCCATGATGCTCTTCCAATAAATCAAAATCTCCAAACCAATTGGTATGAATGTTATCAATAAAATCTCCTTGTGGGCGAGAACGAAGTGCATTGGTATAAAATTTAAAATTATCGAGACTGGTCGTGTCATTATCATCCAAAGAGGATGAGCCTCCAAATAAGAAACTTCTCATTCTGAATTGTTGGGAGGATATCGGAGTTGGTAAATGATGGTTATAGTTTTTCAATATTTCTTTTCCCTCTCTCGTGATGGAGAAGAGTGGTGTTGTTCTTGATTTGAGTAGAAAGGCCGTGATGATGATGGCAAGAGCAAGGATGACAGAACGCGTCGGTGTCGTTTTTTTTAGAATTTTTTTGTAACCAGGTTCCAGAGTTTCAATGCACTCCCTTTGCTACAAACGCGAGATTTATTTCATTACGCCAACAAGGACATTTGTTCTTCTTTGGTAGAAGAGCCATGTGTTTCTGAGCGATAGATCAACGCTTTCTTATGGACACCATAAATTGGTTTTGGCTCCTCAATTGCTTTCATTTCCATCAATCGTTCTCTCACTTTTGGAATTCCAAGATTTTCTCTCAATTGTTTATAAGCTTTCCATTTTCTTTTTTCTCTTCTCATTAATGAAACTAGAATACGAGAGAGCCAATGATTTCCCAATGCCATCATCGATGATTGAGATCCACAAAACACAACAACATGTATCAATCTCAACAAATTATAAAAAGTAAGAGATTTCAATAACTTTTTAAATGGATATTTCCAAATGAGTATCATTTCCCATAGATAGGTAATGAATAAATGTGCCAATCCATAACCCAATATTCTCAATTTAAAATCTATTGGAAATCCAATAAATTGAAATTCCTTCTTTAAAAAAGAGCATGGTTCAAATAAAATATAACTTGTAAATAAATACAACACAACGAGAAGGAACACATAAATAAAATTATCAGTGAAAAGATTTCTCTTAAATGGTTTGCTAATACTTTGTGTAATTGCAGCATTAATAACAGAAAAACAACATGCCAAATAAGTTATTGTTGTTTCATAACTCACAATATTATCTTTTGGATCTTTTCGTATTGGATCTGGTCGATACCATTTTGAGTTAAACAAAATTTCAAAGAATACTCCTAACATGAATGAAAAACCCCAAAATATTTGACCCAATAAACTCACGAGAATGAATCGAGAAAAGAGAGATTCAGGTGGTTTTTCTTTTTTCAATCTTGTTGAAGCTCTTGTATTGGGTTGTAATAAAACAATGGGTAGAATTATAAATAGATCAATATAGAGATATTGAAAATCACCAATAGTGGCATTTTGACGGTAAATGAGTACAGCAGCAAAGACTAGAGTGGTGCGTCATATATAAGATGAAGAGTTGATTCATGTATGTGTGGAAAATAGCAAGTTGAAAGTCATTGTAGACGTAATCAAAGTAACCAATCGTAATGGTCATGATAGTAGTCCAAGTCGTAGTGGTCATGGTAGAGTAGTAGTATATAATAATCAATCAAATATATATATACATCAAAAAAGTAGTACAGCAACAATAACAACAACAACAGCAACAACAACAACAATATTCAAAATATTCTAATGCAAGATACAACTTACATTCAAATAAAGAATAGAGTGCCATAAATTTAAAGACTTGAAAACTTGTAGAAAGTGATGCTCTTCCTTCTTTCATCACTTCAACCACAGATCGAATCGAGTTTTGAATACTTGTAAATGGAGCTGCAATGGATGCTTCAGCTTCTGATAAACTCACACCCACATGAGCAGATTTGAGTGCTTCCACTGTGTGTGTGTGTGTTTGAAGCAAGGGTGGTATTTGAATGGTTGTGTTTGTTTGAACGAGTGTGTGATGAAAACAATTTCAATCATGTATATGGGTGTGATGAAAACAATTTCAGTCATGTTTGATTGATGGTCAGGTCGTTCATAGGTCCATAGGAATATCATCAAGTTTAAAGAATAAACATATTCTTCCATTAATGCCATGATTCAATGACTTACCATCATTAGATCCATCTCCACACATGATACACATGTAATCCATTTTTGTCATTTCTTCAATCACTTTCATTTTACCAGAAGGTGAAACTCTTGCATAGATTTGACACGATGCTAATATTCTATGAAGTAGAGATGGATTCTCTGTATCTACATAGATATGATTGTTGATTGGATGTATGTTGGTACTATTCAGAGCTCTTGGATGATAGGAGGAATGATCAATACTCGTACGAACTTGTTGTTCAATATATTCCTTATGTGCCAATACAATACGATCAAAGACTTCACCAATAACAGCTAATTCATAATTTTCATCTTTAAAACTCATGGTCATTATTTCACGACTTGTTAATACTGGTGCATTGTGATCATCGACATTTCTCCAAACAATTCGATCATAGAGTGGAAGATAATGTTTCAATGGATTTCCTAAAATAGTTGTGAGAGGAGGGTGTGGTGAGGGATGGTCATCATTGATGGATTGAAGAGTATGACTTGTTGTAAGATGACCAACAGTGTTATATATACTATGATGATTACTATGATGATTACTATGATGATTACTATGATGATTACTATGATGATTACTACTACGATTACTGGTATGACCACTGGTATGACCATTGTCATTACTACCACTCATTGTTTCTTCTTCTTTAAATTCAGATAAATAAATTGTCTTTCCTTTTTGTAAAATTCCACATTTACGTGCCACACATATCGTTGTAAATGGATTATCTCCTGTAATCACTACTGATCTCACATTACATTCATTAAGAGTTCGTATGACTGATGGTGTTTCTGGTTTTAATTTGTTTTCCATACAAATTAATCCAAGAAAACAAAGATTAGATTCTACTTCTTCTCTTAATAACTTATCAGCATATTGAGAAATTAAGAGATCAATTTCATTTCTTCGTTTTTGATAAAGATCATGATGACTTGAAGAATCTTGTCTTGTGTCATCATTGTTAGACCTTGTAGAATCCAAACTACTATCATTTAAAATGAATAACAAATCTCGAATACAGACTTTTCGAGTGGCACATCCCAATACTCGATAACCCTTATGTGAATATTTATACAAGACTTGTGAAAAGTCATTAGGAATGGTATCAGAATGAGAGAGTGTTTTTAACATTTCTGCTGAACCTTTCACAAAGAAATGTAAATCTCCAGTTTGTTTGTTTTGTGCAATGACAGACATTCGTTGAAGACTTGATTTGAAATCAAATACTTTGAGAATTGAATATTGAATAGAATCATTTTGAGATGAAATGATGGTGTGGTGAGAATTCTGGTTCAATGAACTCGGACTTGTTGAATGTAATGTATCAGTAGTAGTGGTAGTAGTAGTATTAATAGTAGTAGTAGTACTGGTAGTATTAATAGTAGTGGTAGTACTGGTAGTAGTATTAATAGTAGTAGCATTATGACCTCCTCCTCCTCCTCCAATAGGTTCTAATAATTTCCATCGAGTGGCTTCAAATAATTTCACATCTAATGGATCACCTACTAACTTGCCAAATACATTGGATAAATTATGACATGTGGCCATACATTGTACGAGTAATGACGAAGAAGAAAGATTGGTTAATAAATCCTTATCTTTGATAAGAGATGAAAATTGTGAAGTGTGGTTATAACTCATATTGTGAGTAGAATGATTCATTTTGGGAGTAGAATGATCATTAATGATTGGATTAATATGATCATCATTACTGATTGGAGTAGTGGTACTAGTTGGACTAGTTGGAGTAGTACTACTAATACATCCATTCATCATCATCATATTTTGATGTTTCGTCATTTTCACTTCTACCACTCCATGTAAATCTAATCCATCTCTTGTCAATGTATTGGTCTTATCAAAACATGCTAAATTCACTCGACCACTCACATTAATTCTTGGAGGACTAATACAAAAGATTCCCTATATACATCATGAACATAATATTTCAATCATGAACATAATATTTCAATATGTAGTGATGTATGTATGGGGTATGGTTGTAGTAGTAGTGATGTAATAATAATGTATGGATGGTCAAGCAATGTACATTTAAATTCATTCATTCCACATTCCATAATGGTTATCATACTAGTAGTTGTTCAAAAAAACATACCTTTTTCTTTAATCTTGAAATGGCCAATGATACAGTTGTGGTCATGGCAATGGGTAATGCAGGTGGTACAATGGTAGTAATGAGATCAAAACATCCTGTAATCATTTCTTGAATAGGTGCATTCTTAATAGCCTATATATTGTTGGTCAAATAGTGTGTGGTGCGTCGTCGTTGTAATCATCATTGAAAATATTAATATGATCATTATCACAAGTATAAACATGTCATTATAAAAGAACAAATCACGATCATCATCACCATCGTAATCGTAATTGTACACATTCACATTCACACATTCACACACACATATTCACAACAACACGACACCTACCTGATTATATAAACTATAACTAATTCCAGCCAATCCAAATAAAAACATGAATAACAAAAATTTCATAGAATCACTGTAAAATGAAAATTGATTTGGTTTTGGATGCAAAATAGATAAAACTAATTTTCCTTTTGCAGTTTGAAATCCAGTTTGAGTAACCATTGCAATAACTATTTCCTTATTATGACTTGTTTCTCCACTGTGGTGAGTAATTTCATCAACAACATTCAATGTACTTGGTTTTGTCATGATGACTTGAGTACCTGAAAAGAGAGTATGACTCTTATCACGCTTTGAATTGTAAACTTCTTTTTGTGAATTTGATTTTGGAATTGATACTTTCTGTGTTAATTTATATCACCACCCATTCATTCATCCATTCAGTGATAGATGATTATCACCACCCATTCATCCATTCAGTGATAGATTATCATTCAGAATTTGTGTGAATAATAAACAGTTCCATGCATGTACACATACCTTTGTAGGTGTAGATTCACCAGTGAGCATACTTTCATTCATAATGACACTTCCATGAACAAGTACACAATCACATGGTAAAATCATTTCATTTTCAATTTCAATGAAATCACCTGGTAATAAGAGTGTCGAATCTATACGATGTTTCACTAGTACTTTTTTTTTAGAATGATATCGAGTCCAAAAAGTATTAAAATGATTATTATGACTATTATTCGGATTATGAATGACATTCTTGTTGAAAGTCTGTTGATCATTTTGACTATTATTACTTTGACTATTATTACTTTGACTACTACTATTACTTTGACTATTATTACTATGATTATTACTATGATTATTACTATGATTATTACTATGATTATTACTTTGACTACTATTATTACTCTGACTATTACTTTGACTGCTACTATTACTTTGAGTCATTCTCATATTGACACTACATGTATTTAATCGATTCACTCCACAATGAAAACTTGTCATTTCTCGTAATTTAATCATATTACTTCTAGTTTCCCACATACTCAATAGAGAACTTATTGAAGAAATGACTGCAATAGCAACTGCATAAATGTAATAATTTTCACTCAACCATACACAAACACTTGCTACTTGAAATAAATAGAATGGATGTAAGACTTCATCTAAAAGTAGAGAAATGACATTTCTAACTTTGGTTTCAATAGTATTCACTCCAAATAGAGATTTCTTTAAATGTCTGTTTTGGGAATGATCTTGTTTGCATTCAGTAGTGAGAGAAGAATCATTCCTTGCATGCCATTCGGTTGTAGAGTTTGTTAAATGATCATGTAAATCTGCAAATGGTAAGAGAGTATTGTGATGAACTCTTTGAAATTGATCGGTTTCATCATTGTAAATATAATTTAAATTTCTATATTTGAATAAACGAATGGATACTTGAATGGTACTTGGATTTGAATCTATAGTATGGGTATTTGGATTTGAATCTATAGTATGGGTACTTTCATTTGATGTATGATGTAATTGTTGTTTCAATGAATCATGTAATGTTTGAATATCCACTCTCACATTCACTTGTTCAATTTTGCAAATCGTAATTTGATGTGTCTCTTTTGCCTTGATAAGAACAGCATCTGCTTGACGAAACGAAGTATTTTGAAATAATGGTGTTTCAAAATGATCACTATTCGTAGGATTGTTAGTGGGATTATTATTAGTAGTATTAGAATTATTATCATTATCATCATTACTATTTGTAGGAGTATCATCATTAACAATATCAGTATTAGTAGTAGTAGTATTATTAGAATGATTCATCTTTTTATAAATTCGATTGTGTTGAATTCGATCCTTGAACCAATCGAACCAAAAACAAAGAAACAATAATGAACCTAAACTCAACACAACACCCAACCAAAAGAGAATGAACCAAAGCCATGAAAATTTCAATCCAATACAACTCTCCATTTCATGAACTTGTTCATCTCCTTTCGATACATCGGGTAGAGAATGAAATTCATTGAGAGGAATGGAATATTTGGACAAAATGAATTGTCGTACGAGTCGAGTTGTTGTTGTTGTTTGTGATGATGCTTCAGTAGTGAGTTTTTCATTTTTCTTTCGTTTCATCATTCTATGATGTGTGAGTGTGTGTGAGTGATGAGATGGGATAAAGATACACAAACTTCTTTTGTGATTGAATATTGGGAAAATTAAAATAATAGGATGAATTCAAAAGAAGATTGAATGTTTTTTTTGAACGATGAAGATTTTACTTGAACGAAACAGCAAGCTAAGGTGTATGTACTGTAAGTTTTCAAGAAACGAAAAAAAAAAATCGAATCGCGGACATTAAACATTGCCCCAATCAGCTTCAAGCTTTAAGAATATACTCTTCACCGGACTTGAAATGAATCATCCTTCCACATTGTGTCCCTCTCAATATTATTATTTAAAACCCATCACTGAAATTATAACATGTTCACTCTCAACATCATCCTTCCATTCCATTCAATCCATTCCATATCCAATCACTAAATCCTCTCAAACTCTTTATTATTCTCTTCAAAGTTTATCCATACTTGATTGTTCACATAATTCAATTTTAAATAATTTATTAGAAAATAATCAAATTAATATTAAATTATTTATTAAATTATTATTAGAGGATGATGAATCAAAATATCATGGAGATGATAATTATTTAGTTTATCATTTAAATGGAATGCAATTTGAAATACAACAATATTTTACATCAAGTATTGAATTCATCTTGGAAATTTTTGAAATGAATGATCCTAACATTTCACAAATGGTGATGAATCATTGTAAAGATATTAAATTATATTGCAGTGCTCTATCATGCATCAGTTCACCAATGATTGAGAGAAATGAATCAACTCTTGCCAATCTTAATGACACTCATTGTTCACAAAATAGTCTATTCGTTCATCATCATTCAATACATTCTTCTTCTAACATGACTCCATCGAATCCATTGATTCATTCTTACAGGACGACTCATTCTAATGATCCATTCTCTACCACAGCCACAGCCACTACCACTACTGTTGTTGATTCATCATTTATCTCTCCAACAATTAATATTGATAAATACATGAAACAACGACACAAATTATTTTCTAAATTTGATCAAGGTATAAAATTAGATACCACTTCATGGTATGAAGTTACACCAGAGAGTATTGCAAAATATATTGCAGAGAAAATTAATTCTTTGGGTTTCAAAGTGAGTAAGGATGATGATGATTCACTCCACAACAACCATCATGAATGGATGAATGATCCATCCATTCCTCAATCCATTCCTCAAACCATTCCTCAAACCATTCCTCAAACAAGAACAACATCCATGACTCTATCCAATCCTCAAATAATAACAACACCATCAACAACACCTCAAATAATAGTAACACCATCAACAACAACAACAACACGTCCTCTCAACACCAAGATTATTGTCATTGATGCATTTACAGGATGTGGTGGTAACATGATACAATTTCTATTACAACCAAATATAGATCTAGTCATTGGATGTGATATTTCTGATACTAAATTAGAATATTGTAAACATAATATCAAAGTGTATGGATGCAATGAAAGTAAAATGAAATTAATTCATGGAGATTATATGGAACATGTTCGAAAAGGAACCTTTTCCAAAATAATTCAAGAATATTTAATAGAAGAGAAGAACAAGTTACAAAATCTCATCCAAGAAGAATGTGAAATGATCCATCATCAAGTAGAATATAAAGTCATTGCATTCTTAGCACCACCTTATGGCACCATGAATTATCTCTCTAATATTTATAATTTAAAAACTGATTTATTAATTAATAATAATACTCATAATGGTATTGATATCTATAGATATACTAGAGATTATTTAACAACAAGTATTATTTATTTATTACCAAAGAATGTGAATATTTATCAAGTGAGTTATCAAATGGAAAGGAGTGGTTCAAATAGAAGTGGTAGTAATAGTAGTAATAGTGGTAATAGCAGTAATAGTAATAATAATAATACCATTATCAATGATCATAGTACCACTACCGATCAAGAATCATCTAAATATCTAGATTTTGAATATATTTACATGGATGATGTTTATTTAAAATTAATATTCATGTACACGAGTGAATTTATTGAGCAGCAAATAGAATGAAATATTATCGATCGTCTTGACTCGGCCATGAATGAAGTGAATGGTGTTACAAACTCTCAATGTGTTTGTATCCATTGCACTCTATCCACTTTAATTGTATCATGGAAACCCTACCATAGGTTGGTAAGTTTGAACTACGCTCGATCGAATTTTGGTCGAGTGCAATTTCAATGAGCCATTCATGATGTATTGAATCAAATTGTAAAGAATTGAGACACTTGGTCTTTTAAACCTTGTTCGATGGTAATAAAAAAATGGTTCGACACTACTTGTATCGATATTTGAGCCTTCCTCATTCCATGATGACCAATGACTCTTCGGATCATCATCATGATGACCAGTGTAGTCATTCCGAATTATTATCTCAACAATTACAACATTTAAAGATATTTCCATCACTCGAATCGTCGTCGTCGTCATCATCATCATTTCCACCATTCGAACCATCATTGACACAACCAACATTCTCAGACCACCACCCCCATCTCCTCCACCACATCCACATTTCAACACTCATTCAAACAAGTTCCAACAAGTATCTATTAATCAATGTTGGAGAAGGTACTCAACACATTTTATTGAAACACAAATTACCACCCAATCGAATTGAAGTCATTATCATTACACAAATGAAAAATACTCATGTGAATGGATTGTGTGGATTATTATCTTATATTTTAATGAAAAAGACTAAATCTGATGATCAACATCGAAATATTCCATTTCTCACTGTGATTGGACCCACTGGTTTAATTCATTATATTAAAACCATGTTTAGAATTACTCAAACCTTTTATGAAAAGATTCCAATGATATTTATTGAAATTGATCAACATGGAAATAGACAATTCTTTGAAACGAGTCAACTCAAAGATAAAACTCTCTTTATTGAACCTCATTTACAACATAAGGAAAACAAATTAATTGAGAATTCTATTTTGAAATATCCAATTAATAACAAGATTCATTTATATTTATTTGTAAATCCAACAACAATGGTATGGAATAATAATAGAGCACAGTCATCTGAAAAGACAGTATTGAATATATGCATACGGGAAGTGAATTCAAGTGGATTTGATAAACAAAAACTAGCTCACTATGGAATTTCTAATATTAAAATTAAGGATTTGAATGAAAATGGGTCGGTAGAATTGGAAGATGGAAGAGTTATTACTATGGACATGGTTGCAACCCATGGAATGGTAACCAAACAATTGGTGTACACAACCATACCAATGAACACTAATGTGTCTTGTATACAAAACCATGACAAGAATACAAGTGATCAAGACAAGTCACCTACTTGTTTCAATCCACCACAAACCAGCAAAACGAACATTTGTTTTATTGAGGCACCAAATGATCAAGTTGTGGACACCACAGACTCACCCCATGTATATCCTTTACAGTACTATTTAGCTGTAACAGATATTGACACATACGAACACAAGATTAGCTTTTGAGGAGCATGGTGCATCTTCTTCAACCCTTTCATAAACTAATATTTATACAAACCATAATGTGCAATTTTTTTTTCAAATTTTCTTTTGACAACACCCAACACCATTAACCATTACTAAGTCTCCTCGAGAGACGCTATATCAAAATTGGCAACGATACAGAGAAGATTAGCATGGTCCCTGGACTAAGGATGACACAACTGATCGAGAAAGTATCCCTACTTTTTTTACAACTTTTGCGCAGTCTTATCATTTGCAACCTTAAAATCATGGCAATTAGTTAAAAAGTAGTGCTGCTTCTGAGTCAACCTTGTTTTCGATACAAAACACTTTGGTTCTTTTCAGAACATTCAATGTTTGGCAGGATTAAAATGATTATTTTAAGCATTGTTGAGTCACATCATTATTGACACAATTATTGATAGCTGTTGCGATGGTAATAATTTTGTAATTGCTGCTACTATCTTTCATCCAAGGTTTGGAGCCAACCAAATCTATGACGGTTAAATAATGACGAATTCTGAAAGAATTTTGTCTTTTGAGGGTTTTGGTTTGAACGGTTCTCGTTTGAAAGTGGCATGATGCAAATTCAACCTGTTCTCCTTGAAGGATCTCATCTTTTTTGATCAAAAAATTTTTAGACACAATTTTTGTCGTTGCCCAATCTTTCAAAATAGAACATACCAACCCAAAACATTGATGGCAATCGGAGTAAGGGAATCCAATGTCTTTTTGGATTAGTAGCCCTAATACAAGAAACAATAAAGCTTAAACTTGGTGTTTCCAGGTCCATACAAACGTTCAACTTTTCTAAATCAAACATATCTTCAGTGATTCATAGAGGAACAATATGCTTCAGCGTGCAATCTTCATTTTCTTCAAATATGACTTGCGATGAAGACATGAGTATTATGTTTATCATTGTTTGACAATACCCAGCGAAAAGCATAGAACGCAAAGATGTTTAAGAATTCGTAAACAATGTTAATGATGCTTAACTACGTGTTTCATCATCTTTGCCCAGGTAAGATTACTATTATCTAGGGCATGTCATTCTTCAGTTGTTTTACATAGTAATGTATTATTAAAGTTAAAATAAATTAAAAGGATGGATTCAATAAATACCTCTCGATAAATAGCCTAAATTGCATGTAACGAGTGTATGTAAGTAACAGAAAATTGATGTGTTATATCCTGCTAATATCCAGAATATCGTAATTATGATATTATTATACAATACTTGTTAACAACGAATTGGAACCAGCATTCTTGGACGCTTTATCTGTAACATAATGTGGACTGGTTTAAATTTGATTATACAATACCGGGATGAATATAGATCATTTATATGTTAGTAGTGCTTCAATCAAATCATCAACACATTGTTAATTTGAAACCAAATCAAGAATATTCAAGTCTACTTCCCCACAAGTGATCATAAAATAGTTTAGCACAATACCAATTTGTTAAACAAGAAATTGATACAAACCATGTTCCTTGAAAAACATCGCAATAATGAGACGAACACATCGTTGAGCGAATCAACGACGGATAAAATGTAAAAAAGAAGTTGGAAAATCCATCAATGATAAGGCCAAAGCCAATCGCAGTCACAAAATTGTAAAAGGAAATAACTGAGCAAATCAATGATAAATAAGGCCAGTTAATACAACAAAGTGTTGTGAATTCTAAACATAATGGGAAGGAGGGTGTTGTTGCGGTGCCAGACTGCCTTTCTTTTCAGAACAATTCAATTTTTCTCTCAACCATGCTAGGTCTTTAATAATAATAATTTGATTAATGGAATGTTATTGAGCCTTCCAATCAAGTGAGAAAGGATTTACTCTTTCTTGGTTTTTGTCCTCATTTTCAGCATTCTTGTCTTGATTTTCACAACATTCTTCTTTTCGACTTGATTCAAAACACTTGTTGAAAAGTTTTTCAAACAATTGTGAAGTTTGGTGCACAAGAGAAAGCATGGAAAAGCTTGTTCTTTAGGAGGCCGTATCCACCAGCCCAATATTGTCAAAACAGGTTAAATAGTAATTCGAGGTTTAAATGAACAGATCTTTCAAAGGCAAATACAAGCTGAATAGTCAAACCGTAATAACCACATCATAAGAACATAAGCAATACCTCTTTATGTGATGAAAGTGAGGGTGTTTCATGTCCAGCCTTGCAAATAAAATTCGTTGGCACAAAGGGATAACATAAAAAAATGCAACAACCCTTCTTCAATTCTGCTCCACCAGTAAATACAGGTACGTTACATTCTTCTGATTGGTTCGGACCATGATCAGCAACAACAACACTAAACAGTGAATGACAATGCAAACAAACGAACATTGAGTACATTCCTTCAACAACATACCATGTCATCTACTCACCCCGTGATGGCGACCAACAATCCCTACCTCCAACAACAAAAGTAAGTGTTTTTCAAAGTAGTAGATGATTAAAAAACTTTAAATCTCTTTGATTCATCCAATGAATGATCATAACAATTCCATCATTAAATTCCAACAACAACATCATTTAATTCCCATAACAACATCACGATGAAATTCCATCATCAATTCCATCATTAAATTCCAATAACAACATTACGATGAACAACCAAATTCCAATAATACAACAACAACAACAATACTCACTCCCAACAAAAAACACCCAACAAAAAACACCCAAAAACAACCCACCCAAAACAACACCAACTCACTCCCAAAACAACACTTTAGAAAATCTAAAATTGATTACATTCAATTACCTGAAAAAGTCAAAGATACCATCTCGGAAAGTGAAATTTATTCCATTCTTTTAAATTATGAACATCGATTGGATGTCTTACTCTCTGAAAAGAAACAACATATGCGTCAATTATTATTAAATAATGAAACATCAAGTGAAACATTACGAATCTATGTCACACATCAACGAAAACAAATCTCAAAAACAGAAGAAGAATGGAGATTTGGAATTCAAGGTGGTATTGTTAGAACAAGTAGTAATATGGCTACCATTGAACACTACAAATTTACAAATTTCTTAAAATCAATGATTATTGAATTAGATAGAAGTGTATTTTCAGGAGGTGAAGATTTTATTGAATGGAATTCATTACCTTCTCAACCTATGAAGGATGGATTTACATTTACTCGTCGAGTGAATCTTTCTAAATTATATGAATTATATCCTCAAAATGTCTATCCATTGAAATTATTATTTCATTTCAAACAAGATCCTCCTCTCTATGAGATTTCAAATGTGTATTTGAAGAGATTGATTCATTCCACTGAAGAATATAGTCGAAGAGCAAGTGGTCAGAGTAGTGTTGGTCATTCTTTGGATTCATTGGGTACTGGTTCCGGTGTGGGTTCTATGGGTACTACTGGTTCTATGGGTTCTATGGGTACTACCACTACTACTGGTTCTATGGGTAGTACTGGTATGGACCATCATGATGAAGAAACCTTTACATTGAATCAAATTCTATCCATGATTTGGGAATATATTACCAAGAATCGTTTGTATGATAGTGAAGACAAATCCTTGATTCGATGTGATGAATTGTTGACTCTTATTCAAGCATCAAGTACGGGTACTACTATGGGTTCTACTACGACTACTGGTATTACTGGTTCTACTATGGGTACTGGTTCTACAACTACTACAACTACAACAGATCAAGAAAGTTCCAACTCTTCCAATCATGTTGTTCTCTCCTATACAGAAATTCTCAAAAAAGTCAAATCTCTTCTCACCATTCCCATCCACTCGACCGTAGCAGAGATTATTCATCCCATTCCATTCTCACCAACCAATGATGCAAACTTGCAACAACCATTCACAGCAGCAGGAACACTCTCTCAACAGCATTCTTCATTCAACGGTGCATCTAAAAAAGATGTTCCTGTTCAAGTGAATACTCCTCATCAGGCTAAAACCAATGCTTCGATTGAAAAGATTTTAAATGATGAACCCAATGAAGAAATTGAAAATATTAATAAGAATATTCAAAATGTCATTCAAGACATTAAACAACGATCTGAAAAGATGAAATTTATGAAGAAATTTGCAGAAGATCCAGTGAATACTCTTCATGCATTGATTGATTCCCAAACTAGAGATTTACTTGTATTGCACAAGAAACAGAGTGTTGAAGAAGCTAGAAAATCATCATTTTACAAACCAAGTGATTGGATTCACACAGCATTATTTAAATATTTGAAATCCAATGAAAAGAAGTTTTCAATGACCAATAAATAAGAAGTATTTTTGTAACTGCCTTTTTGTTGGTTTTTCAGTAGGACCAACTCGAAATCTCAGTGCCGATAATTCGCAGCTGCCAACAACATTTTAAAAAAAATTGATCAAAATAATCACGACTCAATCACAAAGATGGTGGTGACTACGGAACAAATTCGACAATTGAAACAACAAATAGAAATGTTGACTGAGGAACAACAACGTATTACTTTTGAAAATCGAGAACTTCAGGTCCAGTGTCAAATGTGTGAAGAAGAAATTAGTCATCTCCAAGCCAATCTCAGAGAGCTTGAGAGTAAAAAATCGTTATTGAAAAGAGAACTTTCCGAATTGAGAAAAGTGTAGAGTGGTGGGAATGAATATCCATCCCGATCGGGAATATCTCACACATTTGATGTACATACAATGTGTAATTACCAATACGTAAATGAACATGTCAAACAAATCAGTTTTTTTCAACTTGACGTTTTCTTCGTCGTTCTCCAATTCCATACAATACCAACCCAATAAATAACACCACAATACTCACAATATGATAGGCTGTAATGGATGATTGTTCAGGAATAATAAATTTCATAAATGGTAATGCAAAAACTAGTGTACAAAAAGGAAATGCAAATGCATTAGCAAAGAACGTAATATCAGCATTGATATATTGCACACATAATAATCTCAATTGTAACCAAATATAACTGAAAATATTGAATACGACAACGGTGATCCATCCTTGTCTTTCTCCAAATAAAACATTGTTAAATGCCATATTCATATCATGAATAAATGAATTCAATGATTCGTATTGAGTAATAAAGAAATAATAGAGAGGAAACATGATGAGAGTATTTAAAATCAATTCATAAATTCTTTCGTAGAATCCAAGTGTATAGACATTGAGTGGAACATGACTCTCCATAGGTATATGTGAATTTTCATTGACCATTCTCTTCAAATTTGAATTTTCATTGACCATTCTCTTCAAACTTGAATTTACAACATTCTTCCTAGTTGATCGATGTTTCTTGATGGCTCTCTTTAAAATATACATTTCATACATTCTTTGTCCAACACTAAAGAAACAGCTCACGACAAAAATACACGCATAGAAGAGTGATGATGATCCTCCCTCTATTGTAGATTCTCTCAATGATACTAAATAAGGTAATATCACGACAATAAATATTCCTAATAAAATACATACAACTCCACACCATTGTAATGTATTATATTTCTCTTTAAATATTAACAATGTACACAGTACTGATAATGGTATATTCATTTGTGCTAATAATACCATTAATGTTCCACTATTCTTTCCCATTCCATTGGATCCAATAATTTGAAATAAAGTTTCAAAAATATTACAAATGGAAATATTTAAATAATGAATAGAATAGAGAGAATGATGGTTGGGAATTGGAGAATTACAAGTTTCAGTAGGTTTAATAGAACTAGTTTCATGAATACTTGAATGAATATTTGAACTCGTTTCATGAATACTTGAATGAATATTTGAATTCGTTTCATGAATACTTGAATGAATAGGTCTAGTTTCATGAATATTTGAATCATGAATATTTGAATGAATACTTGAACTTGTGACTACATTGATACTTGAATTCGTTTCATGAATCATCATTAATTTCTTATTTTTCATGGGATAATAAATTTCAGAATAGATATAATGTCCAATAAAAAACAAGACACAAGTAATGATATAATTCAATTCAGAGGCTAGAAAAGGATATTGAAATAATAAATTCAATGATTTTTTAAAATATAACGTAGAAAGTACATCAAACACAATGAAACTAGCAAGTAATAGAAATGATGTGAAATAAAAGAGGAAGGTTTTTTTGTAATCTTGAGATAAACACGAGTGATGTATGAGTTTCAATAATCGAGTCAGTAGTAGTGAGAAGGAAATAGGTGAGTGAGATGTTGATGAATTCATTTCATTCGAACGATTCACATGTTGGTAATATTGAGTATCATTGTGACCATGGTAGTCTTGATCAATGATCTCAACATGATGATTTAACAATGGAGAGTGTTCCGATGATTGTGGTGGTGGTGGTGTGTGATGGTGGTGATGGTGGTGGTAGTGGTGGTCATGAGAAGAGAATGGTTGAATTTTTGAATCAAGCATTTTTTTAATTCAAGTGAAAGGTTCACATCACAATAACACATAATAACAACACACACCAATAGTGATGTTGTTGTGTTTCTCAATCTCTCTCTCAATCTCTCTCTCATTCACACCATATGATCGATCTGAATCAATAAACAAAAGGTATCAAACTGTAAGGAACCATATTACAATAACGAGTCCAATCCTGTGCATATTGTCTCGAATAATACAAGTGCCTATTTCTCTCTGTCGTAATGATATCCAATGTATTCAACATGGCATATAAGAGTGGAATGAAATAATGAAAAGTACTACTACTACTACTAGTATGGTACATGTTCATCATTCCAGTCGAAAGACCACCACCAACACTACTCGCACGACTCGTATTAAATATACCATAAAGACCACCACTACCATGAATATTCAATAAAAAGAGTGACCATACCATTAATAATTCTCCACTCAAATCAATATTTCGACACAATAACCATCCACTATCAGCAAGAATATAGGATCCATCTCGAGAACTCACCACTCGAGGTGTGAGAGTCTTACTCAATAAAAAGTAAGGAAAGGATGAAATGGTACGATGTGGTAGTAGTACTGTCGTAGATTTCATATCATTTGTTGTAGATCCATGAAAGTAATACTCTTGCTTGAAATACATGTATTGAGTATTGGAAATGCTCCAAATATAGTAACCTATTAAAAAGAGTACAATGGGTAGAATGGGAATGGAATCATACATAGTAGTAGTAATTGTACCAGTAGTAGTACCAGTAGTAGTACCAGTAGTAGTAGTATTATTCAATAATGAAACTTGATGAATTTGATGAATCAATGGTATGGTATTAAAGAATGGTAATACAACACTCTTATCCAAGACATCCATGAGATCATTTTCACCATCATAGGAACCCATGACACTACTATTCATATAGAGTTGAATCATGTAATTACAAATGAGGAATGTTGCAATCATTTGACATGCTACAGGATATGAAATGTATTCATACAATTCAAATTGTTTAGCAACCACACTCAACGAGAGAATGAACCATAAATTGTAACCCATATCAATGGATGGAAGTGAAATTCGAGTGGTGGTGGTGGTGGTTGAGGAAGAGGTGATTGGTGTCATTGTTTCAGCAGTAGTAGTGGGTTGAGTACGAGTCGAGCTCGTCGAACTTGGACCTATATTCATCATCAAATCCTCAGTCGCACTCACATCCTCAGCACCTGTGGTACTACCACCACCAATACTACCACCACTACCAATACTACCACTACCAATACCACTACCAATACCACCACTATCACTACCAATACCACCACTACCAATACCACCACTACCAATACCACTATGGATTGGAATTTGCTTCATTCTCTTCTTACTTTGATAAGTAAAACTAGTTTTGGACAAACTTGCTAAAATCAATCCTCCTACCAATGAACAAGTAAAGAGTGCAATGAAATGTTCATACCATTCCACAACTGGTAATAAATTGGTGACATTCAATATAAATACTAAAAAGATATTCATAATGAATGAATAATACATGTGATACGATGGAGAGGACATGGCAAGAATGGATTGTAAACCACTCCATAGTACAAATAATGAATACATCCAAATACATGTATAATCACTTGGAAGTGCATACATGAAGATTGGTTTCAAGAGTTGATCTTTCAAGAACGAATAAGAATGTGAGAAGGATGAAGGATAAATGAATTGACCATGATGGAACATTGTACACATCCATAAATAGTAGGTGAGGAAGATGGTACCAAAGAATCTCAATGCATGAATGGGTTTGAAAGGTTTCAAGAGATGCTGAACATCTTCGAGGGATGATTCTTGTTGTTGAGACTCAATAAGATCATCACTCGTTTCATCATCCACTCCACCACCACTAATTTCTTCACCAATGATACTTGCTGCAGATTCGATGGTCTTTTGAATACCTTCAATGGCAGCACCAAAGCCACTACGATCACGACTCAACGCAATATTGTCTTCGTCGGCTGGATTGAGATTGGCTGCAGTGGTAACGTCCATTTTTTTAAGGCTTTAAGTGTATTCGTTCACAACTCTCTGGTGGTTGATGAATTCGCGTTCAACACACTCTCGAGAGAATCGATGGTATGTGACACAGCCACACACGCACACACACTCATTCCATTAAGAACGTCAAGTGATATGATGCGTCCTGCCTGCATGAAATCCACCATGATGCATTCTTCGAATCATTATTTCATAAAATCAAATAGACTTTTTTGTGAGAGTTGTTTTTTGGTAGATTTCCTTGTTTGTGTGATTTCTTTTTTCTTGGATGTCTCTTTTTTTCGTTTTTCCTTTGTTGTACTGCTACTACCACTGCTCTTATGAGATTTTTGATTATTTGATACACCACTGCATGTATGACTCGTGTTGTTGTTGTTGTTGGTATTATTATCATTACTCGTGTTCGAGTTGATATTACTACTAGTACTACTACTATTACTACTACTGCATATACTATGATTTACACAAGTATGATCTTCCAAACATTCTTTGATACTTCCATAATGATAGAGTGCATTCCAAAATAATTCTTCATGATTTTCATAGAGTTTTTCTGAATTCACTTGTTGAATATTTGATAATAATTCTAATAACTTGTTTTTGGGAATGTAAGAAACAATTCGAAGGGTTGTTGTACTCGTACTAGGATCACCACCATCGACAACTTGTTTGATGGTCAAGGATGGTTTGAATTTGTTTCTTATTGAGTTGCAATGAATACATGTCATGTAACCTGAATGTTCATTGGTATTCGATTCAATATGTTGTTTTTCTAACCATTGATGACAGTGTTTACATTCTTCACCTAATAAGAAACAGAGTCCATCTGCTGATGTGAAATATAAATCATAGAGTGGTGTTGTATGAGTGGTTGTTGATATTTTTGGAGTGGTTGTTCTTGTGGTTGATGGAATAGTTATATTGGTTGTGTTCGTCTGATGAGATTCTAATATTGGAGTGTCAGTAATGGATGTGCACAACATGTTGGAACTAGGATGACCATTCTGATCATTCTGGATTGCAATAGTGCACTTCTTTCTTTTAAGCTTTAAAGTTGCGGATGAAGGGATTGTTTTTCTCTTCTTATTGGTAGGTGAGTTGGGTTCTGAGTGAGTATTGACCTTTTCATTATTAGTAGTAGTAGTAGTAATGAGAGTGGAATCTTTAGGGATAAGATGGATTGGCTCATGGATTTCTTGAGCTATACATTTTGGTGCAACAACCTGAATACTACTACTACTATTATTATTATTACTATTGCTACTACTAGTACTACCACCACTACTCATCGTCTCATTGACACACTTCTCTTCTTCTTCTATTGTGGATGCAGTTGATTCTAACGCAACAATCTTATCAGGTGATGATTTTAACCAACTTTCAAATTTGTTTTTTGATCTCTCAAATGCTTTTCGATCTGCATTATTTCTAATTTTCACAACTTGTTTGGGTGCTGCAGTATGAGTAGAGGAGGCAGATGTTGTGGATGCATGAGGTGATGATTTCTTCTTTTTTGTTGTTGTTGCTTTAGAAGGTTTGAGTAACAACACATTTAAGGGATTCATGATGGATGGTGAATGCTTCTCCGTGGTACTTCCACAGTAAGAATTGGACTGTTGTTCTTTCACTTGACATACTTGTTGTTCATGGATATCATCCAATAATAAATCATCTCCTAATAGAGAGGTATTCAAAGGATCATTATTCATACAAGTACTATTCATAGTACTAGAGCTTGAAGAATGGGTTGATAAAGTGGTATTGTATCGAGACGATGGAGTTTGGAATGTGTCGTCATGAGAATTATTCATGTCATGGGTGGAAGAGTTTGTTTTTTTGGAATTTGCATTGACAATCATTGTTTCTAGTGAAAAGAGTGGTGAAGCAGATAAACGATCCGTCGTCTTATTGTCACTGCCACTACTACTATCACTACTGGATGGTATCATTAATGAAGCTGGTATTTGTGAGAATTGAATTTGTTCAAGATATTTTGATGGACTATCAGAAAAGAATTCATTTTCTTCATTCTTCGTGTCGATGGAGGATGATTGATTTTTCAGAACCACTTGCTTTTTTCTATTGTTGTCATGCAGATTTGCATGTTTTGATGATATAAAGGATCGTTTCATATCAAATTGTTGAGTGAGTTGAAGATCGAATGGAGTCATTAATTTACTCCATTTGTTTTGAGTGAGATTGGTATTGTAAATGTTATTATTCGTCAATGTTTGTAAATGATCTTGTTCCGATAATAATATCGGAGGTGAAAGATTATTGGTTCGAGCCTTGGTAGTTGATGATGTTTTCGTTGATGAATCATTTAATGCTTTTGTATCATTGGAATAATAATTTCTATTAGCGATTCCTAAAATTGGAGAGGGTGGATCCTGATGTTTTGTTGAATCATATTGACGACTCGTGATTAATTCTTCTACATCATCACTACTCTTCTCTTCTGGATCAAAGGATTGAATCTCATCATCATCACTACTATTATCCTCTCCGATGAGTATTGTTGGACTAGGAGCACAACCATTGTTGTTGTTGTTGCGTAAAGTGTGTAGCCTCAGTTCGGGACTACTCGGTGTTTGCATTGTTTTTTATGAAAAAAGCCTTTTTTCCAATTTTTGTTCTTGCGATTGATGGAAACAACAATGGAACTTCAATGTTGAATGGCCATTTTCAATATTCAAAAAACATGACTCATTCTCAAAATTCACAAAACATATATGTTTAATACATTGCACGTGTATCAATATTCTCGTTTTGTCTATTGTTGTCCACCCTTATATAAATTCAAATAATATCGTGAGGTAATTAATCTCATCACTTCATTGGTTCCTTCCAAAATGCAATGCACACGTAAATCTCTTAAATATCTCTCAACACCATATTCATTCAAATATCCATATCCTCCAAACATTTGAAGAGAATCATTGACCACATCAAAACATTCATCGGTAGCAAATCTTTTAGCCATTGCACAAAATGTAGTTGAATGTGATGATTTCTCCATATCTAATTGAGCAGCTGCTGTTCTCACCATTAATCGAGAAGCATGAACTCGAGTAGCCATATCTGCTAATTTGAATTGTAAATGTTGGAAATTAGAAAGTGGCTTTCCAAACTGTTTTCTAGTGTGTAAATATTCACCTGCCATGTTCATGCATTGTTGAGCACCACCAACACTACATGTTGCAATATTAATTCTACCACCATCAAGACCTTGCATGGCAATTTTGAAACCTTGTCCAATTTCACCTAAAATATTTTCTTTTTTCACTTTGACATTGTCCATAATGACAGCACGAGTGGGTTGTGTATTCCTTTTTTAATCATCATTCAAATAATATTCCATAACAATATATCCGTACATTTCAGCCACAAGAGTCGTGATTTTTAAATGATATAGTTTTCAATTTCCATTCCCAACATTAGCAATAGGAAAATAGTTTTCAAATTCCACCAATATCAACAACAACATTAAACATGTAAATCCATCAATATCAATATGAACAAGTCCAAATGTACATACCATCCTAATTTCACTTCATTCTTACCAAATGATAATCCAGGTGTGTTCTTTTCAATAATGAAACAAGTAATGGCATCAGCACTCGATTCTTCCTTCTTTGAGCTTGCAGTGCCGTTGCTCACCTTGGCCATGACCAAATAAACATCACTACTTCCACCACCACTGATAAAAGCCTTCTCTCCATTCAACACATAACTCTCTCCATCCTCACTCAATACTGCTCTTGTTCTCAATGAGGCAGCATCACTTCCACTATTAGGTTCAGTTAAACAATACGATGCAAACTTTTCCATACTACATAACGCAGGTAAATAACGTTCCTTTTGTTGTGGAGTACCATATTGGTCAATCATCCAACAACACATATTATGAATGGTGAGATAGGCTGTGGTAGAGACATCACCCTTTGCTAATTGTTCGAAAATGATACTTGCATCCAATCGAGAAAGACCTGTACCACCATAATCGGTTGAGACATAAATACCACCAAAGCCTAATTGTGCGGCTTCTCTCAAGGTCTCCATTGGAAATGTTTTATTACGATCCCATTCCGAGACAATATGTTCTTGAAAATGTTTGTTGGTAAAGTCTTTGGCAAGTTGTTGATATTCCAATTGTTCGGGAGTGAGATTGAATTGTTCAGAATGAGTAATGAGTTCTTGATTGGCGGATGAAAGAAAGCGTTGTTGGAATGGAATAATGACAGCCTTCTTCAACAATTGAAGTGGTGCTGATGGTTGCTTGTTGATGGCTGAGGAAAGATGAATGAAGGATTGTTTCAACATTTTTTTCAAGGGCAAAGTTGGCTTGTTGTTGTTGAGACCGTGTTTACAATGCTGCGGACAGTAGTGTGTGAGGGGAACAAGACTCTTTGAGAATTCTCGTTATTAAATGTCCAAGTTCAGCTCGTGTTTTTATTCTTGTTCTTCGTCCACAACATAATCATCTTCCTCATCTTCTTCATTCAAGAATAATTCCTCATCAATTTCATCTTCATCCACATATTGCTGTGCAGCTTCTTCACCAATTTTACTAATCAATAATTGTTGACGCTCTTCAAAGATTTGCCTTCCAGTCTTGGCTCCAGGAAATCGTTTTGCTTTTTCTGCTCTTTCTTTTTCCATAACTTTTTGTTGTTCCTGAACAAACTTATCACGCCATTCTTTAAAATTTTCGGGAGTGACTGGTGTTCCTCGTCCAATATTCGAAACTAAAACTTCAGAGTCCATTGTAAATCTATCCAAAGATGAGTCATTGGCTGATGATGAGGAAGTACCCGAGGCTGATGATGTTGCTGTAGTCGACTCGGATGATGATTGTTCTTGTTGATACTTGATGAGAAATTCCTGAATGGTACTAGCAAGAGTAAAAACACAAGAGGTACCCATAAATTGATTAGCAGTATCTACCAGTAATTCTTTCAATTCATTCATTGTACGATTGGTAATATTTCCTCTTGTATTATAAATATCAAAATGAGGTATTGATGAGCTCGGATAATCATCATGATACGTTACTTCCAAAGTAATTCCAACATCATTGACTTCAGTTTCGGATTCAACAGTATATGGGAATATTTCAATTTTAAAATGAGTATCGGAAAGAAGTGTAAGTTCAGTAGGATAGATGGATTGAAGAGCCTCAATTTCCAATTGTTGTTCTTGTTGGTTGGATGACATTTTTTTTGTGATGTTTCAATCCACAATAGACCGTGATGCAATTCGACACCTACCTTGTATTGACAAGAATTGGCCAGAAATCCAAGCCTTTTTGTTGGCAAATTCCACTACTTTTTCGTCTAGTTAGAATCTCAATGGGATTCTTTGTACATATTTCTTAAATAAATTTTTTTTGGGATGTTTGCTTCCAACAAAAACTTTCCAAGTTCGTCAACCAAGACCAACCATTTTAAAAATATTCTCAAATCTCTCAACCAGTTGGTGTTGTTGTTGCAAAACGTTTGAATTTTGATCCCCATTCACATCATCATGATCAGCAAAATTAAAAACTTCTTTTCTTCTCCGAGTCGAACCAATGAATCGGATCAACAATCCGACATGGATCGTGTAGGTTCTGCTGCTTCTTCCAAGAGTGGTTCTAAAAATAAGAATAACAATGATCGCATGTATCGTCCTATTCATGCAACGAAACATCAACAACAACAACAACCCTATCATATTTATTTACCTTCTTCCATCCTCTCTACCACAACAACAACAAGTCGTGAATTTCATGTCATGAAAACCAATACATATTATGGACATTCTTCTTCGCAACTCAACACCGACCCTGAAGGCTTTATCAAACGATCATGTTTTCATTCTGTAAAACTTCCACAAGATTTCAGAAACATTGCACAAATATTATGTGTCTCTCATAGAATTTATGTTCTCGAAGCAGGTAGTGGTCGAGTCCATGTCTATGATATTGATAATAATTCATCAAGTTTTGTTACTCCTGTTGGATATATGATGAAATTTGATGGAGAACGATTAAAAGTAGTTGCCATTCGAGGTGATACTTATGGAATGCTCTATTTGGTCTATGATTCAACATTGAATCGATGTGTCTTGTATGGTGGAGATCAAAATCATTATGACAATGTTGGAGTGGATGTTCCAAAACATTCCAATAATTTAGATTGTGCACTAGCTTTTGATCCATATTGGGATCAGAGTGGAGGTATTGTGAATCGAGAGATTACTCATGTCGAATGTGCCTATTCATTGAGTTTTTGTGTGACCAATCATTGTGAAATTAGAATTAGTGGTCAAGTGATTTGGTGTCGGTAAGTGAGTGGTGTGTGTGTTTTCATATATATTCACTCGGGACACAATGAATGGCTCTGATCTCTCTCTTTGAACTCTAATTGAACTTTAAAATTTTAATTTTTCGATTGGACCTTGGCATACACACACATTTTTAAACCAACATATGTTACTACTACTACATGTTATTACTACTACATGGCATGAATGATTTGATACATTGATAAACACAACTACATGCCATTTTGATACATTGGCATGAATGATTTGATACATTGATAAACATTTCATTATGGTAAACACAAATATTTCATTATGGTAAACACAAATATTTCATTATGGTAAATACACAAATACAGACCTGGTAACACATCTACTACTTGGAAAGAAATTGTATTTACAACACGAAGACCAATTATTGATTTACAAACTCATAGTTTTGGTTTTGTTGCTCTTCTCGATGATTCGAGTATTTGTGTGGGTGGAAGTAATAATCACTATGAAAACATGCATTCTGCTACAGGAAGTTATATTGATATTCAGTATATTGACAATTTGAATTATGTTCCAAAACAAATTTATTGTACAAGTTATACAACGATCGTTAGAACGAGTGAAGATAAATTTATTGAATATGGAAGAGGGTTTGCAAATCGATCCACACAAACACCACCAAATGGAACACCGTTTGTCATTGATAGTACTGCTGCACCAAATTATTCGAAACAATTTGAATCAAATTATGTATTGGATGAAATTTATTTGAAAGGTTCAATGATCGCATCATCGTATGAGAAACCAGATTTATATTTTTTATATTCTGAAGGAGGAGTGAATGGTTTTGTGAAATTGAGTGATTATTTTGATCATTCACTTGTTATGAATCATCGAGTGAGAGGTGCTTGCAATACGTCATGTTTTGTTCTCTATGTGACCTATCCTGATACGAGTGCTACATTCACACAAATGCACAAGAAATTATTTGAAATTTTATGGAGAGAAGATGCTCCATTGAGCGATGTTCACATTGTTGTGTCTGATCATCATTATGCTCGGAGTGAGAGTATGTACTCTAGGGAGGAGGAGTCGAATGACTGTGATGAATGATCACAAGGTTGCATCGTAGCACGTGGTGGTAGTGGTGGCGATGGTGGTGTTGTCTTCAATGCATTGAAGAATAGATTGATTGTTAAAATGTCTTGTTGAAAAGACGAATAAATTCTTCAATTTTGTAAAGTATTTGCAAATTTATGTGAGGAGAGAGTGAAGCATGAAGTGACAACAACAATATACTATTGGCTCAGTGATTCATCCGTTTGCAATTTAGAAAAATCCAAGTCATGCGAAGTATCCATCTTATCTTCAGTCGTGAAGCTTGAGGAAGGAGTTGCAGTTGTACTACTAGTCGTATTGCTGTGGTGTGTTTGTTGCAACAACTGCTTACTCTGAGAAGCGGTTTGCATGTGATGAATATTTGCAAGGCTATGTATCACACTGTTCATCACATTGTTTGCACTGTTCATGACTTGATTCATTGAAGTAGTATGAGCAGCAGTATTATTATTATTATTGCTCATCACATGCTGAATACTTGAATTGGATGATACTAAACTTTTGAAATAATACAAATCGACTGATTTCACAGCAATAAATTCAACATATTCCAATCTCATCATTTTCAATAACAATACACAATTATATCCATATCTAATGGGTAACAAAATACACCCAGCATTATGACTTGCACAATCAATGCACCATCTCAAATCATATTTCACTGAATGATCGTCATGCAAATGAATATCCATATTTGGTATTTCAACATTTAATTGAATGGAACCAGTAATAGGAATGTAGAGTAATGGTTTATCATCAATGTATTCACTTTCAATTCTAAAACAGTGACTCCAATTCTTTGTTTGTGACTCGTTGTCATAAACACATGAATTTGAAAAGTATTTGATTCGATTGGCATGTCTTGTAATTTCCATTTCTAATTGTTTGGAATTTCCAATTCGAATGTGAAAATAAGAATTTTGATTGTTGGGCATGGTATTGCAACATTCAGATAATAATTTCATGGAATGAGCATCTACAAGAAATTTCAAAGTATTCTTTGGAATGTTTGTAGAGGCAGAGGATGGAATTTGAGTGATACAATGATTATTGGTATCATTCAACATGATGTTGGATGATGATTGATTCATCAGAGTATTATTATTATTATTATTAGTAGTAGTAGTAGTGTTACTAGTAGTATTATTAATATTATTATTATTATTCATATTCATATTGGAAGAAGAAGACGGTTGAATGTTTGTAAGATCTGCCACGACTCGATTCTTGGACAATGTTTGAAGACCATAATTATTCGTTTCATCAAGTACTTGAGAACTTGTTGTTGTTGTTATGGGTGTCACCATGGTATGGTTCATCATGATTGTTGGCGCTATAAGAGTGGTCGGACTTGTGGATGTGGAAAATGTCGTGGAGTGAGTGGTGTTGCTAGTAGTGGTTAATTTGTGATGAAACGACTCTTCTTCATTATTCGTCACTAGTGCACCACCACCACCACCACTACCACTGCTCGTACTAGCAATCGTAGAATGAACATTTACAGCAGAGTTATGAGCAGAAGGTTGAGTTGGTTTTTGTACTTGTTTGATACTAATTTTTGAATGTTGTTTGTTGAGAATGTGATCTGGTGGTAAATTTGAATACTTGTTGTTGTTCATGTTGTTGTGAGGATGGTTCGGAGTACTAGTTAGAGGAAATGATGAGGCTATTGTTGAAGGATGATTTGTGGAGGGAACCATGGGTGGTTGAGAATGAGTATTAAAATTGTTGTTGTTGCTTTCCATTTTGTTTTGTGGTGTGTTTGTTGTGGCTTGCATTTTTTTCAAGAATTCTTTTTGGCAGTTGACATTTTTGTGAATTAGGCAAGAGAGTATGGAAAATAGTGCTGGTGATATAAATTATGATCGAGTGAGTTTTAAAATTTCAAAAATACTAGTGTTTAATTCATGTCACACACTATTTGATAAAATTCCTATCGTACAATGCACTAAATCTATAGGCTCTATTTTCAGTATAAAAAAGTCTCAAATAGTCTTGTGGAGTGAGAAGATCCTTCTTGGTGATTAATCGATTTTGATATTCTTCATTGAGTTTTCTTTTTTGAAGAATGGAATATGAATTTTGATGAGAAATATTCTGTTGAATGAGTTCATCGAGTGATTTAGAAGTGTGGTTAGAATGGTCTAGATCCTTATTCACAATATAATTTTGAGTCAAATGTCGAAATTCTTCATCTCTTGTACTTGCTATTTTCAAATCATACATTAAATCATTGGAGACCTTATTATTTCTAATTAACTCTGAGATGGTATCATATTTGATTGAATGTAGTTGCAAATATAAAAACCATAAATGTTCCATATCTATTTGCTTTCCATTCCGAAGTGTGAATATATGTGAGTCTAATGGGTGTATTAAATCTTCTTCTGGAGTATTGGGAGGATTTGAATCTAATTTCATTTCTCGCCAATAGTCATGCCATTCTTTTGAAAAATTAAAAGCATTTTCATTTAATAAATCAAATTCAGATTCAAAAGGATAGGGAGTGTCAAATTTCACTAAAAACGCAGTCTCTTTTTTATGATACAATCTACTTCTAAATACGTTTGTTAGATCAATAGCTGGAATTCCAGTCCAATAACTGATGGTTTCATCTGCTGATGACTCTTTAAGATCAAAATATGCGAACACCACCACAGACAAAATTCCTGCAGAGGCAACAGAGCGAAATGGTTCAGGAATTTTATAAAGGAATCTTGTTATAATACTCACTCGGGATGAACAAGTTGATGTAAAGGATAGAAGAGCCTCTTTTGAAATGGAATTGGAAAAGGTACTAGGTGTGAGGCTTGAAAGGAAGGAATAATAAGACTTGAAGGATGATAATTTGAAGAGAGGAGAGAACCATGATGAAGTTGTTCTATGATTGGTTGTTGTTGCTGTTTTATTGTAATTGATAGGGTTGGATTTTAAAATCGGAGATGATGATTTCGGAGAGCATGTTCGTTCGTTGGGTTCGTTGGGTTCGTTGGGGTCTGCTGGTTTTTGCATTTTTTAAATGTATTTTTATCTATGTGTGGAGAGACTTTTCAATGAATCGAGATGTGTTTTTCATAAAATTTTATAATTCTCGTCCTTGTCATGGTGCTCCTCAACAATCACTTGCGAGATGGTTTCTTCTTTCTTGAATTTCTATCAAGTTGCTGTATCGTTGTTGTTCTTTGTTCCATCACGGACAAGTAAACTTGATGCATATCATCAGAAATGTTCAAATGGTTCTGTATCCATTCCCATACTTGTTTGATGTGATAAGGTTTGTGAAAATTTTTGGAAATACATGCACCCAATTCCAGTAACAATTGCACCATTTGTTTCAAATATTCTCTATCAGAGAGCTCACAAATTGTTAATTCTTGAATTCTCTCAACAATGTTTTTCATATCCAAATACTTGTCAAAGAGTATGTCTAATTCTTCCAGCGACAATAGAGGAGATAGATGTTGTAGAAATTGTCTATTCTTGGTTGATTTACATCCACTCTTTAACACTTGTTCAAAATCTTCATCTGTATAATATTTATGTATTTGAAGGAATGTATTGAATGGAACAATGAGAAAATCATCATTTTCAATTTCAATATTGAAAAATGAACAACGACTTGTAGTGATACTCGTTCCTTTGGGATGAGACTTGTTCGATGCAGTCAAAACGATATCATTCAATTCCATTAACATTTTTTCTAAAAATTTTGAATGATAAATTTTGATTAAATCTCCACTCCAGTGATTTCCATGACGTTGTGGTCGTTGAGTAGATGAATAGTTCAATAAATATTCCATATTTGGATACTTTTGATAGATGGAAATAAGAGATTGAATATCATCATTACTATACCATGTAAATGCATTATCCAAAGTTAAATTTAAAAATTGACTTTGATAATCATATTCTTTCCATTGTGTATACATGGTGGATATAGAATAGTAATCTTTGTGTTTCTTCTTTTGTTGTAAAATTGCTTTCAATTCCTTATTTTTCATTCTACTTAGAATATTACTATTATAGTAATCAATATCAATGGATGAATTTCGTTTCATATGAGAGGATACTTTAGTAGCCATTGTGAGCTTTTCGTGAGCAAATTGTAACACTTTTTCTTCAATAGAATTTCTTATTAAAAACTTGTAAACATAGACTGTTTTTGTTTGACCAATTCGATGACATCGATTTGTAGCTTGATCATCATTGTGTGGATTCCACATCATATCAAATTCAATTACAACATTAGCAGAGACTAAATTCTATGGAATGATTCATGCATGTATCAACAAGAATCTAGATCAAATAGAGTAAACTTACCAATCCCAAACCACCTGCTTTTGTGCTCAATAGAAATACAAAATCTTGAGAATTTTCGTGTTGAAAACTTTCAATAGAAAGTTCACGTTCTTCCATCGATTTGCTACCATCTAATCGTTGATATCGATAATTCTTACAAATGAGATAGTATTCAATCATATCCAATGTGGTTGTATATTGACTAAATATAACAACCTTATTTTGTTCACTAAAATGTTTTTCAAGTAAATAATCCAACACAATAAATTTGCTACTTGTTTGAATGACTTTCTTTAACATGTATTCACGAGTGAGAGTCGAGAGAAATTTGGAAAAATATTGAGAATTAAAGATGGGATCTGTTTCAGAAGCGTAAGCAGGTGTCTGGCTTGTGGATGATTTGGTTGAGAGGTCATTACTAAATACGTGTGAGCTCTTATCTAATAAATAAATAAATGGATGATTGGCAATTTTCATACAGTCAATCACATTTTGAAGAGAATTCTCTGCGTCATCTTCTTCTTCCATTTGTTCTCTAACAAATCTGAAACAATCTTCTTGAAGAGGAGTGGGCTCTAATAATAGAATATATTCTTCTTTTGGTTTGATGACATTGCTTAAAACTTCTTCTTTGTTTCTACGAAGCATAATTTGTTTAATTCTTGATCCAAATTCCTTGATATTCGTTTCATATAATTTTTTAAAATCTTTGAGAGAGTCATTGAAAGGTTTTGTTTGATTTAAAAATTTCAAAAGAGAATAAAATTGTGATAAATTATTTTGAAGAGGTGTTCCAGTTAACAACAGAATGGCCTCAGATTTGAGTTGTTTCATCTTTTTGTAAACCTTACTATTTTGATTAGATAGAAAGTGAGCTTCATCAATCACTATATATTTCCAATAGATTGTGTCAAATACATGTTGACGAGAAAGTGATTCCTTTGTTGTAATGACAACATTAGGTAATAGATATCTATTTTGAATAGATTCATCTAAAAACACAGCATATTTTTGAAGAGCTCTCTTTTTTTCAATACTCCCATAATATGCTAGAACATTAATGGGTTCAACTTGCCACTTTTTGAATTCATTGACCCAATTACCTAGAATAGATTTTGGTACAACAATGAGAAAAGGTCCTTTGATTTTTTCAAACTTGATTAAATAATTAATGGTTGAAATGACTTGAACAGTTTTACCAATACCCTGTTATTGAGATGATCGTGCGAATGGAAAGTAATGGTAGTAGTAGTAGTAGTAGTATTGCGGATAACAAAAGATCAAACAGAATATTCAGAAAAGAGCACGTATGATACATACCATATCATCTGCAAGAATGACATTCTTCCTTTCTAAATAGTTTTTCAATAACCACAAAACCCCTTCTGTTTGGTATTTATGAAGCGAAAGTCCACTATTGTTACTATACATGGTGAATAAAAATATGGACATGTCTGTTTCATCAAAAGTATTGGGACTAGTTGGTGATTCACTTGATGACGAAGACATTAAATATTTGTTTGCAATTTTATGATTATACTCTTCAATTAATGGTTCAGTAATTCCAAATTGCAATTTGTTTTCATCATCGTTAGGAATGGAAATGACTTTGTTAGCCTTGTTGAGTAATGTAATAGTTCTGGAAGTTACTTTGAGAATGACATCCAATTGATGAGCCTTTGAGTTGAGATGGGTCTCATCATCATCCGATAATTCGTCATCATTTTCTTCATCGGAGGTTTGGATGGTTTCTTCTTCATCGGATTTCACTCTTTTTGATGATTTTAAATCACTGCTGTCGGAAGTGTTGTTGGGAGTATGAGAGCGTTTGTTTTGAGTCATTTTTTTTGGCTCAACACCCACATCGAGCAACCACTCGAACCTCTAGTTCGTTGCAAAAATTTATTCAGTCCTATATCGATGTTCAGGAGGTGAAACACAGGTCACAGACTGGTTGGTTCATTGGTTGGTTGCATCAAAAGATTTTTAATTTACGAATTACGACCTCGAGAGTATCAGCAAGGCCATTACTTTCATTGTTGTTTCTAAAACAATTTCTAATTAAAAGTACTATATCTATGAGCTGCTGGTGGTATTGAAGAGTTCACTGAATTGTAATTATGATGTTCTTCAACAATTCTAGATTTTCTTCTTCTCATCCATTCACATCCTCGATCGAATAAAGCTCCAATAATTGCAATCACAAATAATCCAAGTAAAATACTTCCACCAATAGTGACAATGATATAACATGGCAATCCAAACATGGAGCAAGTATAGTCAGGTGTAATTTTTCCACACGATTGTTCACAATAAGCACAAGGACAAATTAAAGAGCATTGAAACAGAGTGCCATTGTAGTAAGATAATTGATCACTCACTGGTTTTTGTTCTTGTACGTTCAATCTTTGTAACAAGTTTCTCACTCTCTTTCTATCTTGTGTTGCTGATCGAATTTCCTTTTTGTAATCATTTTCTGTTAAATCATCATAAATATCTTCGACATCTTTTGGTACTCGGAGTGGTTTCAATCTTTTGGTAATTGTAATTCGTTCATGGAGAATGCCACTTGTCGTATCAAACGCATCGAGTTTTTGAAAAACATAGGTAATGTTTGGATTTGGTGTTGATTTTTGAATAAGACCTTGAAGAAATGCTTGAACGTTAGGATATTGTTCTTTGACTGGTTGTGCTGCCATCTTGTCATCTTTGCAATTCGCCCATAAATCATTTTGGAAATCAGTAGACAGATAAAAATCTACTTGTGCAATATAGTCTTTGTATTTAGGAATTGGATTCATGGCAGAAATAGCAACAAATGTATCTTGTTGATTATTGCATGTAAAGTCACACCACATTTTCTTCATATTCAAGACACATGCTGGACATCTCCAAAATCTTTTATCATGAATTCCAATCATTTGACGTAATGACCGTTGTTCATTTGACCATTGTCAAGAATGTATCACAATCCAAAATCATTTTCAATATGAGAAAAAAATGTCAACCTACACCATATCAAGCAACACAAAATTGTCCTTCATCTTGTCTACTTGTGTGGTATTGCAACACACTGTTTGAGAAGCTAAATGTGGACACATTGCTGATAAAACATTTTCATAATCGCTTGGTAAATGAAAAGGTGTTTTCCAAGGAACGGTTGGATAATCAGTTCCGTTTTGGAACCCGTTAGAAGTCATGACACATCCTCCGAGAGTCAATTGTACCATCATCATTGTCAATACTATTAATGTGAGAGAATAAATTAAAAAGATTTTCATCGGAGATGGAGCGGTGTTGTTGGTGTGTCGGTGTTGAGATTGATGAATGAGAAGAGGCATTTTTTTTTAAGGCTTTTCCTTGAGGTGCGTGTTTGCATGCAAGAGGATCAGACTTGGCGAAAGTCCTTCTCTCTCACACGTCCCAACAAATATGAGCTTCAAAGGAACACAAGTGTGCAATGAAAGGCATGTCAGCATACCATTGGTATCTGTATGTTGTATTTATACAACTCAATATTTTGTTTATTTACAATTTAAAACGTTCATGAATTAGTTCAAAAAATTGTCAAATAAATCGAATAATGGTTTGTTGTTACCTTTGTTTGCAATTTGTTGTTTGAGATTGAGAATTTTGTTTCTGAGCATTAAATTTTCGTTTTGGACTTGTTGCGAATGATTTCTTTCTTCATCTAACAACATGGTTAACGTTTGAATTTCTTCTGATTGTCGTCTTGTGAGACTTTCTAATGTTTTCAATCGTTGTTCCAGTTCTTCATTGTTCTTGACCAAGGAAGGTACATTGGGTGTTAATAATGTTTGATTCGATGAAGTCTGATTCAATACTTGCTTGTTGCTGTCCATAGTTGTGGGAAGAGAGACAGGAGTGGATGTTGTCTGAGCCTTGGTATCACTTGTTGTTTCAGCTTGATTCGATTTCAATTGTACAATGGTTGCTTCATACATGGCATACGATGCCATCTTGTAAGAATCTCCACTAAAAACATGGTTGTATGTTTCAACTGAACTCGTTGAAAATAATTCTTTCAAATGATTGTCAACATCATGAATGTCTTTGAACAAGTAAAAACCACCTCCTCCTCCTTTTTCAAATCTTCTAGGATGTGAATCGAATATATACCAAGAATAGAATTTTTCATTACTGCACTGTCCATCGTGTAAGATGGCAATGGTTTCAGGAGGTTTGGTCAATACGACAGCTGTAATGTGCTTATCGTTTTGTAGTGAGTGTACTTCAATTTCCTTCAATAATTGCATGAAAATATTATTGTCTCTTAATTTACCAATGAACATGGATTTGAGTTCGAGATTCTTCTTGTAATGATCCACACTATTGTATACTTCGTCACATGAAGTGTATCCCACTCGTCGATCATTACAAACACCAACTGTCATGATATGTTCGATATCAGAAATTATTTGCTTTTTAAGTTCATCAACATAGGCATCTAAACTGTTGTCGAGATGTAGACCACTCTTGGTCATAAATTGTTCATCAATCACACAACAATAGTGTCTCATTCTCTTGTAGTTTCGGAGGAAATGTTCAACGGCTGCAAGACAAATATAGGTACATGATGCTTCACCACCTTTATAACTGAATTGTGATTTTGGAGAGAGAATGGACTTGTCATAGTATCTACCGGCAATCGGTGGTGATTGGTTATTATTGGGAGAGGTAAAATTGGAGAATGGATTGAACATGGTTATTGTTGGTATTGGGAATCAATGATGTTGATCAAATACTGTCCGTGAAGAAGGCTTTAATTTGTGGTGGTTTCGACTGATTCACGCATGCGTCGGAAGCGAATATAATAGCAGCCTTCAATTAATTTTTTTGTTCGGAACTCAAATGGAAACTGGATTTATTTTGGTCTGAGAGTTGTTGTTCATGTTTTGTTATGCGAGCGTTGAACGGTCAGATTTTGTGCTTTGACGAAGAAAAGAGTCATTGATGAAACAATTTAAAATATTTAAAATATTACTTAAACGGTAACAACAATGTAGTCATTTTAGAATTGGCGCAGATGGCCAAACGAATTTGCAATCAATTCCAAAGCTTGTTTTGTTTTACCCTCCACGATCAATACATAGAGTTGTATCAAATAAAAATAAGGTTTCACTTCAGAGTGCAACGTTTGAGGGTCGCTCGTGATATGATTCAGCGTTTGTTGAGCTTTTTCATAATTTCCTTGAATCACATGTATGACTGCTAAATTCAATAAGAGACCAAATTGTAACGTGGAATTATCTTGCTGTTGTTGCAAATATGACAATAGTGTTTGCAATTGTTGAGGTGAAATCAATTGAAAAATCTTTTCAGATTGATCGGTCGTCGTCAATGCTTCAAATGCATAACATAAAGCAATAATAGTATATTGAATGGGACATATTCCTATGGATATAGAAGTATTATTGGAATACGCCAAGGAAAGGGATAAGATGGTTTTGCAATGGGAGAGTGATAACAGTGGATTGTCTAATGCGAGTGAAACATAGGCCAATTTCAGGGTAACATTCATTAGAGCTTGTTGTAATCGCACAAAGAATGAAACTTGGTAATGATCCTCATTAGTAACGTTCTCTCCCATTTGATATCGTTTTTTAAATTCATTAATCATCGTTTGTAAAATACTGAGGGCATTGTGAAAACATTTTTCTGCCATTTCCAATGACATTTCTTCAAGGACTTTCGGAGTGAATCTGTCATTCAGTAATTCTAAATGATATTTGTTTTGCTTCATTATTAAATCTTCGTGTCTAAGTAGATCAGTAGGTAAACAATGTTTAACACGCCACACAAGTAGGTAAACAATGCTTGACACACCACATAATCACTACTTACGTTTGAACAAATTCTTTTTGGGTTGAAAACTTCTTCACTCCTAACTGATTTCCCAGAACAGGCAATGAAACAGTTGGACTATTAGATAGACTATTTGTCATTTGTTGAAACGCTTCATGAATATCTTTCTTGAGTAGTCTTTGATTTTCACACAAAATACATTCACCCATTCGAATCCAAATATATGGATTGTCATACATTGATAGAGATGCTTTGTGGAAGAGTTCATAGGGCTCAAGGAATGGATTGTTTTGCGAGAGACATCTAGCAACTTGTTCAATGTTTTTAGATTCTCTCAAAAGTAATTGAAAGGCGAGATTGTATTGAGCTTGAGCGTTTCCACTTTGTGAGGCCTTTGAAAAATAAAATTGAGACATTATTGATGGCTCCTTGTTGTCCATATGCAGAAACAAACAACCAAGGTTATTAAAATAAACCACTGGTGAAAGTCTCCCTCTGTGTTGTCCCAAAATTTCAATACATTCTTTCATCATTTGTGAGAAAGTTTCTTCATTGTTTGATTTCTTGGTAATTTTTAAAAAACAATCCAATAGACATAATTTAGTTGCCATCAAATCGTTAATATATTTGTTTTCGTTATCCTTTGCAATAGCATTTTTAATAATCTGATTGGCAGAGTTTATATATTCAAGTGTTGTACTCCAACTCTCCTTTCTTAGAACAGATATTTTAGACTTGTAGTAGAAAATGTTGAATTTAGATTCTGTGATTGAAAGCTCTGTAATGTTCAATTGAGGGAGAGATGGAATAGAGCTTTGAATGATGGACTGAAAGTTATTATCAATATATTTGATAACAATCAGTGTCTTTTCAACGCACTTCATGACATCAATATAAATGTCTAATAATAAAAAGCATATTTTCAAAACTAAAAATTCATCATATTTCAATAACTGAGTTGTGTGTTGATCGTTCAGATCTAAACTCTCAAATAACGGTTCTAATAACTCTAACACTTTTTTATACTTTTCTTTTTTGTAGTATAACACGGCTTGATTATAAATTAAAATAGGAAATTGATGATTGGAATGTTTTTTTGTAGATTGTTTGATTTCTTCCAATTCTAAGAGTAATTTTTCTTCGGAAAATTCATTGTATAAATTACTACTATTGATCTCGCATAAATATTTGGTGATGGCCATATTATGTTTAATTTTGAATATTTCCGTTGTGTTGGTTGTATTTTTCAATAATTTGTTTAAATTTTCAATACACGATTCATATTCTTTCTTGTTGAAGTGGTACATAGCCAGTTGGTAAAAATCCATGGAAATGGATTGTTGTGTTGCATTGGAAAGAGATGAATGAGGAGACTGAAGAATTTTCGGAGGTGAAGCCGATGAGAAGGATGAAGCTGGGATCATTTTTGATGACGCGATAAAAAAAAATGCTTTCAGGCTCTTCATCCTCTTCGCCCTTTGTGCCCACAAGCTTGACACCATCGGGATCATCATCACAGGCTCCCTCTTCAGTAGATTCCTCTTCAGCTCAATCAAATACTACATCAAATGATTGGGATAAGATTAAAGAAGTTATTGCCAAATTGGATAGAGAACTTAAAGATGTGCAAGATCATGGTGTGGTTCATGCCCTTCAAATGAGTGATAATATCATTGAAAGAAGAGAAATCTTGAAACATGCCATGTCATCATTAAAATCGAAAATTCAGGAACAAGGTGCTCTCATCAGTAAAGAGGGTTCAGACAAGACACAATATGAAAAACTAACACAACAATCCAAGTCCATAAGAGAATTTAAAAAGATTCAATTCCAAGAAAAGGAGTTATTAGATGTTATCAAAAAGTGTAGCGAAAAAACTGTTTCTCATTTACAACTGTTTGAAGTCGTAGAAAGAATTCTCAACAGCGTTGCAAAACAAATGAATGAATTACTAGGCCACGAAGAATATGCATATCAAGACATGCTTGATCCATTGAGTAATACTCATATTTTCTCTTTAGGTTCAACATTGTTAAACTTGGATATTGTCTTTTCTCCTGACAAGAAAACATTGACTAGTGTTAGTTTTCAAAAGACTAAAAAAGATTCGAGCAGCTCAAAGGAAATCAAGGCAATCTCGGAAGATTTAATGAACGCGCTTGTGAGAGATAACCTTATTGAAGTTTTTGAGAGCAAATTACTTGCTGTTTGCAAATTATATCATTTAGTATCAACCCGTACGAACTGTATTGTGACAGACAAGAGTTCTTTGAGACCAGATTCTAATTTAACATCTTCCTCTGAGACTTTCTTAAAAAGCACAACAGTGATGAGAGAATTCGAGCATTACATTATACGTGAGAATAATTTTCCATCAGACAAAGTATCCATGAAATGTGATGGTATTTGGATCAACTACTATGGCGATAAGAATATAATTGTAACACTGGAGGCATGTGGTGGAAATGCTCTGAAGCAAACTTGTCCTGTTATGATATTTAATCCTCCTGTTTTCGTTCCACTCTCTGTGGCACGACAATTTAATTTCTTAAAACCTATTTCCAATACATTGCACAAGACAACAAATACACTCCCAAGTGAAAATATTGGAATTGATACTCAACAGACTGGCATTACTGAGTGGTCAAGTGAAATAATTGCGAGCGATCCCTATACCCAACCAATCACCCGAGAATTGGAAGCGTTCCAAAATTGTTTACTCCGAGGATTCAAAACCAATTCTTTTAAAAAGGTCCAAGACAGCACTTATCACTTTGTAGCAACTCAAGAAGTTTATTCCGACAAGAGGCTTGTCAGTTCTGCAGGAGTCATGATTAAGAGAATTCCATTTTTAACGTTCCCTCAAATGAGACAAACCATTGCAGAGGTCAAGAAACAAATGATATTGAGAGATTTAATGTTGTCATGTTTCAACTCAGAATCAACCATAGAACAGCAGCAAAAGAGCTTACTAACCAATCCAACATTCCAACACCACCACCATCATCATCATCACATGTACGATGAAAAGATCAAAAAGGTAGAAGTTGAATTTTCAACATCAGATATGGCCATTTATGTTAGAACGACCAATGATTTGGATTTTATTGTTTTTAAAATTGAGGTCGATGCATCGACTTTAGAACGAGTAGTCGTGTATTGGAACGAAGAACAGCACGACTCACTCACAAACATACTTGGCAAAACCATGAGCGTACCTATTATGATTCATTACTTTTACACAAAGGTTGTAATGAATGATGAGACGACTGCATAATAATAGTCGTCGCTATCTTATTTTCCCACACCTTACTTGTGTATCATCATCTCTCCAACGTAGTGATGGCGATGGAACGCGCCAAAAATTTACGTTTTTTTGAATTAAAAAAAATGAAGCAATTCAAAAAGCAGTACATTGTGGGATGTCGAGAACAAGGAATTGAACCACACCCAACCATTGTTAATCTTCCTGACGATGATGATTGTACTCAGACTTTAAATTTGGGAGAATTAACTCTTGGAACTAAGAATGGTATTGCTATCGGACAAGCACTGCATGGAAACCAAACATTTACTTACATCAATCTAGCAGAAAGCTATATGGGCGACTCTGGCGTTGATTCAGTGTGTCAAGGTTTAATACAGTCTCGAGTGATAGAATCGATTGATCTCAGAGGTTCCAATCTGTATAGATCAAGCGGATTGGCACAACTCATTAGCAAAACATTCAGTCTAAGAGAATTAAAATGTGAGTGGAATAGTTTGGGAGTGTACGAAACTGGTGTATCGGAAATTGCTGAGGCTTTAAAACCAACAAATCAATCCAAACTTTGGATCTTCGAAACAATAAGATTACTCCAGAAGGTGCCAATGCTCTTGCAAATGCAATCAGAGTGAACAACTCCCTGCAGTCGGTTGACTTGAGATGGAATTACATTGGTGTAAGAGGAGGCAAATACATTCTTGAAGCCCTTCACGAAAATTATATGATCACAGATTTGAAGGTGGGTTTACTCATACAATAATATGAGAATTATGTCTTACAAAATTATTTAGCTCACTGGTAACGAAGTTGACTTTAAAACGCTTCAAGAAATTGATAAAATTACAAGAAGAAATTATGACATGCAAATAACCAAACAAAAGGAAACTGAGATGTCCAGTAGGCTAAAATCGGAGATATCCGAGATGAGTAACATTCAAAATGTATGTTTTCTTACAGTAATGTCAAGTCACTAACCTTCTACAACAGAGACGAATTGAAACGTTACAAACACAAGTCATCACACAACAAAATACTTACTCGAGTCAAATACGAGGTGCTCACGAACAAATTTCTGAGCTGGAAAAACAAAATATTCGCTTAATTTCGGACTTGAAAGAAACAAAGGAAAACGAACAACGCTACTATAGTAAAATGAAGGAATTTGAAGAAAAGATTTTGCTTTTGGAGCAGAATTTGGCTCATGAAACAAAGAGCCATATTGAAACTAAAAAGAATTTAAGGGAATCCACAGACGAATTGCAAAAGTGCAAAGAGTTGATCGATGACTTACAAAAAGAAAAAAGTAGAAATGAAGCAACGATCAAAAAGCTCAATGAACAGTTGACCGTAAAGGAGGAATTGTTAGTGGGCACCAATCAAAAACTCTACAGCGCCCAAAACGATAAAAGCGAGTTGAATGCTCAGCTTATTGACACTCATCGGCAAATTGAAATATTGCAAAGCAGTTTGAGATCCTTGACCTTAATTGAGCAAGAATACAGCAAAATACGACAAAAGATTTCAGAAATGGAAGTGGAAAAGGAGAGAGCTCTCATTGATCTCAAGAGCAAGTGCGACGAAGACAAAATTCACTCAGAGAAGCTCTTTAATGAAAAGTTACAATATGAAAAGGAAAAGTTTAACCAACTGGGAGAAGAACATGAACGACTGAAGAACAAATGCAAGCAACTGGAATCAAACCTCACAAAAGTAAATGAGAAAATTCAGCTCATAGACAGGCAATTAACAGATACCACCAATGAATCAGAACAAAAATCTCTTTTGATTAATCAATTACAACTCAAACTAAAAGATGCAGATGAACAAACAGTTAAGAGCGCGGAGAAGCTTAATCAACTCTCACTTAATCACAAAAAGGAGCTAGATACTTATCAATTTAAGCTGGACTCGAAGGAAACTCAAGTAACTCAATTGGAAAAAGAAGTGAGGCAGCTGCAATTGGAAGCAGTAAGGTTGAAGGAGCAGCAGGATAAAAACTTGTATACTATTGAATCTAGGATTACTCAAGAACTTAAATCGATTATCAATGAGTTGAAACGATAAACCTAAGTCCCTATATTTGAGAATTATTTTTTGAGCATTCTTCTCCTGTTCTCTAATTCTTCATCTTCTTTCTCGATAAGTTCTTTGTACTTGGTTCTCAACGAAAGGCAAACTTGTCGAGTGAGTCTATAAAATAAAAACATATTCTTTGTCAACTTGATATGATCATACATGGTACATGGATCTGAGTTGATAAAATGCAAAACATCTCCCATGTTATCCATTTCCAAAAGATGTGATTCATAAATTTTCAAATAACTTAGCACTGTTCTGAAAAGAATTTTGTTTCCTTCAGCAAAGACCAAATCAAGAATTCTCATTGTTGTTTCTATGAGAGTGATCGCGACAACAAGTTCAAATGCCATGAATTGTTAAAGAATTTTCACATACCTATAGGAAAAATGTCAACGAACACACGCATAAACCAACCACTACTAAATGCCGTACAATCTAATTTGAGCTTTTGGAAGTGAGCATGCATTTTAGGTAGTCGATTTTTAATCAGTTCATCTAAGGCTCGAGAATCAATTCTAGAGTTTGTACGCCATGATTATCAATGAATATAACAATGATAATATTCAATGCTATTCCAATGATATTGAAACTACCTACCGTACTCCTGTCAATTGTGGATTATAAAAATTTTTTGGTAAAATTTCTTCCACAAGCTCCACAAATAACCAAAAGGCAGTTTCTTCATCGCAATGTAGTAAGAGCATGGCAACAATATAATTCCTATATGAGTCATATGGTTATACATGATATGGTTAATATGGTTATACATGATGATTTTCACAATATTCACAATTCATTATTGAATTCAACAAACACAACTATAGATACCTACATGGATTGAGTATAACTTATATATGGAGATCTCCATGAGAATGCAATTAAAATTCTCTTCAATTGTTCTCTTCCTTTAGAATTTGCATGTCTGAAAAAAGGATGATGAGGAAATGTTCTTGATAAATCCAAATCAATTTGATGTTCAGCTTCGTTATAAATATTTTGATGAACTTGTAACATTTTCTGATAATATCCTTGATTTTCAATCATCTTTTTATCAACATGGTTCAATTCTAACCATATTTTCTTTCTATATATTGGATGAATACCATATTTCCTAATTAATGATTTTAAAGTATTGTTGTGACTGACTCGATTGTAAACTTTACATGGTGAATATGATGTTATTAATATAAAAAGTAAATGAAATCATTATTGTTCGATTCAACAACAACAACAACATACATCCATTATTGGAAGTCATGAAATATTCCTGCCACGATTGTTTACACTCAGATAAAAACTTCTTTCGTTGTGAACTAGTCATATATTGTTCATATAATTCTTTTTCATGTGAATCATAGGGAGGTGGAAATCCAATATTGTCCATTAAGGCCCACTTTTCATTTGGTATTTTAGAAGCTTCTTCATCTGCTTGAGTAAATTCATCTTCTTCCATAGGTGTTGATTTGGTGCGTTGATGTTGTTGTGTCTCAGTTGTGGTCATTGAATTGAAACTTGACGAGATGTTGGTGGTAGAATTAATAGAATTGGTTGATGTTGTGGAATGGTTTAAAAAATTAGAGTTCTCATCATAATGTGGATGACAGTCTATGAAATTGTGGTGTGTCTGATCTGGAAGACCTATGGAAGAATTGATGGATTCATGACGATTGATTTCAGAGCGAGTGGATGGATTGGAATTTAATTCAAGAGAGGACACTTGTTGGATCACTTCCGAAAATTCATGTGTGTTGTGCGGTGATGATGAGAATGGTTGACAAGTGGCATGACACGAGGAAGTAGTTGGTGAATCATTTTCTTGTTCTGACCCGTGCGTTGTTGTGAGGTTAGCAGCAGTTACAGAGTGATATGAGTTGATGATGTTATCAGCCTTTTCCGTTGTTGTTTCAACAGTGAGAGGAGGATTGAAATCATCACGAGTGAGTTTCTCCGACATTTTTTCATTTGGCGTTTATTCAACTTGGTTTTCTCTCGCGTGTTTGTAATTATTCAAATGGATGAAAACACTTGTATTCATGAAAATGAATCATTCTCGCTATCATATTGTACATCATCATGCTCAATGTTCAGCTGTTCGAGTATTTGTCTCATCTCAAGCTTGGTTTTGTTCTGTAGTGCGTGCAGTATTTCTTGAGTAGCTGCAAGCCATTTCTCGGTAGCTGTTTCAATTTCTTCCTCTTCTTCTTCAATGTTGGAAAGATTGTGAGTCAGAGTAAGTACACTTCGTTTCAATAACTCCAATTCCTTATCCTTTTGATCCATCAAGAATCTTAAATAATCCAATTCTGACTCAAATCTGGAAGCATCAAATTTATATTGATGAGAAGGCTTATTGGAGAGTAGTGGTGGAATCTGTACATCGGAGAGTTGTGTCCATTGAGAAACGAATTTCAAATAATTCCATTGGGCGATGTAACGCACTTACAAACTTTTCTCTTTTGATTTTCTTTGAGCGAGAGGAGGTCTTGTTGGAGAACGAGTCGTTTAAGGATCTCCTCTTTTTAGTTGCTTCAGCCTCCAACTCGTGCTGATCCAGGCTATTCATGTTCTATTTTTTGTAAATCTGGTTGGTAAATATCTTTACGAAATTACGCAGCTTGCGTTGAACCACACTTTTTCTTTGCACCAACCAGCCTTCTCGTTCAATCAGTCAAATAAAAAAAATGTCATCCACACCACTCTCCAACACAGGTTCTTCATCAGCAACGAGCCGTCAACAAGCACTCAAACGGCTTCCACCAAAAGTCAATAGAATTCTTTGTTTGAAGAATTTACCACATAAAATTACATCGGAGGAATTATATGATTTGTTGGGAAAATTTGGTGCAATCCGACAAATTCGTCTCGGAAACACAACAAAAACAAGAGGTACGGCCTATGTGGTATACGAAGATATTTTTGATGCTCGGGATGCTTGTGAAGGATTATCAGGATTCAATGTTGGAGGTCGATACATTTCTGCGTATTATTTCCAACCAGATCGTTTACAAAAAAAGATGGACTTGGAAAAGAAGAAAGAAGAATTGGAAAAGTTAAAAAAGTTAGCTAATCTTTAGCTTGAGTTTTGGACAGATGTAAAATAATTCTTCTCTTCAACGTGTCTCTGTTTCCAGTGGCATTAATATTATTTTCTAAACAATACGATCTCATACTTGAGATACTTCTTAGACCAAGATTGTAGAATAGAGAATACAAATTATTTTCAATTTTAGCAGCGGACCCTTTAGATGATGAAGGAATAGAAGGGATGGCAAAATTGCTGAAAGCCACATCATCCATCTCATTATCATCAGACGTAGAATCATCTTCAAACCTTTCAATAACATCCGCTATCGCTTGTTGCTCCTCTGTCAATGGCTCAGAATTTCTCTGCTTTCGTTTGATATCAGCAATACGTGGACTTGTCAAAATAAACACTTGAGAGGTTGGTTCTAAAATTTTCAATACCTTTTCCACAAGCTCTTTTTTTGAAAGACCTGATTGCTTCTTCTCTGAATGTGTAACACAGTATTCTCTCAATTCTGAAATAGTATAATGCTTATTAAGCTCTTCTTCAGTAATTCCATATTTAATTTTTGGTTTCGCCTTAACTAACTTGGATTTCTTGCTGTACACAGAGTTAAGTAAAGGTGCTACACTGTTGAAAGGAGAGAAGAGACCAGGTGACAAAGTTTTTGGTTGCTTTCGGCTAGTGACAGGTGTTTTCATGAGAGAATACCGATGGCTGGTTGGTGTTTTTGAATCAAATATGGAATCATTCAGAAAACTGGTTTGTGGTTTTGGAGACGATACCACTCGGTTTTGTTGTATTGGCGTCAGAGGTGAAGGCTCTTTGTCTTCTTCGCTGCCTATAACATCGTTCTCGGATGATGAATGTGATGATGAATTGGAAGATACAGATGGTACACAAGAAGTAGCAATGCTTGACTTGTTGACCCTTCTTCTTGTTGCCCTCTTTTTGACTTGCACAGGAGAGGCAAATACCTCAGAAATTGGGTAATTGTTGGAAATATTTTCTTTGTTGCTGCCTGAACTTGTTGATCTGGATGGAGTGCAAGTATTACCTTCGTTACGGGGAGTGGTGGATACTTTCTTCAAAATGAGCTTACATGAGGTTTGATTCTTTGAAGTTCGGGAAAGTATTAATGATGGAGCCTCTTCATCATCGTGATGAGCCTCTTGAAAAGCTACACGTTTTGGTGTTTGAAACATTTTTTTTATTGAATTTTTAACAGCTAAATCAGGCGCGAAAAAATTAATTAATTTTGACTTTTCACAACTCGAATTTCACCCAAGCCTTTTGAAAAATTAGATAATTCGAACGAAATGCTCTCTGTTTTCGAGTTGTTGTGGTGAACAAAATGTAGAAGAGCCATGAAGAATCGTGGTTTAGAAACAATATTGCATAACCCGGTCTTCTTTCTTAGCTCGGTCAGGGTTGCAGTTGTAGTCGTTCGAAGTTGCTCCTGAATCAACGACGAGATTTTTACCATAGGAATTTGGTTTTTGCGTTGGTGCAGCGATTCAAGTATCCTTTCAATAATAGTCTTTGTTTCGCTTTGTGTTTGTGGAGTTTCACCAAATAGATACTCGTCAGTACCTTCTCTTGCATCTACTGAAGGATGTTCATAACATATATCATTGTTAAAAAGGAAATCACAAAATGTGTTACCCATACATGAAGATATTTTAACAATGTCAATCTCTGGAGAGATGAGAGAGGCACCGAAATTAAGATCTGAAATTTCTTTGTGCATCATATCTTGCCAAGAAGTCAGAGAGCTTTCTGTTAAGGGAAAAGGCTGTTGGCGGTTAAAGAAAGGAATTAGCAAGTTATCTTCGTAGGACTGCTTCAATCTTAACATTCCATTCGTCAACATCCACAAATCAAGCAATATTGTACGTACCTTAGTTTCATGTCTTTTCCTTTGACTCTCGGTGGTTCGACTGCAGCGTCCAAGTTGAACACCCTAGTGTAGGTAAAGTCCTTCTGAATGAAAGACACTTTTTGGTGTCTGGAAGAGTCTTGTGAAGAAAGGGTACTTTCGTTCGTAGCCTCTTCTTTTTCCCATGTTGTTTCGAGTAGCACATTTTCATCATTACATGCCTCTGTTGGGTATGAAGTCACCCAAACATCGTCTTCTGGAGGTACAACATCTTCATAAATGGTAGTTTCAATGCCTTCCTGACGAAAAAGATGCTCAATTTTTTCCTCATTCATTGTAAGAACACTTTCGAAGCCAGTAAAAACCGAATCCAAACATTCAGCTTCTACCAAATGGTTGATAGATTCCTTGTGGTCATTATAATATGCTAACTCGCTTAAAACATAAAACTGGTTGGAGTACGTTGGAGTAAAGTAAGGAAGCTCCTTCAAACAGGTGTTCTTTGAAGTATATTCGTCTGTAATTGCAATTTCAGAAAATTCCTTAATACTCTTTTCGTTCTGAGAGCTATAGGCTAAATATCTCGAACGATCATACTTTGGAAAGCGTTCCCGAGAAATTACAGCCGTACCAGAAGATCCTTCAGATAAGTGATCTCTCCTAGACTCTACTGTTTGAATAACGAGCTTATCCACCTCGTTGGCTGTCTGTTTCAGCATTTCTTTGATTAATTCAGTACGAAGGCTAACATGGACGGAAGCGTTGTAAATAGATTCTTCCATGTCTTTTTCTGTATTCTCAAGGGTGTCGTGAGAATGAAAAGAAGACAATACCAATTTCAAAAAACGATCATCAAACGGATTTTTGCAGTGCTTTCTCTTCTCAACCTCGAGAAGAACACTTTCGGATTGTTTCATTGTTGTAAAGGCTTTTGTTTTTCAACTGGCAGCGAAAAATGCAAAATATGAGCTCATCTGGCAACACCCCCACTGCGAAGAGGAGATTAGATTCGCTTATGAGACATTTATTTCTTTCAAAGCCTTTGCAAAACTCGATAACAATGATGTCATCAATGAATAATAGTAATAATAACACCGACGCAAATTTAGGATCACAACGATTTTCATCTTCGGAACATGTTAGAAAAGCTGATACTACACCGAAGGATCAAAATAATAATAACAATGTGCATGGAGCAAGTCAAAATAGTTTCAATACCGACAACAACTCATCGGAAATTAAAACAGAAGAGAAATTAATTAAAATTGATCAAAAACAAATAATTCAAGATTTGGAAGGTGATAAATTAAAACCAGACCAAGCGTTAGATCTTGCTCATCGACTAATAGATAACTCTCAATTTGAAGAAGCAAGACAATTTATATTTAATATTCTTGCATTTATTCCTTCGTCACTTGAAGAAAACGACGTATCAAGGAGGGCCTACAGGCTCGTGGCTCTGAGCTATTATAACAACAATGAATTAAAAGAAGCTCTGCCATGGTTCAGAAAGGCTGCCTTGAACTCAAATTCTGTTCAGGATTGGTTTAATTTAGCAAATACCTCTGCACAAGTTCAAGACGACGACTCAAATTTACTACGTCTTGCAATGTATGCCTTTTCACAGATTGAGAACTTGCACAAAGAGTCAAATTTCCAACTTCAACCTTCTTTTTGGATTCAACTATACTATTTTATAATATCGTTAATGAACGGAAAACACCATACTGAGGCTTTTACGTTATTGAACAGATTAAGATTGGCTTACAAACGAGCCAGATTTACTGACCCATCATATTTACAAGAAATCGGTTTACCTTCTTTTGACTCTTTCATTAAACTATGCTTAACGTTATTCAGGAGAGTTGACCGCTTAAATCAAGGTTTTGATTTTTTAAAACAAATGGATGTAGATGAGGCAGGAAAGCAAACTATTGAACGAATTATTAGCGAAGCTGCAGATTAAAAATTCAATCAAATTACACATTTTTTTTCTTTTTGAGCTTCTTCTTTTTGCTGATGTGCTTCAACTTGGTTTCTCCTGCATCGATGTCATCACTATTTTTTTGATCCAAATTCTTGCGCTTTAAAGAACTGTTATTAGTACCATCACTGTTATTTGTTGAAGATGAATTATTTGTTTGTAGAGTTTCTTCCTCATCTTCTTCTCCATAGTCAACAATTTCTCCCTTTCTCTTTTTGCGTTTTCTGATGTCATGTTTTTTTAAAATTTGAAATTTTAAATTGTTATTAATTTTATCCATCTTATTTTTCTGCTGTTGTTTCAAGCTTTCGGTTGAGAGTTTATCGGCTTGGAGGCCCATTCTTCTGTTTTGATGTTGCTTTCCAGGTTGTTGTTGTTGCGAAGCAAAAAACTTGTTCACTACATCCTGATGTGATGTTTTTTTGTTTTCTTGCTCCGAATCGGAACTCGATATCCAGCTATCAACCACTGACTTGGCTTGTTGCATTTTTATTTCAACATTTTTGACAACGTTGAGTCAGACTGACAACAACAAAAGCAAAGATGGTATCAAGGTAAGTTCAATGAGGTTTTATTAAGAATTGAAGAATATGGGAGAGAATTGGAATGGGAGGAAATCACGAATCAGTTACAACTCATCCTCAAGATATGCATATTCAAAGCTAAAACCTTCCTTAATTCGTTGACACCAACCTGCATCTGCATCAAAGTAGACATATGTTCCTTGCTCGTATTCATTGGTTGTTACAGTAGGTTTGTCATGACGTTGGAACCAAGTCAAATACTTTTTGTGGAATCTCCAAGCTTGTCGTTTGAGCTCTTTGGCTGCCAAGTATTGATAATAAGTTCCTTGTTGGAAATAAAAGATGAAAAATAGTGTGTCAACGGATAGCAGGCTGTAAGTTGCAGGATTGGACAATGCATGCATTGGGTTGTGTAATGGGCATTCAATTGGAAAACCTTCAGTTTCAGCTCTGAATTGAGGAGGATTTTCGTTCACAGGGAAATATGGGTAAACAAAGTTACAATCATAAGCGTCTGGTAAATGTCTCATACTTGAGTGGAGCATGTCGCTCATGAACTGATTGCTTACAACACTATTATAAGTAGAACTGCTAGTGAAAATGGAAGGAGGAACAGATGGTGTGGTATTAATTGGGGAGGTAGCAATGGTAGGGGTGGCAGGTGGGAATGATGGAATTTGGTTTCCTGGGATTTGGGGAGGGAATGAAGAAGTAATAGCACTGTTTTGAGCAAATAATAGTGGATTCATCACTCCAGCTTGTTGCATCTTACCAATTTGGTTAACAAACAGATTTTGTTGAGTCTGACTGGATAAATCTTCCAATCCAAATTGAGTTGGCATTCCTACACTGAATGTTTCATCATTGTTTTTGTCAATAGTGGTTGGTGAAGGTGTGGAAGGTACAGGTTGAATGGGAGAGATAGCATCACTACTTGTGGGAGTAGTATTAGAGGTGGCTGTTGTTGACGTAGTATTTGGAAGAGTAGGTGTAGTAGATTGTGCCTTCTTAGATTGTTGGGATTGTGACTTTGAAGCTGGTTGTTTTGTTGAAGCTTGTTTCTTGCTTGTACTGCTGACTGCTGTTGTTTGTGCTGTTGTTGCTGCAGTAGTGGTTGGTGTTGTTGATGTTGGTGTTGAGACTGTAGGAGCTTGCTTACTACCAGTTGTGACACTGTCATTAAGAGCAACTGTCAAATTATGACCTTGTTGCACGCTCTTATTCTGTTGTGCAATATCAATATATGAAACTGTTGGCTTTTTAACTGCTGTTGTAGCTGTTGCTGTGCTTGTTTGAGGCACGCTGGATGTTGGTTTGTTTTGTGTTGTTGCTGTAGTTGCCACATTGGTTGGTTGTTGAGGAGGTTGAAGAGGAGTTTTGGGAGATTTGACCAAATCACTGTATGATGGCTTAACAGAAGTCGGAGTAGCACTGGCAGGTGTTGTTTGCCCTCCTGTTGTTGGGACTGTGGTTGTTGTACTAGTAGAAGTGGTGTTAATAGCAGGAGGTGATGGTTTGGTTGGTTTCTTGTTTGCAGAAGAAGTTGAGGTTGTTGTTGTTTGGGTGGCAGGCGTTTGTATGGTGGGTTGTGGTTGTTTTGCAGTGGTTGTAGTGGTTGGAACTGCCGTTGTTGTTTTGGGTTTAGCACTCGTAGCAGATTTTGAAGGCTTTTCTTCATCCCGAGATGATGATGTCGATACGGGAGAACTCAACTCTTCATCTTCATCTTCCGTTAAATCCTCATCATGATCTTCTTCATTTTCTTCGTAATCTTCTTCTTCTTCACTTTCATCATCCAGATTTTTAATACTATCCTTGACTTCATCAACATCGACCAACTCTTCCTTTGGGGCCGATTCTTCCCATTCTTTCTGCTTGCTAAATATAGCTTCGAACGTTTCTTCATCCTCCACAAACTCAGCCTCTTCGTTTTCATCAATATAATACTCTACATATTCTTTCAAATCATCTAAATCTTGCGGTAATATTCCTTCATCATTATCTAAAAACTCATAAATTTGATTCAGCTTCTCGATATAATCCTCATGTTTTCGTTGTCGTGCTCGGTAGGTTTCTATCATGCCATCATCTTTCTTCTTTTCCTTCTCTTCTTCCTCTTCAATTTTCTCATCTATCGTTAACACTAAATTTGCAAGTTGCTCCGTCACATCTTTTAACCATTTCTTTGCTTGCTTCTTTTCTTTAGAGTCGGGTATTATATTTTGCTTGTTCCTATGTCGTTTCTCAACTTGGCTTTTACTCAAAGCTTCTTTCGAGTAGGCCTTCATTTTGGTCTTTTGCTCGCATTTCTTAAACCTTTCCATACGATTTTCGATTTGTTGTCTCTTCTCCACCAACAATTCTTTATCTTTAATTTCATTTCCGGATATCCACGTACGTATTTGTTCTCTCAATCGTTGCAGTTTTTTAATTTCCTTTTTCAATTCACCTTCGAATTTATCTCTTTGCGAGCTGCTTTGGGCACTGTACACTTTCTCTTCCAATTCATCAAAATTTTCTATCCCTTCATTTACTTTTTTAACGGTCCTGTCGACCTCGGCCATAAGTTTCCTATTTGCCATCTCAAGAGTAGGTTGATGATGATGATAAAATCAATTTGCTGATCAGCAATGTATGATGAAGCACTATTATTTTGCAGAGCAAAAATGAATTTTTTTTTAGTTTGTTGTGTAAAGGTTGAAGATATTAGACCTTCGTGGGCTTGTATGAAATAAGAGCATGCATGCATCAATACTTTTTTGAGAGTCACAAATGATCTGCCTCTGTCTTTGTTGTTCATCATTAAGGAATGAGTCTCCCTGCCACAAGAACACGCACGAATATTTCGACCACGGATCACCCCAATACAATCATCAAACCACCGATTCGTAGTTCCACAATCTTTGAACAGTATTTTTCCATTACATGACGTTGAAATAAGTGAATACCAATCTTCATCGTACTTATTATTATTCCAACAGTTACCCGTCTTGTTCGTATGAATCTTTTTCCTCCTTGTCGCCACACCTCCAAAAACACCTTATCCATTTGACAAAAACCTACAAAAGTCTATTTTTTCATCCGAGAGGAATACAGGCATTGATGTTTTTGTCAAGCAATCGCTACAATTTAAGTGCTCAAGTAACAAATTCCTTTTTTCCTCTAGCAGCACCAGAAAGTCTCGAATCTGCATCGCATGCGTTTTCTCTCTACCTTATTCATCTCCAAAGCATACAACGCTATCACAATCCGCTCGCCTTATTTTTTGTTGTGTCGCACGTCTGGCTCGAAATGTGTATTCAGGTGCTCTGTTTTGTGCAGGTTATTTCTTAAATTGGAGTTGATGCTCAAATATTGCGAGGGGAGTCAAATTTCCACCCCACCCGACCACCTTTCAACCGTTCAACCAACACATTGAAATGAAATGATCTATTTTAGGTTTTGTAAAAAGTATCAAAGAAAGGAAGGGTAGTTTCAAATAAGTCCACCCAAAAAAAAAATTCCACTCACAGCAACATGTTGCACAATACAATCACCCCAACAACAATCGAATACGAAGACACGGTCGAAATTGATCCTGTTTTTGATGAAGAAGTATATGATACAAACTCCGAAGATGAATTTGATGACGATAAGCTTGGTTTGCTCACTGATGTATGTAATTCTATTTCTAAGCCATCAAATGTAGGAGATAATTATTTACAAATTGATGGTAAAATTATCAATTTGAAAGAAAATGAATATATAATTCCGAGAGGAAATGTTCACAAAGTAACAACTAATCAGCAGCAATTGAGATTTAATAATTATTTCTACAGCAAGCACAAAACATTTGCGCACTGTATTACCTATAAGTGCAATCTTTATAAATCCAGAAAATGTTCTGCGAGAATAAGATATTATCCTGATATTGATACATACATACACGTTGCATCACACAGTGATCATGCTCCACCTCATATTGAAAAAAGTCAACCTCAAAAGATTTCGGAGGAACGAAGAAAGGAATTATTTGAATACATCAAAGCAAACACAAATATAAGATCTAGTCAACAAATTGCAGAAAATTTAAACAAAAAGTTATCAAAAGAAGAACTAAGAGATCACCGATTGATAATCACCAAAGAGGATGTTAAAGAAATGAAAAAAAAATTCTACACTGAAAGGATTGAATGTTTACAAGATTTGTACACCAGACAAGATCTATCATGTACTAAATCTCAAGATCAATTTGTAAGATGGGTACAAGGTTTTCCACATTTCCTTCTTATTTATGGATCCAATTACCAAATTAATATCTTAAAAGAAGTGACTGAGGAAGATCAAATCTATGTTGATGGAACTTTTGACGTGTGTCCTAAAGGTTGCGAGCAAATGATTACTATTCATGTAAGGAAAAAGGGAATGGATGCGGCTGTTCCTGTTTTATTTATTTTCGCACAAGCTAAGTCAGAAATATTCTATACATATTTGTGGATGGTGATTGCAAATTTAATTGTACCTGAATTATTGCAAGTTCGAAAATTATTTGTTGCTTGTGATTTTGAGCAAGCTATGCACAAAGCTCTTAGAATTATTTTCCCAGATGTAGAAATTGTTGGATGTCAGTTCCATCTCTTGCAAGCAGTGTCAAGATGGATAAGAAGAGAACTACCTGCGAACAATCCACTGAGAAATAGAGAACTTCTTAAGACCTTTAAATCAGAACTAAAAGACCTTGCACGAACTAAAATGACTGAACAAATGTTCAACATCAAAAAGGAGGAATTTTTAGCAACATGGAGAAGTGTTGCAGGTGAAAAGTTGTGGAGGTATCTTGTTAGAAATTGGTTTGGAGATTTGTCCACTAATGCACTATTTGCTCCAAATATTTGGGCTCTTACATTCAAATCAAGAATACAAGATTTAGATTTGACAAATAATCAAGCTGAAATATTTCATTCTCGTTTAAATTTAAAATTTGCAAGCAAACCTGGACTAAAAAGATCAGTGAATATTCTACAAGAACTTGAATTTGAAAATTTAACTAATAATGAAATTGCTAACAAACAAAAGAAATTGACTACAACTCTAGCACTTCCTGACAATTCTATCAACAACGTCAAAAAGAGAACCAACCCTTTCGGTGGCTTGCAACTGGTTAATAATGATAAGTCCAAGAGAAAGAAAATCACATTTTCAAATATCTCTAACACAGATCCTAACACACCATCTACAGCACTTGCTACAACCAACATTTCAAAGAGTCAACCTATTAGAAATATTACACTTCAGAATGAACCTCTTTCACTTCCCCCACCTGAATCATCCAACACAAATCAAGGTCAAAATTCATCATATCCAAATATTACTCAAAACACATCCAATACCAGTTTGATTTTCGATATGTATAACCCTAACCAGCCAAAGAAAAGAGGAAGAAAACCAAAATCAACGCCAAACCAACCTTCTCAATCTTCCCCAACACCAAATCAAACTTCATCAATTAATATGACAACTATTCCTGCATTACTTCCACCTTTACAGCAGCCTCTACTTCCTCAATACCCACCATATCCTCCATATTCATTTACTCCTCAATTTCCTCCATTCATTCCAACCAACAATATTTATAATCAAACAACATTGAATTACCAAACTAACGCAACAATAGCTCCTCCAGGTATATTAAGATGAAAATGGTAAATTGTAAAGAGGATGGAAATTGTCGTAATTTCGAGTTGTATTTATTTATATAAACACTAAATTGTCATTTCAATGTTCAAATTGAAGAGTGAACAGGTGGTTGGGTGGAGTGGAAATTAAACTCCCCTCAATATTGCATCTCGAATACATTTGTTTTTTTATGATTCTTACTCGCACTTTGTATCACAGAAAGAACAAAAGAAAAAGCTCAAACGCCTCTGTATAACTTGTCTCTTTTTCAATACGATCCATCAACATTAATCTTTGCTCGACATTGATCAATTGCAGCGGATTCGTAATCCAACCATACTTGAAGAGAGAATATTCATCCAAAACACTAACTGCGCACAAGGCTTTGAACCATCACTTTAACGGCCATCCTATCAAACTCACTCTGTTATTGAAAAACTTCTCTCCAATCGATCGGAAATGAATCATCAACAGGAATCTCAAACCACCCTCGCAAGTAGCAATGAATTGCTTTTGCAAACCGCAAGCACAATGATTAGTGCAACTCGGCTAGAGTCCTCTTCAATCCTCACGCCATCAACATCAGCCCAACTTGGAAATATGAGTAACAACATCCCAATTATGCAGCAAAAGACTTTGTTCAGAGTACCAATGGATAAATTATTCTCGATCCCATTAGAGTCTCTTGCTCACAAACCTCAACTCTATCAATTCATTATTGAGCTGCGATCAAGATATGTGCAGCATTTACTCAGATCAGTTTCGAGCCCTTCGTTACACGAGCTTAAAAAACAAGATAATGAAATATTTTGCAATCATGTCGATGAAATTGTTAAAGAGACAGAATCACTCGTTGAGGATATGAATTTTGAAGAATATTTAGGAGATTTACGGGATCAATCCGAATCTACCATCAATTATAACCCTCAAGAACGAAGGTATTACACAACGATGGGTAGAATGCAATTAATGAACCTAGCAATGAAATCTCAACGAACGATAAATTCTACATGTTTTGCTCCTTCTACTCAGGACCATAGACCTGCAATCCAATACAGTGACATTGATGAAGATGACGACGAATGTGAAGATTTGGAAGGAGACGAATACAACGAAGACGAGTTCAACGACGAAGAACTTATGGAAGACGATTGTCAACAACACCAACCAATCAACTTTGATCATCTGAACGAGAATTCCACAAACAGAAATTTTGATTTTTCCTCCCCAACTTTTCCCTTCACTAACTCTGTAAATACTACACCAAACTCCCCAAAACCTTCTCCACAATACTCTAACACTGCTAATTCGTCCAACTCAATCCAAATTGATCCAATCAAGACAGAAGAAATTTCAAGACAAATTCAAAATGCTGAACCAATTCAAAATGGGTCTCTTTGCTTTAACCAGCATCATCACATCGTTGTTGGAAAGTATGACAAAGATTTACTTGTTAAGGAGAATAGATTAAAATGCTGTGCCATGAAAAAGAGTACCATCACGATTTATGCAGAGAAGAAGAATAGCAGAAATGGGAAAATTATGAAACGAGAACGAAAAGCCAAATCATTGCTTCGGTTTTATCGAATTAATGTCGATTTTAATGTGCTCGTGGACACCTTTTTGCAAAAGCAATTATACCAACAACAGCAACCAAACCTCGTTTCATTGACTTCTTCAATCACTCATCCACAACGAAAACACTAAGTGTTCAAAACCTACTAACTACTATACGTCCTCACATCCATCAGTTTTTGTTGTCTCAATCTCGGCAGTAATACTCGTTTTCCAATAAACGAACAACATACTAAGTTACCTTCAAATAACAAAGCACCCTCAATAAATACTCTTCCATTCATCAACACTGCGATGAGTGAGATCCAAGCCCTCCATTTGATCTCACCTCATCACTTATCAATCAAGGTGTAGTTTGGGAGAGGGCAAAAAGCGCTCTTCAGCATCAACAACAAACAAAAATGAGCTCCAGCTATGAAATCAACAGTGGGTTGCCCCCTACAGCACAGGCTGTTTCGACTTCGTATTCCTACAAGGTGGATATGTGGGATAGATTTTCAGAGCTAATTGATAAATTGATGATCAGTAAAGCCGATGTAAAACAATTTCAGAGTTTGATAAAGGAGACTTCCAGTTTATACGAATCGATCGGGAAGAAATTATGCAAGACCAAACTCGTTACTGAAAAGAATTCATTGTAAGTATAATCATGAAATATAATGAGTAGAAGGATGATCGCCATGATTTATTATGAAAATTATTCAATAATTTTTCAATTTTCCGCTGTTTTCACAATTGTGTGATGAAAATAATTTGCAACTGTTTGATATCTTTATTCGTGATTGATTCTATTCTTCATTGATGACAATGATGCTTGCGATAATGGTTGATTGCCACTTTATTCAAATCTATTGATGATAAACACGCATTGCTCCGAGTTAGTGAGACAATAGAGCCTTTTGATCGACTTGCAACCGGATTTCAAACTATTGGAAACCAATATCTTGATGCTGCAAAAGAGCTTCAGGAAAACCTCTTCAAAGAGATTACTCTTCTCAGAAAGGAGTTAAGTAAGGCCATCAAGATGGCAAACAAGGATGAAAAAAAGCTCCGTAGCGACTTTAACTCGGCTAAACATGATGCTCAACAAGCAAAACAAAAAGACCTGGAAGAAAAGAAGCATTTAGAAGATTTACAAATCGCTTTATATAGCGATCCCAATTTGCCTCCCAAGAAAATGGAAAAGCTAAATAAGGATATTAATAATTACGAAAAAAGATCCAAAAAGGCTGAAGAAGACTATGATCTAGCAATTAAGAAACTTCACGAAATGGATCAAAAATACTATATTCAACTGGGCCAGATCATGCAAAACCTGGAAGTACTTGATAGAAAGAGAGGAAAAGAATTGAAAGATTTATTGAGACGCTTTTCGAAACTTAACTTCAACATTGGAAAGAGCACCTCAGCTCAATCGGACTACATGGAACAAAGCTTTGATGCAATGAATGAAGAACGTGAAATTCAAACATTTATTGCATCTACAAGATCTGGTTTTCAACCACCTGCTCCAGACAGCTTTGAGCCATATATTATCAAAATTCCAGATGAGCTCAATAAGAAGAGATTTTCAACAATGCCTGGAGGTGTTAGTGTAGGCTCTCCATCTGGTACTGGAAGCGCAGCAAGCGTTAAGGTTTCATCTCCAATTCCAGAGTCATCGTCGAAGACTACCCCTTCTACTACACCTAACAACAACAATGGAACGAGTACACAACCTCCTCCATTTGATTCAACATCAACCACTGTTAAATCTGTAGTGAAAGAAATTGTCAAGCAAGAGACAGAAATTCCAACAAAAGTCATCAAGACAGTTACGTGCGTTTATGGATATGATGCCGCTGAGGAAGGTGAACTTACCATTAAGGAAGGCGATTACATTAACGTACTTGCGATGAATGATGATGGGTGGTGGCTGGGCATTAATAACAGAGGAGAAACTGGTCTATTCCCCTCGAATTTTGTTGAATCAACCCAGGGCTCAGTAGTTCCTGAAGATTTATTGAATATTACAGCAGGATCAAAGGTAGTTGCTCAATATGATTATGATGCTCAGGATGAGCAGGAAATCAGCTTCAAAGCAGGTGAAATCATCACTGTTGTTGAAGTCAACTCGGACGGATGGTTCGTTGGAAGAAACGCAAATAATAAGGAAGGATTAATTCCGTCTAACTTCTTCAAATTAGCGTAAACAAGCATATGTAGACATGAAGGCCAATACACTTTTTACACTTTGATATTATTTGGCTTGCTTCTTTTTTTCTTTGGCCAATAACTCTTCCAGTTTCTTTTTGTGCTCCATAAGCAGGCTTTCTTTTTGAACAAGTCCAATAGCACTAGAAGCTGCCCACCTACGTATTGTTTTGTCCAAAGATCCAGAGTAGACGCTCTTGTCTTGGTCAGTTATCGAAATTGCAGTTACACTGTCTTTGTGGCCACCATATACATGAACCATTTCTTTTGTCTTAATATCCCACAATACCACAAATGAGTCCTCTGAACCTGACAGTAAGTAGTTGGGGTCATAGACTTTGGTACAAAGGACGCAGTCGGTGTGGCCTCTAAAACATCCAACCAATGCCGATGTTCTAAGGTCGTACTGCTGTATAACACCAGTAGACGTTCCTACAAAAATTTCATTTCCAATCACAGAAATTGATCTAACTGGATGTGAATTTGGCCTTATAATTGAAAATACTTCCTCTTTTTCGATATCAACAATTTTTACAAATGAATCTAAACTGGCACTAAATAGCTTATTGTCACTATATTCTAAAGAAGATATGGCGGATGCATGTCCAGTATAAATTGCTGATATGCTCCCTTTTGCTAGATTCCATAGAGTTACGTTTCCATCCAAGCCTCCTGTTGCCACCAAAGTGGGACAGTTCTCTTTTAAACACACTTTCATGCACGTCATAGGAGCTGCGGTTTCTGTCGTGAGTCGTTTGATAGTTTTGCTTAGATTAAGGTCCCAACATCGAACATCTCCATCTCTTGAAGAGCTAAATAATACATAATCATTTCGTGACTTAAAAACTTCTTTTCCCTCTTCTGTATTCTCACTTAAATCCTCCATTGGTCCCATATCCAACTCATTTGCGACTTTGTCTCTACTCACTAACTCCAAACCAGAAACCAGGGAAGAGTGACCTCTAAGCGTTTGTGTTCTCTTTCCATTAGATGTACTGAAACATCGAATGGGACCATCAAAAGATCCATAAAACAATTCTTCCGAAGTAGTTTGAAGTGTTATTATTGGTTCAAGAGGTCGTTTCGTATTAAGGAAAACAAAAGAGCATTCATCAAAATTTGCTTTTTCTGTCTGTAACGAATCATAAAGTTCATTGTAATAATCTTGATACTTTTTAGGATCCTTATAAAATTCTTCCATCGGATCCTTTTGAACAGGTGATTTTGTTGAAGATCTCGGTGTTGGTCGAGAGGGACTCTTTGCGCTCCGAACTGATGATGGCATTGCAATAATTTCTCTCTTAACGATCGATTCCACTCGATTTTTTTTTGAGGTCAAAAGCTGTAAATTCAGTCACTGGACATCAATATGGTAGTTCAAAGGAAGAAAACATTGACTTCATGAATTTAAAAATGTATTTTCTTACATGTTTCTCCAAGTTCAATGTGAGGATCTCTTTCACCTTGAGCAAACGTAGATCGTTTTCGTTTGAGATCCGTCGATTCTGCTACCGAGCTGGGAGAGATTGGAGAAGAAAAGATGGATGATAATTGATTTGGAGTCTTTTCAATGCTGTTGGAAGAAACAAAACCATCTCGTACTTGATTCAACATCTTTGTTATTGGAGTGCTGCAACCATCTCCTTTCATGGAATCATCACTGTTTGTACTATAGTTATCTCTAAGACATTCATTTTCTTTCCTTAATCTTTCAACTTCTTTTCTCAAGTCATTCAATTCATTTAGAGTTGCTTCTAATCGATTTCCAAGTGAATTAAGAGATGGAAATGGTACACTCTTCTTTTTACAGTCTAACCAAGTAATGAGACAAGCACAAGTATGCTTACAATGATCTTCCACAGGGCAAGAGCATTTACATTTCTTTAAATTCATGGTTTTTGAGTCAAAAATAATACTTTGAGTGTATGGAATTTCTAATGTTCCCCAACATTTGGAGGTGAGAAATGTCAACTCTACACCCTCTTCAACTTCAATAGTTTCGACATTCATTTCAAAAATTCTTTCTTCATTGGCATAATTGTTTCCTCTTTGAAAAACAATTAATCCATATTGATCTTTGATTGCTACAAGCTCCTTATCTGGAACGATTGGTTTTCCAGGAGGTGAATGACTATGTTTCTTATATACAGCCTCTCTAAAGGTAAGAGGACGTTCTGGACTCTTGGTTGGAGCAGAAAGTTTTACAGAATCTCCTATTTGTGATCCTTCTGAATTTTCAATTTCATCTACAATCACTGGTGGTGGAAACAAACCAGATTCTTGACTCATTTGAATTTCATCTTTGACCTTGGAGGAGCTTGGATGTTTGGAAAGAGGTTGTTTTCTTGGTTGTTGATGTTGGGAAGGAGAGGATTGAGTTGGTATTTTGGATCTAAATTGTTCCATTGGTGACACATATTCTTCTTCAACACTTTCCTGGGGATGATTTAGCTTTTCTTGTTCATCTGCTTCTCTGAGCGCTGCTTCAATTTGAGAGTAATCAATATCATCATCCTCTGTTACTGCATGGTTATCATTGTTCATGATGATGACATTGGCATCAGTGGCTGGTGTGTTAAGCTCTTGAGCTTCAGTAGAAACTCCATTATTGCTAATCGGATTTGAATTCTCATTTGAGTTTTGAACTGGTGCGTGACCATTTTCAAGGATTGCTTCTTGTTTCACTTTCACTTCTGAACCAGTTTTATCTGTGGGTTCAAAGTTGTGAAATGTACTTTTTTCATCCTCTCTTTGTAAACTCTCCAATTGAGATTCAGTAAGATCAAAATCAATAGGATCATCATTATTTTCAGTTTTTGAAGTTGTTGATTGTGGTTGTGTCAATTGCTTAATATCTTCATATTGATAAACGTTACGTTGTTCTTTTTGATATTGGCTTAGTCCAACTGGACTCGATAAAATCGGAGATGAAACTTGTGTTGGTACGCTTGATGAAAATAAAATTGGAGATTTAACATCTGATGATGGTCGAGGCTTCCATGAGAGATCCTCTTCTTGTTTTTCTCTTTCACATTCTTCAAACAGTTCATCAATTTCTGTTTTGACTTTGATTGAAGAATAATCGGCAATTTCTGATGATGAAATTTGTGACAAGGGTTGAGATAAATTATCTTCGGCACGAGGAGTGATATGATCATCGTCGCACATGTCTTCATCATCTTCCGAATCAAATCGAGGTGAATCGAGATGTGGTATCGACGAGACCACCACACTTTCATCACGCATGCTCGAATCTTCGTCATCATCGAATGTAAATTTCGGAGATTGAGTCAATCGGTGCTTTTTGTCCTCTTCGAATGGAAAGTCATCAAAATTGTTGTTTTCTTCGTCGAGATCGAGAGAAAAACTGACGCTCTTGTTGGTTTGTCTGTAATTGTGACGGTTGCGAGAGGTTGATTGTGAAGGCATTCTTTTGTTGCTTTCGTCGTTTGGAATGTTGCAAGAGTTCCTTCTAGTTCATTTTTTTCTTCTATTTTCTGGAAACGGATTTTCTGCTAGTAAGTGGAAAAAATCAAGCAGCCAATCGTCATTGCACGCTTGTAGTGCCTGTCGGCTGTGTTTTGTTTTCTTTAATTCTCGATGCTTTCCATCATGCATACAATAAACTGATAATAACACTGACAATCCCCAATATCACTGGACCAAGAAACTATTTCAGAGAAGAACGTTTCAAAAAAATGTTCTCTGCAATCACCAAATCATCAACTAGCAGACTCCTTCTCAGAACATCGTGCTTGAATTTTGTTCAAAGAAGAGGATACGCCACCGTTAAATACACAAAGGACCACGAATACGTGAGATTTGAAAGCGGAAAGAGCGTTGTTGTTGGTATTTCAGATGAGGCTCAAAAGAAACTTGGAGAAATTGTTCATGTTGAATTGTCCGTAAAGGTAAGTGAATACTATTTGATATCACTTGAATCATCATCAATTTAAATCAATTTTTAATATTTTGATTGAACCTGTGTCATCCGTTCTTTTCAAAATATTTTGTGGAATTTAAAATCATCAATCTTTTGGTTATCTCATCATCATCATCAACTAGCCTGGTGATGTCATCAAGGCCAGCAGTGTGATTGGAGAAGTTGAAAGTGTTAAATCAGTGAGCGAAGTTTATTCTCCTGTTTCGGGCAAAGTTGTTGAAGTCAACAGCGTTGTTTCAGATAATCCAGGAATTGTTAACGAAAGCGCTGAACAAGATGGATGGATGATTAAGATGGAATTTGAAAAGGAGGCAGAAGGTTTAATGAACAAGACTGATTATCAAAAGTATTGCGAAGAGCAAGAATAATCTTTGAAAATAATTTTAATGAAAATGAAGGACGGTATTTCTACAAAACCCCACTTCAAGTGATCGTCTTCTTTTGGGATTCATTAAAACTCAACAACACATTATTAACCGTTTATTGATGTTTGCACAGGATCACTCGCTTGTCGGAAACAAGCAGCAAAAAATGCAAGTGTTGAGAGCAAATACACCTCTCAGCAGAAAATTGGATGAGTTACTCGAATGCAATCATGAACCTCGTTCGGAAGGAGTTACGGATACAACAAGTACTAATTTCAATACAATAACAACGAAAAATCAGAATGAAGAGATAAATCATGCATCATCCATAACACATTTTGCAATATCCCAGGTCAATAATCACACTCTCATCGACGATCATAAATCATTTATTGTAATCTCAAAAGAATTTTTCTCTCTTTGTATTCATATTTCTAGCTACATTTGGGCGAAGACTATTTTTCTATTATTTGACTATGACAAATATTACAAAAATTTAGCTGTTGAGGCTTATTTAGACCACTTTGCATTTATTCTAGGAAAACAAAAGGCTGAAATTATTGAAGACAGTATGGAGTGTATTGAGGACGAAGCAAGCATAACAATAGAGCAGCCGAATTCTTCTCTCATTATTATACTGTTTACCGTATTGGTAATTTTTGATATCGAGTTTTTTCATCCTTTATTTTCTGCTTTGTGTTTAATAATACTTTTTTTATTGGTGGTGAAATTTAGAGAATTTGAGGTGAGTAAATGATTATCTAGGTTGGTAATTTAAATCAATTTACTGTGACGGAAACACTATAGAATACCATGTACCTATTGAAGGATCAAAATCATGCCACCCCAAATATTTTGAAGCGAGCTGTTCGATCGATGCAAGTTTACTCAAAGAAATGCAGAGATGTTTTAAAAACAATCAAAGAAGTTGAACTCACCGCTCGCGGATACTTTATGTAGGTTATTTTTACCGCATTATGGCATAAACTATTGTGTAAACACTTCAATTGCAGCGATAATCTTCACAATGCACCCATTTCGAGAATAGAGCTTAATACTCCAGAGAGCATGTTGAGATGCAAAGAAATGAGAAAAAATCTTGTTGAATCTTTGACTTCAACTATCAAGCTAAAGAATAGTGTGTTGTATATCATTCAAACGGTTCAAGATAAGGAAATTCCTCAACTCGAAGAAATTTCTATGTTTATCAATAGTATTTCAGGTAATAGCATTTCAATAATTACCGAATTAACACAAATCAACAGTGACATTGATGATTTTTTGATAAATGCGCTGATAACAACGTGCAAGAATCACAAGGAGCTAAGCATGAAATCAAAAGAAAAATGTGAGTGTTACAGTTTATAATTAATTGACTCAATGATTTATGGTGAACCATGTCAACTATTGTCGAAACAATGTTCTTCAGTTATGCACGAATTATCTGAGAAGGGCAAAATTGGTTCACTCTCAATCAAAATTGTTGAAAAAATTGAAAAGCTCTCCAAAGCCACAGAAGAATCAGATTATGACCAATTCAACCAATACAAAAAAGAAATTGAGAGTTCGATGGATAGTATTCGATCTTATCTCTATTTAATAACTGAACAAAATCAAACAGAAGAACAATTTCAACAAACCGAAAGTTCTCTTTTTATCTCTGTACACAATTTGAAGTATAAGATTGGAGCTTTTTGTAAACAAGTAAGCTCACACAAATTTCCTAAACCATTATCACAAAGCATATCGAGCAAGGAGATTGATGAGTTGTTTGAAGACTTTTCTACAATTCCTATCCAAGAAGCTTCCAAAGAATATGACAGAAAATTTTACCATGAAGAAGGTTTCAATACGAGTTCAGAATCAGAGGCTCATTCAGATGATCCAAACGTTATGAAGGTTTATGAATTTGAGAATGAGTCGGAACCAAAAGAAAGTGCTTTTCAAAACATTTCAAGTGAACCTCGGCTGAGAATGCCACCGCTCATGCCGATCCATCGTTTAAAGTTGCCGTCGTCTCATTCAACAATGTTGAGTGTGGATTTATCTAAGAGTAATTACCAAAGTGACAACAACCTTGAGAGCGACCTTAATGATCTCAATTCGTCACCCAACAAGACCGTTTCACCATTCAAAAGAGAACTCAAGCAAGTTGTCATGAAACGAAAACAGGAATTGCAATTCATCAAAACAAAGCTCTCCAATCAACAGCCATCTCAACAGCAAACAGAATGATCCTATTTCACAAGCACGTTTTAATGTCAACGTAATAAAAATGCAGCCTCTCTCACCAGCAGTAGCTTGTTGCCTGTTGTTTGCATTTTTGTTGGAATGCGTTCTCGTGTTCGTTCTTTCAATATTATGCCCACCATTTGCCATGTATTATTTGGCAAGAAAATGTTGGCACAATAATTGTCATACTTTCTCAATGTTTGATTCCGAATATATTATCGATGGGAGGGATTCCATGCGTATGGACTCAAGGGATTGCTACTTTTTCAAAAAGGGTTCCCAGAAAGCTCTAAAATTATGCTTGTTGTTGACATTGCTAGGATGGATTCCTGGGATGATTCTAGTATGGATGGTGTTGGTGCGATATTTATTTTGGAGCAGTGATCATCATCCACCTTACAATAGCATCACAGGAAGAGGAAACAGATCTTTTTATGACAGTATTTGGTAAATGAAATGCACAGCCAGCACTACTGAGATCTTTGCAATCTCATCAAAATATTAAAAAATGAAAAGTTTCGGAGCGAGAGCAGGTTTACTAGGATTGATTATTGGATGTAGCATCGGAATACCAGCAGGTCGACAATTTCACTTGTACTTTGATGCTGATGCCATCGAGGCTAAACGAAAACAAGCTGAAGAAAATCAACAAGCTTTTTCTGAAACTGAGGAATCAAAAGAGGAGACAACAACAACAACAACGAACACCATTACGAGCAATGTGATAGAAACCTCCCAATCAAACAATGCTCCTTCGACTACGCCTGTTGTAAATAATGTAATTGAAAACAATAACTTGGAATCGGAACACAAAGAGGAATCACAAGAAAAGGCAACCAGACCTTTTGAAGGTGGTATTTTCAATTTGAGAAGATTCTTCTAGATGATATCTAACAGATCATCATCATTGCAGAATACTGTGTAGCAAACCAACACTTCTTCGAAAAAGTCACAATAAATCTCATCACTCATTAAAAAAAATGTCATCAAAGCCTGGTATGGGTAGAACAATTTACGTTAGCAACCTTCCCGAGCAATTCAACGAAGAATTATTGAAAACATTTTTTGATGAGTGCGGAACGATTACAAACTGCAAGATGGCTGGGTAAGTAGTACATATTGTCGTTGGATCGTGAAGGGCTTATGTTCTTTTTGTTGTCATTAAATTACATAACCGACAACCTTTAACTTCGGATCTGATAGAGACACAACAAATCGTTATGCCTTTGTTGAATTCGCATCATCTGAAGAGGCCAAGATTGCTCTCGAGTTGAGCGGAACAGATTTATTGGGGAAAACGTTGAGAATATCACTCAGTCGTAATCCAATTTCTTCACCCCCAAACAAGCCTTCATCCGAACAACAAATCGTGAATGCATCACCTAGTCAACCGGAACAATCAGAGGAGAACCCAAACTCACCACCTCTATACAAATACCTTTCCGAAACTGATCTAAAGAAAAGAGCTGATGACGAGGAAAAAGTGAAAAGAACAATTTATGTTACTTGCATTGACACTCAAATAACAGAGAATCAAGTTTGTGAGTTCTTTTCATACTGTGGAAGAATTGCAAATTATAGAGTTTGTGGAGACACCCAACATCCAACCAGATTTGGTTTTTTTGAATTCGAACAAAAGGAAAGTGCTCAAGCAGCGATCTCACTCTCTGGCCAATTCTTGGGAAGATATGCATTGAGAATTCTTGGATCACGAACACCAATTCAACCAACTCCAGGAGCTGTTGGTAATGGTGCAACTTATTCTTTTACTCCAGTGCATCATGATCAAATCAATAGGACGGTTTATGTAGGAAATGTTGATATTGGATTAAGTGAAGATGATCTTAAAGAATTTTTTGATGCTAATTGTGGACCTGTAACAAAAGTTGTATTAGCAGGTGATGCTGTTCACAGTGCTCGTTTTGCATTCGTTGAGTTTTTACATTTCGAATCTAGAAATAAGGCTTTAGAATGCTCCGGCACATTGTTAGGAAATAGAAATATTCGAATCAATCCATCTAGGACACCTATTTTAGGTGGTGGAAAGGCTTATGCTTCCACTGCTCCTTCAATTAATCCTGCAACTGGTACAGGTCAATATGCTGTAAATCATTTAGCACAAAGCTCTAAATTCCCTCCGATTGCACCTGTGACAGATCCATACTATAACCAACCTCACTTTTCGAGCAAGAAAACATCCTTGATTTCATCCAAGAAAAAGACTGGTGATTCTACTACACCTCTGGGAACACATCACAAACCTTACACAGATCTTGCAGACAGTGATAAAAAACGAAGAAAGAATGATTGGTCCTCAAGTGATGAAGATTCTGATAGCGAATCTCGAGAAGATCGTAGACAAAAAAAGATACAAAAACCTACCACTACTACTTCCAATTCCCTACCAGAACACAACAATCATGATTTAGTGGCAGGTTCTTCTTCAAATTCTACAGAACCTTTCTACAACCCATCTGCCTCAGATGAAAATCATCACGAAAATGGAGAGGAGTCTGATCATTAGCAGCATGACAGGAGCAGCAACTGTGGCATGACGGATTGCATGAATCCTCCATTGTCACAATACCAATAAAAAATGTTCCTGTCGGCCGCCGCACACAATCACACCAAAAAAAACATGGCAAATTTATTTCTTTCAAGTGTTGTTGCTAACGGAAGATCAACCAAACTAATTTATGGAGGAGGACGTGGAAAAATTATGGTGGTAGCACTCAACAAGTGTATTACAAAATCATCATCACTCAGTCTCAATCAATTCAATGTTGTTGGACAATTCAATTGCTTTCATCAATCTCTTAATCCTTCGGGACTAATTTCTCGGGATCATGTTCGGGCGTTTGAAGAAATATTTACTCAAGACGATTCATCCCGAAAAAAAGGTGGAGAAGTATTATACAGTCCTGATTCTATTGATTTGGCGTTCAATGCTGATTGGACAGGTCAATATAGAGGATCATCGGAATTGGTTTTGAGACCAAGAACCACTCAACAAGTTGCTAAAATTGTTAAATATTGTTATGAAAATAATATTGCTATTGTTCCTCAAGGAGGAAACACGGGACTGGTAGGAGCTGGTAAGTAACAGCATCTCTGATATCTAGAAAATTTATTATTTACTTTTTCTATCCCATTGCTTGTGTGTGATTTAATTTATTTCAGGAGTCCCTGTTGATTCCACCATTGAACCAAGACCTCAAGTGATTTTAAGTACTAATTTAATGAATGAGATAATATCATTCAATGAAAAAAGTGGTACTCTTGTTTGTCAATCAGGATGTATTTTGGAGCAACTCAATCTTTTTCTAAACGAAAAGGGCTATCAAATGCCCTTAGATTTAGCAGCAAAAGGAAGTTGTCAAATTGGTGGAAATATTGCAACAGGAGCTGGAGGAATTAGATTTATCAGATTTGGATCGTTACACTCAAATTTACTTGGATTAGAATGTGTGTTACCTGATGGTTCTATTATGGACAATATTAAGGAAATAAGAAAGGATAATACCGGCTATCATTTGTCACATTTATTTATTGGAAGTGAGGGAACATTGGGAATTATCACCAAGGTGAGCCTCCAAGTGGCTATTAAACCAAAATCCATCAACGTTGCTCTTGTTGCAGTGGACTCGTTTGAAAAAGTTCAACAATTAATTTTCATGGCTAAAAAAGAATTGGGCGAAATTCTATCAGCAGTCGAGTTTGTAGATAAGGACAGTATGAAACTGGTCATGAAACATCACAAGGATACCTTAGGTTCCCCACCAGTAGAGGGAGAACACCCATTCTACATGGTGATTGAAACTCAAGGAAGTTCACGAGAGCATGATGAAGAAAAATTGAACATGTTCTTTGCGAAAGCTTTGGAAGAAGGAGTAGCATCGGATGGAAGTTTGGCCTTTGATGAGAAGCAATATCTTTATTTGTGGAAGTTTAGAGAATTGGTTTCAGAGTCTCTCAAAAAGGATGGATACGTTTACAAATATGACATTTCAATTCCACTCACGAAAATGTATGATATTGTGTTGGATATGAAGGAAAGAATGAAAATCTTCCCTCAAGCTAAGGTATTTAGCTTTGGCCATTTGGGTGACGAAAATCTACATCTTAACATTACCTCACCAACATTTGACCAAAACATTAAGGATACTATTGAACCCTACGTGTATGAATGGACCAGCAAACATAGAGGAAGTATATCTTCAGAACACGGAATCGGCATGCTGAAAAAGAAGTATTTGCATTATTCTCAATGCGACGTGTCAATTAATTTGATGAAATCCTTGAAAAAAACCTTAGATCCAAAAAACATTATGAATCCCCACAAGATCTTGTAATACATTGGTTTACCTTTGTGCTTCTAGCTCCAGTAACTTCTTTTTCAAGAATTCAATTTTTTGTCTTAATGTTTGGCAAATGTAGTCTGAAGTGAATAGTTCATGATTGTCGTCGTTAATGTCAATAGGTTGTGACAGATTTGGAGAAAAATCTTGGGAGGTGACCATTTCTTCGATCATTCGTTGACAACCACCAATACTGATGTCATTATCATTCAAAGAGGTTACAGATGATATAGATTGCAGTGATTGTCCTAAAATGCTTTCAATGTTTGTGGAACTTTTGTTTTGTTGAGTTGCTGGGATTACTTGGACGTTATTATCCTTACTTTGTTGCTGATCTCTGAGCTTCTGATTTGTATTTTCCTCGTTGGTCGGTCCACCTCTTGGCTCACTCGTTTGAATTACAGATGTGACCAATTTCTGAGAACTGATTTTCGACGTGTTTGTTGCGCTATTGTAAAGGGAGTCTCTATCATCTTTGTCCAAAATGTCTTTGGGGTCGATTGAGACTATAGATTTTTCCTTTTGTTTGATGAGGCTGTCAGCTTTCTTTTCCAACGAAAGCTCTCCTCGAAGATGGTCAATACCTAAAATGGAGTCTGACAACCCTATTGATTTCAATCTGGTTCTAATATTTTCCTCAAACAAATCTTCATAATCTTCTTCACTATCTGTGGTGTTTTTGCTTAATACACTGGAGTTCTGGGCTGTGGAATTAGTTTTCTTTCTTTCTTCCTCATTAAAAAGATGAAACGAGCCGTTCTCTAAGGCCTCGTCAGTCATGTTATTTAGTTCAGCAATATCAACATCAAGAGTGTCAATATAGGAAAACTTTTCCTTAAGAGAAAACACCTGTGGTGACAAGTCTTGATCGTAGACTTCAGAGGGTTTGTGTCGTCTAGCCATTCTTATATCATCGTCCACTTCCCTAATCTCATTCTTAATACTCTCTTTTAGATTTCTAATGTTTAAAATTGATGGATGAATATTGTCGTTTGATTCAGTCACAAATTTCGTCTTCCAATTCTGTTCCATTTTTGGAGTCTCAATATTTTCTTCAATCTCATTTTCGTCTAACCGTTTTCTTTCACTCCGTTTAGTGGGAGGAGCTGTTCTAAACCTCTTAATGTATTCTGCCATTTTCGACGGCTTCTCTTTATTATCCTTATTTGAATTCGCTACTTGACCTTTACCTAGTTTTTGCCGTACTGTTGTGAGAATATGGAGGGAGTTGCTGGAGTTAGTGACACTTTCTTCTTCATCGTGACTAAAATCTTCTTCAATATAGTTCTCTTCCATGTCGATGTGTGTTGGCAATTGTTCATCTTCAAAAGGATCAGAATTTGGTTTCTTTTTCAATTTTAGAGGAATTGTGTCATCCGAAACATGCAAATCTTTGGATGAAGCCAAGGACCCTTTTGAAGAATGGACCGAGTTTTTTACATCCGAAGATGAATACTTTTTAATACTAGCATTAATACTTTTCACCAATTTGTTTGATTCCCTTGACTCTGAATTTTGAGAAAGGTTGTTTTTTCCTGTTGTATGATTCAGAAATTGAGGTTGATCATTTACAGACATGACCTCCATATCATCATCCTCATCATCTTCGTCATTGTATTTTGATTTCTTTTCTTCTACAACTTGATGCAAATGTACATGTTGTTGAATGGTTGAAGACCCGCTCCTATGACTACTTTTTGATGATCTTGATTTATGAGAAAAACTCGGACTTTGAGAAGTGATCGGAAAGGTTACTTCGGTCTTGTGTTTCTTCATTTTTTGTAATGTGTTTTGGCGCGGCGTCATGTGGAATGTAATTAAAAGCCGCTTCATTCTTATGGCAAGCCATGGACGTCGTGATTAATAAAACACCACTGAGTGTTTTGTGTGTTGTTGTTTCTTAAAGTTGAAAAGATTTTGTGTTCTGAAACAATTGTTCTGAGTCACTGTGAGGCAATAATACATGTTTTGGAAGTGTATACACTGACCTTGCCATGTATTGGTAACTCTTGATCTCTTTCGAATATTCAAAAAAAATGTCCAAAGGTGAAGAACACTCTCCATCATCAAAAGAAACCACGTAAGTGATTGGTTGGGATGATGATCATGCCAAAATACGACCGTATGGCAACCTTGAATAATAACAATTTTTTCAATCATCATCATCGTGAAATCTACCTATAACATTGAACCCATTTTCAACGGCAATTTCAACAACCACCGGACGAACCTGTACATGTGTAGCATGACCACTGCCAAACCACCAGCACACCATTTGAGTAAACATCATGATTTACTTCAAAAATTGAGCCTGGAATCAAAGAAATTATTTAAAGAGGAATTGAAGAAATTTAAAGAACAGCAATCGGAGGAACGAGAAAAATTGACCTTGTTGAAATCTCCAGTCAGAACATTATGGTATTGTTTGATGGAGTTGAAATTGAAAGTTTCGCAGCTTTGTTCTCACCTTGTACAGAAGAGACTCTTTTTGACTGTATTTATTGTTGGGCTAATTATGTCACTGGCTAGTTTAATTTTTACATGGAAATTTATATGTAAAGAACATCATCATTTGACAAGGAATAGAGAGATGATTTCAAATATTGACAGTTTTTGCAATAATTTAAGAATATCATTCATTGAGCCGTATAATGTAGAGTCGATCATGTCATACTCTATAATTGCTTTAGAATGGCTTGTTTTGGGAGTGCTGAGTTCTATTGGGCTTGGATCAGGACTTCATACATTTTTGCTGTACTTAGGTACGTTGATGATGAGGTAAACAAATTCAAAACAATAATTATGACTTTCAACAGGACCATTTATTGCAAAGGTTACCATTGCATGCACAGAATGCAACTCGTGTAATTTTGCAAAGTATGGAGCGAATAGTTTCACATGTCCTTCAACTGCCACACAAGGAACAAGCATGACATTTTGGGAAATTGTTTCTAATGTGGAATATGAGGCGCTTTTCTGGGGATTAGGAACTGCTATTGGAGAAATTCCACCATTTCTTATTGCTAGAGCAGCTAGAAAGTCTGGTTCTTCATTAGAAAGTCTAGAAGACGAAAATTATGACTCTGATGAAGAAGAATTATCGGATAAAAAGGAAGCTCCAACTGGAATTTCTAAAATTTGGAATGAATGGATGGATTGGTTCAAATCAAAAGTTGAGACAGTGGTGGAAAGCAATTACACATTTTTCTTTATTTTAGCAATGGCATCAATTCCAAACCCTCTTTTTGATTTGGCAGGTCTCACTTGTGGTTTCTATCTCGTACCCTTCTGGGTTTTCTTTTTGGCTACTGTTATTGGAAAATCTATTATCAAGGCTAATTTGCAAACTCTTCTCATTGTTGCAATTTTCAGAAAGGAGCAATTGGAAAAGATTGTTAATTTTGTTGAGGATTTAAAACTTCCATTCATTCAAGGAAAAGTTAAAGCGTTTTTCGAAAATGAAAGAGCCAAATTCCATCCAGATGCCATCAAACAAGCCACCACCGAATCATCGAAAAGCATTCTTTCCACCATTTGGGATTTTGTATTAATTTTAATGATCAGTTGGTTCTTTGTCTCCATCGTTAACTCAACAGCACAAGGATGTCTCATGGAACAACAAAAAACAGCACTTGAACAATTTAAAGAACAGCGTCTTCACGAGCTCATTAAATCTGAACAGAAAGAGAAGAAATAAGCTTATAAAAAAGCAATAAACACATGGTACATGATTTTTTCAGTTTACATTTTACTGCATATAATTATTGATGGCTTTCAATCCATAAATTAATCCCACTTGTTTTCTTGCTTCTACAGCAAGTAAGCATATGTGAATTTTTTCCTTCGTACGTAATTTCACACCCATGTCGATGAATTGTTCTTTCGTGCACCTCTCTGGATAGCATACTATAGTTTTGATATACTTTTTAAGGTCAATATTTAGCAGCTTGTTAACTTTCTCATAGTTAAAATCGTCATGAGAAACCCCATATAGTCTATGGACGTAGCACCATATTGCTGCACGAAATGCTGAAGTATCTACATCCTTAATGTCATCACACCTGTTGTCTGTCATATTGTAGATGAATTCAAACTCTGCATCCAGTAAATCAGCTGCTCCATGGTAAAATCTGCTAATTATCGAATAAGCATTTTCTTCCCAGTTGAAATCATAGATGGATGCTGTTTCGTAAGTTTTGCTTTTAACGTCAAAATCTTTGTAAGTAAAATCGTACTTGTTGTGTTTGTACTTTTTAGTCTTGAGTAAATGTTGTCTATTAGTTGTACTTTTCTTGATTGTGGAAGCAGAGGTAATTAAAGGCACACGAATCGATGATTCTGGAATTAATCCTTCCGTGCTTGCCGTCCTTGATCGCTCATTATGTTGAGCTTGGTAGTGTTGGGCTTCCCAGAAAGTCATTGAGGCAAAGTGTGGCCTCGAAAAGCAATCAAAGTTATTCAAATTGCTGTATAGATGGGTTGGTACAACAGGTTTTGACGATGAATCTGTAGCCTCAGACTCTGTACTCTCAAAGGCCTTATTTCTTTGATTTTTGTCAATTGGTGTGTCGTCGTCAGTGTCGTGTTTTGTCAACGTTTCCACCAATTTTTGAGTTTCGTTTTTCTGTCTCTTTCTCACTTCTTCATTATCCATAATTGATGAATTTTGAATGTCTGATACTGGAGTGGTATCATCATCTGGTAGTATGCCTGTTCCAAAAATTAATCCTGGCAGTGAAAAGAAATGACACATTATTGTAATTGCATGAACCAACTCGGCAATGGTCCATCCAGAATCATCTGCACCCTTATTGCTCACTAACTCTGATATGAGTTCTTCAGTTACCATCCAAGGCATGTGGCAAAGTATCGAATTGAGTTTTACAAGCTTTTTTAGCTTTGGTGGAATAAATTCTATACCCTGTAGCCATTTGCTGTCTCCTCCATAAAGTAAAAATTCTGCCTCTAGTCTTCGCACTAAATATTTACAATTGTGTCTCGAAGCAGCAAATATAGAAATATAGCATCTCCAATCAAGAGGGAGTGGTCCATTAGATTTCATCACGAAATTATAAGTTTTGTAATAAATTTCTGCAAAAGAAGGATGTGCAAATAATACCTGCGATACATGTGGTACAACCCCATTTTCAATGAAAATGTTTTTAAAATGTTCCTTTGTGTTTTGAATAAAGTGATGAGTGTCAGAGGAGCTTGCCAATTTGAAAATAGGTTTGAAAATGGTTGGGGAAAAGAAATGTGAAACCGCTCGAATAAATCCATTGTGCTTATCTGCTTTCTGAATACATTTGATTCCATAGTCTCTTTCTAAATCATCAATTAATTTTATGAAAGCGGACGAAACGTCTTCAAATGGACACTCATAGGCAAATCTCGATATCAGACCGGAATAGCGTTCAAAGAACTTTGCTGGGTGTAAATCCTCATCGTCATTGCTACTACTCGTAGAATCATCGTTACTATAATTCGTTTCTTTCCACAGTTTCGCATGCTTAATGATCAATTGAACGATATTGTTAATTCCTACACGCCGTTTCTCTGCTGTAGTGATGCAAGAAGTGTTAATTACATTTTATGAATTTGAATAAATAGCACATTCATACATACCTGTTGGTTGAATCATTTGACGAAAGAGATGACTTTCCGAGAGTAAAACACCTTCATCATATTCTTCTGAATAAAGTACGTATTGTTCAAGGCTATGATGATGATGGTGGTGAGCATTAGAATTATCAATTGCCTTTGATGATGGATGGTTTTCGTGTTGTGAATCCATTGAAGGAACAAATGGATGTGTGTCAGTGTTGTTATTATTATTATCTACAATCGATTGTAAATCTCCAACAGCAAAGAACTCTTCATCTTCATGATCGGAATGATTATTATTCGTTAACCATTGAGGTTCTTCCTCATCGTGATGCTGTTTCTGATTGAAAATCTTCATAACGGCTTCGTGTTGCTCCAAAGTGGATTCATAAAGAGTAGGTGAAGTCATTGGTATTACCGATGAAGATAACCATTCTGGAGTACCACTCATCGTCAGAGGTGATGAGTGATGAGGTGAAATATCAACAGCAAGTGAAGATAGCGAGAACGGAGAGGTATAAGCCTTCGTATTGGACGAAGCAGTATTTGAATTATGAGATGTTCCTAACATGTTTGCTGATTTCGATTTGTACATTTAATATGATACAAATGTGATATTGTTGCTCGTATTGCTACAAGTTTTCTTGGAAAAAGAAAGAAGAAAATGTCTTAAGTGTTGAATGAAACCAATACAAGCGTTGTCCTCTTAAAAGAGGTAAAAGTAGGTGCAGTTAATGTATGATGAACACACACTACAACGGAATGAGCAACAACGCTGGTGTTGTGTGAGCAAAAAGAACCCGAGAGTGTGATGATGGGTTAGCGAATGCCTTGTTGTTGGGTGATTTTTTTGAAATTGCACACTCCTGTGTTGGAATTTGGGAAACTCAATACCAAATTTCTTAAATTCCAAGAGAATGTATTTGACTGTCACACCTGGGCTGCACTGGTGTTGAACAATTAAGATGGTGACCTGCTAAAAACTTTTGTTACGGCTTAAATTTGTATCTTTTCTGGAAAAGGAAATTCATTCTTGGGTTGAACAAATTTTAAATGTTTAATTAACTTTCAAGTTTACTTGTTGGTCTTTCCATGGAAATACGTATTGAAAGTTATTCTTCTTCATCTTCTTCTTGAACAACTAGCTCTTCATCGTCTTCCTCATCCGCACCTTGAAGAATTCTGATTTCGTCCTTATCTTCTCCAATATGTTTTTCATTGGATGGAAGGAAGAAAATTGCTAATGCAAAAGGCCATAAATTGAGCAAGGCCAATGTTGCTAAAAACAAGAAGGATGTGAGCTTACCAAACGAGTATGAAATTACTGAGGCGGCAATGGCCACGACTAAAACAAACAAAGTCACTCCATAAACGACCTTAAACTTTGCAGAGTATTTTGTTGGAAGATCTTTCATCATTCCGATTCCTCTGACAATATAGTAGAGAAGAAGTAAAATATATACTCCCAATAGAGAGACAATGGCAGCAGCAATAAAATTGTGATAAGCAAGCTCTTCAAACGCATAAGCAATATCATACTTCTTGGTGACGCTAACCAAAATAAAAGACACCACAGTTAGAATCCAGAGTGTGACTACAAGGATTCCCTTTGGGAAGTAGAATGAAAATACGCCACGGTTCTCCTCTTTGGTATAAATTGAGTGTGTGAACACTAAAAAACTGAATAATAAGATGGCAATATATGTAACCTTGAAGAGAATATTCAATAAATTAAAGAGCCACAGGTCAGATAAGTATTGAAGTACGTAGATGGGATCTAGAGATTTGAGTTTGTTACCTGTTCAAAATGTCTTACATGTTAACAACTTACTGTTATACAGAATTAAGAAAAATAGAACAAAGGCAATCCACTTTTGCTCTGTATGCCATAACGAGAATGGTTGCTAGTATTTTGAATTTTGTAAGCTAAGAGCATGTTTTAACCCACTTACCTTGTATCTGGTATAGATCAGGAACAGAGTGAGAATAGCGACATTAAAGAATAAAAATATATATCGGAAAGCTGTTCATGCAGTTGGAGCCCAAAGCATAACGCAAGAGATGATAAATTCAGCATATCCTAAAGAACCTACCAATTTCTAGCTTGACAAACGCATCATTCATACTAGCATAGCTGAAAAATAATTTGGGTTCAAACAGATCCATATCAGCTTGTTTGCCTTGATTTGTAATCTTAATTGTTGCTTTGTACTTTTTGAAGGAAATTTTTGTTAATTGAAATAGTGTCAATGGTTGACATGTGGCCGAGCCTTGAGGGCATGTTAATTCTCTCTTATGAGAGTTAGATGGTGCAACCTCGACCCAATTTCGATCGTCATTGGTTCCCATGACACCAATGTTCATTTCCATCATATCCTGAAATCCGAATGATTGAAGACTAGAATTTTTGAAAAACACGACAGTAAAAAGAATTTCATCATTAAAAACGCTGAGGTCGTCAAACGTTCCTGAAATTTCTTGGCCTTGGAGAGTGGCTTTCCATACTTCGGGAGAAAATTCTAATATTTCTTCCTTTCCTTGGCTATCCGTTGCTTTTACAATTTCTATTGAATCTGGTCCAAATATTCCTCCGATCGCTATGGCAAAAAAGATCAAGCCCATAACAATGAATAAGAATACAATGGTCCAAACAGGTGATACCTCAAAGCAAAGCCTTTTCTTATCGGGCTGCAGTTGATGCATTTTTTTAAATTATTTAATAAAATCAAATGGTTGGGATCGAATTGCTTCCTCAGTTACGTTGCTGCTTCAAGAATTAGAAGCTGCGATCATGACGTAACAAAGTTCCAAATCAAATCTATTATTTTATTAGTCTGTTTTTTATCCTGTTGAAACCTCTCAATGAGACGCTCAATAATCTTTGAAAGCTGATCAGACGATAACAAGATTCCACACACAATTCAAAAAATGGAATACGATGATAACCGTGAACTCGAGACTAGGCACATCCGAAGTGATCGTTTAGAGAGAGGTCTCGGAGGTATTTCATCATCCAATGATGGCAACCACACGAGTAGTTCATTCTCTGCAAGTTTGAAACGTACGCCTACTTGGATGATTTACATGCTCATCGGAATGGGAATTTTGGTAATGCTTTCATTGACGTATGTAGTTGATGAGAATGAGAAATGATGTGAAAATATCTGATGATGAAATTTTGAAATTCAAATCTTCACAACACGAAATGTTTAACTTGCTAGTTTGAATATTGTATTGTATGTGATTGGGTTGAGACAACATACTGAAGATATTGTCATTCCAAAGAATGTCATTTGTAGGTTTCGCTCAATTTCCAATTTTGTAGCACTGTACAATTCGATGACAATTTCAAAATAATAATTCTCACACACGCATAGTTATGATTGGAGATGGATTTGGACCAGCAGCTCAAACATTTGCCAGAGTAATGATGAAAAATTCTGTCGAACACAACAAGTCGCTGGCATTAGACTCATTTCTTGTGGGTAGTTCAAGAACTTTTTCATCCGATAGTGATGTCACAGATAGTGCTGCAGGGGCTACTGCTTTTTCATGTGCATTGAAGAGTTATAATGGAGCAATTGGTGTTGATCCATCAAAGAAGCCATGTGGTACATTATTGGAAGCAGCCTTAAAGAAGGGAATGAGAACAGGTAAGGATTGTCAATCGTAAAATATATTGAATTTAAAAATTTTACAAATATTGGATGATTAGGTTTGGTGGCCACAAATCCTGTCACAGATGCCACACCAGCTGCCTTCTCTGGTAGGTTTCAATGAAATTTTAAAAAGTGTTATTATTAGACACTTATTCTTTGCAATGATCAATAATATAGCTCACGTTTCATATAGATCCATGCAAGATAAAATTGCATATCAACAAATTCGTATGATGGCAGATCTCTTTGGTAAAATACACGACAGAAAATATGGAATTGATATCATCTTGGGAGGTGGTAGATCTTATTTTCTTCCAAAAGAATCGAGTGGTAGTTTAAGAAAGGACTCTATTGATCTTGTTCAGGTATGCAAAATGATTTTTTTCACACAAGTTGTCTTATCATGACATGTATGATACTACTATTCATGGTATCTTATAAAATTGACAAAAACAATGGGTTAAAATTTTGAACAAAGACTGCCAAAGATCAAGGCTATCAATACGTTACCAATGTGGATGAGTTGTTAAAAGTTGATAAACTTCCTCTCTTGGGATTATTTGCTCCAACCACCATGAAATACACGATTGATCGATTGAAAACAAATGAACCTGAACCAACACTTCCTCAAATGACAACAAAGGCCTTAGAACTTATTAGTAAGGACAATAAGAATGGATTCTTTTTGATGGTAGAAGGTTCAAGAATTGATCATTGGTAAGTACAATGGACATTAACATTTTTAAAAATTATTATAATGAAATGATAAAATTACAATCATTTGGTGATTTGAAAATTATTCAAACCAATCTTCATTGGGTAATTTGAAAATTGAAAATTTGAATTACTTCAATCTTAGTGCTCACTCCAATGATATTGCTTGTCAATGGCAAGAAGTCATTGCTTACAATGAAGCTTTTAAAATTGTTCAAGAATTTGCTGCAAATAATCCAGATACTCTTGTCATCTCAACTGCAGATCATGAGACAGGTGGTATCACTCTCAATAGAGACGTGGATGGTGATTCTGAATATGCATTCTATACTGAACAAATTCGTCCCATCAAACACAGTACTGAATATATTGCTAATCTGATTACAGATCCAACTAATTTCACACAAGTATCACTTGTATTATCTGAAAATGGAATTCCAAATTTAACCTTTGATGAACACAAATTAATGCAAAGTATTCAACCTCCTCTCATGTTTGGAATTGATGAGGTCATTAATAGAAGAGCAAGAATTGGATTCTCAACACGAGGTCACACCGCTGTCGATGTGAATGTTTATAGTTTTGGACCTGGATCACAAAATTATTATGGAAACAGAGACAATACTGATTTGGGTAAAATTGTTGCAAATTTACTCGGTTTTAATTTGACAGAAATTACAACAGAAGTGAATACTTATTTGAAGGCAAATCCATAAAACATCGATATTCCAGAGATTCCCTTTTTTCAATTATTTTGTTCAGAGTTTGGGTAACCACTTACATATTTATTGTAGTGCATATGTTAATTTTACTGAGTGGAATGAACATGTTGGCATCCCTTTTTCAATTTCATTGAATTAGTAACTTTGTCATGAACTGATCACTTTTCCCAGTTCTTTTTTAGATCGGACTCAAAAAAACGAAACATGACAAGTCATTACCTGATGTCGTCGCAACACGTTCTCTTGATGCAGTGATGATGAAGATGCATGTTATTTTCATTCAAAACAAAATTGTCATTATCCAATTACTTTTAAAACATTGCTGAAATGAGCTCAAACTACACGACCAACAATACCTCCGCCTCATTCATTTGTCCCTACATGATCTCTTCACAAGACGCTGGTCTCGGATTCCTCTGTGCGTGCTTGGGTGGTATTCTTGGCATTCTCTTTCTCGTTCCAACTCCCATCTTGACCAAATTATTACATCGAAAGACATTATGGAAATTTGAAAATTCATGGATTCAAATCAGTTTCTTTGCATTGGTATTTTGGCCAATCGTTGCACTCTTTTGTCAAGGACTGGTCCCCATCTCTTCGCTCGAATATTATTTCACAACATCATTGAATGGAACTCGATTAAATTCCACCACCACGAGTTCAACAATGATTGTTACAGGTGGTAGTGGCACCACTACGACCGATCAAGTCGCCATGTTTCAAGCAGAGGATTGGGTGAGTGTGATTATTGCACATTGTTTTTGGGTGTTATTGAGCTTTTCGACTTGGGCACTTGCCACAGAATGGATTGGATTTGGATGGAGTACCAAAATGGTGTATGGAGTGGGTGTGTTTTTTGTGATGATGGCTCATTGGATTGCTGGAACTGATATTGATTATATTTGGAGTAACAATGATGCAACTTCGTATCCTGTCATTCTCCCTGTACCTGTTCAATACCATTTTTATGTGAATAGTTCCAAGGGAATTGTGTATTGTATTGCAATTCCTGTCATGTTAATTGGATTAATTTCACTAGCCATTGCATATGTATTTGTAGAGAGAAACACTCGTGAACAACGAACTGAACTTGAAATGAGTACTGGCAGTGGAAGAGAACACATGACTGCAGCAGTGAATTGGACCGAAGTGGCAAAAAAAGAAGCAAATAGTAATAAGAATGTTGCAAGAACCATCAAAATGAGAGTAGTGATCAAATTCTATATTGCCATGTTTGTCACTGTATTAGCTTCCATCTTGTACTTTTTATATGAAGGAGCATTCTTAGCCAATGTGACCAATCATTCATTTTCATTGATGACCAAGTTGCAGAAAGTGAAAAATCCAAATGATGATCCATCCTCTTCTTCTACATCCACTCCTCCGCTCAATCAGTTCCAATCGAAGGTTTTTATTAATGGAATTTCATTTCCCATTTCATACTGTTTCGTTTTCATTGCGTGTGTCTTGCTCTTGTTGTACAATCGAACCATTAAGAAAATGGCTCTTTGCTCAGGTGGATGTGTCTGTATGTCAGGTCAGAACATTCGAGGTTATCGAATTTTGGGATTAATAAGTTCCTTCTTTCAAGGATTAATTTGGTATGGAAGTATTTTACTGTTAAATTATGCAGAGTACTTGTTTAAGGGAAGAGGAAGTTTTCCAATATTGGTCTATTCATTCTTTGCCATTGTGACTTCCATGATTTGTGGATTAAGTTTTTTGGAATTGAGAGGAACATTATTGCCTGAACGAGTGGTCATTATCATTTCATATATTTGTATTTTGGCTGCCTTAATATTGTTATCGTACGCAGCATTTCCCTCACATTTCATTAACTTGATAGGAGCTAATTGTCCTCAATAAGATGTTGTCGTCGTCATAACACAACGTTGTGAAATAATAGTATGACAAGTTGACAGGATCGTAACAATCAAGCTGGATCAAATGGAAACACTTGTCGAATTCTCAGAATACAGTTGAGCGAGAGAGAACACAATCATAATTGGGATCTCACGCATCAACATGATTGAACAATCATGATCAATTTGAAATAGTTTTCTAACAATAAAAAAATGGTAAAATTTGAAGACATTTCCAATCAACCACAGACGGATTCTTCCTCCCATCTAGCATCCTCATCATCATTAAAACATCCATCCACCTCTCGTGTACATCCACAACAAGGATTGAAATTCCGATTTTCACCGTTCTTTCTTTCATTACTTCTTGTCGGAGGTTTTATACTCCATGGCTATATATCTTTTCATCCCGATCTTAATTCTATTAAATTCCTTTCATCATTTTTCAAGTTATTTGCGGGTTATCAATATTGGTTGAGAATTGGATTTTATGGAGCTGTATTGGTTCATATCATTGAATCAGTGGTGTGTTATGGACAAATTCATTCATTCTTTAAAACTCATCAGGTAAAAAGAGATGAAAGTGTGTTGTGGAAATATACAATACAGACATTGATTGTTGGGTTTCCAAGTTTTTGGGTATTGCATGAAGAATTGTCGAAATTCGAAAAGAGTCATTAATGAAAAGCTTTTCACAACATTAAATCCAATTTACTCTTCTGCTTGCCTAAAATTCTGTTGAATCAAGAAAAGCCATGTAAAGATCCGATCATATGGATTTCATCTTGAACAACCATTAAGGAATTTACTGTAATCATTTGACTTTGCAATTTCTCTCCTTCTAAAAACCTGAGCGCATCAACGTTCTAATTTCAAGCCTCAACGTTCTTTTGAGGTGTTTTGAATCAGTGATAGTAACAAGATCGCTGATGAAATGCACTCTCAAAATAATGACAAATGACAGGACTGTGACGCCTTTCTAAACCAAAAAATGTCTCAAGTCCCTAACACTCGACCACCCACACAACTTCTCCCTCTACAAGATGCTATTGAAATTCAATTTACATACTGCAAGCAAAACCCATCTTCACCATCACATTTACGAATGGGATGCATTCAACTCAACGAATTTGGTTTTGTAACTGATGGTGAGTAGAGATCTCTCTTTTGAACATTGTTAAATATCACTGACTTGTATTTTGGATCGGATCATCACCATTATGATCGTGATGATTGAATTCATCATTTAACAATTCAATTAATCGAACAATGATCTTGTTCTCATGATGGTGATACATGAACGGAACACACACCATTCGACTCACCCTGGAACTGAAATATTTCCAAATACAACAAACCATGGTGTGGACTGTTTGTCTCACTTTTCATGTTATTGAATCATTATTATTATCACATTCACACATATATACACAATTATTATTATCACCTATATACACACAATTATATACATGAATGTAACACACGCACACACATTTGATGATCCAATGAATGAATCACACACACATCACATGATTCACCACGACTAAATGAACACTCAAACATGTTTTTTAATATTGTCCTCACAACAGTGGTCTTTGATGGTCATCACATTCCCAATAACAAAGTACCTCCACAAAGTAGACTCTTTCAACTTTCCAATTTTCATAAAACTCTACATTTGAAATCATCGAATCAAACAGAAAATGATGGAGAGTTTTCACAATCATTTATCATGAAACCAAATTTGTCTCCACTTTTCACACATCCTAAAGAACCACTCGATACTGGTTTTAAACACTTTTTAAAGGACTTTCAAAAACAATCATTGAAAGGAATGAATTTTGTTGAAGCTTTGTATCCTTCAAAATTTGAAATTGCTCAAGAATTAGGTCTTATCAATGCAGAGAATGATGATGATAGTAGAAGTGAGAATTTAAAAGCATTGGCAGATCCTTTGAGAGCCTATCGAGGAAGAACGAAATGTGTGGTCTTTTATTTGGAAGGTGATTTTGCAAGTGTGTTAACTCCACAATCTAATCTAGTTGTGGAATGGGGAAAACATTTGGTGGGAGAGTTACCACATCTCTCGAAAACTGAATTTAAATCAGAGAATAAGCTTGTCTTTCCTTATCAGTCATTGACCAAACAGAATAAGAATTGTGTGTTTTTGAGTCTTGTGTTATGGATGGATCCTGAAGTGATGAATCAAAATAATGTTTGTGCCATGGATACCATTGGTGTGAATTTAGGTCCAAATTCACCCTCGATTATGGATGCTTACAAATATGGACTCATTCATCAAAGTTTGGGAGAATGTAAGTTGTGTAGACCTTGTAGATATTGTAACAACAACATTGATGATTTTATATTTTAAACATGGATCAATTCTCATGATCAATCTTAACCATTGGTGTGTATGATCACACACACATTTTGGGAAACCTCTGGACGTGACACCATCATCATCCTCTCATGGATGGACGACACGCACACACACACTCGATTGTGAAAATAGTATACTCATCGGATGAAACAGCTGCAGTTCTTCGTCAACCATACAAGTACTTTGAGTTAAAAAAGAACAATTCAGTTGTGCTCTCCTCATTGAAAATTCAAAGTGTTCGTTGTTATACCTTTGAAATTAATCACATTCTGGTCGGAAAGAAATTTAGTATCAATTCCAAAGCAATTTTATTGGATCGAGGTAATTATGCAATCAAACACATTGGAGAACCAGTTTTTGTACCAGGAAAAGAAAAACCAGTAATATCAGGAAGAACGGATACGAAATCAGATGCCACCTTCTCTATTGATTTGAATCACATACCGTCGCAAGTGGACAAAATTTTATTCATTTCTGTATTTCAGGGCAATGCTGAAACTAATTTTATCCGAGTGAAAGACAGTGTCATGAAAGTATTCAATGAAAAGAAGGAACTTGTGACATCGATTGTTGCCTCTCCAGGAAATGAAAGCACTTTAATTTGGGGTTTCCTTAAGAGATTACCAGACAATGGTAATTCCTCTGAATCTCGATGGGAGCTCTATAACATGGATCAATACACGGATCAACATGGACCATTGGGTGCTTATCGATATGCTGTGAGACATTTACCAATTGTATCTCCACTTTCTGACACTGTGAATACTTGTCCAATGCTCTCAAATTCATCTTCAACCATGACCACAACAGTTGAATTTTCACTTCAAAAACCTCTTCTTTGTAAACTCAGATTAGGAAAAAGACTAGCTCCATATCTATTCATGGACGATGAAGACGATGACGATGAAGATGGATTCTCAAGAAAATTATCTAAAAAACCTTATTACAATTTGGATGTGTGTTTCTTTGATAATTATGGTTATCACATTCACCATGAATCAGCAAAACCAGTGAAAAGCAAATACATGCCACTCTTCCAATTAGGAATGAAAGAACATATGGCCAATTTACCAAATTTGAAAACAGCATTCATCAAACTAGCACTACGAATTCCATGTGTCACTTACAAGGCAGAACCATATCCATACTATGACACTGATTTTACTGATGAAGTGAAAGAGAGAAGTCTTTCGGATGAATTTGTCAAGTGCATTCAAGATGAATCTATGAGAATGATTATTTGTGACGAAGAAAAGAATGAAGAGTTATTTGGTGTCTCCATTCAAGATTTGGATGCAAAAGAACAAGAAGAAAAACTCAAAAAAATCAAATTGAAAGAAAAGCATGTCATCAAACCAGAATTCGAAGCTGAAGTACTTTTATTGAAATTAGAAAAAGTAGATCAACAGAGTGATTTATGGAAAGTGTGTCCCATTCGTAAAGAACTTGCCAAAGATTCAAATTGGGTTGAGAAAATACGACAAGAAATGCTTTCAGAATTTGTCAAAGCAAGACCACCATTCAAGTTAATGCATCCAAATGAATGTGTCACTCACCCATTTGTATCTGATTTATATAAGGAGATTTTCACATCAGTCATTAGTTTGGAATGTTCAGACATTTCTTACAAACCAAAACTTCATATTTTAACACCAACCAATGTGACCGAAGTGAATGAACAAAACAGTAGATATGGAAATCCAATGAGTGTTGAAATTATTATGAACAGTAAGAGATTTTCACTTCCAGGAGAAAATTCAAGATTTGAAATTGCTTACAAGGATTATGAACTTCAAAATCAAATGCTTGGAATCATTCTATGTTTGGAATTATCCAAAGATATTCCTTCGAACCATACTCAGAGTACTCTTGTGTTGAAATTCTTTGATCAAACAGTGGGAGGAGAGAAATTCAGACTTGTCGTGGATCCTCTCAAATGTGGATGGAAAAAACAAGGTGAATTATTAACCGTGTTGGCAACCATGAAAGATGTTGCTACACACATGATTAGTATCAAATGTGTCATGAAGATTAATTTGACAGATTATGCTGTCTTGCTGCCATCTCCTCCAAAACATTTAAATATTACCATTGATCGAGCTGAAGATTTGGCAGTGTATAATGATAAAAATTCAGATCCATACATTGTTGCCAAATTTGATGATGGTAAAAAGAAAGTGAGTAAGAAGAAGACTGCATTATTTGTGACACATACCATCAAGAAGACTTTGAATCCTGTTTGGAATGAGACTTTTCAAATGTAAGTTGTTACAAGCGGTTCAGCGCTGAATTTTCACTTTCCTCACTTTGGACCAACGTTCATTACTTTTTTGAATTTTTTTTGAATACCGTTCCTCATTACTTTTTTGAATTTTTTTTTGAATCCATTTCTTTTTCCATCTTGATACATTTCATTACATGCAAATCATTCAAAAGTCGATTGATTGGAGATATTAAAGCAGATAATCGAGTACTTGCCTTCCACATGTATGACAAGGAAACTCTGCACAAAGATAACTATATGGGAATGGTGTTACTGAATGTGAAAGATGTTCAAGAAGGATGCTTTGCCTATCCTCTCAAGCCCAATCCACTCAAGCACACCAAAGCCAAAGAGGCTGAGAAAGTGAAAGGAAAAGTGTTTTTGAAATTTGAATTTGTTTATGATTAAAGAAATGACCAAGTAAATAGCTCTATTAACCCTTAACCACTCGCAAAGTATTAATATTATTATTATTTATTTTCCTCGTTCTTGGGATGTATCTGAATTCCAGAGCCATGAATTTTGCAACCAGGAGAAATGTAAGTATCGAGTGAATAACCTGTGTGAGATACGGAACACGTCTCTGCCAAGTGACATGAATTGAAATAACTTGCTGAAATTTGAGAATTTTCAAAACAACAATTCAAACTATTGACATTTTGAATGCTTGATTGATTTTTAAAAGTGCATCGATTGAGACTTGTTCCGTTAACGGTGCCATGATCAAACTCACAATTCACTGCGTTTCCGTTTAGAACTCGGCAGTTGTCTAATTTACAATTCAAAAGATGGCATTGCAATAAGTCACAGTTGATGAAATGGTGTTGTGCCAACGTTTGATTAGAGATCAGCATGTTTTTCTTGGTGATCATTTCTGGTTTGAAAGGTTCGTCGTTTGACATCATTGGTCATTTTTTTTTAGTGTTTTTCAAATCGACGTTGGCTTGCAAAAAATTTGATTCCGTTCGAACATCAATCTCTAAAAACAACACGTTATTCTTGATTTCACAACCCACACATTCAGAGCGAGAAGGTACTACCAAATATTCTGAGGGGAAAGGAGAATTCATGATCTCCCAGTTCCGTTCAGTTGATTCACTTGGTTCTTCAGCTCTCGCAAGATTTCAGTTTATACATTTCTGTTATTCCAAATAGAGTTGTTGCATTTTGCAATTTCTTTGATGATGCTTTTGTGAACGTTTGGTTTAATTTGAAAAGACTCTAAATTGGTTAGTCCAGTGGCGTATTTAGATGGCAAAGGTGTTTTCAGAACTCCTCTAAAGTCTTGAGTGCATTTGAATTTGTCTTGAGATACTTCAGCAATAACTCTTTGTAAATAAAGAGTGAGATTTGAGTCGGCTAGAGGGCCCTGACAAATCCGCAGCCAGAGCCCACGTAGTGGCACCGGATCCAGCGGCTCTCATTTTTCAAACTACTGCAGGGTATTTATTAGAATGCGTTGATGATTATTTGGAGGACAAGGAAACAATGAAACGTAAAAACAATGCCTTAACGGTATCTCCGGATGATCCTAGCGCTTGTTGACACATGGAAATCAATATCGAGTAATCTGGTCTTTGGTTTGGATGCCGTTGATCTTGATTCAACAACGTCTCAAATAAATATTGCCAAATATCCTTAAACTTCCAATAGCGTCGAATTGACTCTTTGATGTGATATTGATCTTGTTTTGTCAACACTTCCATGTTATTCTTGAATAATAATTGATGTAGAATGGAGCAAACACTCCATGTATCTGCGGAATATTTCCACGAGGAAGGATGTCTAGAAACGTTTGTAAATACTTGAGGAAGAGTTTTTGGGTCGGCTGCACACGAGAATTTCACATGACTTGGAAATAGGTCAAGATTGAGTGCTTTGGAAAAGTCTGTTAACATTAAACCTTTCGTGTTCCATCCTTTTCCGTTGATTGTCCAATCTGATAATTCTGCTCCATCTTCGTTCAATAATAGTAAATTGTTGGGCAGAATGGAGTTATGAACCATGTTTGCCTTATTGTGTAAACTTTGTAAAATATTTAAAAGTTCCAAAGTATAATACAGTATAATTGTTTCTTCCAATTTTGTTCCAGATTCCATTGCACGCTGCAGAGTAAT